TGTGCCAACTTACCTCAGCAGGTGGGTTTAATGCTTTTGTTCGATCTTCAGTTGGTTATATAATCATATATATCTACTTTTTATAAGAATTATCTTTAAAAGAAAAGGGAAATAAGTAAAATATATTTTATTGTCTTAGTTTATGTTATTTTTATCAAATACTTTAGGTTTATTGTAAAAAAAATATGTTTCTGCCTTCTATTTTTATTATATTTCAAGGAGCTCTGTGTGTGTTAATACACAATGTGTTAATATTTTTAAGTTAAAAATATTCATAGATTACACTAAAAGATTAAAAGGTCTTAGACTGAAAGGCTTTTTTGCATTAGCGCCCTGGATTTTTAGTGCAGAAACAGAGTGAAATGCATATGTGCGGTGGTTATATGGTACCTTACAACGCTCTTATTTTTGGTCTTTATCTTCATTCAGATTTTGTTTAGGCAGTCTTCACTACAAAAATATTATGACCTTTTAGTAATTTGCCTTTAAAGAACAGTGTTCTAAAGAACAAACTTTAAATTAACATTTTAGGCACATTGTGGAACACTGTGAAGTTGAAATGCTGGAAGGAAATTAAGAATTTTTCTTTCTTTCTGCAAAAGATGAGGAAGAACAGCAGAGTACAAAATGTCAAAACTCTTTTATTTTCAACTCAGACATTAAAGTACAGCTGTGTGTATTTTCATGCACTCTACACAATTAGATGATACTATTGTGTCCATTGCATTTATGATTCTGTCTATACATATTTTGCGACAACTTTGTAAAGCCTTTGAAATTCTCCATTGTTCTGCACACACAGCAACAGATGGACCAGCACCTAATGCAGGCCTTTTTTTCCCGGTGCACAAGGAAAACAGAAACGTTAGCCACATTACAGGCGCTACTGCTCACATTGAGCACTCTGATTTAATGTCAACAGTGTGGCCAGACTTCCTTATAATGTTTTAATACAGGAGATGAGCCGTGTGGCCAGTCGAAGGTAATGGTATAACAGCTCACAGTACATCCAGAAGTGGGGAAGCAAATTTCTGGTTCCAAGAAATACCCATTTTTATACAAACAAGATTTTATGTTGTACAAAAAAACTTCAAAACATCATTAATTGCTTGATATTTTTCACCAGTTAGACCTTTTTATCCTGGTGTTTTCTATTGTCTAATTTTATTAAATCATGTTCTTTTTTTTTTACTGTTTTTAGCTTCCTGGAGGTCACACCTACACTTGGGATGTTTCCTCGTTCTTATCCTGATCACTGGAGGAGCTTCATCTCTTTACGGGCCTGCTTTGACGACGGGCCTGGGCTCCGCCTTCTCGGCCGCTCAGACCAGCAGCGTTGTGGGAGGCAAGCAGAAAGCAGTGACTTTCAACAAGCTTATGGTCAACACAGGAAGGGACTTTAATCCAGATACCGGCCACTTCCGCTGTCGCATCCCTGGGGCTTATTATTTTTCTTTTTCTGTGGGGAAGTTCCCTGGAAAACTGCTCTCTGTCATCCTGGTGAAGAATGGGGAGGAGGTGCAAGCCATGGCCTATGATGACTACCGCAGGATAGGCAGGAAAGTCCAAAGCCAGAGTGTGATGATCAGTTTGAAGCAAATGGACACTGTGTGGTTGCTTCTACAGCAGAGTCCCCAGTATGCGGTGTACAGCACTGCTGGTCCTTACATCACCTTCTCTGGTTATCTGGTTTACCCAAAGCTTCAGCCGATCAGTTATATCAGCAACCACCTTTCCTCTCCAGCTCTGTCTCACATCAACTGCCCACCTCAGGCTGACCCCCGGAGCAGAGATCCGGCTGTTGAGCAACAACGCTCAGCCTTCTCAGTGGCTCGCACATCAACGTTTGTGGGTCAGAGTGGCGGGCACCAAAACAAACTTCCCCTCACTTTTGATGTGGAATTTGTCAACATAGGGGGCCACTTCAACAAAACTTCAGGTCTTTTCACCTGTTACTTCCCTGGAGTGTATTTTTTTGCTTTCACAGTGGGGAAACACCCTCGTAAGGCTGTCTCTGTAAAGCTGATGACCGGGAGCGGGCAGGTCCAGGCGATGGTGTTTGACGAAGACACGTCAAAGAGAAGAGAGATGCAGAGCCAGAGCTTAATGCTGCAACTTGACAGGGGGGAAACAGTATGGCTGTACAGTCAGCAGGACAAACGCTACGCTGTTTACAGCAACCAGGGAAGGTACACCACATTCTCTGGCTTCCTGGTCTACCCCACTGCAGAAATAACCCCAAACAACCTGGACAGATCCCACCTATAATAAGCTGTCAATAATGCTGTCTGTAGTTACTAACTAGTTCTGTAGGTTAAATATGTAAGTTAACTGGAAACACTAACTATATTGCCAAAAGCTTTCAACTCTGCTTCATTGACTCACATGTGAGCTTATTTGACATCAAATTCTTAATCCAAAGAGTTCAATACAATATTGGTTCACCCTTAGCAGCTATGGTTAGTTTAAACTCTTCTGGAAAAGTTGTGCATAAGGCTTAAGGAGTGTTATAATGTCATTTCTATGGCAATTCTTCCAAAAGCACAAAGGCCTGGCTCTGTCTCCACTCTAAATCACCCCAAAGCTGTTCTCTTTGGTTGAGGCCAGGACTCTGAGCAGGCCATTTACCGTAATCTCATCCGTACCACACTCTCCTATGCATTTCTTTATGTACCTTGCCTAGTGTACTGCGGCAGAATAAAGAGGAATGGTCCATCTTTAAATTGTTCTACCAAAGTCCAAAGCCTGGAGGATGGAATTGATTTATATCACTGGAGTTTAGGGGCTAAATCTAGCTCCTGAAAAACAACCTTACAAAAATATCCCCAGAAACTCATACTTTAATTTGCCAGAAAGAGATGCGCTTCTTATCATTTCAGATTAAGAGCCTCCATCGATCAATAAATCAAGCAAAGGTTTGCTTTGCATCTGACGCTTTATATTGCAGAATACCCATACCTCAAAGCTCTCCTCACTGTTCCTGAGCTAATCTGACGGCCACATTGAGGCTGGAGGACCTCTGTGCACCATGCACACCAGCATTCCTTTTTTTCCTGCCAGTTGATGTGGCCTATGACTTGGTGGATGAGTTACTGTCATTCCCAATTGCTTCCATTTTGTTGCATCACTGAGAGCTGATGTTGGAATATTAAAAAGCGAATTACATTAGACACTGAAATTCAATCACTTAGAGCGACTATTCTGACCTAAATGTTTGTAGATGCTGCACACCAAGGACCATGAAGTGGTTGCTACACCTGATTTAAATTATTTGTATGAGTGAACAAATACTCTTTGAAATGTAGTGTCTAAGATGAGTTTGTGGAGTTTTTTTTGTGGTTTATTCCACCAGATGGTGCTAGAAGACAGGATTACCCCGGCAGCTTCTGCCAGTTAAAATACCCAATATGTTCCTATATACCTATATTTGTGCATTTATAACTCATACAACTGCTTTTTGTTAATGTAAAAGTGATAATTGTGTGGTCAAAATAAGACTGTAAAGATGTTTATTTTGGTAAAACTGCAATCACACCATGTTCATATTGTGGTCTCTTTATGTGTTTTGTATGAACAAACACCCAAACAGCCCCTTAAAATAAAAAGTGGTCAAATGCTTAAAATTACGGGCTTGCAAATGTATGTATATTTTTGATACACCTTAAAAATTAAAAGCCTTTTACCTCTGAGTTAATTGAAAAAGGAGCTTATGATTTTGAATTAGGAAAAAAAGAGTGCGTGGTTTTCACTGTTAGGTGGAATATGCCTTAACAAAATCCACTGCAGCAAACAGTGCCGTGATCTGTAATAGCCTCATTTGGTTTTGTTAAAATAGATGAAAAAACAAAAATGCTTTTGTTTTTTAGTTTGGGGCAGAGAGGGTGATCAGAGTTAATGCAAAGATGATACAGCTTAGTCCTGGAAGACTGTGAAGGCTTTAGAATGGCCAGAGGCCAAAAATCCTTCAGGAGGTGCAGTGGCATTACTCTACATAACAGCTAATCTATTTACTGAGAATATCAAGACATCTTAATGTGTGCAAGACATCTTAATGTGAGGGAACTCTAGATTACCAAGCATTTTCATGGATGTGTGATCTATTTTCAGTCTAACCAAATCTAAGCTTGTATTTACTATTGGGCAAGGACTAAAACACCTGGAATTGGTTCAGGATGATGTGGGGGCACATGGCAGCATTTGGTGCTCACAAACTAAAATAATTGGTACTTGTACATCAGCCTCTGAGGATCTCAAACAACAGAGAAGAAGTCACTTTTTATAATCACCTTTCCTAAGCTGTCAGTATGGGCTCAGCAATTGCTAAATGTAGAAACAAAATTGCTGCGTTACCAACACTGCATTATTGAAAAAGATTTTTTTTCTCCTCTATATAGGTTATTTTAGGCTGGTCATCATTCGGGGCTTTAAGGGCTGAACATTGTCAGATTCTGCTCCTTCGCTAATTTCTTGGTGTAAGCTTTTTGTCTCTGTAAGGTAATTCATCTGGATTGGAGTAGTCTGTAATTAAAAGCGAGCAACATTTACATCTAAAACACCAGCTATAAATAATACACCAGCAGTGGCAAAATACTCAGCCTACAGAAGACTGCTTGTTCAATTCAGGTTATTTATATTGCAAGGGATAAATGTTCAATGTAGTATATTGAAAACAAGCCTAAAGTGATACAAGTAAAAAATAAAGTAGGTAAAAAAAAAGGGATAAAAATAAAGGTTGAAAAGTGTTCAAAAGTTATATTATATAATTTTTATTGGCAATTAGAAAATTGTCTGCTATGGTGTTTTCCTGCCTCTCACATTTAGACTGCTGGAGATAGGCAACGATACATACCGGATGGATGGATGGATGGATGGATGGATGGATGGATGGATGGATGGATGGATGGATGGATGGATGGATGGATGGATGGTGTTTTCCTTTCACAAGAGTGTTCTTGCTGTTACCATGTTAACTACAACCATAAATAAGAGATAATACGTTCTCAAAGATTAAATAAAGGATTTATTTCATAAAGGAAATAAATAATTCAGCAGTTGATTATGGTTCAAGAGGATTATTCTAACCTAATCCAATTACATTTTAAAGTTCCACATATACCACATGAAAAAGGGTATGTTTCTGTATAATTGCTGTTATTAATGTGTCCTGTCGTACTGTATGACAAAGGCCATAAATACACTCTTCTCTCTAAACGTCAATTATTGAGGCGGATACATAAAGTATACATTTCTAAGTATAAAATAAAAATGAGGCCATCATGAAACTAATCTCTTGCAACATGCTTTTTTTTTTTTTTTTTTACAATTTCCAGTGTTTGAACTGCTTTGACTCATCAATTTGTTTCATAAAATAATCTGAAAAAAGAGAAAAGGGTATTCTAAATTTCAGCTTTTAAGCCAAATGATAATAATACAAGTTGAACATGAAAAAAATTGTTTATAACATACAAATATTACCATATGTTTTGCATAAAGTCATGCACAAGCAAAGCAATATGGCTGTTTAGGAACTAAATCCCCCAGTATGAAGTGGCTCGATGAAGCCTTAGAGCTGGAATGTCCGTTTCTTCTTCCCAGACTCCTTCACTGCACAGTGCGTCACTGCACATCCCAGATTTCACAGAGCAGTGGGGTGAATTTGTGGTCATTTACTCTCCAGGATGTGAGCATTTCTGCGTGGTAGTGGTTGAGTGTCCTCAGCTCTGTCAGTCGGCCGAGGAGGCGGGCAAAGTACTGGGGCTCCTGTGGATGCTGCAGGACACACAGCTTCTTCAGCAGATTCACCATGGGCTCCTGCAGTCGCTCCACTGCCTGCTGGTCCTTCACATACGGCCGGTCTGGAGGGGAATACAGTGAACTCTGATTGTACCAAGAGCTTTCAAGAAGTATAGATATCAAAATGCAAACATGCCTCACAAGAAAAGATCCCTCACCTGGTGTGAGGATAGTTATTGCGGTGAGGAGAGCCTGTTCCTCCAGAACCATGTGGAGTTCACCAACACTTTTGTAAAAATTAAACAAGGGTGTGATGAATTCTTCTGATATACCTGCAAAAACAAATATTTTTAATGCAAATTTTTACCAATCAATGAATGAAGTGTGTTTTTTAAATGTTAAATGACCTTAGAAACAATAAAGAAGAATCTTTTTGTTTAAGAATTCAAGTATTTCCTTAACTTACTAATTTACTACATTTAATATATGCATAAATTAAACAATAGTTTAATCTAAACAGATGATCAACTTCATACAAAAGCACAGGAACAAATGTTACATTTAAAAGTCAATTCTGAACAATATACATTTGCTTGGAGAGACTAATAGAACATCCTAATCCTACTTTTAAAATACCTTTAAAGCAGAAAATAGGACTTTGAGTCCGACTCTCTAAACCAGAAATGCAATTTATGTTAACTGATGATAATGTACTACATAATGTATTACACAGACAGATTTCCAACACAGGAACCACAGATTGGATTGTTTTCTTGATTAAAAATACTATTTTAACAGGAAGGTGTTAAAGATAATCTTTGCAACATAAGTGCATAAGTTAATGAAAGTAAGAAGGGGGTGATTGGTGGACTAGTGGTTAGGGCATTGTGCTTGGAATCCAGAGGTTCTGAGTTTGAGCCCCACTCCCACAGACTGCCTGAGCAAAGACCCTTAACCCCACACTGCTTCCTGGGTGACGCACAATGGCAGCCGACTGCTCCCCAAGGGGATGGGTTAAATGCAGAAGGTGAATTTTCTTGCGCTCTACTTGTGACAGTGTAATGACAAAAAAAAAAAAAAAAAACACCGGAAAGAAGTCTGTATGTTTCTTTATCTACCAAAAACTACCTCGCAGTGAGAAGCCTATTTCATTGAAACAATGTAACCATTGTGACTAGAAATGTAAATTCAGGGAAGAATGATCTTAAAACGGAAGGAAAATACAGTATATGATGAAGCTAGTGTTGTCCAAGCTTACATCCACCATGGACAACACCTGTCCCCCCCTGCACCAGACTAAAGAGGAGCTGAGCAGCTCCTTTAGTGAAAGGCTCTTCCTGTTTGTAAAAAAGAAGAACTACTGCAGGTCATTCATCCTTGCTGCAATAAGACTTTACAATACGGCACTATAACTGCAATAACTTGTGCAATCACTAATGTGCAATCACTATTTAATACCCTGTGCAATAATCCGTTCAATAATCCTTTTAAATAACAGACTTCAGCTGTTATAGTTATCTCACTACCTCACTGTTGTTCTGTACCTGGTACGACTTTAATGAACAACGTCAAATCCACATGTGTATAAGTAACCTTAAATCTCGGCCTTATTTCTTTGTTTCATGATCCACTATATATGTGGACACACTATATATGCCCCCATACACCTTTTCCAACTTTTGGCACCTTCTTTTGACGATTGAGCCAATGTGGCAAGTGAATTTCTCCACTGTGAGATCAATAAAATCTATCTTATCTTATCTTATCCTTTCCTATCTTAGAACAGATTGCTCAAGCCAAGAATCAACAGCCAGACCATCTGGGTTTGATGGTCTGGCTGATATGGTTCCTCTAGAGCAGATTCTCTAGAGAAATAATTCCAGAAGAAAATTCCTCAGACACCAGATCATGACCTTAAGTTCAAGCATACTTAGGTTTCCCAACAGGATGATGATTTAAAGCTCATCACCAAGTTCATAACTGCACGGCTCAAAAACAGTAAAAGAGAAAAAGGAAGATGAAAGGTTTTAAAATAAATGGTTCATTAAACTTTGCCGTCCTAAACAGCGCGTTGAACTAACTTCCTGTTTAATGTTTGGAAGCTGTTGAGGCTCATCCGGCAAACTGAGTTTCTCTGTCTGCCTTGAGACATCATTATCATCACCCTCATCATCATCATCATAGAGCTTTCAGAAATGCCAGTGGGCCTCTGAGGGAAAGAGGAGCACAATGGCACTTTTGATGTTGTGATAAGAAACAATAGTCTCTTCAGACAGCTTGCTGCCTTATTCTCCCTGACTGGCCTTTAGTGTGAATATCTCTCATCCCCACCATTCACTCAGGAGCAGTGCTGAGGGACTCACTGACAAACACAAATACTTCTACCATCACGGCTGCTGTCAACGTGGTTGACATGTTGACACTTCACATACATATCAATGCTCCTTAAAACCAGCAGATGAGAAAAAGGAGGCTATTGGTATAAATGGTGAGGCAGTGTGTGGCTTGTTATAAGTTAATCCAGTTGGCTAAAAAAAGGCTGGGTTGGCTGTTCTTCACCTGAAGCGACTCAGGCATACCTGAGAAGAGTGAAACTGAACCCACTGAAGGTACATGTACGTGTAACCTACACCCAGTTTGGGATCAGTAGGTGAGTGCACATCTCTCCACTGCATCACACCGATCAAATATTAAACAAGAATCCAACCAGATTAGGCCAGACTTAACCTGACAGAACAAAAGACTGAGGAACTCATGACATTCAGCAGAACTTACTGTGTATATTTGTTTTTACAGTTAAGCCCAAAACAATTCAAAGATCTGAGAAAATTCTCCTAAACATTTCAGTAATTTTTCTCCTGAATAGAAGTGATATTATTGATGTGAAGTGAATAAGCCACATCCCCAAATTAAATCAGCTAATCAATAGTTTAATGTTTAAAATGCTCCATTTAAATAATGTGCTGTCAAATACTTCTTTAGACTGAGTCAGAACCTCTTTACAATAGAAAAGAAGTAGTTGGGTGTTTTTATTCGACAGAATTGAGCTTTGCCTATTCTATAGTGAGTAAACTCACCACTCTTGCGTATCCTCTCCTCTAAAACTTCAGTGTGTCCTTTTGGCATCTTCCTGCTGAAAACTTGAGCTGAACGCAGAAACATGGCCTCCACAGCTGAACCCTTCAGCAGAGCGATCTGATCTTCATGATCCAGAGACAGGAAACCTACAAAACAAATACTGACCTTTTCACTTTTCTGTCAGAGTTAAATGTTTTAAAATCAGAAAGAAAACCTCCTTCACCTCAAAACCCTCTTTAGCATGGTAAAATAAGACTGATTCAGTTTTTTTAACAGCTGAGTTCAGTTTTCTTGGGTGAACCTCATTGCCAGGTCTGTAGATTTAAGAAATCTACTTCTGAAATAAAAGTTAGGTAAAAGAAAAAACACTCCATCTCAAACATAATCCATTGCAGAGTAGGTTAACTCATTTAGTGACAAGCTATTGCATCCCAAATACACAAATGAGCATCTCTGCAGCTCCGACCTTTCAGATGCTGTTATCTAAAACCTTCACGCCTTCCAAGAGCCAAGTGTTTTTACACAGGTTCTTGATCTGAACAAGAATAGGGTGCATTATTATTGTTAATCCTAAAGTTTGTCTTAACCTGAATATGTATTACCAATGGCAGCACAGTTTTCTATCCCTCTCTCGTCTCTTGAATATAGGGGATATGGGATTTTTTTGTTTGTTTGTTTTATACTATACTATACTACTTTTATACTATACTACTTTTTTATTTCTTGTATTTTCTGTCTTCCCAAGTCTTCCCACTGTGGGTGTTAGGAATCCAGTTTGTGTGGTCTGTTGTTGTGGTTGTTTGTGTGCTTTTTCTCCCTCCACCATCAGGTGGTGCCCTGTCTTCGTTTGCCTTCCTGCACACCTGCGGCTCGTTGGATCATTTTCTGGAGGAGTATTTGAGCAGTGGACTGTCACTACCTCAAAGCCAGAGTGTTTGCCAGTTTTGGGAAGCTTTTCTGTGTTACAGGATACCTGGACCTTCTCTCCCCTGAAAGGAAAATACCGAGTTACACTGAGCAGGGGAAAACCTCCACATGTTCTGTTCAAGTACCCATCGGAAATCCGAGTGACAGTCCACTCCATTACTCCTCCCAGTCCAACGCTTGTCTAACCTGTCCGCCCTCCAATGTGTGCACCCTTCTCTGGAATTACCACACAGTCTGGATTCAAGGACTAACAAGGCCCCCCTCAAACTTCCGGGTCACGGCTCACTGAGTCCCAGATCCAACTTCTTTTACTCCTTCAATAAACCAGTTAAACCTTTGCCTTGTTCTCTGAGTGGTTACTCTGCATGTGGGTCAGATTCGTAACCGATCACGACAGTGGGACGATGATGGTATTTTTTATCCATGTTAAAAATTCCCAGAAAGCACTCTGACTCAAAGAAACTAGAGAATAGATGAGCACCTAACACAAAGTATTTCTGCTTTTTCTCAGAACTGTAAAATTGTGTTTTTAGCAAAAGACATTTTCTTCATTACCTGGAATATTCTTCGTGAACTCCACCAAAACCTGAACTTGGCTTGTTGCGATTTCAGTCAAGAGGAGAAAGTTTTCCTCTGTACTGTACTGGTCTTGTAGCTAGGGGAAAGAGCGTAATAAATAATAAATTAATTGTTTTTTCTAATGGATTCCATATTAATTTAATAATTCACTATCAGGCTGAACAAATCTTACCAGCTGTTTGGTAACATCCTGGGGGATTTGATGTTTGTTGTAAGCTTCTACAATGAGCTTCATGAGTGCTTCTTGCTCTTTAGTGATTTCCACCTTTTCCTTAATTTCAAACAAATACAAAATTATTATATATTTTTTACAATTTCTCTAATTGACTAAAACTGCCTTGCCTACAGTAAGGAAATGATGCATCGTGTTTACCTTTGACAGTTTGGTGGTTGAGGTGACCTGCTTGTTGTCCATGTTTTCTGTCCCCTCTGTCTCATCTCCAGTCGACCGTCCCGGGGAGGTCTTGGTGTTCTTACGGAGCCTTTTGGATTTACACTGGATCTCTGTCAGCAAACCTGTTGGCAACAATTTATTTTTTAGTTTCTGTGTTAAATGACTCACAGGTTTTTATCCAAAGCAGCTTTTTACAACCTAAAAACAAAAACATTTGATTAGACCCGTAATGAAACGACCTCTTAAAATCTAAGGAAAAGGCAGGAATTTATGCAACATCCCTGTACTTAACAGTATTTTTACCATTAAATTCAATCATTTTTGCACATATTTAAATAAATAAATAAAATTCTGATTATACCTTAAGAGAGAGAAAAAATAATCTTTTTATTTTTTTCCTGCCTAATTAGTTAAGCTCTTACTGTGGGAACAGATAGTATCACGAAGGCCTTCCATGCTGCAATATTGATCATGGCTGTCCTAAAGTATTTATGAGCAACAGGAGTCCAGTTTATCTTTCACTGCTTTTGTGCTGTCATCTACTAAAACTGGTTTCTGCAACTATACCAGTTGCCAGGCAGAAAGATGAACAACCGCTTTATTGACCACTGGTTAATGTTAACTTCTTCTAGTGTGAACCTTTTTGTTTGCCTGCTTCTATTCTAAGGAGCAAAAGAAAAGCCGGTCGTGTTGTTTGATAGAAGAGACATATAATATCCCAGGATGATCAGATAGACCCTGTCAGAATGGAGAATGAGGATTCGCCTCGGACACGAGCTCAGGATTCTTCCCATCAGTCAGTACCACGTCTGCATGTATAAATATGCTTAAAGAAACTCTCCAGACATGCAGCGATACTCACACTCTGCCAGCATGCCCATCTCTTTGCATTTTCTCAGCCTGCACTCCTGGCATTTCCTGCGCATGTACATGTCCATCTCACAGTTGCCACCACTCTTGCATTTGTACACGGCGTTCTTTGTTATGCTTCGTCTGAAGAAACCTGAACATAAGAGCAGGACAGTCACATTGCTCAATTATTTGCATTCATTGCTTTTAGTTTAAAGTAAGAGAAAAAAATGAAAACTACTGATTCTATATATATATATAAATATGTTTTAAAATCAGTTTATGAACCATACTAAATCACACACTTTAAAGTTCTCGATCAAGTAACTCTTCTGATTAGACATAAGCGAGACGTTTTGCTTTGTTCTGTAATACAAGGATTACAGAGACAAATTTTTTTTTAAATGCTGTCTTGCCTGTTGTTCTTTTATTTATTCAACATGGACTTTCTTTTCTTATAAATCTATGAATTTTAAAAGTAAACTATGATCTTAGTGTTTCATTTAGTTCTTGGTCAGATCCTCCTGTTATCAACACTGGTTTGTTTCCATCTTTTCTTATTGTCATTAACTATTTTGTGTTTCATCTGGACCTTTTTTTTTTTTTTTTTTTTTTGACCGTCTGGGTCTTGTTCATTACAGTTTTTTTTATATAATGTGTTTCTAAGTAAATATATGGGAACCGAAAGCTGAGAAATACTTCTGATTTCTTTCTTAAATGCAGTGAGCTTGTGCAAAGCAGGCAAGTATAACGATAAACTGAGATTGAGGTTCTGACTTTCAGGATAAACGGAGTCTCAAGATTATATGCTTGCTGTCTGACTCAAGCACAAAAAAATATTTTCTGTTAAACTATCTAAAAGAAACATTCATGTATTGTATACAGTCAATGATCTAACAAGCACGCAAGCTTTTTGTGCTGTATTGCCAATGAATTTGTTCCCCTATTTTAATGGCAAGAATTCTGACAAAGGCATGCAGTGAGAAAACATTGCTTTAACAGAAGCTAAGTTCCTTTTAGATTTAAGTTCTTTCTTTTAAGTGCTTTCCCTATTTATTTAAAGTGGAGATATTATGCAAAATCTACATTATAGCTATTAAATGCATTTTGTTGAGAAGCCGGAGTCTATAAAAAGTCCTGGAAAGTTTAATTTAGTCTCTCCAGGTGGTGAGTGAAATGTATTTAGAGGCTTCTTGGGTCATATTTCTTCACTTTGTTCAGTTTTCTCCATTTTATATTATGCTTTGTTAGTGTTGCCCTGCGATAGACTGGCAACCTGGGTGTATGCTGAATTTGGAACATAGATAGATGAGATAGAAGATGGATGGATAGACTTTCATTATCTAGATCTCTATAATAACGTCATATACTTCCAGCAAACAATCCACAAATCCATGATTTTTGGCTGTATTTTTGTTCTGAAGAAACAAGTTAATATATATCTGAATATTCATTAGTTCATAACCTCTTGTGACCGTGACTGGTTAAGTATTTATTTAAAACTCGTGAAATCCTTAAATAAGGAAGGAGCGTCCTTTAACAGTTTGTAGGAGTCTGTGTTTTTTATATTGAGATATTTCACAAACAAAAAAAAATGCAACTGTTTTTGGGATCTACTTAATCATATTTTATTAAACTAACTAAATATGATCAAGTAAATGGCAAAAACGTTTTCATTATTTTTCAGGGCATGTAATTTGTTTAAAAAATAATGTCAGGAACATTAATAATAGGATTACAGCTGATCTTAGTACTGTAATCAGCTGACATATTTTCTACTATTGCTCGCAAATATTATTTTTCATTCAGCATTCAAAACTTAACTCAAAGTTCGATTAAATCCATTCGGATTGGTGTTAATTTTAACACTTAAAGTGTTACTTTAACACTGGAAGATTTAGTGTGAATCTGTGAAAATGCACAATCTTGTATTTCACCTGTTCCCCTGTCTAAAGGTATTCCAATCTTTAGCCTCCATCAAGCAGTTGATCTATATAATATAGTTAGACTCACCAAAAATAGTAACATATTTGGACTCATTAACTTTGGGACAGTGACTGGACATTCTGACACCATTAACCACAAAGAAACACAGCGAAGAGACAGCACTCGGGTTACTCTTGCATTGTGTAGGAGTAATGTGAGAAGGAATCCAATCGGGGCGCAATTACCACACAGATCTGAGTCTATTCTCAGTGAAACTGCGGCACAGGTCAGCTGCCACACTCCTGGCATTGTCCAGCATGGCAGTGTGGAATTACACTCACATCCCTTCAGCCTGCTGTTCGCCAGGAATCCCGCTGGATTCACCTTGTAATAAAAGCACAGGGAGGGGCTGCTGAAGGTCACAATGGTGCTTTCAGCCAGTTAATAATTTGTAAACGGAAAACGACTCATAAAGTGCTCACTCCCACTCTTATGTACAGTCATTGAGTTTTTTCTCTTGAACACAGCACCAGTCGGTCAGAGTTTAAACTAACCAATGTTGTGGAATAGATTGGTTTATTATCTTTCATTTGTGAGTAATTAAAAATTCTCTCAGCAGCATTTAGTTAACAGTGTCCAGGTATTTCTAAGCTGCTTTTTTTTTTTTTTTTTTTTTTTTATCTTTAACTCCCTTTTAAATGTGCGGCATTATTAAAAGGATCCGAATTATTTTGTCCTGGATAGAAAAGTCCTTAAACATGTTTTACATGTTGCATAACTCTGGCAGCTGTTGTCTCATGCACACAAAAGATTCTTATCCACATGTTTGTACGGTAGAAAAAAAAAAAGCAGTCCTGTCATTAACAGGTTCTAAAGGTCTATGGAGATGAAAACAGACATTTCCGATGCGGGGCAAATGTCGCTGAGCTTTTAGGTATACCATAACTGCCTTCAACTGGACTTTAAACAAACTTTAGCCAGTTCTGAGAATGCAGTGCTTTGCCAAAGTCTTATACTTTGTGAATTATTTCCACACTTTGTCACCTTTGAGATGTGTAAAGTATTTTTTCAAGAATTTAGGCGAAAGATCAACACTACAGCAAGTAATTTGCTTGTTTTCAGTTTTTTACAGCTAAAGATCTCTCTGTTAAGTTCTCAGAGGTTTGCCAGAGAACATTAATGAATCAACAGAAGACTGAAAGAGGGACAATGTAAGAGAAAATACAGGTAAAGTCCAAAGTGGGGTTTGACATGAAAATGCTACATAAAACATTTTCATCACTGTTGAAAAATCTTTAAACGTATCAAGGAGCTCTCTTCAATCATTTGTCTGACCTTGAAATACAGCGGCAGCGCTACAGGTCCATGTAGACACGAGATCCACCTAAATTGATAGGCTGGACAAGCTGAGCATTAATCAGAGATAGAGGCCCATGTTTACTCTGGAGGAGCTGCAGAGAATCACAGCTTAGGTAACAATGATGTAGACTAAACAACTTGTAAACATGCGCTCCACATAACTGGCCTGCTAGCAAGGTGAAAAGGAGAAACCCAATGTTGAACGAAAGCCAGAAAAAATACTTTTTCGCCACAAGACGTGAAATATGTTGAGGACATAAAAAGATTATGGCCTTGAGGTTAGGCCATGGCAAAGTACTATTTCTGACAGGAAAGTAGCTTTGCAGGTTCTCCTTAAAATATCTACCTCGTGATTAGAATTGGTAGTGGCAGTGTAATGCTGTGGGGATGCTATTCTTTAGGGACAAAGTTGATGGGAAGATGAATGGAGCTAAACTTGGGATGGGCATAGACAAATAATCTTTTAGAGGCTACTAATCATTTGATATTTACAAGTACTACTGGTGGTTATAAGGCTGCCATAGGGGGTACTCTGAAGAATTTATTGGGTTATTTCTAAGATGACTATGAAATTCCAACTTTGAAGTTTTATATCTTTGAAAATATTAAAGTCATAATTAAACCACACTCTAAGATCAGTTATGCAGTTCAGATCCATAAGAATGGAAAGGTTGTGTTTACCTGGTGTTATTTGAAGTAGCTAAGAAGTTTAAGATATTATATCACATAATATTCATGTATTAAAAAGTGTGCTGTAAAAGTTCAATCCTAAATACAACAGATAATCTGTGTAAATCTGTTGCTCACAGATGCTTTTCATCCAATCTGAAGGAATTAAGTGTCTCTGAACGTCAGGAACGTCAGGCTTTAAAGATTGAGGAGAAAAATTGGTTCAATTATGTGTTTTATATATATATATATATATATATATATATATATATATATATATATATATATATATATATAGAGAGAGAGAGAGAGAGAGAGAGAGTGACGTAACATGTGAGTTTCTATATAGTTGTGTATTTTGTGGAAACTCCACACACCTTTACATCCTTCACAAGTGAGAGCATTGTAGTGGTATCCAGAGGCCTTGTCTCCACAGACTACACACAGTTCCTCCCCTTTGATTCTTCCGGCTTGGCTCAGGTGCCGGTTCCTTTTGCACACAGCAGGCACAACAGAGGACCCCTCGTCCATATCGGCCCCATAACTGCCCTCCAGGGGCCCTTTCCTCAGTTCATACAAGCCCATGTGGGAGTACCATTCGTCTCCACCGTATGGAGGATAATAGTTCTGAGTGGAGTAGTACGGAGTGGTGGACATGTTTGGTTCCATGGATGGATACTGCATGCTGGGGTACGTGGTGAATGGTAAGATGTCAGAGTCCTGTAGAAGTGGACTGCTTTGATCTGCCAAGATGTCTGAAAATGGAAAAAGGGAAAGACTTTAGAAAAATAAACAATACAGATTTTATTGAGCTCTCGAATAGCCATAAATTTAACACCCTCAAAGGACCTATTGAGACATTTTGTGTTATATTTTAACATTTCCACACGGCCATTCTCACTGTGCACAGGGCCCAAACATGCTAAAATAAAGATATAAAAATGCTAAGTTTTGTTTCTTTGGTTCTTTTTTATATTGAGACATGCAAAAGAACCAAAAACCTTAAAGTTAATTTCCATTCTTCTTCTACCCCTTGTTGATCAGGGTCATGACGTGCTGGTGCCAATCTCCAGCAGTCTATGGATTAAAAGGCAATGTACACCCTGGATGGGTTGCCAGTCCATCACAGAACAACAATGATACATACAACCATGCACAAACAATCTATCTTTGTGGGAACTATTGACTTCCATTCATTTCCCACTTAGTTCTACGGCCTAACCAACACGTACCTTAGCCTAAACAAAACCTAAACTCAATTCACACCTTAACCCTAAACTTAACCCTCATTCCAAGAGGAGAACTTCCCCTCATGGGGACCAGTCATTGACCCCTAAAAGTATCTATAAGTCCCCAAAATGTAGTATATTCTTTGATTCCCAACCAATTAACCAAAACATGGCGACATATATACACGTTCACACTTAAGGACAACTTAGAAATGCTGATTAACATAGCAGCCATGTTTTGGAATGTGGAGTAGCTGGAGTACCTGGATAGAACCAATACATGCACAGCAAGAAAACATAAAGTCTATACTGAATGATCTTTGGCTGGGAATCAAACCCAGGACCTTCCTGCAGCGAGGCAAACCAAGCAACAGACTATTCTACCATGCATTTCAGTAAAATAATTCAGTTTGCATACAACCTTAAGTATGCTTTTGTTATGCAGTAACATATATTAAAAGATTGAACAAAAAATATCTTAATTTCACTGGAAGAACCAAAAAAGAATCAGCCACATTTCAGGGTAAGTTAGGAAGTGTTTTTTTGATGGCCAATGGGAAAACATTTGATTTTCTGAATTCTTCTCCCTCAAAATGTCCAATACAAGCAAATTGGTGGATTATTTAAAATTTGCCTCATAGGGAATAACTTCTAGAATATAAGGCATCTTTTTCAGACTCTCTTATGTAAGCCAGCTGATAGTTAGCATTTTATTACCTTCTGTAGCGTTATTATCAGTATAAAATTTATCTATGTTATTTTATTTTGTTTTAGTAATATCATTAATATATACATCTCCTAATCTGAGGTATGAGGTCAAATGAAGCTTCATGTTCAGTAGGTAGCGGTTTGTCCAGCTGCCAAGCAGCTGCTTGGAGTCCCCTCTGTCTTGGTCATGTCAATGAGCAAGACACTTCACCAACCTTATCATATGGTTTAAAACCTTTTAGTTTTTTTGTTGTTTCAGATAACTAACTAAATATATAAGGTAAAGCCTGCAGTTTCACTTTCAATTTCAAGCCTCCACTATAATGGAGTGAGAAATATCCATAATTTTAGTATAGTGTAAGGCCAGTTCTATACCAATGGGACATATTCCATGGAAAAAATAAGCTCATACTTTTTAGGTTAGTCCGAACAAATTGTTGGGATCTGGAGGTCTGTTCACCTTTCTCCAGCAGAGGGCGTTCTAGGTCTCCTGGGGCTGAAGCTGACCACCACACCTGCGGCTCATGAGCTCATCAGGGGACCAGCATTTAAGGAGGGGCAGAGCTACAATCCAACACCAGAGTGTTTGCCAGTTATGGTTAGCAAGCCTGAGCCAACCTGCCTGTCTGAATCTCTGACTCCCCTGAAGCCTGAACCTAATCTGCTTTTTGTCCTCTCTGCTTCTCAGGAAGAACCTGCCTGGAAACCCAACTCAGTCTGAAACCTGCCTGCCCACTCTCATCAAGAACTGAGAGAGAAGCTCTGAACCTGCTCAGTAAGATTATCTGCTCTGCCCTGCCTCTGCCTAGCCCTCTGCCTGCCTTCTGCCTCTGGACCCTCCTGGTTCCCCCCTTCTACCGCTCTGCTCAACCTCTGATCAGGTATAGACTTGCAAACATCAAACCTGCAAGTTCACTGAAAGACTGCTAACCAATCTGTCCCTTTCTGCAGTAAAAACCAGTCGTGACCAGACCGGACCCAGTTTATCCCAGAACCAGTGTTTTTTATTGTGATTTACTTCAATAAACCTTGTGAACTTTTTCCCAGTCTCTGAGTGTTCTGCATGTGGCTTAGATTCCTGAAGCCAACATGACACAAATTCTCACTTCACTGCAGCATCATGTCTCCCTAAACTATCCCAACAGATTTAATGAGCCGTATGCACTCAACTTCTTATTAAATGTAAATCAGCTCTTTTGTTTCCTGTCTTTTTCTATTGGAGGAACTGATTAATCCAGGTGTGCCTGACCTCAGTTACAAAGACTAGACACACCTAAATTAATCAGTTAATCCAGTAATGAAAAAGGAAACAAAAGAGCTGCCTTAAGTTCAGGAAGTCATGGAGTTGTGCATAGAGCCCATTGTGTAACAAGGAAAACATTTATATAGGCGATTATAGTAAAATACGTTTTGTGTTTAAAATTAAGATTATAAAACAAGAGGTATAAAATCAGCTAATATTTTGTAACCCATAAGAACATTCATCAACGTTGATTTCAATCACATTGTGATGATCAATTTTTAGTGCAGCTTTAATTATATAGACCATTTCATTGAATATAAATGGTGGAATTTAAGTGTCAGTGATATAGAGAATACCAAGAAATTAACCATGAAAGCCACCCCAGAAATATAATGTACAGCTAAATGAATGAAAACAAAACTGCGTCAGACGGAAGGTAATAAAACACAAGAATCTGACAAGATCTCTATCAAAGGTAGATAATGACTGTGAGGATGCGAGGATAAAAATTTGATAACAGAACCAGGCGTGCTAGAAGAGACACTTAAATAGCCAATATATATTTATTTAAAGTACAAAACCATGGAAACCTTATCAAAAGCAATCCATTTGATTTTCACACAAAAAATGGCTTCAGACTGATAAAAAATACTGTTTGGGGGTCAAGAATCATAAAAAGAAAGCAGCAATATATATGTTTCTATTAAAACTACAAGCTAGTGAATCTTTTCCCAGTAAAAAACATCTCATCTGCTTATATCACACTGGCAAGCACAAAAAACCATAAAGCCATTAATGATTAACAGCCTCTTTGCACACAGTAATCTGCCTTTTAAGACCAATGTACAGTAACATTTAACTACAAGATTATACTGATGTGCTCATAAGGATGCTGTAAGGTTGATAAACCAGTAAACCAACTTTCAGGACAAGATCATTCATCTATCAGCTTCTTAAACAAACAGAAATAGCCTCAGAAAAACTAGGTTTGAAACAAAGAGATGCCCTTATGATATTTGTTGAAAATATTGGATCACTAACCTCTTGAAGTCTGTGTCTGGACCATGGCCTTTTCCATGTGACCAGACACACAGACTATTGTTTTTCACTTTCTGACATCCACAATCCTGCTGTGATTTCGGTCCTTTTCCGGAGTCTTAACACCCACATCATCTTCAGCTCCTACCTGTTTAACTGAGCCTTCGCTAAAGACACAAAAAGCATCTTGCTGCCCGGTTGAGAAATGCCATAGGGGAGCAAAGGTTGTCGAGGCTAATCATTAACCTCCGAGTTAAGATGTCTCTGCATCATTACAGGTAGCTGGCTGATTCAGGAGTTTGGGTTCAAATGGACTGCTACTGTATGACAGCTGGATTTCCACATTGTCATTTATAAATTCCAAAGGTAAAGAATCCCAATTACTCGCATTGTTGGCAGTAAAAACTGTTTATTAAATCAGATGAGCATGAAATTGAGGATTGTGGATTTTTATTTACAGCAATGACCCGTCCTTGTACAGAAAGTCATATACTGTTATTGCTGGAAGGACAATCCTCTGTAACGATTGATTTTACAGTTTTACAGAGCTTTATGTTTTCGACTGAAGGTGCTCTCTGTGGTTCTATGGTTTATTGGGTGAAAGGTTTACTGAGGAATTTGTGTAACAAGCCTTTACTTGGAGGAAATATTACCATTATATGCAGAAGATACTTGGATACATCTACTATTAATACTGTGGATGTTATTTCTCCTTAGAAAATGTCTTATTGTCCTTGAGGAATTTAAGCATTTCTTTTAAATTTAGAAATCTTATCTAAGTTGTACCAATCCTGAAATATTGGTTGACCTGTATTTATTGACATAGCCTTGAAGAATTTTACAATTCCGGTGTGAAAATACTTAGGCAAGTTGTTTGGAAAACTTGCATAAACTTGCATATATATATATATATACATATATATATATATATATATATATATATATATATATATATATATATATATATATATATATATATATATATATATATATATATATATATATATATATATATATATATATATATATATATATATATATATATATATATATATATATATATTTAACTGAGAAATATTCAACATTTGTGACCCTGCTTGAAGATTTATTGTACATAATGATGATGTAGTCTATTAAATTTAATTACATTAAGCTAGTTTTTAATAGGATAATCTACACTTTCTCTCATGTCCAACCCCTACATTCTGTTTGTTGTACAGTGACCTTCTTAGCTTACACATTCCTGTTAAAATATCAATTTCCATGATATCAAAAAATGTGATTATTAAAAGAAAAATACAACAAATCTTTCATCTTTAGGGTGATATCAATCATCTTTAATTTTACTGAAAAATCAAAGCGATGTGTTAACCAAAGGCCAGGCAATTTTATTTATATAGCACATTTCAGGGGTAAGACAAAGTGTTTTATATGAGAAAAAAACAAGAAAGAGAACAGAGCATTGCAGTGCTTTAGATGCAACACAAATATTGAAAGAGAATAAAAGTGATGCATTAAAATAAGAGGATTATTCATATTAAAAAGGAATAAAAGATTAAGAAAATGAAACTGAGGTTAGACTGGATACTTAACTAAAATAGTTAGATAGCAAAATCAAAAGGAAATTCAAAACCAATATGTTTTTAATTTAAAACAACTGAGGATTTCAGTGCTTTTACAACTTTCTGGGAGTTTACTGCAGATTAGTGAAGCTTAGGAACCCCCGGTCCTCTGATGACATTTAAATGTGCAGCTGCGTTATCTGCATAGTTATAGAAACTTAAATTGTTTTGTTTTTTTTTAAGATCTGAGTTAGGGTTAATAGATATTCATTAAAAAAGGCCCTAAGATGGACCCTTGGGGAACGCCAGACCCAGCTTTCCGAGTGGTGTAATGAACTGTCATCACTAGTGTTGAATGCTGTATTATTAGGTTCACTAATACCAGCACTCTGGTTCTTTTACAGGCTGCTTTTATAAGGATGTCACTGAACATCTTGACAAGTGCAATCTCTGGGAGCATGAAAGCATGACTAGAAGACGGGTTTATGTAGAAGTTTTTTAAAAGTCCTCTGTGGTGATGGGAGACATATTGTGCTGCTTATCTCGGGCTGATATGTTTGACCAAAAATACATGGCAAAAAACCTATGAAGAAGTTCATGTCCAACATTTTTGCAACTTTGGCAACGAGATAAAAAGCTAAGAGTGAAAGAATCTTGGCATGGAAGAGAAGTATCCTCCAGTTGTAGTAATATTAGGAGAAGAAATAAATTTTAAAAAACAATGATATAACGACGTTGCATTAGCTTTGGTAAAGTATTTATTGAGTTTACTTTCAATGTTCAGTCTTCTTCTTGCCTAATCACCATGCTAAATCAACTGTGTGGTGAAAAGCATTCAACTATGCAATCCAGTTAAATAAATGAGATAGATTCACTCAGTCGGCATTTAACTATCCTTCTTTTCGAAGAGAAAAGAAGACAATCATAGCAGCCTAATAGCTCAATGCCTCTCTCCCTCCCACATTCAGGACCTAGAAGCTACACCAACGTAGAATCTCCAGACCTCCTGCATTACATTAATGCAGTCTACTGTGTATATAGTATATAGCTATATACCATATATTGTATATAGTATATTGTATGTTTTATATTGTTTATAGCTATAGATCCTGTATTCTGTAGATATATCTAATTTGTCTGCACCATCAACACCAAGCCAAATTCCTTGTAAGTGCAAATCTACTTGGCAATACATCTTTTGATATCAGTCTGGAGAAGAGTCCAGAAGGTTTCACAGCATCATTTTTATTCTGTAGCACACAAAAAGCATAAATAAAGAAAATATTAAATATCAGTTTGATTCCTAAAATTTGACTTTTTTTCAAGATGTTTAAACAACATGCAAACTGGTCAAGAGGCCATAAGCAACACACAAAGTGTAAAGATTAAAAAAAAAAAACCCTCAAACTTGTGTGTATTCAGCTTTGTGTTTCCCACAAAGCTAAAATCTTAAAAGAATCTCAATGAATTGAAGCAAGAATTCTAATTACTTATCGGATCAGATGAAGGGGGTCATAAACAGGAAATGTGCTAATGGATTGATTTCATGAACTTTTGTCAGGGAGACCAGCTAAATATTCTCAATTTAGAAAGACTTCTACAAAAGACAATTAGTTAGTGAAGAAAGAAAATGAGAAGGAAAGTATTAGTTTGAGGATACTGTGTTGGTGAACCTGTTTTTACAGTCCAGCGGATTCAGTTGAATTGCACAGGATGTCAAGTTGGACAACTGCTCCGAAGTACAGGTGCTGGTCATAAAATTAGAATATCATGAAAAAGTAGATTGATTTCAGTAATTCCATTTAAAAAGTGAAACTTGTATATTATATTCATACATTACATACAAACTCATATATTTCAGATGTTTATTTTGTTTAATTTTGATGATTACAAATGACAACAAATGAAAATCTCAAATTCATCATATCAGAAAATTAGAATATTACTGAAGACCAATAAAAACAAAGGATTTATAGAAATGTTGGCCAACTGAAAAGTATGAACATGAAAAGTATGAGCATGTACAGCACTCAGTATTTAGTTGGGCCTCCTTTGGCCTGTATTACTGCAGCAATGCGGCGTGGCATGGAGTCGATCAGTCTGTGGCACTGCTCAGGTGTTATGATAGCCCAGGTTGCTCTAATAGTGGCTTTTAGCTCTTCTGAATTGTTGGGTCTGGTGTATTGCATCTTCTTCTTCACAATACCCCATAGATTTTCTATGGGGTTAAGGTCAGGAGAGTTTGCTGGCCAATTAAGAACAGGGATACCATGGTCCTTCAACCAGGTACTGGTAGCTTTGGCACTGTGTGCAGGTGCCAAGTCCTGTTGGAAAATGAAATCTGCATCTCCAAAAAGTTGGTCAGCTGCAGGAAGCATGAAGTGCTCTAAAACTTCCTGGTATGTGGCTGCGTTGACCCTGGACCTCAGAAAACACAATGGACCAACACCAGCAGATGACATGGCACCCCAAACCATCACTGACTGTGGAAACTTTACACTGGACTTCAAGCAACGTGGATGAAGTGCCTCTCTTCTTTTCCTCCAGACTCTGGGACCTTGATTTCCAAAGGAAATGCAAAATTTACTTTCATCAGAGAACATGACTTTGGACCACTCACCAGCAGTCCAGTCCTGTTTCTCTTTAGCCCAGGCAAGACGCTTCTGACGCTGTCTGTGGTTCAAGAGTGGCTTGACACAAGGAATGCGACAGCAGAAACCCATGTCTTTCATACGTCTGTGTGTGGTGGTTCTTGAAGCACTCACTCCAGCTGCAGTCCACTCTTTGTGAATCTCCCCCACATTTTTGAATGGGTTTTGTTTCACAATCCTCTCCAGGGTGCGGTTATCTCTCTTGCTTGTACATTTTTTTCGACCACATCTTTTCCTTCCCTTCGCCTCTCTATTAATGTGCTTGGACACTGAGCTCTGTGAACAGCCAGCCTCTTTAGCGATGACCTTTTGTGTCTTGCCCTCCTTGTGCAAGGTGTCGATGGTCGTCTTTTGGACAACTGTCAAGTCAGCAGTCTTCCCCATGATTGTGTAGCCTATAGAACTAGACTGAAAGACCATTTAAAGGCTTTTGCAGGTGGTTTGAGTTAATTAGCTGATTAGAGTGTGGCACCAGGGGCCATCAATTTTTAACCTTTTCACAATATTCTAATTTTCTGATATGATGAATTTGAGATTTTCATTTGTTGTCATTTGTAATCATCAAAATTAAACAAAATAAACATCTGAAATATATGAGTTTGTATGTAATGTATGAATATAATATACAAGTTTCACTTTTTAAATGGAATTACTGAAATCAATCTACTTTTTCATGATATTCTAATTTTATGACCAGCACCTGTATTCATCAAGGTTTCATTTTTTCAAACCCCGGTATTTTAATAGGGGTGTGTAGACTTGAGAGCATCTGTAAATTATTTACTTCTTTATCAAATCAGTCTGGATTGCAGCGAGTTTTATGTCATCATAAACCTGAAAGTGTGAGCACACCTACTCTTGCTCTTGCATCACCTCTCTATCAGACCATATTTAGTCACACAGTATAAAAAAATTACTTTAAATTTACAATGTCTTAAAAGTCTATCTTTTCTTTTTCTATTTTTATTTCCTGGTCTTTGTTTCACCTGCCAAATAAACTTACCAAAGAAGTGAGCGCTCTCAGAGATGGAGAACTCATCGCTGGGTGGGATTTGCAGCGGTCCCACCACATTGATCTCGGGGCCCTCCCACTCATTCATTCAGAGGTGTTTTTGTGGTACCAACTTAAAAAAAATATGTATGTGTTGTGATATGTCTGTGTTTGCTCCTGCAAAAAAAAAAAAAAAAAAAGATATGCATGATTTTAGTAACTTGCTGCAGCTTAAAAAAAAACCCCCAAAACAATCAATAAACCACTGAAATCCCTGAAATAATGATGGTGTAATTAATCACATACACACCTGACAGGTCTGGTCTCCCACACAGAGATATGACGTCCAGTAGCTGTAAGCAGGAAGGAAAAGAATGAAGGACAGGTCATTGCAAGGCCTTATTAACAGCAAATCATAGAAGACAGACAGGCTAGTCTGTATTTTCACTTCTTATATCTTCTCTTTTCATCATGCATCAAAATCTTCAGCTGATGTGCAAGATCTCTGATGTCACTGCCTGTGTACTCGTTAAAGATCTTTATAGTTAGTTGGACTATAACAAATAAAACCCAGATGCATTTAAAGACAATCAAAAAGTTCTACAATATTCTCCTTTAGGAAGGTCACAAAATGGTCAAATTGGACATTATTGACAGCAAAGCCACATCGCTTTAATTAAGTCAGTGTAATTTCCCTTGAGATAAAAAAAGCAGCACACATGGATTCAGTAACCTTCACCCCACATAAAAGCTAAGCATACAGTGGCAGTTAATATAGGCATGAAAAAGGAAAGTGTGTTATCTGACCTGTTTTAAGCAGGAGAATACGAACAGAGAGGATGATCAAAGCAGCACAAAATAGAATCAAACAAAACAGATCCAAAAACAACAGATAATTCTGGGAAAAAGTTTTTTAACCTGTTGTAGTTTTATACTAGAAATCAGAGAATCTATAGGCTGCCTTAGAGCTGCACTTATTTACATGTCTCCTTTTAGTGTTTTGTTCTTTATCTTTTTTTTTTAATAACTGTTTCTATCTTTTGTGTGTGTGTTACAAATGGATTTTTATGTCGGACTCAGGAGACAGAAAAAAAGATCCTTACAGGAACAAAAAAACTATTAAGATAATGTTTTATGATGAACAAGATATCATACAAGATATCAGATAGCCAAAAGTAATAGATAAACATCATATATATTCCCCGGACGCCGCACAATGGCAGCCCACTGCTCCCCAAGGGGAGGGGTTAAATGCAGAGAAGTAATTTACCTCTGGGATTATTGAAGTATTAAAAAAAAATACAAAATAAAATCATCTCCAGCTCAAAAGAAATACAGGAATAAAACAGAAATCTTTCAAAGTTATGCACAAACTTTTAAAAATGTCAAACAAAAGAAAATTTAAATCTGGATGTGTTTCTATCGGTTGGAGCAAGTTAACCACCCAATTTAAAGCATTGAGATAATGTTATGGTTTCAAAATAAACATTTAGATTTAAACATAGCAAATGCTTTAATGTAGCAGACTTTTTCTTTCTAACATTTTAATGTATGTACTTTTCATTTTGTTAGTCATCCACCAATTAACCCGGAAACATCTGTCACAAAAATTGTACTACAAGCATCATTCTTCATATTTAGTAAGAACTCATTTATGTCAAACGATTAAATAAAAAAAAACAACCAGTTTCCTTTAATGTAATGAGAAGCATCTTCAAAAACCATAGTAACTGTAAAGCATGGCGGTGGAATCATAATCATTTGAGTTTGCTTAGAAGCCACGGGGCCCTGGACCTTGCAGTTATTAACAGCTCCTCTCTAAATAAAAATGTTCAGCAGTTAGTTTGATGTCATCCAACATATCAAGACTATCCAAAGCTGGATCACAGATAGTGGTCTTGTAAATAACTGCAAATCAATGGGAAGAAGTTGAAATAATTATAAATATTGTATTATATTATCCAACAATTATTGAATAATTGTTGCAATGGCCTAGCCAGAGCCCCGATCTCAAATGGAAGTGTTGTGCAGAGACCTACAGAGAACCCCTACAGAAATGGATGTCCACAAGCCTTTAATAACTTAATCAATGCTGTAAACGAGAACAGAACTAAATCTTTCCACTTCAGTACAAACAAATGAATCGATAATGTCACAAACAACCTAAGTTATTAAAGTTATAATTCTAGGAGCAAGTTCATAGGGTGTACTTAGTTTTACTCTTTCCTATAAACATATTGATCGTCATGGAAAGTGTTTCTCTTTTCGGTACAAACATCTCCAACCCTTTGCTCACCCCCTGTCTGACAGTTCTTACCTTCACCTGGTCGGCTGATGTGAAAAACTTTCCTCTGTCTTTATACACTTCCCGATTCCCACGTTGTGAGCTACTGGTCCATCAATATTTAGGAGTGAACATCAAGTTGAATGTGTCGGACCGCAGTGAGAGGATTTGCGACCAGTTGAGGTCAGAGGGAGAAATGGATGGTGGTTATTAATTAAACTGTCCATTCCTGTCCATGTCAACCCACTCCCCCCCTGTACTTTTTTATCAGAACACGACAACAGGCCACCCTATGAATTCCCACTCACACACACAAACATAACACACATCATTAGCGTGGCTCAAACAGCTGCTGGGATCACTAGCAGCCAAGATGATGTGCATTCCAGCATGTTTTACAAAATAGTTTGTGTTTTTTTTTTTTTTTTTCCATTTTTTTTTATTAATTTCTAATCATTTCGAAGAAATTCCTTCTGTTTATGGAAAATCTCCAAAGCTGAATGTGTGTCATACGTCCTTGAACTGATCCAAGCTGTTTCACCAATGTAAGGTGACAATCAATACCAGATTTGTTTGTTTTGGCACTGTCAAGGCTTTTACATACCTGCATTTTTTTGTCTTTTATATTCCAATTAGAAATAAACACAAATGTATGTATCTTTTTTACTTTATGTACTTAATTTACCCCTAAAAAGGGAGAGTTTAATCATTGATGTGCTGTTGCTTAATCTGAAGAGGCCCTTCTGAGTCAACAGACTGTCTCCCTGAAATAAACAGAACCTTTGCCATTGGCTGCTGTTTGTAGATGATCTGCTCTGGAGGAATTAAATAACAAAATATAAATGAAAATTTTTATTTATTTATATCTAAACAGTTTAATTTAAGGAAACTTACAGATCTTAGCTGTCATATCATGTTTTGCATCCTTTCGGCTGGTTTTTATCTCTGATCCCAGAGTGGTTGCATTGTTGTTACTGGAAAGTATTGCAGGGGACCGTTGCAGCACTACAAGGACAACCAGCAACAAAGTCCATAACCTTGAAATTTCTTATCACAAAGTGAAAGGGTGTAATCATCAAACTTTTTTAAAGCCAAATCACACAAAGCTCATGTGGGGGACTGTACAAGCTGAACTGTCTTAAACATCTGAGGCTAAAAGTAGAGATGAAGACTCCGTCCAGTCATTATAAGCCGGGCGCAGAAGGATAGATAACATTAAGGATGTTTATAGTGTGACTGGAAGCAGACGAGTGCTTAAGAATGTAACTATCTTTACATAAATAATTATTATCAAGTAAAGCATGTCTGGCTTAATTGCACATTTCATTCACCTGTCTAACTCTGCCCTGTTTCTCATTACTGCTCATCTGATCCACCTGCTCCTGTCTCTATTTAAGCTGCTCGCTCCTAGCTGTCAGTGCCAGATTATTCTTGAGCCTTTGGGGCAGAGAGTTTTCTAGAGTTTCTGATAGTGTTCTTATAGCCTGGTCCTGACCAGTTTTTGTATTTGGACCTTTGAGCCTTCCTGCACCAGTCTCATCTGCTTGCCTGACCTTTCTTTGGACTTGTTAGGTTTATTCTTTATACATCATGTGCATTGTTACTTTGTTAGCCAGATTAGACAGAGTAGAAGGCCTTCCTTCACATGGTGGAATTCACTGTGTGTACGGAGGCCATCTAATCAGGACAGCCTTTGTGTCTCTAATACACAGGATATGGGCACATCTTGGAGCGGGACTGATAAAGGAGAGCTATCTGTAATCCTGAGGTAAAGAGCCAAGATGCATAAAGGTCAAGTCATGGATGGCGTGTCAGTTTCTGATACGCACAGCTAAGCATCCACCTGATGCAAAACATGGACTCATGAGGTATCAGAAGGTGGAAATTACTTTGTTCGGGGCTCAATCTTTGCCGGACGCTTGCTGACGTTTTTTGAGCCACAGCTGTGCCGACTCCAAGCCATTTCTCTGTCCTGTAGCGACCTGACCTGGAATAAACGCTGTTACTTTTTTACTCCTGTTTTATAGTCCTTTTTAATATGGTTTTACCCAGTTTGAGTTAAGAGTAGTAAATAACTTGCTCCCAGGAAAAGAACCGGTAGGGAAGTTCCAAGGCGCAGTTGCCTGCATCTCATCAGCCGACTGACTTGAGTCATCTTTTTTCTCTGAGCATGGACTGAACTGTGAAACCAGGTTAGTGACTCACGTGTTTATAATCATCCTCTGTCAGATTATCATGGTCACTAACCTGTGTTTCTCTCCTGTAGAGGTTCCTGCCTTAGACGCCCTAGCCCCAGCCACTGCAGATCTGCAGAACCATTGTTTTTTTGTTTTTTTATAAGCGCTTTTGAAGTTATCCTGCTTTCTGTCTGGCCTGAATAATGGGCCCTCTCTTGTGAGTCATTACATTAAATTTCAACATTTGCTTCCAATCATAGACTGACTGACCGTTCATAGACAGACTCTGATTGTTTTTATTCTTTCACAGTAAATCTATCAGGTCAGTTCACATAAAATCTGACATATTTTTCAAATCATTATTGAATTTTTTTTATATGGTGGTATATAAAATGTTGTATAATGTTTGAAAAAGATTAGTTGGTATAGGCAACGCAGTCCTGAGATGGCTTTGCTCCTTTTTGTTTGGAAGAAATTTTTCATGTTCAACTTTTCTCTTCCTAGCCTCCCTATTAATTCTGGAGTCCCTCAAGCCTCTATCCAAGAGCCTCTACTTTTCTCCCTTTTACTGGTTCGCTTGGGGTCTTCTTTTTTGCAATAAGGTCCGATTTTAGAGATACACCTCAGAAGACACTAGACAGCAGCACTGCACTGATATTTTATTCAAATGTAAAACCGTTTAAAAAAAACACCTTAAGATTCTGACACCTGTAAAACAAAAAAATTAAAGATCAATCAGTTGGTTAACAAGTGTGTTTCCCAAAAACTATTAGTTTCCAAAGTCTTACTGAAGTTCAAATACAGAAGAATCTCAATGTTATCGAAACAGTTTAAGGGAGATCCTATTAACTGACTTCTAGCAGAGGTGGATAATCTGGGTATAATCCCTGCCTAATTTTCCTTTGCCATGTTAAATTAACAAGGTGATTAGCCCCCAGTTTGTGCTGTGGTGTTGAAAATGCAAATGGTTGGAACTGATCTCTGATTACTTTTTGGACCTTGATTATCCGCCAGTGTTTACTGTTTTTTTTTAGCAGGACATACGTGTGTACATTATCAGCAAAACAAGATAATTGTACTTTTGACGTCATAATGCCCTTATAAGGTTGGTTCATTCTATTCCTACTTCTAGTCGACTGCATGTTTTTAAATACTTGGATGAACAATTCTCCTCATTGTTGTCTGCAGCTGGTCCAAACACCCATCCGATGCCTGATAAAAGAAAATGTTAACTCTCTCAGCACTTGTTTTCAGGTTTTACTTTTTTTTCAAATGTTTACATTTTCAGACACCTCCTTAGTCTTAAGAAGTCTACATATAAACTTTTTTTTATTATTATTTTAGTAGACCATTGTGGTAACCGGCTCCTTTTAGATGTTTCAGTTACTCACTCTTGGAGTCAAGGAGAGGGAGCTTTTTCTGTTTCCGCCCCCAAACAATAATCTCTCACAAACAATAATCTATACTAACTGTAAAGATGGGAAGTCCTTTAAATGTCTTTTAAATCTCTTTTAAGAGCCATCTTATTAACTTGCCTTTTAGTTTCAGTTAAAAAATGAAAGGTTGGTTTTATTAATGGTTCCATTCCTTTATCTTTTTATTGATTACTTTTAACTGCCATTATTCTAATATCTTTAATATGTTATATTTTATTGCTTATTTTATGTTTTTATTTATTGTATTTTATGGCATGTAACGTACTTTGGTCATTGGGTGTGTAAAGTTCCCTATAAATAAAATTTAATTAGCTGATTGGAGCGACAATATTTTTTCTGAACACCTGGATCTCTGTTGTTCACCCTTACTTCAAAAGTCAGGAGAACTCCACATTGAATTTCTGAGGATTCTTCTGTTGAACTCTCTTTATAATACAAAGAGTAATGATGTTATAATCCTGTGTTCCTGATGTTATAAGCCTGAGGTTTTTTTTATGCTATTTTAAGGAATATTGATAATAATAATAACAATAATAAGAAACCTTACAATGAGAATAGACCTTTGCAGCACTTCGCTGCTTGTGCCTAATAATGTGGGGGTTCATCTGAATTCTTCTGTTAGGGTATCTGGGGTTTTGCTGTTTTTCTGATGTGAGTGAGCCTCCTGTTACAGAGAGGATCTTTCCTGGTGGCTGGACTGACCTATGTTGCTGAACACCTGAGAACATTTCTCAATCAAGATGATTAGGATGTTTATAAGGAGGTGTCTAATGTTTCCAGTAAGGTTCGTGTGTGTTCTTTTCCAGTAATGACCTGGCCCTTCGTTACAGAGGTGAAGGATAATCTCTCTTTGATATGATTACTCCTGATGGTATTCTGGCCAAAGCCAAAATATCCTGTTTGTTGAAATTTGTCTTCTTGTGAATATCTTTTAATGTGGGCTCTTATTGTTTTTCAGAGAACACCCAATCTCAGTCCATCTACGACCATCATGGAAAAGGTCTCATCTGCTTGCAGCAGTTCTCAGTCTTCATTACCTGCCTGCCTGCTCTCCAGCACGTCTCTTGCAAGTACCAGGTATCTCGGGATCTCACTAACATTCTCCTGGACCTCTGGGCTACAGTCTGCAAACCCCTACAGATCCATGCTAACTTCCCTTCATCTCTCAAATCAACCAGAAAGTTCAACTGACTCCCTGCTTCCAGATTCTTGTTGCTTTTTGTAAATAAAACACAAAAATAATATCCATACTGTATGTCTAAATGTTAGAGAAGGACCATTATTGTTATAGGGTGTCCTAGTTTTTAGATAGGTCTTAAATATTCCATCTGTGTACTACAATATGTTATTTTAAATGTGCATGAAACATGTTTAATGTTTTTCCTTCATTCACTGATTTAACTTCTTTCTTTTTCTATCTTCCCACTGTACATGCACTTCATTGGTTTATGTTACACTGCCAATAGTTACCCTGTGATCCATTGTTTGACTTTCTAAAGAAAAACATAGTTTAGGTATTACTTCTGGGCTTTATAAACATCTTGAAAATGTTGGATTTTAACTCTGTGGTTGCACAGGGGTGTCAAAACAACGTATGGTTGCATCATAATAAAGCAGAAACAATGAACCTTTGGAATATGCACTGTAAAAAGTCTAATAGCTTTCCAGACTTACTATATATGAGTTAATTTTACTAAGTTTGCATGCTTTTTAATGTAAAGTTAACTAATTGGACTTTACAGTGTAGTTATAGTAGTGCACTCTACATAAAAACACACTAGTTTGCACATTTTAAAATTCCTAGTTTACTGAACTTATCTTTAAATTCAACCCGTTTGCTTTTTTTTAAAGTAATGATTACATTTCTGAATAAATGTGGCTTTTTCCCCCCTCCAAATTATCTTCCTGAGGATTAAGATGTTGAAATTAAAAATTCTGCAGGTCATTTTTGTGATTTTAAACTGAACAAAAATTATTTGCAGGTTAACTATGGATTCCCTTCCCATTTCACTAATCAAACAATTACTAAACATTTCAATCTTTTTTTAGGTATCCATGAGTTCACAAAGAAAAAAAAAAGTTAATAATTCACATTAATATCTCTCAGTAATCTAGAACCTTAAAGCATTTTTATTCGATAAACAATCTCAATAATTTACAACAATGCCATTTTTACACAGAATGAAATGTGCAAATCCAATCTAAAAAGGTAACATTTACAGCACAATGTCTTCTACGGTGACAGTGAGAATATTTGTGAACTGTACATTGTTTTTAAATACATCCCTGTGTCGAAATCATTTTCTATTATTACACAGGGGAGCTTAGAGCTCAGTAAATAAAGCTGTTTTAAAGAGGATTCCCAAGCAAATAATAAGAAAAGAAAAGTAAAGCAGTGACATGTTGCAACTTTTCACCAACAACACATATATACTGGAAAGCATATAAAGACAACATCAACACTGATCTACTGAAGTCTCATCATTGCATCTTCAGTTTTTTGGGTTTTTTTCCGATGTTGCATAGCTGACACAAAACATCTCATGAACTGTTTTCATGGACTGATATAAAATACAATCAGCACAACCTGCAAGAAACAAGAGATTGGTTTGGAATTTGATATGTGTTTCTAAGGTATAGTCAGAGTGGCGCTGGTTACAGTAGTTTCCACTGTACATAACATAAAATCTGGTCATTATGTTGTTTTTTTTGTTTTTTTGTGGCCAATACATTCGATTTTATAAAGTGTCTCTCTATAGCAAAATAATGTCCATTGTTAGCACTCTTTTATTTATTTGTTTATTTTAAAATATCATGGGTAACCAAAGAAACTGTGCAAAACTGAGTCTTCATTTCTTTTCTACAGTATATTTTGCTTCCAAGGAGCTGGCTCGGGAAACGAGCACACTTTGCAACTGATGTCGGAATGGGCTAATGAATGCACCAGTATAATATCATGTAGTTTTCCTGCTGGAAACAAGTTTCTGACTTTTATCGTTGAACTGATTTTTTCTTATTTTTTAAGGACTTTGCTCTCTATAGAAGCCTTTCTAGTTCCCACTAACCCGCTGGTGCTGCAACGTGACGGAGAGCCCACCTCTGTCATCAGACAGAGATAGGAATCAAATTAACTTTTGAAGGATGACAGCAGAGCTAGATTTTTAAAGACCTGATAAGTCAGATGAGAAGTCAGACGCTGGAGGTGTAAAGCCAATGCGGAAACTGTTTTGCAGGATAGTATACTGCACCCATCCAGAGTGTATTGCTGCTCTGGATGCCTGTACCATTTTTATAATTTGCAGTTGATAATAGAACAGACATTGAAGCTAGTTTGTGTAAAGAGGGTCCACCAGAAAATTAAGGAATTACAATACTATGCTCAGAGCTGCATCATTTTATGTTTTCATTAGCTGATTAACTTTTTTTTTTTTTAAATCAACAATATGACTTATTTTTTCATGTCTTTTTATTTAGTTTTTTATTCTGTTTATTCCTAGGTTTGAAAAACAGAGCTATTTTTTTGGTAATATCAACAACGCCCAATGATGAATGCGTCTTCTGATTCATTCAATGAAGAGGAATATTTGTGGTGCTGATCACACATCAGAGCTAATCAGGTGAAAATGGTCTGATTTAGAGTTCTAGCTAACAGATTAGCACATCTGCTATGAAAAAAATATTCACAATAAATCAGAGGAACAAAGCTTATTCTAAGGCTGGTTTATCTATAGATTTCATTTCCTACACATCAAAATGGTTTGCAAGTAGATCAGCTAATGATAACCTCTTGACCTACATATAAACTAAACATTAGACCCCCCCCCTCGCCTCCTCTCTGACTACTAAAGGTCTTTATGTTTGCGATGGGCTTAGTTAAAAATCGGCCCCGAACCAAATTCTGATAAGGACATCAGACATCCTTGGGTGAGCCCTAGAGCCAAACCTTTTCCAATCTTCTTCAAGGTATAAATACTTTTTTAAATGCACTCAAACATTATTTTTCTTATTTACTAGTAAAAAACTGCAAAATTGTAGGGACTGATCTGGCCACCTTTATTTCTTACTTTGTAATTTTGATTGTTTCATAGCTGAAATTAAGAACATTTTCTACTTGCTTCAAAAAACAATTCCTTAGTAATTAATTCATTTTCTCCATTTACCTCAGTTCAAATTGGAAAAAAAGATTTGACACCTATGAACGAATCTGCCAGAAGGATGTTGATCAGGGTTATTTTGCATTATTGCAAGAAACTAACACATTACAAATCAGAGTAAATGTTTTTGTTTACTATAAAGATAATTTAAGTGATGTGCAATGGCTAAGTTTACCTTTTTTTTTTGTTCCACTAAGTTAACTTAGGAAGGAGCCAAATAATAAAAGCATGCTTGTTAAATTTACCTTTCTGCACAAAAGAAATATTGAAGGTAAACCATCTGACATACATAATCCATTGTTAATAAAAATATTTTCCCCAAAAGCTTCTGGCTGAACATGAGACCTTAAATTTTCTGTTTGCCTTTTTTACATGCTATTTTATTTTGCTGTGTATTATTTTATTGTTTAATCCGTCTTTCATATATAACAGTTCTAATTAATTTTTTATAATCCATTTTCTGGTTTGTCTTTTAAGTTCTGTTCAATGTTGTTTTTATACTACTGCTTTTGAAACAATGCAGTTTCCCAAGATGTGACAAATATTTCCTGATCTAATCTGTTAAAGATGAGGCTTTTAGGACAAAAACGCCTTGTGTTCTTTTCTTTCATAAGACAGAATATATTGTTCAGAACAAAGAGAAACATGTGGAAAATTAGCCAACCCCTCAAGGAGAAAACCTGGAGAATTACTGATCATGACAATGGTAGCATACACTGGAAATAAGTAAAAATTTCTTAAGTGCATTTACCTTTTTTTCCAGTGTGTTATGGTGTCAGGATTGTGCCAAAAGTCCACACATGCTATAAATACTCCTTCAAGCAGTTTTACCTCATACAGATGCTTATTAACTCTTCATTACGTGCATGCTTAGCATGTTACATGTTTAAATAGGGTGACCAAACGTCCGTATTTCCCAGGACATGTTCGTATTTCATGTCCTGTCCCGGGCGTCCCGGTTTTTTTTTTAGAAAGTGAGGAAATGTCCTGTTTTTTTTAAATTACCTTCATTGGACCATTAAATTTACAGACGCTAGGGCACTGCGACGACGCTGCGTGTGACGTCACCCCTGAGCCGCGCCAGTGCGGGCAGCCCTGTTCTTAATCAGAATATAGATAGCGTGGCTGTCAGTACGCCAACAACATGCAAAGGCACAAATGTATGTTTACCGACGATTTACAAAAGAGTTTCCCCGCTTTCAGACCGGGTCGAGACAAATGGGAGGCCTTGTGCACAGTGTGCAAAGCAGGCACATATGTCTTGGTGTCCAATGGAGGTGCAAGGGATCTGAAAAGCCACCTGAACTCCGAAAGTCAAGATATTCTATTGATATGTTTGTTCGTTTTTGTTACATTTTGAGTTATTTTTGCTACAAAAGAGGTATTTTTTGTTAATTAGCTCATTTGTTTATTTTTTCCAATAACCTACAGAACAAACATTATTTCGTTCATTGCTGAGGCTCAGTATCATCATATTGGGAGTTGAGAGTTATTGTTAACTTTTATTGTTAAGTGAGGGATGTTTAGATGAGACATTATTTCTTTCATTGTGCTATTCATTCATTACAGGAATTGTTAAGCATTTTTAATAAATACATTTTGAATAAAATGATCATTTGTTATTGGAGTTATTGCTGTTGACTTTTACTGAAAAGCATTTTTAATATATCAACTGTTAATATCATGTTATTGTAGGATTACCTAGGCCTATGCATGGGAACAGAGATCCCCCGCTGCCGCCCCTGCTACCCCCCCCCCCCCCCCCCCCCCCCCCCCGCTCCAAGGTGTACCACAGGTTCCACAGAGAAGGGTAAATCCTTCTCTGTGCGCGTGTGCTGTGATTTTCACACACATGCAGCCTCTGTACAGGTGTGGTTTGATATTCACATGAGGACAGCCTCCCTCATCCTGGTGTGTAGACCTGTTTCCTGTCAACTTTTCTCACTTTGAACGCATTACTCACCGGTAAAAGCAACCCGGCTCTGATTGGCTACTTTTGAAGTTGTATTTTTCTTCCTACTAGTAAAGCTACTTCAGTCTGACTGCTTCTCTTCAAGAGTTAGAAGTTGGTAAGCAAAGTCTTTATTATATATAACATGGTCGGTTTAAATACTGGATACTGACTGGCTGAAGGGTGTCCATTAAAAAGGGTTATAAGACATCTAGAAAAAAAAGTTCCATCACAATTCAAGGTGTGGGATTTCATGAAAAGTAGCCAAATATAATATTTTTTACTATTTTAAATGTAAATTGTCTTGTTCCATTGGCAAACTGCCTCAATTACCTCCTCAATTCAAGAAAAAATGCACTTATTATAAGAAAAAATTACTTATTTAAATTGACTTATATTGCAGTGTAATGCCTTCAAAGTCGTTCAAAGTTCAAAGCATGTCAGAAGTTGACATGAGTGAAGAGAAACAGGTCCACACGTGAGAAGGAGAGAGGCTGGGCGTGCGAGGAAATTAAACCACACATGCATAGACAAGGAACAAGCACTCATGTAATGTGATATATTGGGATCCTGTGGGACTCTATCTGCGCATGTAACATGTTAAACATGCATGTTAGGAGCAGTTTATGAGCTTCTGTATGAAGTATAACTGCTCATAGGAGTATTTATTACGTGTGTTGAGTTTGGGCAGAATAGAAAATTACAAGAACACCTGGCTCCCTGGAAACAAAATATGCAGAATTAAAGATGGTTTGAAACTTTTGCACAATATTCTAGATTCTTCGGACAAAGCTGAAAAGGGTTTCCTTGAGATGCTGATGATGCTGCAGCTTCTGTTGTATCCAGAAAGTAAAATCTGAGTTTATCAAAGTGTTCTGGGAATCCTTTAAATTCAATCAATGTGTTGTCTCACTGGTATCCATCCTGGTAATCTCCATTACTAAAGTGTTCTTCCTCGCCCTTCATCGTTACCCCTCTCTGCTTTTTCCAGCCCTGCTTCTGACCATACGAATTGTCCGTTGTCCCGTAGCTCTTTTTGGAAGCCAAGGCACAGTCATTGGTTAACTCTGACTCCTCAGCCAGCTCGTCCTCATCGATGATGCCACATTTATCCTCGCTCAGGCTCTCAGGGTTGGCCCAGTCCTGCTGCTCCCCTGATGCAAAGATAGCATAGAAGATGACTCCTGTGTAATGCACCATGGCAGCGATGACAAAGACATTCTGCCACTCCAAGCGAGTCTGTGGGAGAATGGAGAAGGCAAGTTTAATGATCCTTCAGTGATGAAACATTGAGGTTAAACTTTTGGGGGGGTAGTGGGAGTGAGGTCCTGTGTGCAATATTACTGAAACACTTCATGTAACTATTACAAAAGTACCAAAGGCATCGATATCTTGTCAATATTTTGGAAAACAGATTATTATAGGCTCCAACAGAAGAATTAGTTCCAAATATTGTCTAAATCATGTGTATTTATTTGAAACAATCTCAAAACAAAAAGAGTTGCCATTTAATGTCTGAATTTAATAACTGAATAATGTATTAAATCTACTACACAACTAAATGTTTTAAAGTGGACTTTTTTCATTTTCTAAATCTACTGCCTGTTTTGGATGTACATATTAGAATACCATTTTCCTCTAATAAAGGGATGCTGATTTTATTATATTATAAATAATAACAATTTTAAAAATAATTTTAAATAATTTTAAATTTCAAATCATTTTAAACAAAGTTTGTCTAAGTCTGTCTAAGAAGAAGTCTGTAAGGGAGAGAATACTTTTTACAGAACTGTTTATCTAAAAGTTTTCTTACCTTGTGTTTAGTCAAGGCTCCTACGATTAGGGGGCACACCATGCCAGATAACGTCCCGACTCCATTGGAAATACCCATCAGAATACTGGCATAGCGAGGAGCAATATCCAAATGATTGACATTAAAACCTGAAAGCACAGTGTGCACATAGCGTAGATTAATCAAATGTTAACACTGCTTAGATTCACAGACACATTTGCATGTTTTGGTGTCAAAGCAAACAGGCTACAGTACAGTAAAAGTGACATAAATGGGCAACACTTTACAAGAAGCTGCAAAAAGAAGAATTAAACTCTGCACTAGTGAGGTCACAGTTGGATTATAGAAAGACATTAGCAAATTTATATTTTTGTACAGCTGTCATCTTTCCTGAGTAAAAAAAACATTGCTTGGCTATTAATTTGTTAGCTTCATGTAGTGAAGCAACCAACCAGGTAGTTATTGAAGAAACTATCATTATTTAGCAGTAGCTGATCACGACCAACTGTTTTGTGTCCCATAAAGTGAAACTTCATCTTAAATACTAGAAAATAATTGTTCAATACATCAGAAATAATCTTTTCAACAAAATCCTGCATCACTTGTGCATTTTCAACCCTTTCAAATTTTTGTTTTTATATAGTCAAGTTTGAAGTCTCTAAACCTGAAATGGCAAATCCACTGAAGCCCACCGCCAACACAAGGAAGGAAATGGCGACTCCTCGAGTGTGAGAAAAACCGACCACTAACAGAAGAGTGGCCTCCATTCCAAACCCTGAGATGAAATACAAAAATTAGAGTAATGCATTAACAAAGTTTCAAACTTAACAGTAACTATAAGAAATAATTTCTGACGTATTCTATGATTATTTAGAAGGAATTCTTCAAAGCTACTCCTCACAGTTATAAATCAAAATGAGAACTTTTCTGTGCATTCGTTGAATTTTTATACGATCTTCACTGTTTTCTAAAGCAACCTGAGAAATGGTAACACTAGCCTACCTCCACAGTTCATGAGTTTCCTCACATTTGTTGTTGACATAATTTTTTTACTCCGTAGGAAATCTGCAAGCTGTCCACCGATCGGGACGATAATCGTCATCACCATGTGGGGGACAGCAGACAGGATCCCCACCTGCAAGGGTTAAAACACATGAAATAACTAATATGCAGGTTGGTAGAATGTGATGTTAATAGATTAAAAATATCTAAAAACTAATAAGCTATTTATTTTTCAGGGTTTGACAATACTTTGGGCTCAGACTGATGCATTTTATCTGCTATTACTTGTCATCTATACATCTATATATGTATATGTATATACATCTATATATGAACATAGTTTCTGTACACATTTGAATAAATATTGATATCCTGCATATTGCTTCTGGATAGATGCAAACTGCATTTCATTGCTTTGTACTTGTGACAGTGTAATGACAATAAAGTTGAATTCTATTCTATTCTATTCAATACATTCCTTCATTCTAAAAAAGAACCAGTTCATAAACACCAGGAACATTTGTCAAAATAAAGGCAGCATCAGATGATAAAAAAAAAAACATACAAACATCTAACAGCTGATTAGGATCATTCACAATTATTTACGACACAAATAAAAGCGAAATAATTAAGACATAAAATGTGATCAACAAATAGAATTCCATCTTTTACAGCACATATTGTAAAATAACAGTGGCAACATGGGCTAAAAGGTAACTCAGAGACAAAGACAGATTACAGTTTGCAAATTCAGTCGGGGAAAAGGCCTTTCTGATTCTTTCCCAAGGCATAAAACTAAATTTTTTAGGCCAAATTGTTATTTTTAGTGTGAAGGATTTTTACCTTTTTTAGTTATTAAAAAAATCCAGATAATAGTTTTTTAAAGTTCCCTACTGATTGCTTTTTAAATAACAGGATCATGTTGCAATCAAGAGATTCTCAGCAGACTCTGGGTCAGAATTTAGTAGTTGTGTCAAATGCTTTATTTTTAGTGAATCTGTATTATGAATTTGTATGAATCTGTCAGATAGAAGTAGTGGATAGATGTTTCAAAGCAGAAACTTCCATCTGCTCCTTCTTTCTTGGTAAAGCAGTTAGTTAAACCAAACAATAGACTTTAAAAACCCGAGAGAGGAACAAACATGTCAGTAGTTTGCATCGGACTGGAAGGCTCTCCATGTGCTTACCAAGAGCATTTAACTTCAAGCCTCCAGAACCCATGAAAAAAGAAAATGGAGCATTCAGGAGCATCACTGAGCCACCATCATGCTTTGCTGTTGGTGTGACTTTTTTTTTTAATGTTTGTTTTAAAGGTCATCCTATCAGCATACCCATACAATATGAATATTGTTTATAATTTTACCGAACAGAACCTCTGTTGAGTGAATTGGAGCTGACTTTCCTTTTGCGTTAAAGCAAAGACACCTTTGGCTTTTACACGTCTTACTGTGGCAACTGAAGCTTGCCTGTCTGTTGCCTTGATTTAGGCAATTTAAAGTCATTCTTCTTTTTTGTTTGTTTGTTATTTGGACAACCTGTCCCCTTGGGAGGGATGACTGCAGTTGATAGCTTCCTCTTTCTATTTCTACTGCATCTCTATGAGTATCAAAGTACGTAGCTATCTTTTTGTAACCTTCTTCTAATTTTTCTCTGAGTTTTAAAAATAATTTTCCTGACTCAACCATATTTCTTGCAGTTAATTGAACTTAAACGTTAACATAACACACTTTTGAGGTCCTTTATCTCTGACAAACTTCATTCAACTGACCAACGACATGTGATTTGCATTGATGTGCCCTTATAACTTGCTGGTCAGCAGGTTAGATATTTCTGGACTATGGTAATTTTTTCCCCATATATCTTTCTTGAAAAAGGGTTTAAATCTTTTTGATTTAATTGTCAAGCAACATTTTGTCTCTCAAAACTGCAGAGGGATGAAGAGTTTCTCTATGAGGCTAACCTTGCTGATGGGGAAGCCAAACACTTCCTCAAAGTACGCCGGCTGGCTGATAAGGAGCAGGTAGAAGGTCCAGCTGCGGCAGAAGTTTGCCACAATGATAGCATAGACCGGCATGGAGGTAAAAAAACGACGCCATGGAGTCTTGAATTTCTGTTGGAGGGCAGACCAGTGTGTTAGTGTGTATTTAAGAGAAAGCAGCCTGTAGTTTGTGAAATATGCAGACCTCTGTAACACTCAGCTGGTTGACTGTTTCCCCGATTGCAGACTCGATGTACAGTCTCTCTTCCTCTGTGATTGTGGGATGTTGAGCAGGACTCCCATAGGCCAGCAGGAGCCATAGGATATACCACAGGATCCCAAATACCCCTTCATAGGACGAATAAAGAGTAGAAAACACGTTTAAATTTACTGTAGCCATATGTGCCACAAAGCCCCTTCCTAAAACTGTGAATGTGTGAGTGTAGGACAAATTAATAAAAGCAGGCACAGACCCTTGTGATGTGAATTTCCGTTATTAAAAACAGTCCCAGCATGAGTCACAGTCGTAGGACAGGAAAATGCTAATTTACATCAATAAATCATAAGATTGTATCGCGGTAAAATCAGAGTGGATTTTTATTAAAACACTTTGACCAAGGAACGAATTTCATGTGATTGTTAATCATTTTAATCAGAGCTAGAAGCGTTTTAGATAAAACATCGGTGCAAAAGCATACAGAGGACAACTGGCAGGGATCAAGGTGTTACACACAGATTATGGAAAGGAATTTCGATGAAACTAAACCTGATATGTTTTCCTTCAACTAAACAGACCTCTTGTATTTGCTAATGAGGTCGTAAAAATTATCATCAAAACAATGCACTGCCCTGATAATGAGACGGGTATAGACTTTGGCTTTATTACCTAAATAGAAGTGATAAAGGGGCCAGAAAAAAGGAGCTGGACTGTGCAGATGAGCACTTTCAGCATATGAAACTGAACTTTGATTTGCTTTGTAAATAGGATCCTTTTATATGTGCAATTGACAGATTGGTCTAAATGAACTATATGTATTTAAACATTAAACAGAAGGTAGAACCAAGATTTATTAATTGCTGTCTTTTATTCATTTTTGGGGATTTTTTACGAGCTCTGCACAGCTAAAGAAATAGATTTCTTTTCAACTGTTATTACATAAATAGCTTAACCCCAGTCAATGCAGATGTAGAGCATCTGCAGAGCATGAATTGTAAGTCTGGTTGCATTAGAGTAATTATACAGACACTTTTTCAGTTTTACCATGACTTTAATTTGTAAGCTAATTGTTGTGACTTTAGGTTTTCTGTTATTGTGCCTCACCGTAGATATAGAAGACTGATGGCCAGCCGACGTACTGAACCAGGACTCCTGCTAAAGGCATAGCGATCACTGCTCCAGCGTAGGATCCTGGTAAAATCAAAAATCACTGTCAGTCACTAAATCCCATATATATATATATATCAGAATATTTATATATCATATATATATTAAAAAGTCATAATAAAAGAGTTTTTTTTCAGTTATTTTTCTTTCGATGTGATTAAATTAGGAAAAAAATCGGCAAAAGCATTCTCTATATGACATCAACGCTTAGGAGTTAAAATGGGCCTTTACAACTATAAAAAAATCAAAGAAATACATTAGAGTCATTGAGCAAACACTGCCAAAGTGAGCCATTAGCCCCACCATTACTTATCCTGTTTTCTACCTTCAAGAGCAGCGCTGATTTCAATAGAGCAGAGAACACTGAAAGGGCTTTTGGACAGTAAGCAATGCGAGACTTCATTTAGCTGAATGCACAGATACACTCCTTTAGGTTACACAGGTGAGCTGCATTCATTAACAGACAGTGTCAAAAGGGTTTTGATGTAAGGGTTGCCGTGGTACCAGCATCTGTAAAGCAAAGCAAGCTTGCTCTTGTCTTTTTGCTTACTTTCCTCCCTTAGACTTGAGGTTTTTTGAAAGATGTGTCGATCAGTAACAAAGCTGCTGTTTGTTCAGTGAAAGACTGGAGAGACGTGACTCACCGCAGAATGATGTGGTCGCCAGTCGACTACGTTCAAGAGGTGGCGCCCACTTGGACCACATCCCGTGACATGCTGGGTAGGTGACCCCCTAAAAGGTACAAGGTGCAGGATGACAAAGCTCAAAGACTGACTCTAGGAGAAACCTGGAATACAAAGCAGTCAGGCTTTAAAGGGCAGACATTTTAGGGAAGGTAGAAATATTTGATGCATTTGTTCTTGGATTGAGGAGATAAAAGACACATTTTGCTAATGGAAAAAGACAATTTACATTCAAAATAAGAAAACACAATTGCATTGTCTTATTTCAAATGCATGTTATCTAATTATCTTATTTTAAGAGTAAAAATGTTCATTCATCTCATTTGCCTACTCAAATTAAGGATAAATACACTTAATTTAAGACATTTTTACTTATTTCTAGATAATTTTTTCAAGTGCAGCAGGTAATTTGATCATATAGATTCCCTGATGATTACCAATGAACAGTTTGTATAAGGGGTCAAATAAAATACAAAATGAAGAATAAAACATGTTTTTTTATGTGCCTGCCTTACTCAGAAATTTTCATTGCCCAGATTCCCTTTCTTCAACACTTATTAAGCCATTGGTGTATTTATATCAACAGATGATAACCTGAGAGCATGTCTCAAATTGGATTATAGCAGAAACTGCAAAGATCAAGATCTGGAAAGAATGCAAACCTAATGTATCTGTAAAATGTAAAACCATTAGAATTGGCTTCCTAGTATGGTGTATTTCTGATACCACAGGGAAAATGCTTGCAGAAATATTTTTTATTGTTGTTGTTGTTACCTCTTTATTAGAACGACATAATGGATATGAAAGTGTGGGATAAAATTAAAGATTTCCAGTTCTGGAATTCAAGGATCTGTCTGATGTTTACAAAATGGGAATCAAAAAGTCCTAATTCTGAGTACAAGACAAATAGAATGTAACTGCTTGGGGATTTTCACTTTAATAAACAATAGAAATGGAAAAGATCCCCTCTAAAAATGAGCAAACTGCCTGAAAACTAATATTTTGATGTGGAAAACAAAGGCTCTGCTTTAAGCCTCCTACAGTGATTTAGCTCTTCGTATCTCTAAATCTCTGAAGTTTATTTAGGCTTTTTTGTTTACTGGGATCTCAATGTTCAGTTCATAATGCATATCTTATAACTTTACTGTATGTGAGCGATGTGACTGTAAGTGGGCGTACAACTTCACAGCTTAGCTTTTAGGCTCAGCCGTTTAATTCCTCAAGATGTCGGCATTCCTTTAGATGAAACCCCAATCTGTCTTTCTATCTCTCATTCAGTCCTTTTATCACTTATGATCTAAACACCAATACGTATACAATATTGCTGAAGGTTTCCTGAATTGCTTTCCACTGGCATTTTAGGCTTCACCTTTTTTAAAGGTTGCATGGTGATCCTAAAATGCTTTCTCCACAGCACACCAGTATCAGTCTGAGCCCTTAGATCTACCTCTATAGCTCTGGACAATCGATCTTTCCCATTTCTGAGTTGCCGAACAGTTTTTTTTTTACTTCCTTGATGGCAATTGAGCATCTCTCTCCACACACATTCTTCAAAATCCGTTCTTGTCCGTATTTTTGCTGAAGCAAACAAAGAAGCTTCAGTCCTCCTGGTGAGCCAGTGCCTGTCACCTAGAGATATATTCACTTCCCCCCCGTGTCAGGCTGACATAAAGATGTACATCCCAACCTGTACATCTCCTGTTCCATCCTACCATCTCTTGGTGCCTTTTACCATAAAGACAGACAGCAATAACCTTCAGGCAACAGTTCCTTGAAGCCAAATCTGGTCCTGTACATGACCTTTTCAGATGTCAGGTTCCCAAGGTAACCTGATATGATGTAACATAAACAGGAAAACACTGCTGTGGCTAAATTTAAGAAGGTCTTTCTTCCCAATCACACATCTCCAGGCTTCACAGTTGTTGCAAGCACAGGCATTTAAATCTCCAGGAGCCCCACAGACAGAAGCCCTAGTTGGCACCCCTTCCAGGACATTTAGAAACTCCAAGAAGGCTGGGTAATCTGTTATTTGCTGTTGGACAGTCATCTGATGTTGGTTCACTGTGTTTTTATTATGTCGAAGGTCAGCACAGCCATCTACCATCTAAGAAGCACTTCTTGCTTCCCTCTACTGGCAAGCTTTATGAAGGTAGTTTTTTGCAGGAAGTGCTACCCATCCACACTACCAAACGTACCAATACATGGTTCCCTGAACATGGTATCAGTGTGCTTAAATGTCTCGCTAAGTGGCCAAAATAAAAACCCATGACTTTATCAGGGGGGGACAAGAATCTAGATGAGCTCAAGGATGTTGTTAAAGCAACCTGGGCTTCTCAGACATTTGAAAAATCTTGTCAAAGTTTTAAAATAAATAAATAGTCCCAAAGCTCAGTCATTTAGGAGTCTAAATCTGACCACACTCTAGCAGCTTAAGAAAAACACTTCAGAAAACTCATGAATTTGGCCGAATTGTGTTTAATCTCCAAGCTGGTCGCTATTTATTCCTTCAAGGGTGTTATAAATTATTTAGGAGAAACAAAATCCATATGCCACTGTTGATATTGATTGTAGGACAGTGGATTGTATTAATTTAATGATGTTATTGATATTCTCTTGTGCTTTTTGTAACTAGCTGTTCAACTGTCTTGTCAGGACATTCTTGTCAAGGAGTGAAAAAATGTTACACTGACAAATCTCATTCTCTTTTGTTTGGATCCCAACCCTTAGAACGCACCTCAATTCGCTAATTTCCTTATCTATTCAGTGAGTGTTTTTTTTTCTTACCTCTACTAACCCCTGTAAGATGCGTACAAACAGGACACAGCCATAATGCACCCTCGCAGCTGATGGGATGAACATGTTCAGCAGTGATGTGAGAAAAATGGCAGCCCCAAATACCCTGTGAAAAAAATACAAGAGTTTACATTAAATCTGTGGAGCAAGACTCCACCTGAACAGCTTAAGTTATTCAAATTTCTGAACCTCTGCCTTACAAATAACATAAAGCCGTGGAATTCAATAGGAGACTAAAGCTAAACAGCTAAGCCCTACTGTGAACTAAGCTAATGGATTAATGGCCAGTTTAATGTGGTAGATCTAACTTTTCAAGTCAAGACCCCTCTTGGAACATCATTTTCGAGGAACCCCTTAAAAAAAATAGGGTATTGGGTATTGTTTTATTTCAAGAAAAAGAATAAAGCAAATCATTATCTTTATAATACCAATATTCACTTAAATTTATTCTTATTTCATGTGTCAGAAAATTATATAAAAAAAAAAAAACAGATATATGAAACTTCATCTGTAAATATTATGATCCATAAAAAAATATCATGATCATAAGTATTATCATAATAAATTTGGTTGCAGTTTTATTTCAAAGCAGAAGCCTGTACCATACAGAAGGATTACTGGGTGAGCGAGACAACTTCAGGTTTAACCCTGACTTTCCGGTACCACAGAGCCGGATTCATTCTGGACAAGCCGGACAATCCATGGTGAGCACAGAAGTCCAACAACAGAACACCACTCGAGTTAAGGTCAGGTGGGCCATTCCTAACAACCACGCCTTGCCAGGACTCACTGTGATTGCCCATGTGAGCGTTGAAGTCCCCCAGAAGAACAAGGGACTTACATGTTAATAAGGAATGGGGAAGTGAGACGTGACATATACCATAAAGCACGGCACATCTGTAATTGTTTTTTTGTGGCAGGTTTATTGCCGACCTCCTCAAAATTGCTTAGTGTCGGTATAAGAGACAGAGACCCCCTCTGAAAATGACACTGGTGTCATTCAACTTGTTGAAAGTTGACATACATTCATAACACCAAACAAAAAACACTAAAAGTATCCCTTCAAATTTCTCTTTGTTTAGTCCAAAAAGGTAAACTGCTACTTTTTTCTTGATAAAGACCAGAAGCTGGTATAGCACTCAAAAAGTGTCTGAGTGGCACTGTCTTACGGTAACTTAAATTCACCTGGGCAAAAGTAAAAAGTAGCCACCCAAGAACTTACTCATGTAAGAGAAAATAGGTATTTTATTAAATGAATACTATCTATCTACTATCTAGTGAGCACTACTAAATTATTTTGAGCGGTAAACCAGATGCTATGATGAGTTACACAGGACGAAATATAAAGTTATGTGAAAATCTGATGTTTTAACATTTTACATAAATAAAGAAGATAATGGCAAAATAACAAATATAGGCAGAAGAAAATCTTTCTTTATTTAAAATGAAACAAATATGTAATGTACACTTACACTATAGATAAAATTCCTGAGAAGAAAATAAAACAATAGCATTAAAGTAACTAAAGATGCCTTTCTATGTCATTAAGATGTGTTTGTTATTTTGCTCTATGCTTTGTGCTGATGGCAAAAGCCTGACAAACGCTATGAGGTGTCTGGAAGCTGCTGTGGAGTAATATTGCACCACATCTCTGAATCTACAGTATGACTGTCAAAGTGTCCAAGTCAAACCTATAGCCTGAAATATCTAACGCTCCTGTCATTCACTGACTAGATAATTTAACTCATGAGTTTCTGTTTTACCACCACTGTGCTTCTGTACACCTCAAATCCCCTTCCGCCTTTTTTTCTCCAAAGCAGCGTGTAAATGACACTTGTAATATTCCAGCGGCTGCTGTTCCAGAAAGAAATCAGAAGCAGGATCTTTCATTATTAACTCCGTCAGTGGTGCGTCCTTTTTTCCTGTGAGGCCTTTATTACAGGATTGCTATCTGCTCCATCAGTAAGACTCAACACACCAAACAGCTTTAACCCTTTAAAGTCCTTGAGCAGAAGATGAGCTCTCACTAACTTATTTAGTTAATGCTGCTTAACCCTGCTCAAATAAATAACTCATCCTATTAAAAATTATAATAATACTATTTTTGCATACTTTCTTCTCCTACAGCTGCAGTTTTCAGAGCTAAAACCAGCATCACTAAATAACGAGTCACTGAGAGCGCCCAACCTGTTGGCAGAAAGCTTGTTGGAAATGAATCCGCCTGGAATCTGAGTGACGATATAGCCCCAGAAAAAGGATCCATGGATCAATCCCACAGTCTCTGGGTCCCAGTTAAACTGAGCTTTCTGAAAAGAGATTAAAAAAGAAATATGAGACAGAAATCTTTATGTTATGGTTAAAAAAAAGGCAGAATTCCTCCCATATTACAGATTTCTATTTAATCTGAATTTATTTACAAATACATATTTAAGATAAAGCAAAGTGTGTTAACGGCCTTTTTTTGTGTTAAAACTGAGATCAAGACTAAAGCAACAACAATAATATTCCTGTTCACTGTTAAATTTATGCAAGTTTAAGATAACTCTGTGTGAGCTGCAAAATGATGCCCTCCATCCTGATTCACATGAGAAAAGTTAATGCTGTTTTCACTTTGCATTTCCCAATACATTTTGATTTTATTTTAACTTTTATTTTGTGGAAGTTAAATGTTTTACTCACTGAACAGGGTTACTAAAATGTATAGATGCATCTCATTAGTTAGCATATCAGTTATTATTATCTCAATCATTTAGTTAATCTTGATGATTAGGAATTAAAGCTGATAAAACCGAGATTGTTTTTTTTCCCAAGAAGTTCTGTTATGGCAGTTCTAGTTTGTACATCATTACTGGCCTAAGAGCTCTTAAAACCTTTAAGCAACTTAAGATCATTCTGTAGAAACTGTCTTCATACTGCTATATTATAATGGAAACATTTTGAGGTTTTCTGTATTTATTCATTTATAAGACATATATAAGTGCATGTTGATTACATTTATGTCTATATGCCAATTAGCCAGGCGTGTAATGTTATAGATCAATAATCATTTGATTTTGGAGTATTGGACAGTAATGATAAAAAATCTTTTTTTTTACTATTTTCCAGGATTGGGTTGTGGTTTGAGGTCCCAAATGCAGAGGCAGGGAGGCAGAGGTGAGTTTTTGTAGATTTAATGTGAGGTAAACAAACAAGTGAGGCAGGAATCCAAAAATCCCCCAAAAAAATCCAACAAGAAGAAAGTTAAACAAACCAGAAACAATCGGGGCATCAGGGGAAAACAATCATGACGAGGTAAGACACAGAGAGACGGAGTTGGAGGAAGTTAGACGAGGAACCAGCACTGAAGAACTGCACAAGGAGTGACTTTATGACTTTGTGACTAAACAAAGAGAGGACTAACGAGCAGATTGGGAGCAGGTGTGAATAGAGCAGACAAGAAATGAGCTAGTGGAAAAGGAGAACACAAGAGGGCAGCAGAGGGCAACAAATAAAAACCTGAAAAAATAACCAGAGAACACAACAAAATAAGAATTAAACCACTTAAACTAGAAAACATGGGGCAAAGTAAAACTGAAAAGTCAAAAGAAAACATAACAGAACCAAGACTGTGACACTATTCAGAACATTTATATTTATGTCTAAAACCACTTATAGAACGTTTTTATTGCTGTTTTTAAAGATACTTGGTGGTGAATGCTAATTGAGTTACTGATGTCATATTTGATCAAATTATAAGCCCTTTTTTATGTCAAAATAATTTTTCATCTCTTAATATTCACAGTTACTTATATTCCGACACAACCTGCAGCCTTTCTCCTTAAGCAATCAAATGAGACTCAGTTAGGATTGCTGTTGCTGCTGGGTGATAAACATTGCCGCTGTTTTTTAGTATTTAACTACAGACAGGAGTGTTTAAACAAGGCTGGCATTAAAACCCTAGAGCTCGTAAAAATCTCAGCCACCTGCGAGATATTACCATAATGAACATAAACTATGGCGTCATCAGCATACATTAAATTCAATGGAAGGACAGAAGTAGAAAAAGGGTGATAAAGTAGAATAACTACATATTTATCAGTACTGTAAAGATTTGTGTTATTAATGAAGTTTGTGAGTAAATAACCATAGCATAGAGGTGTATTCAGGACATCCAATATTGTGCTAAGCCATTACCTAAAAGGACAGGACAGTTGCTGAATGCTCCAAAATCTTACTTTAAGAGTTCAAGAGTTTAAGAGTCCAAAAGTGAAATGATACTATGAAGATGCTGGTAAAGATTCTCAGTCATCCAAGGCATAGTCATTCCAACTCAGTTAAAAAAGTAAAACAAAAAAACAAACAAAAAAAACACTGGAATTTGTTTTTCAAGTTTGAAGACGTTTCACTTCCCATCCAGGAAGCTTTCTCAATTCAAAATAAACCTGGTGTAGGGTTTGAGTTCCGGACTTATAGAGTGGCACAAACAAAAGCCATGTTATGGCTTAGAAAACCTGCAAATTGAACCGATACTATGAAGACATTTCACCACTTTTAAGATTTCCCTCTTCTAACAAAGATGAGGCAAAGATGAAGGTCATGTACTTGTTTTTGCATGTTGTAAATGGGGAGTTGGATCACCCAGACTGATGATCAGAGTAGGGAGGCTAAGGAACGTGCTTTTTGCAGAACAACTCAGCATTTTATTCCACTTCAGAAGCATTTCTGCAATCTTGCTTTTTGAATGGGTTTGGAGGCAGCAGAAGGACAGCCTCCTCTAGGTTGCCAAACACAAATCATTTCTTTAAATCTATTTATTGACATGTTAATTTAAGTTACCCTGACCTTACTCGCTGTGGTTGTACATATGAAAGTAAATGGACATGAAAATAAAATTTTTCATAATATAATTGACTAAGACATGCATGTCTTATATTATTTGAAGTCAAAAACAGAAAATAAATGTAATAATGAAAATGTTTCTTGTCTGAGGCCCCAATCTACCTGAATCACTGGGGTCCCATTGATATAGACGGTGTTGTTGTTCACCATCTCAACAATAGCCACACCCAGGTTGCATCGGATGCCAAAGGAGATGCAGAATCCCAGACCGCTCAGGATAGCGATAATGTAACGCTTTGGCAAACCCCCACAGCTGCAGTCTAGCAAAGGGGCAGGAAGGACTGCTGACGCCACGGGCCGGCCATCCTCCGTCAGTTCCAAATTCTCCTCTTCCTCTACATTACTACCATCTATTTTCCTACAGAGAAAACAATTAAACTTAGGTATTCAGCTTATTGCATTTTTCTGTCACACTATTGTTATTTTTTGTGTCGTATCAAAGTATGTTAACAAAAAGCAGCAGACAAAGAGTGGTGTAGGTGTAAGATAAAGATCAGCGATCTGCTGTCATCAGATCATTCTTCTCATGTAATCTACCACTTAATCAACCTCTCTGTTCGCAAATGACAGCAAAGGACATCCATAAATACTGAGATATTAACTAGCAACATCTGACACCAATTTAGGGAAAAAAAGAAATGAAAGAAAAAGCCTTAATGGACAGAAATATAAATTTATTTGTAATACTGAAAATATTTGCCCTGTTCTCAAACATTTAATTTCTGGTCCAGGATCTGATTTTTACAACAAAAAAATAGGGGAATTACAGTATTAAAGAAAATGTGGACTTAATTTTCACCAGGGGTTCCAAAAATGGGTTTTTAGCATATCAAATTGATGATACAATAGTCATCCCATTATTAATAATCATAGTGAGTGAATTATGTAAATATTAATATTTCTACAAATATTACTATTATTATATACAAAAAGAAAAACAATTTAATACTACAACTACTATTTGATTAATTGATTGATTGAGTGAATTTATTTCAGGCAATTTCCACCATCAATAGTTTAAGAAAACATACAGCATACCTATCCTTTTTTTAGTTTAACATAAATGTAATTAATAAAACAGACAAAATTTCCAGTTGAATAAATAAAGGTATTTATGCCTTCACGTTTTAATTATATATATATATATATATACATAAATAGACATGGATGTATATATATATATATATATATATATATATATATATATATATATATATATATATATATATATATATATATATATATATATACAGTGGTGTGAAAAAGTGTTTGCCCCCTTCCTCATTTCCTGTTTTTTTGCGTGTTTGTCACACTTAAGTGTTTCGGAACATCAAACCAATTTAAACAATAGTCAAGGAAAACACAAGTAAACACAAAATGCAATTTGTAAATGAAGGTGTTTATTATTAAAGGAGAAAAAAAATCCAAACCATCATGGCCCTGTGTGAAAAAGTGATTGCCCCCTTGTTAAAATATACTATAACTGTGGTTTTTAACACCTGAGTTCAATTTCTCTAGCCACACCCAGGCCTGATTATTGCCACACCTATTTTTAATCAAGAAATCACTTAAATAGGAGCTGCCTGACACAGTAAAGTCCACCAAAAGATCCATAAAAGCTACCCATCATGCCGAGATCCAAAGAAATTCAGGAGCAATTGAGGAAGAAAGTAATTAACATCTATCAGTCTGGAAAAGGTTATAAAGCCATTTCCAAAGCTTTGGGAATCCAGCGAACCACAGTGAGAGCCATTATCCAAAAATGGCGACGCCATGGAACAGTGGTGAACCTTCCCAGGAGTGGCCGGCCGCCCAAAATTACCCCAAGAGCGCAGCGACGACTCATCCAAGAGGTCACAAAAGACCCCACAACAACATCCAAAGAACTGCAGGCCTCACTTGCCTCAGTTAAGGTCAGTGTTCATGCTTCCACCATCAGAAAAAGACTGGGCAAAAATGGCCTGCATGGCAGAGTTCCAAGAAGAAAACCACTGCTGAGCAAAAAGAACATTAAAGCTCGTCTCAATTTTTCCAAAACACATCTTGATGATCCCCAAGACTTTTGGGAAAACATTCTGTGGACTGATGAGACAAAAGTGGAACTCTTTGGAAGGTGTGTGTCCCATTACATCTGGCGCAAAAGGAACACTGCATTTCAGAAAAAGAACACTATACCAACAGTAAAATATGGTGGTGGAAGCGTGATGGTCTGGGGCTGTTTTGCTGCGTCAGGACCTGGAAGACTAGCTGTGATAAATGGAACTATGAATTCTGCTGTCTACCAAAAGATCCTGAAGGAGAATGTCCGACCATCTGTTTGTGAACTCAAGCTGAAACGAACTTGGGTTCTGCAGCAGGACAATGATCCTAAACACACCAGCAAGTCCACCACTGAATGGCTGAAGAAAAACAAAATAAAGACTTTGGAGTGGCCTAGCCAAAGTCCTGACTTGAATCCTATTGAGATGTTGTGGTATGACCTTAAAAAGGCCGTTCATGCTCGAAAACCCTCTAATGTAACTGAATTAGAACAATTCTGCAAAGATGAGTGGGCCAAAATTCCTCCAGAACGCTGTAAAAGACTCATTGCAAGTTATCGCAAACGCTTGGTTGCAGTTGTTGCTGCTAAGGGTGGCCCAACCAGTTATTAGGTTTAGGGGGCAATCACTTTTTCACACAGGGCCATGATGGTTTGGATTTTTTTCTCCTTTAATAATAAACACCTTCATTTACAAATTGCATTTTGTGTTTACTTGTGTTGTTCTTGACTATTGTTTAAATTGGTTTGATGTTCCGAAACACTTAAGTGTGACAAACGTGCAAAAAAACAGGAAATGAGGAAGGGGGCAAACATTTTTTCACACCACTGTATATATATATATATATATATATATATATATATATATATATATATATATATATATATATATATATATATATATAATAATTTATATATTTATAATTCTGTTCATTTTTTTTGTCATTTCAACTTTGCTATCTGGTCTGTACAATCCTCTAAACACAACAGATTTCTAAATATATAACCTCACCATTGCTTACGCACATCCTTCTGTTAAAATATTTACACCTAAAATATGTACAACAATCTTAAAATAAACCCTGTGATTACATCATTCACATAATTGGAAAAACAATCAAACATTTATTTATCCCCAGCAGAGCATGTCACCTGACAGCCTATTTCTCCACCATCAGAATTTACCCCTCATACTCATACATTCATTTCTACAGTTTTTTATTCAAATGAACTCTCTTACCTCTGCAGCTTTCCTAAAGAGTCTCCCACGGTGTTCTTCACCTCCTCCTTCCCAGGATTTACCACCTGCTTTTTTAAACCTGTAAAATTAAAAGGCATTTTTTTCTGTTTTTTTTTCTTTCCTTTTTTTGTTAATTCCCAAAACAGAATCCTAATTCCTGAAACCTTCTTATTATGACAGGGAAGGAAGTATCCACTAGATTTGTTTGTTATCGTCCTTCCATTCGTACTACTTGGGATTGACACCTGTAGTGCTAATGGTCCCACAGTGGTGAAAAAAGTCTTTGCAAACTTTTGGACCTGTGCAGAAGAGGAAATGGGATGAGCGTGCCGTTACCTCAGTAACATGTACCTCAGTGTCCTAAAAGCCAAACAATCAGAATTTTATGAGTCCTTAGAAGATCCATTGATGAGTTAATTTAAGAAGATGCAAACTAGAAGCATTGAATCCAGATTTTAGTCGTGAGGCATCTCTGTCCTGTTCATCTATGTGGTTGAAGAGAGTAAATCGTTCTGATCTCCTCTCATCTCATAACTCATTCATTGCTGTAGAGGAGGGGGAATGTGTAACTAGTTATCCCCAAAGCCAGCCCCTCGCTTTCACACATCATCCACTTCATCAGCTCCACCCAGTCCATCCAGCTTGATTTATTTGATAGCTGCCACAAAGAAAAATAAATAAAATATGCATAAGCCTAATATGCAAAGGAGAGACAGGAATAGGAGGACTTGTGTGAAGTAAAATGGGTGGGTGAGGCACAGCTTACAGAAACCCATGACAACCCCTCTTAAGTTTTTGATATTTTAAGCTTTTATTATTTCCTGTTTATAAAGAAATGATGGGGTCCATTGCATTTTGCTTGAAGCTGAGAATACAAATAATACAAAGACATCTGAACCTGATAGAAATGAAACAGACATTTTTCCCTTTATGAAGAATATTTTTAATAGCAGATCATTCCATAAAATTACTCTAAAACATTACAAATTATATTTTAGAATAAAATCCACAAACAGGATTATGTGCTCTAAGTTAGAAAAGTTGTGATGTTCTGATTATGTATTTATTTTTGCTAAAAAAGGGCAAGAACCGAAGACATTTTCATGTGTTTTTTTAAAGCCAATCTGAGGGTTTTACACAAACACATCTTGTGAAATATCTTTAAAAAACAATTAAATAATCCAAAAGGCATTATATAAGACCCATTTAGGGTGTCTGACTACCACAATTCAAGTTTGAAAACTAGATCATTGTTTGTGTTAAAGGAAAAAAGTTTGATGAGCCAAAGACTGTGTCTGCCATCTAGTGGCACAATTAGGAAAAAGCGATTTAAGTATCAACGTATCTGATTTGGAAAAAGAAACACTAAACACTAAAATTTCTGTATTTTATGACATCTTGGTGCTACAGTTGGCATTGTAAAAGTAAAATCTCCCAGCAATTAAAAAGCTTTGTCAGCTTAGCTGACTTTACAGTAAATTCTCCTCCTGACAAGGAGGAATATAAAAAGAAACTAATGTACATTTTGTTTGTCTTGATTGATTGATTTACTTTATTTATTGCTATCAGGAATATTTATTTTGCTTCAGGATTAAAGGGCTAATGTCTCCGTAGGATCTAAAAAGAACTCATCCATGCAGCCATCTTTAGTAGAAATGATTATTACAATGGTGTCTTCACAGGTCTGCCTAAATTCAGAGAACTGTAGCTGATCCAGAATGCTGCTGCCTGCATCCTCACTAAAACTAAGAAAGTGGAGCACATCACCTTGGTGCTAGAAGCTTTACATTGGCCCCCCTTCTCTGAAATAGACTGTAAGATACTTTTTTTCCCCCTGTAGTGCTCAGCATTATGGCAACAGAATTGGAATCTGAGTGCCGTGCTCTGCCCAACACTTTTGCTTTGCCAAGGGAAGCTAGTCAGGATGAAAAAAAAAAAAATGACTGCAAAATTCATCTGCTAGTCTACAAATCACTGAAGGAATTAGCTCTAAAATAAATTACAAATTTATCAATCTATCATTCACCTTGACATCTCAGATTTTCTGGCTCAAACCTTCTCTGCATACTGTATTCAGATCCAGAACCAAACACAGAGACGTAGCTTTTAACTCCACTAATCTGGAACAAACTAAAAAATTTATAAATGCAACCCACAGAAATCCTAATTTGCCATTAATCAAGATTAAAAACATATTTGCTTAGACAGTGACCTTTGAGTGTGTTATCTAAACATCAGCCTGGCTTTCCTTTCTTCTTATAATGAAACATTTTATCTTTTTGTAATTTTAATTCAATCATTGTATATTAATAAATAATTTTTTGTCTTCAATTACTTTGTTGCCTTTAAGCCACTTTAATGTACTTTTCTGTACATCTTATGTACAGCACTTGAATTGTCATGCCGTCTTGTCTTTTCTTGAGGAGTCTTCCCTGCAACACCTGTGTTTGCTCAAATAAAGGGGAGCTTTCATATCCAAACATATAACCGATTTCTTCATGCCTTTAATTCTGTTCGTCTCAATAGTTTTCAGCTCACAGCCAATAAGAACAATTTAAGATTAGAATAAAAAAACTTAAAAGCCCAATATTTCTAATGCGGAGCTATGGGCTTGAATTTTAACTCAACCCCACTTTATGGAATAGTTGCCAAGTAGAACTTGAAACCTTATTTTTCATCCACTAAAGGTTCACTGCTTTAGGTCAGGAAAGAGTTATTCATGATTCAAGATGACTTTATTAATTTCCGGAGGGAAAAGGAGAACATTCAAAATATATTTCTAAAATAAATAGGATAAGATAAAAAGTATAAAGAGCCAAATAGAAATGAATAGTATAAAATTAGGCAGAAGTATACATCTGAAATCTAGTTTTATGAATAGGAAGTACACTGAATAATGTATTCGGATGCAGTATCTACATATATGTTTAGTCACAATGTTAGATACACTGTCGATACACATTCAGAGCCCTTATGTAATGAGAATGCCAATGCTTTCGAACTCTGATTGGTGAATTCACAGCATTGAAATTAAACTGAGGCTTATCTTTGCGCCCTCAAAAGGCAACACCTGATCTTCAATGCTTCCTTCTTTGACATAATTGTAAGCAGAAAATAAATCAAATACATGGATCATGCTTAAAAAAGTATCTGCGCATGCATCATCTCATGTGCTGGCAGTTGCAGACTCGCCCATTAATTTCTTCAAATGTTCTTACTTTTATAACATTTCTGTCTAATTAAACTTACATTTTTTATGTTTTTCGAGACTCATTTCATCACGCTGCACCACAGAGTGCCACAGGAAGTCATTTCTGCCTGTTTCCATCAAAGTGTCGTATTCATCTCTCTCAAAGTCATTTAATTTAATTACTTACTATCTATTTATTTCATTACTTGACCATGCGCAATAACACAATCATGTACAATAATTGTAATTTGGTACTGAGCAGCACTGTAAATTGTAAATACTGTCGACTGTATATAATGTGATCCGTATTTTATTCATTTATCTTATTTTACACCGTTTATATGGGGAGGGTGTAATTTTATTGTGTGGGTTGCAATTTTACCTATTTTATTCTGTCTTATTATACTATATATTTCATTTTGCTCTGTTATACTTAAAATCTTATTTTTCTCTTTTCTGTAAACGGTTGCACTGCAAGAAAACAATTTCCTACAAGGAATTAATAAAGGAATTCTGATTTTGATTAAGACACCTGCGGTACAAGTTATAACTCATTAAGTTATATGAAATATTAGAGTTTGAATACACATGAAGAAGGAAATTATAAACTAAAATTAATGTTTTTAGCTGTTATTCAGCGTCATTATTAACAATATCTTGTTAACTTTGCCACAATCATGCTTTCCATTTTCATAAAAAAACAAAAAAATGGGGAAGCTTAAGGTCTGAGAAGGACGACTGCAACAGGGGATGACAGCATAACACTGTGTTTGGGTGTTTTGTCTCATGTAAAACATGATAAAATTTATAAAACAGAAATATTGAAGCAAAACCTTGGTATAGTAGCTGGAAGCTACGATTGAATAAATGCCCAGTTTTTGGTTGACCCAGCTAAGGACAGGTGGACATTTCCATCATACATATATTTTAAACTCTTTAAAGCCTAAATCATGAAATAATTGTTATGGTTTTGTTTAAAAACAAAAAGCATGAATTTTCCTATTCAGAATCGATTTGCATATTGATTCTTATAGCAATGGATAATTTTAAGTACCATTACTGTAATGCATAAATGTAATTTTGAAATCAGATTCCAGAAAAAAAAATTAATTTTAAATCTTGACAATTGTAATTGAGTCGATACCCTGCCATAAATATTTTTTTTCTAAACTGAACTCGTCACCGTAAACCCTGACAAATAAAAAAAAACAAGTTTTGAATAAGTTAACAAGTGATTTTCATAATTTGTTACATACGGAAGAGTACGGAAGAGGATTAGGGCCACTGAAGGAAAATTCTCAGAATTTTGGATCTTAATATAGATGTGCACCATGAAGGAGGAGATGTGGGAGCACTCAGCTTCACTGACAAAGATGTGAGTTGTTTTGGATGGCCGGTAACACATTAGTGGAAAATGACGGAATTAGATGCCCGAGGGCACGTAAAAAGTGATGCTATTTCTTAAATGGAAGAGCAGGTTATTAAAACAAGAGAGCTAGTGTAGTCTATGGCTAAGGCTTGATGCTAACATGTTTGTTAGCTGTCAGAATTCATTTAGAATTCTGAGAAAAAAGTCAGAATTCAGAGAAAAAAGTTAGAATTCTAAGATAAAAGTCAGAATTCTGAGAAAAAAGTCTGAATTCTTGGATTAAAGTCAGAATTCTGACTTTTTTTCTCAGAATTCTGAGGAAAAAAGTCAGAATTCTGAGGAAAAAAAAGTCAGAATTCTGTGAAAAAAGTCAGAATTCTGAGATTCAAGTCTGAGATTAAAGTTAAAATTCTGAGAAAAAAGTCAGATTTCTGAGAAAAAAGTCAGAATTCTGAGACTAAAGTCAGAATTCGGACCTTTTTCTCATATTATACTGAAATAAAATTTCAAAATCAGTGAACTTTTTTTTATTTTTTCAGCGGCCCTAATCCTCTTTCGTACCTTGATAAAGGTTGTGGTTGGTTTGATTTTCATAACAAACATTAAGAATTTCAAATCCAAATAGAAATGTGACTTATTAAGTAAAGATGCGTTATTTAGCCATCTGAACCAGGCAGCAGAGGTGAGCCGGTGGGAGGAGCCTATCCTCTAGTTTCCGCATCCCCCCCTCCCCTCCCCTTGCGCCTCTCTCATTGCACGCCGGTAATTTTGGTCACGTTTCCAATCCCCTCATCATTATTTATTTCCTTCTTATTTCGACCTCTGGCACGTTTATCAAATCAGCTTTACAACATTAAACGACACTAACACAACCCTGTCCTGATTAACCGGGGGTCGTCGACTGCCTCATCCATGTATTGGAGTCCTGGGCCCCAGCGCACCGGCTCCGGCTTCAGCCATGTCGGAACAGAGCGCAGCGGCTGGCCGCGGCGGCGGTGACAGAGCGGGAAGCGAACCGGCAGGTAATTAAAAACATCACAGACGCTATTACTATAATTAATGCTCACGTATGCGGGCTGCTTGGGAGGTTTCTGCCTCGTATCGAGGTCTGGGGGGCTTAGAAGGTGAGATGCAGAGGTGTTTAGTGCCAGTTTGTCGCCCCCGCTCAACTGGGGAGTTTGCGCTATTCCGAAACTAGGTCAGTAGATCAGTAGAGCAAGCTCGCCCTCTAACGCTACGCCATTTATGTAACTGCTGCACGACCTTGTTTGTCACACCAGAAGGGTTTCGCAACCTAAACACGTCCAAAATTTAAAAAGCTATTAACTAGTAAAATTTATTTTTCTTCACCTCTATTAATGTTAACCAGTATTAAACGCAACAAAGCTAGTTTAGTAGCACTGAGGCCTGTGTTTATCGCCCTCTCTCCAAAGAAGCCTTTATTTAAGGTGGCATTCCTCAGAACATCTTGTCAATGTTGGATAGATTTAACATATTTGCCAACAGAGGTGGTTCCAGTTATTACACAGCACTTTAAAGGCTTTACATCGATCGCCTCTATTAACGTCAGGAAGAGTTGGGCTCTGTTTATTGGTTTTAAGCTTTAAAGTAGCTCATAATGAGCCTGTGAAAGGCAGTCCTCCTTTAATGTGACATAAACCAGCTCTGGGTTTAGAACTGGATGTTCTGGACCATGCTGTGAATTATGTTTAAGTTTAAAGGAAAAGGTAAAAAAATAAATAAATACCTTATCCTGAAAGAAGCAGTTTGTGTTACAGTTTCCCAAGCTTGTCAATTGTAATCTGTAATATTTTTACTTATTTATTAGGTCAGTACAATTGCAATAACCCAAGTCAACTACTGTGTAGTCTTTCCTTAGCTCTCTACTGTGCATATATTTTTATATCTAAGAGAAACATTCCAGGACATTACAACTTTTTTCTTATTTTCTTTAATGTTTTTTTGTACCATATATACTCTGTACTATACACAATGGCAGTTTGCTTTAACTCTTTGTACTTTTCCCTGAAGGAGTAATCCCAAGGGATGAATAAAGTTGAGTTTAAGTCTAAGTGGGAAGAAAACAGATAACTGAAAACAAACACGTTTAAAATATATTTAAATACAACATCTTAAAGGAAATAAAGAAATGTTCAGATCTTTTTCATAAGCCGCCTTTATGAGAGGGTCCAAAACATTCCAGATTGAGATTTTCCAGGTTTAGATTTAAGGTTTTTGCATTTTTTTTTTTGTAATAATTGCTTTTAAAAAATGTGGGTTAGTTACCGTTTCTAAGATGTACTGTGGGAAAATATTGTTTTAATGGACTGCTGACAAAAGGGATGAATCTAATTGGCCAGTGCTCTAGTCTCCAATAGTAATAACTGAACTTTATTGATCTCACTTTGGAGAAATTTACTTCTACATTTAAATCATCCCCTTGGGGAGCAGTGGGCTGCCATCGTGGGGCGCCCAGGGAGCAATCGGGGGTCAAGGGTCTTGCTCAGAGACCAAGAGTGGCAGTCTGTGACATTGGGGCTCGAACTCAGAGCCTCAGGATTCCAAGCCCTACGCCCAAACCACTAGGCTGCCACTTCCCTGTAAACGCAAAGGAGCCACAACATAGTTCCCAGTACCTTACTTATTGGAAAGATACATTAGGCAATTGGAAATATGTTATACCACCGGAAACCTGGATGATCAGGTGAGAGAATTCACTTTTGATAAGTTATAGCTGTTTAAAACTTCAGAAATTTGGCAACAGGAGGCAGACAGCAGGGTCCCTATACTAACAGACAATATGACTAAAAACCTGACTTTCCATAATGTTATACAGGTGTGGCTAAATAAATAACTGAAGAGGGGAAAAATCTAATTTTTGTGGATCACTTTGAGTTAAATAATTCTAACTGGAATATGCAAAATAATTTCGTATTTTTTGCAGCAATATTGCTTAAATTTCAGTCATTTGTGAAGCAAAGGATCAAAAAACAAAGAATCAAAGACATAAGTAGAATAGGGGGAAAAAAAAATAACAGATGCATCATCCAGTTGGTAAAAACGCAACTAAAATTACAGAAGCCTTTTAAAGCATTTTTATTTTCTCAAAATACTAATGTTAATGTTTTAAACCCCTAAATCCAGTTTTGTTGGGATTTTTTTGTAAATGGAGGATTTGGTATGTATGCAGCTGCAAAGTTGAATTAAAAAAAAGCCTAATCCAGTGGAGAATTTGCAGTCTACAAGGGAAATGTAAAAAAGGGAAATGTAAAAAAAAAAATAAAGATCTTTTCAATCTATGTAATTATGAAACAAAAAACATAAATTTTCCTGCTGTTGAAAGGATATAGTCACATAATATCTCATCTGCAGGAGATGACTTTCTGGTGTTTCCATTTAACCTGAAGTCAGATCAGTTGGTTCTGGAGGCTGAAGCTGATGACTAATATGAGAGGAGCGAGACCAGAGCTGACTCATCTGAAAAACATCATTGTTGTTTACGCAAACACCATTTAATAACCTTGTTCAATTTGCATTTAGAGGTTTTGCTGCAGGTTATTCAGTATATGTGGGAGACTGATGTAGGATAATAGGATGATCTGTCACAGCTATGTACTGAGAATGAAAACTGAAAACCGCTCTGGGTTACAGCTACTGAAAAATTAAGGCATAATTATTTAAATAACTGGGTATATTTTTGCTTTTTGCAGTTTTACTTTTACTTCAAAAGGTTTTTCTTAAAAGACATTTTTTAAATATTTCTTTTTTAGAGGGTGTTTAACAGAATGATCCTTAATGGCATAATATCTCCTCTATCCGTTTCCTTTGTAAATAATCACCACCTTCTTGGTAGATAAACGCCTAAATTAGTGGCTCAATCAGTAAAATAAGTCAGTCTTAAATAAACTACAATGAGTGCCAAAAACTTATCTTGCACTAGTTAATATGCTGCATCCTGTCATCATCGAAACAAGCAGGTTAAAGTTAACTTAGAGATAAATACATTCCTGCTTGTCATCCCTCATTCTCCGCAGCCATTAAAGAGTTTTAGTTTTTTTCCATTCAACACCTTTTTTTTTGTCTATTTGCTAATCATTGGTCACTTCACGCCTGCTGTCAAAGCTGGCTCTCTGTCAGCTGGCAGCACGGTTATGCATATGTTCACCTGCCTGCAAACGCTCAGGGTGGGTCGATGATAGTCTGAAGGGCGCAGGGTTCACGTTTTCACAGCGCTTTTCTCACGTGTATATGCAAATAGGAAGGTGAACGCGTTTAAAAGCACAATTTCCACAGCTGTTACTCGTATTAAAAGTCAGTGTAGTTCTGACTTTTTTCTCAGAATTCTGACTTTAATCTCAGTGCAATTTTGACATTCTTCAGCGTAACCAGTGTTTGTGCTGAAATTAGATGGAACTTTATCTTGTTTTAAATATGCCATTAAAGTCTTCTTTAGCATTATATATCACTGCTGGGCCTGCATGGCACTTGAGCGACAAACACCATCACGTAGGGGTGTAAATCACACCCATCATGGCGATTCGATTCAGTATCGATTTCCTGACCCAACGATTAGATTATTTTTCGATACTCAAGAATACACCAAGATACAATTCGATTTGTTTCTTTTTTTTTTTTTTTTCAAATTTGAAATAAATCAATGAAAGCTGTAATATCGTTATGCTTTTTTTTTTTTTTGAAACAACAGCAAATAACAGAAGTAGAAAAGTTGCACTCCACCTATTCCTATTATCCTCATTCACTGAAAAATAATAATACCCCTGTGTTATAGATTCTGAAAGACCTTGCATCAAAAAATACTGCACAAAATCAGTGCAATGAGTGCAATGCAATACCTTGGCTCCAGACGTCCCCGCCCCCTCCACAGACGCTCCGCTGCACCTCTCCCAAATTGTAGCTGACCGCAGACAGTGCTGCAAACATGAGGCCGGCTTGTTTTGTTTTTATGAACGAAATTGCGGAAAATAGCTCGTGAAGTTTGACCAGCTAGAAGAGCGGGGTGGTGGGAGAACGCTGGGACCCTTTTTCCACCTGGATCTCCGCTCTTTTTAGCCATCATGTCCCTCCGTCGTCGGACTAAACTCACCCCCACTTCCTCAGCGCCTCGGCCGTATCTAGACCCACAGTGTATAACACAGACCACGCTTCAATATTGAGCATAAATCACAAATGTCTGTGTCAAGCTCACTGCAACACACTGCTGCAGGAGTATAACCAGGAGGCGAGGTAGGAGGGCAAAATAGGTTTAGCGCCACCGCAGCACGGGAGGGAGAATTACGTCCAGGAGCAAATGGATAAGAATAGACTGGAGGAAAAAAAAAAAAACATGATTCGATACTCCTGCGGACGAATCGATGCATCGGATCGTCTGCTGTTGGATCGATGCATTGATACAAACGATTATTATTTACACCCCTACTATAATGATTCCATGAAGTAGTGAAAATTGTATTCCTTAAAAACGTATTACTACTTTTAAGTTTATTTTATATATTTTTAAATAATACTATTTTATATACCGGTATATAAATGTATTTTAAAGATGCTTATTTATTGTTCCTGCGTGAGGAAAAAGGAATTAAAAGTACCTATGTTAATAGTTTTAGTGTGAGGGTTACAAGCATCAAACTTTGCCATTAAGACAGATTTATGTGTTTTCACTGCACAGTTTGTGAACGTAGCGATGTTTTAACAATGCCCTTCATTTTGCTTTGAGTAAGCTGGATATATCTTTAAAATGTCAACAACAGGCTGTTGTTTCCGTTTCTAAAAGACATTTAGCTCCACATCTGCAGTTATCTGATTGGTTCCTACCATGACTCTATTAGTCATGCCCTGGTCCCCTCTTTGAATCAGGCTCTACCACTCCATTGCATACTGGTCGTCTTGTTTACGCCATATTTAAGTCAGTTTTGCCAGCCAGGCTAACAAATAAGCAGAACTTCCTGATTGTAAAATTGGACGATCATTTTCCTTCCCTTTTGTTAAGCAAAAACTGTATTAGTACATGAAGCATAAATATGACGGATAAGAACCATGATCACAGAAGCTCTGAGAGTGTTTTCACATTATCTCTGGGGGTTGGATCCATTTCAGATGGACCAGATTTTGTTTCCTTAGATAGTTTGTTTGGATATGTCAGGTTTGAAAACAAATCTGACTAGGTAAAAAGGCTTGCCTCCCTAAATAAAATGACCCTCTGTTCACTTGTTTGTGAACCCAATGTGGTTTCTGTCTGTTTTCATTTCAATGCTTTGTCACTGTGACTGCTTGCTGCCTGTTTCAGTTCTGCCATGTTCTCCTTATTTGTATCAAACAGCATCGTGAGTAGCCTACTGCTAACTTGGTTGCCAATAATCTACAGCTACTTTAGAAAGAGACAAAGACAAGCAGCTTTACTTGTTTACTCCCATGTTTGCTTTGGGAGTAAGGCGGCTTTGACATGATGCGGTTTATTTCAGCTGATGCCAACGTCTCAGTGTGAACAAACCTGTATCACTGCATAACTTTCTCATATTGTTCAGCCCTACCTTGCAGTTGGTTTGCTCAGTGGCACAAGAGGATAGTTACCTTTTGCTGTAGATGGAGACACTGGGTAACAACAAAAACATTACCAAGGCTTAAATTAATGCGGTATATTCAGGCCTGCTCTTGAACAGCCGTGCACTTAACATGTCCAAATATGTTTTTGGATTAATCTGAATAAAAAGAGCAGAGGTAGAGGATAGAGGTTTGGTGATGTTTCATAATAAATGAAAGGATGGGTTTGTCCACAACGGTTTAAGGCACTTTGTGTTAGATTTATGGAGCCATCAAAGCATGGAATTGTTCTGCATGTCCAACATATTGTAAAGCAGTTGGTTTCAGACAAGTAGAGTGAAATATTTAAGTTTTGGTGGCTTAAGTTAAATTAGATATGTGGAAGAGAAAATAATTGACAATGAGTGCTAATTCTGTTGAATAGAATGCTGCTTTCATTTTGAATTTAAAGCGTTTTTTTCTGGAGTTTTTTAGATTCAGTTCTGAGCTGCAGAATCTAAGCTACTGTTTACTGTGCTGATTGTTTTTACTTTTCTTTACATCTTATGATGTTGTATTGTTTTAAGGTATTCATACATGCATGCATAGCTAAAGAAAATCTTAGGAATGATTAGTTTTATGAAATTAGACTTTTATCAAATTGTATGTTCTTAAAGTATTACTAAAATGGGGCACAGTGTGTAGGTGCAGCCATTATTCAGCAAACAAGCTAGGTAAGTAGATGTGTGAGCTGGTGAGAAGGCGGTTGGCTTTATTGGAATGATGTATTTACTGCCTGGAATCCATTCCGCTGCTCGTCTTCTTTGCAGACTTGTAAACTTGCAGAGTGAGGCGGATTAGAAGTCAGGTCTCGGCTGATCTGATAAAGGCTGTTTGGCTCATGGTTAAAAATAGGTGCCATCTATAACTCCCATTGTTCAGTCTTCCTTCTGTCAATCTCTTAAGTTTTTATCCTTCTTATTGTTTTCAGAAGCTCATTGAAGTATAAAGATTAAGATTTTTAAAAAAGGCATTAGTCTGAGAGGCCCTGTTTGCACTTTGGACTTGAAATACTTCTCTTAATATGGTTACCCTACAACAGCATGGGTATTTTGATCCATATCTAATCTCTACTCAATATAGAAATGGTGTAAAGAACACAGAGAACACTTATAGAAATCCCAGTGATTTCTATAAGTGAAACTTATCCCAGTGAAACTTACTTCCAGGCTGGTTTTTACAGTTTATTTTGGAATCCTAGCTAACATAGGTGGATTATTTTTGCTTATCTGGTATTTTAGATATTTCATGCTCTGACTTTGAGGTGGGAAACATTGATCCTGTACGTCTTATAGGCCTTTGCTTCCCAAGTCCACCTTTTTAAAATGGCTGGGTTATCTTACCAGGCTGTCACTAAGTTCAGCAAGACGCATTCATTTAAACCAGATGGGTTCAAGATGGAGAAACTTTTAAAACATTAAGGACCGCAAAACTGATGCATTCCCTCTGTTTACTCTCAGCTTTTGCAGTGTCTAGTATTGACATAACATAACAAGGCTTTGTTGGGCTACTCTATAAAGCCTGTACTCAACTCTAATCCAGACATAATGAATTGAGAAAGCTTCCTGGATGGGAGGCGAAATATCTTCAAACTTGGAAAACAAAGTCCAGTGGTTTGTTTTTTTAACTTTTTTCAACTTTTCGGGATTGATTGATAACATTAATACTTCGGTTTTAAGTGAGTGTTCTTCTTAAATAAAGAATTAACAGTGGTAAACTAGATTCCTTGGTTCAGCTTAATTGGCCACACCCAGACCTGCATACTGCCAGTTCTGTCAATTGAAAAAACGAAAAAGAAATACAACCAGTATTACAACATAAATTTGGCCAAAAAACACATCAGATGTTGATGCTTAGAAATTCAAAAGCTGTATAATAAGTCAGTGATATCTGTATGATTTTTTTATTTTTTTTTTTTTACGGTTTTTGGAATCCAAGGAGCCACAGAGCTAGAACTGTTAACCACAAATGAAATAAAGATTTTACAGCCGTGAACATTGCCAAAAGTGGTTGGAATAACTGGACGCCGTGTCCACAGCGAATGTGCTAGATTCAGATAGAATTCCTATAAAACCTCGCAGTGAAGGGCGGTGAACTCCACGCGGTGAGAACGTTCGCTGCTCCTTCCTCACCTTCTAGAAAGAGCGTAGATGTTGTCAAACAGCAGCACCGCATGGAGAGAGAGGAGAGGTGGTTGCTGAAGTTGAAACGAGCCGAACTTTTCTATAAAATCGCGATACGGCAGCCAATCAGGGACTGGTTGCAGTAATGAATGCTCTCTTTAAGTGGCTTTATAAAAAAAAAAAAAAGAAAAAGTTTTAAAGGACTGTTTGTCATCCTCACTGACCTCCAGCACAGAGCCCAGTCTTTCACTGCACACTGTCCAGCATTGGTGCTTTCTGCTGGGGTAGATTTACACCAAATCCGACCATCATCCTGACACAGCTCGGCACCAAAGGATAGTTACCTTTTGCTGTAGATGGAGACACTGGGTAATACAAAAACATTACCAAGGCTTAAATTAATTAGTTATATTCAGGCCGGCTCTTAAACAGCCGTGCAATTAAATGTTTGTTTGTTTTTTGGTTGGGTTACCAAGCAGAACAATGATCCCAAGCACAATTAATCAACCTTTGATTGCCAGAAAAATAGATGAATAAATACAATAAGGCTTTAATCTTTTACAAAGATTAATTTTAAATCTTTTAAAACAAATCTGTGCTGGAGATTAAAAAATTTAGAGAGGAATGAGAGAGGAAATTAGTGAGAGTTTGATAAGATAACGACAAAGTAAAACCTATCCATTGATTTGTTTAAGAAAATATGAAGCACACCCATGAGTCATATTGATATAACAATCTCTTTATGTGTGTTTGTGTTTAAACAATAGAGAAAAATTTTAGTGGGATTTCAGCTTGGGATTTCCCCAACATGTTCAGATATTGTTATCCAACTATTCTGATGGGTCATACTGGAAATTGGTGGTTGTGATTCAATGTGTTCATTACTGAGCGTGAAGATGTCAAAATTTTTTAAACAGTATGAAATAAAGGCTTGTTTTAAAAAGAAAAAAAACCCAAAAAACTTAAAAAGAAATAGATGGCTTCTGATTTTATTTAATTTTTTCCTTTAGGGAAACGTTCCTTAGCTCTCTATCAGCCAGTTGATTGGCAGTGTGCAGTAGCTAATCTTGAAGTTTAATTTCCAATGCCATACAGTTTGGTTGTTTTTTTTTTGTTTTTGGTAGCTGATTATAACGACTTTAAATCCTGGGAATTTTATCAATTTTGAAAGTGGTACTTTTTAACCTCTTACCCTGACACTGATAAACTGCCCAGGCCATGCTGCAAATAAAGATTCAATTAAACATTAATAAAAAGTGTAATGTTTGTGTTTCAGATGACGTGCTGGTTAAGCATGAATCGAGCGATTCTCTCCCCAGTTTGATGACCCCATCCTTAACATCTAGTATGTCCTTTAGCATGGACATGCCAAGGAAGCGCAAGGGAAGCACTGACAACCAGTGAGTATTCCTAGTTCTCTTGCTCTGATTGAAAAATAAACACAATGAAGGAAACATCTGAAGGATTTAATTATATCTATATCTTCCTCTTAGGGATTCAAAATTGGCTTTAATTAATGATGCTGATATGGAAGACGACCAAAACGGGTACATTTTTAAATTAACCTCATGTTTATGTACAATTCTCCGGAACAACTTAAATAGATCCTATGTGTTTTTGATTCTTTTCTCTTTCCTAGGTCCGACGGGGAGGACCAACATGTCAAAATTAAATGCTACAGGTAGACAAAAAAGATGTAAATTATAATAAAGTGTGTAGTACTGTTTAGTTTTGAGTTGCCTTTCAGAGATCAATCATGTGGTTTTGCTTGAATGTTTCTGCAGGGAACCACACAGCCAAATAGAGAAGAGGAGACGAGATAAGATGAACAATCTGATCGACAAGCTTTCAGCCATGATCCCTACATGTAACCCTATGTCCCGAAAACTGGACAAACTCACGGTGCTCAGAATGGCAGTGCAGCACCTGAAATCCCTCAAAGGTGTAGATTACGTATATAGTCTATAGTTATCAAATAAAATGAACCCTACTGCACTACCAGGTTTAGTTAAGTGATATTTAGGTTTAAGACTGTATTTTTATATTTCCTGGTAGAACTGAAAAAAATTCTTTGCTTCCTTTTTTTTTCAATCTTTATGTTGAATATTTTTTAACCTGCTTCTTTTTTTGGATTAACTCACTGTTCGTGATTACAGGTTCAGCTAGCTCCTTTTCTGAAGTGAGCTACAAACCGTCCTTCCTTCCTGATGATGAGCTTAAACACCTTGTCCTCAAGGTAAACATTACATAGTAAGAAACGTTTTACTGTGTAATTCAAATGATCAAAATATTATGTTTAAAGGTATTGTGGAGGATTTTTGAGAATTTTAGAAAAGACCCGGCCTCTCCTTTAAAAAAAAATCCACATGCACAATCCTGTACCCGCTCCCGAGAGGGAACGCCTATTAAACGCGCGCAAGAGCATGCACAAGCCCATTTCTCCTTGTGCATGCTCTATTTAAAAGTTGATGTTCTTATAGTTCATACAAGCTTACTGTGTCTGAACATCCGCCCTAACCCCTAAATCCCTCACTCACTTTATAGAGCGGGGACTATATGGTGGAATTAATAGCAAACTCGGTTAACTGACAGTTCGGATAGATCATCACTGTTTTTTATTCCCCGTTGGTCATGTAACATGTCACTCCTCCTCCAACGCGCGGTGCCCATGCCATCTTTGTTATTAGCGGGCCGCTGTGACAGCAAATCCCATAATGCTTTGCCAGGAAAGTTCTTCATACAAAGCATTCCGGGATAAATCTGCCCCTTTTGAGGCCTTTCTGTTCTTATACTCTTCGTAAACACTTTTTCTCTTACGACACTCGGGCATTTTCAAAGAACCACGCTGAGAAAGGTGAGCTTCAATGACTGAAACTGTAGCTCACCAAACATGTACGCCTGAAAGTGTGCGTGTGCAGAAACGGGTAGCTAACGGGGAGGCGAGCACGTATGACGGCCTTACGTAAACATATCACCAGAATGATTGACAATTAGGAGGGCCACTTACTTAGATGATCCACCCGGAAATAAAAGATCGTCCTCTATACCTTTAAACTATATGAGTTACATTTATATTTATGTTGTATAAGAGCTTTTTAAAGGCCTGATGGTTTTGTGCCTTTTGTCTTGAGCAGATCCTGACTGTCGCTCTTTCCTTGTCTCTGTTGTGCAGGCTGCAGATGGGTTCCTGTTTGTAGTGGGCTGTGATCGTGGGAAAATAGTTTTTGTCTCAGAGTCCGTCACAAAGATATTAAATTATAGTCGGGTAACACTTTTACATTTGTCGCATAATCTGCTTCTTATCCATGCTGAACATACTGTAGAATAGCAAGTAAAATAAATACATTTTACTCTATAAGTTGGGTTTTTTTTTTTTTTTTAAATGTACATTTGTGATTTTAATTTATCCTTATTGAAACCTTAATCTGCCATACTTCTGGTTGCACGCCTTGCCTTGTAAACATGTTTATTCCATTTGTGTGTCCATTAGATCTCATTCAAAAGCAGCTATTTGAATGTGACAAATTGTAAAAAGTTCAAAAAGAATATATACTTTTTACAAGAAAATATTAATAACATTAATAGTGTGTCCTTACAATCTGACTCCCTTCCAGATTAACACACCATCTGGTGTGCTCCTGGAGCAACAGTCCTCAGTAATTTAACTTCTTAGCTTTGTTTGAGATTTTGATATTTGCTTTATCCACACGGGAGCCTTTTGTTTTTCCAAGTCTGTGGTGATGTGTGTGTTTACTTTAGACGGAGTTGATCGGACAGAGCCTGTTTGACTACATACACCCCAAAGACATGGGAAAAGTGAAGGAGCAACTGTCAGCCTCTGAATCACATCCTCGAGAACGGCTAATCGATGCTAAAAGTAAAGCTTTTAATGTTTCTAATTGATGTTATAAAGGTTACATTCGCTGTGTTTAACACACTGGGTGTCTGCAGCTGGTCTGCAGGTTCAGGCTGACCTTCCCATCGGTGCGTCACGGTTGTGTTCAGGAGCTCGGCGCTCTTTCTTTTGCCGTATGAAGTACAACAAAATACCTGTGAAAGAAGAAAAGGAAACCCAGGCCAATACCTCTAAAAAGAAAGGTGATTCAAGAAGTTCCTGTGCACTTCTCACAAACTATACCAATGGGAGGATTTTATATTTTATTGATTAGGTTCTTTTTTCTGACATTCTAGAGTCACAGAAGTATTGCACCGTCCACTGCACCGGCTACATGCGCAGCTGGCCAACTAGTCAGGTGGGAGCCGAGGGGGAAGGCGAAGCAGACAAGCAGGACAGCTCCTATTTTAGCTGCCTGGTGGCGGTAGGACGCGTCCATTCGCACTCGGCTCCGCAAATTAACGGAGAAATCCGAGTTAAACCCACAGAGTTTGTTACACGCTACGCCATGGATGGAAAATTCACCTTTGTTGATCAAAGGTAGATTTGATTTCCTGTTATTCAGTTGTAAATCTGCTGGAATGTGGTGCTTATCATTCGGACTATCTATGGGAGAGACTTTAAAATCATTCACTGCAGGGAAATTAAAATCTTCCTTTAAATGAGCTGCTTTTTGAAACGTTATTAGGATTTTTTCGTGAGTGTAAATGACTGGAGCCAGTTTTTCTTTTGAGTTAATCCCTTTTAATATAAGAAACCGTTGGTAGTACTTAGCATCAAGATATTTTTATGTAATGGTTGTAAAAGTATTAAGACCTTGATATATCAGGGTGTGTGAATGTCGAAGATTTGTAACAACAGATAAATTCCACTCTTAAGGTTAAAAAGTTAAGGTTTTTTTATGTCAAAACAGGAGATCAGACAAAGAACAGAAAACAGATTTGTTTGTTTGTATTTCTGTTCACCCACCCAATGCAAAACTTTCACGATTAAGTCAAAACAAGTCGAGACCTTGTGTGTAAAAGAATCACAGCTTTCCTACTAAAAGTTGCTTTTAAAGTCTCACATCAAACCTTACCTTCATACATCCCAGTGTTGGGTTGATCATAGGCTCGCTTGTATTTTTCCCAGCCCAATCCCTGCCCCTAAATGCATATGAAAGTCACTATACATATGGAGAAGGCATCCACAGTGCTGTAAGATAACCATTGCAACAATGGTGTCTGGCCGTCATAACAAGGCCATGTCAACATACCTCAAGGAAATTTATTACGGCCAACCGGCAATTTATTGAATGACGTCAGCGACTCGCTAAAAAGTTTGGCTGAAAAAAAAAACCCTGTCAGATCGAAACCGTTTGCTTCTACAATTTTTGAAGTCCAAAAGGTGCGGTCTATCTGCTGCATTGAGCTCAATAATTGCTTGTGGTGTTTAGAAAATCATTATTAAGATGTATATATAAAACCCCTATAATTCTATTAGGAGCGCTGCACTATTCAAACACGTGAATCACACTCAGGGCCTGAGCTTCGAAGATTACAAAAAAAAAGGGGGCACTAAACTGCTCATGCATTTTTTTTTTTTTTTCTTTTGCCTTGTGTTTGCACTAAGTGGGCTCATTGCTGGTGATCTATAGAAGTTGCTGCATAAATATCATGTGCAAAAAGGTTGTATTAAACTCTTAGTTTGAAAGAGGCCAGTGGTTAGCGCGCACCACCCATGTATGGAGGGCTTGGTCCTCTACGTGGCCGACCCGGGTTCGTATCTTACCTGTGGTCTTTCTTTGCATGTCTCTCCCCCTCTCTCACACCCCTTTTCCTGTCAGCCTATTGTTGGAAAAGAGGGGAAAAAAAGCCAATAGTGATGTAAAAAAAAAAAATTATAATAAAAACAAATGTTAATTGGCGATAACAATGACACTATGAATATTTTTATTGCATTCCACATAGTTGGTCTATCCCAAAGTGCTATAAAAATGTGGAGAATAAAAGTTAAATATGAGAGAAATATGTGATTTTCATGAAAAATTTGAAAGTTGTCTTTGTCTGCTAATTAACTAACCAATTCCACCCCAAAAAAGAAGGAGCCACAATCAGATTTCCAAGAATTAAGCTCCACAGCATGGATTTATTTTCACCAACTCCTATGATATAAAATTCTATTTTATTTGTAAAAATGTGTTTTTCCATTTTTGTTTAAATGTGTAAACATTTTTGTCGTCCAGCGGCATTAATTGGTTACAGCCTGCATAGACGTTTCTCTTTATATTATTCTACTGTTGTCATTTCTAACAATTCAAATACTTATATGTTCACAGAATCTCTTTGTCATCTGATTGTACCACTGCCTCCTTTTAGCCCGTTTTTGGTCCAGTAATCCCAACTATAACAAAATGGAAAATGTTTTCACAGTTTTCATGTCAGGCAGGATTTGTAAATAAAGTCTGAGGAGCATGGATCATTTGATACTCAGACTTTCCACTGGTGGATTTTATACCCCGCACAAAACCTATTTTTTATTTTATTTTTTTCCCAAGAAGGTAAAGTAAATTATCTTAATGGAATTTTTTTTCTTATTTTTCACTCAGAACATTTCCCTTACTAAAGGTTTGGACAAGAAAAAGTCAGCAATATTATCTAACCGTTAATCAAAAAGATATTACAGCTCATCCTGAGATTTAATTCTCATTTAGGAATCATAATGGTTTGGTTGAAATTCCAGAAGTGACAGTAAGATAATTTAAAAAACTTCTCAAAGGAAGAAATTTATTTGAGTTTTACAAATTCTTGCCAAGTGAGTTTTGTTTCCCTTGTTAACATTTATTTTTAAATTTTTTCAAAACCAGTAAGTGTGATCATATCCAGGGAAAACATGTCTTCTTTTACTGCCACTGTTTTTCTCCCTGTTCCATACTCTGCTTTAGCATTTAAAGACAAAGGTTGGGGCTTTAATACTTTGGGAGTCGATGGTAAAAATATTTATATTTTAGATATTTTATCTTTATTTTCATTACTTAGGAGTATCTTGAATAGATTCATTCCTTATCATGAAGTTGAAATTCTTGAAATTCTTGGCTAGGAAACAGCAAGACTGATAATGTACAAAATTAGCATAATTTCATCTCAACGGAAGCTGAAAAAGCTAAATGTGTTTTACAACTGGGGAAAAAAATGCAGACTTTTTTTTTCTGCATTTAAGACTTTTAAAATATTCCAGTAATATGTTAAGTATTTTGTATCTTTTGATTTAGTTTTTTAGAACCATTGAATTTACAGTGTTTTGATAAATTTTTCCGGAAACGCTCATTTTGACTTATTTCACTCTTCTCTCCCCCAACAGAGCAACTACCATTCTAGGTTATCTTCCCCAAGAGTTGCTTGGAACGTCTTGCTACGAGTATTTCCATCAGGATGATTTATTACATTTAGCTGACAGACATCGAAAAGGTTAGCAGTGTCTGTTATCCTGACTCATAACCCCTTAACTGCATTGTCATGCGTTGCTGTGATGCACATCATGCTTTAAATTTCTAGTTTTTGCAAACTGCTTATAGTAGGTGCAGTGTTCTGTCTTGTATTGTTTACCTTTTTTTTTTTATTATTCTTGTTGCCTCTTTGCAGTCCTGAGGAGTCGAGAGAAAATAGAGACAAACTCCTATAAATTCAAAACGAAGTATGGTTCTTTTGTCACTCTGCAAAGTCAGTGGTTTAGTTTTGTTAACCCCTGGAACAAAGAGGTTGAATACATAGTGTCAACCAACACAGTCATTTCGTGAGTATATGCTTACGCTGCTTATTGTTTATCTAACCATATCTGCACATGGCTGCTCACTAAATGACCTGTTTCCTGTTACCTCGTCCGCCGACAAGGTATGACAACAGCCGAACGGGTCGATCAGGACACAAGTCGGAACAGTCGGGCAATTCCAAGGCTTCAGAAGGTCAGACCATAACAATCACAGATCTGTTTCTATGCACTGCTTCATGTTACATACACTGCTCTGATTTCCCCAGTGTATGAATGAAGTGGGTGGTTTTCCGCTGAAAACAGAAAATCAAGTCTGACCCAGAAATGTTTATAGGTCCCTTTCAACATGCTGTATTAAGAAACTCTGAGGAAAGGGTTCAGTTTGTTTATGAATCGGAATCTGTAAGATATTAAATTACTTTATATACTTTTATCTGATGTTCTTAAGAGTGTATCAGAATACTTGAGCTTAAGCAATTAGCCGAAAAAGAGTCATGAAAGAACAACGTTTTTGCAGGAAAGTAGCTGCAACAGGTTTGCCTGAAAAACCACAAATTTTCTACTTGTTGCATGGCTGCAGTCTGCAGAGCTGTTGGTATCTGAGCTGTTATTGAGTATTCAAGCATTAAGAAAAGGAAATGGAGAGTGAAATGAATATTTGATTAACCCAGACATTTTGCATTGGTTTGCAAAACGACAACATTAAGTTAAGGTCAAATTCATTGATTTAAAAAGAAAAAAACAGCTGGAAAAATGCAAAAGGCTAAATTTAGAACTTTTATTAGATAATTCACCAATAAAAAAATAGATTATGTTTGGGATAGATTAGTTTTTACTTTAATTAAGTTAAGACATTAAGGTAACCATAAGTTGCAGTTTTTCTAATTTGCATTAAACAGTGGGACCAAAGGCAGTGGTATCAAAGCCTGACCTGAAAAGGCCCTCTCTATTTAAAAAAGCACATTTTGGAAGTCTTGTAATCCAATGTGTTTTCTTACAGACTGCAAGAAGTCCCTTCCAGTCATACCAGGCATCTCCTCTGCATCTGGAACCATGATATACGCTGGAAGTATTGGGACACAGATTGCCAACGAGCTACTGGATTTTAACAAGTACGAAATTATAACCAGAGCAATAACTTTGTAAAAAAAAAAAAATTAGAGAGCACTGTGTTTTATAAGACATTTTTATTTTATTATTAAAATTGGATCATGGGAGAAGTAATAAGTGAAGAGAATGAAGAAATTAGAAGTTTTTAATGTGTCTCTTCTTTGGACAGTGAGTCTAGAACAGAGGAAATGTTGAGCAATGAAGTAAAAAGAACAGAACCTCACACTAACTGTGAGGCACAGAGCTGAAAGCGTCATTGTTTATAGATCAGAATAGCCTGAACAGCTTTTTGTCACAGACTTCATCATGTGTATCAGACCCTGAAACATGCTTCTGAACCAACGCATACCAGTGAAGCTAGTGTTTATTTGATTTGTGTTGGTCTGTTCAGGATGAATTCATCACCTTCCAGTGGGAACGTCAGTCCGTTCAGTCTTGTTCAGGATAAATCGCCCCAGACTCTCAATCAGATCAACAGTGTAAGTTTTTGTCTTCTGCACAACAAATAAATCTTTTATCCAGAAAACGACATTAATTCTGCCACAAGATGGTGCTGTTCAGGTTAATATTTACCTATTAAAGTTTTGTCAGGTGTTGGACCTTAACAAAATGGATAAATGAGATTTTTTTTTTCGCAACATAAAAGCTGTAAGGACTCTTGATTACTTTAGATGATGTTTCTTTCATGGATGGAGTTAAAATTGCTTGTTTGATTAGGCTTTTAATTTTATATTTCCTTCTGTACTGAGATGCTCATTTCGTGAGTTCAGATCAGGCTGCATTATTTTCAGTTGGACAAAGTTTTTGTTTTGCAAATTAGTAAGATGAATAATAAAAAATTTATTTGAGTTTTAACTTTTTGATTAGCTGAAAATTAAATGCATTGCAATCTATTGAGAAGCAGCCACAGGAATATGACCGGTTCCCCTCTTTTTTTTTTTAATTTAAATTGTGTTTTAAAAGTTATGTACCATGTCTAATAATCACAACTTGATGTTGAAGTTCTTAAATGTTCTACAGGTTTCATTTCACTTTAAACAAGTAGATTTTTATGGCTGCTCACCCTGATTTTTTTTGTGTCTTTTTTAGTTCCAACCCTCAGATGTAGATCTGATAATCTTTGTGTTTTAAGGTGCCAAATGGAGAAACTTCTGACATGGAGATTCCTGGAAAGTCGAGCTCGGAGGGTGAGCCTCAAGGGGCTTCGTTCTCAGGAGGAGACTCTCTTATGGGTACCTTAATCACATCCCCTTTTGTTTAACAACTGATTATAAAGCTGAATCCAATTTCTCAGGATGAAACCTACTTCTAGAGTTCCTTCTTCCCACTGCTCCTTGGTCCTTAATCTGGAAGAATATAAAGATATGACACTGACATACATGACTCTCACTTCTAACTTGTTAATAATATTGAAAATGATTGCCTGATATGTTCACGTGTCTTGGAACCAGTTATCTGTCCAGTTGTGCAGATTTTTATGCTAAAGGAAAACAAAATTGAGAAATGCTCTTTGAGGAAATTCTTTTTGATACATTTGATACGTTTCGTGTATCGTCCCCAATGTATTAAACCCTTATTTGGTGCTGATGTCATTCTAGGGGTGAGTATCGGTGTTGTATGCTGATGAAGATTCTCAGTCATCCAGGTCATGTTCATTCCAACAAAGAAAAAAAAAACACTGAACTTTGTTTCAAGTGTTCCCAGAATTCCCTTTAACGACCCTCCCTTCAGAGACTTAGACATTAATGGGGCATTGCAGGCTAACAAAAGAAGCCAAATGACCCCCATTCAAGGGGTGGACCCGTTTCGTCCGTTTCGATTTGCATGTCGTCTAAGCAAAAACACTGCTTTGTTGGGCTACTGTAGAAGGAACTCAATGCTATTTCTGATATTTGAAATGAAAAAAAAATGCTGGATGGAAGGCGAAACGTCTTAAAACGTGGAAACAAAGTCCAGTGGTTTGTTGTTGTTTTTTTTACTTTTCGAATGGTACGGGTGTTGCGATATGTGTCACGATACCTGGGTTCCAATACGATACTGTCACAATATTGCAAAATCACTATGAATTGCAATATTATTCGAAGCTATCAAACTTAATGTATAGATAAAAATCAAGTGCTGTATATGTTGATCAGACATTCATCAGATATTGATCATTGGTATCCATGTTATTTTGGGTTTGAGTTGGTCCACATCATCTACTGTGACTGCCTCAACTACAGATATGCAAAAAGGGCTCCACAGCGCTTTTTCCCTGAGTGGCGGTGCAGAGGTTGCCCATTTTTCCTCATTGTTTTTTTTTTATTGGATAGTCAAGGATTTTTTTTTATTTTTTAAAAAGACCCCACCCCTCCACTTTAAAAAAATAAAAAATGCACATGCACAACCCTGTACCTGTTCCAGAGAGGGAACGCTTATTAAACGTGTGCGAGAGCATGCACGAGCCCATTTCTTCTTGTGCACTCTGTTTAAAAGTTGAAAACTGTCTAAAAATGTTGGATAAATGGGTATCAACACAATCTTCAATGATTGTACAGCAACATGTGTTTTTTTTTTTCTAATATCATTCAGTCCTACTTGGTGCAGTAAAGATTCACCTGAGAAACGTATTTAACTATAACAAAGATGTCTCTTTCTTTTGATGATTACTGAGGAGGAAAACCTTGGAATGAGCTCAACGTTTGCTGTTAATTATGATTTAAAATAAATATCAATATATATTTAATATCTTCTGATTACTAGCAACAATTAACATTAATAAAAAACATAATTAGTGGTTATTATTGGAGATATGCTAACTGTGAAAGTCCTAACATTTGGGGATTTAATGAGCCGTGCCTGTTTTACCTATAGGCTCTCCACATGCTCCATAAGAACTATTAGGACTCTAAACCTTAGATGTAGGGTTAAGGAATGAGAGGGGAAGAAGAGCAAATGAGATTCAACTTAAATGTGTCTCCTTGTATTTATATATTTTTTTTCTTTTTGTTTTTTTCTTTCAGGGGAGAGTTCCCAGCTGGATTTGGACAGTGTTGTTGGAGCCAGCCTGAACAGTCTGAGCAACGACGAAGCAGCCATGGCAGTGATCATGAGCCTGCTGGAGACCGACACAAACTTGGGAGAAACCGTAGACTTTGAAGAGATGCACTGGTCCTTATAGAACCTGCTCTTGGGAAACAGGAATGCTAACTCCAAAAAAGAAGCATTTAGGGTCTTTTATTTTATTTCCCCCCCCAAGACTTAATTTATTAGTTCTTCCCTTTCATGACAAGCTGCACATTTTCTGAGTAACTACAAGATTCGTACTGGTGATGACCTTCTCAGATTAAGGTTGTGCCTCTGGAGCCTTGCAGCAGTTTCACACCAATTCTAAGAAGCTCAGAAAATATTGAAATTCACATCTTTACATCCTGGTTTTTGAGGAAAACAAAATTTTGGAAAAGGAAAAAAAACAAAGCAAATCACCGAGCTGATGCTTCTGTACAGTTATTACAAAACGTCATGAGGAATACAGCCTGCCACCTCTCTGTAAAGCCTCAGGATATAAACATTAGGATGGAGTCCAGCGCAGCAGGCGGAGCCTCTAACCTCCACCTTCGGGAGTGGACTCAGATATGGGTGCTTGGAAGGTTTCTCTGTCAGTATCTGAACATTTGTCATGGCAGCAGTCCTGTAAAGCTCTTCTTTTCTACACTGTTTTAAATATGCTGTATTTGTTTGGGGTTAATGAGGGCAAACGTCACTTTTTTAGACCATATGTGTCTTAAAGGGACAGTTTGCAAAGGAGACCCCAGTCTTTAATAACTGTTGAATCAGACATGCAGCAGCTGGGCAAACATTTGTCCTCATAAATTCAGTGGATCAACATCATGCTAAGCAAAAAAATAAGTAAAAAAAAACATTTCAAAATGGTGACTATGAGGTTTGGTAGCAACAGCTAAATGAGTCACTTTCCGTTTTATCAGTCTGTGTTTAAAGTTATTGATGATAGAAGAGATAACTCAGGGAGTTATCCAGTTTAAGGATTTCCAGACTTCCCTGCTTTCTGTGTATTTTTGCCCTCCGTTTACCAGTTCACCTGTGTCTTCTCATGCATTATCAGCTTTATAGTTTAGCCCAAGGTGTTTTTTTTGTTTTTTTTCTATTTTCATGTACATTTATGCACTGATACCTTTCTGAAGACGTGTTAATATTACCTGTGCTTACTGGGCGTGTGCTGTGTTGTCACTTAAAGCTGCTGTCTGTAGATTACATACATTCTCTGCTAGCATTAATGACTTATTATTATAGATTTTGTTTTAGCCGTTTTTTTTGTTTTTTTGCGTCGATTAAACGACACAATGTCAGTGATTTTTACAGCAAGAACTTGGTACAGATGGTTGAATTTATCCTATATTTTCCAGGCTTTTATACATGGATACACCCCCCAGTTATGCTTGAATAAATCGCTCTTAAAAGGGTCTTAAAGATGCCCTACAAGAAGGCCCTTGTATAATTGTGACTGCATGATGAAGCACTGTAGTCCATTGCAACAGTAAAGCTTGTCTGAAACGGTTATTTTGCTGCCTTGAACGTGGCTGACGCTGCTTCCTTTTCCTCGTGTCATCCTTGCAGAAAGGATTGAATCTTAGCCAACTTACCATGTTAAATAATTGCCAGTACTTTTGGTAGTTTATGTTCGATTTTAACAGGGCTGATGTTTGGGGCCGTCCCAATAGCTTTGCGATAATTTCCAACTCACTTTCAACCATCAAGCTGTTGATTGACCAAGCTGAAGAGTTGGGTAGGGTCCTTTTTTTATTTTCTCAATTTTGTGAAATACTACAGTATTACTGATAGTAAAACAGACCCTTAGCCTGCTGCAGCCACTACCATGCTTCCCAGAGCCTCACCTTGGATTTCCTCAGAACGTATAGAATGGAATGAATCCAATCAAAAGAAGCTGCAAATTATGATACTGTTTAGCTTTTATTCTTCCTAAGCGTCTATTTTTTATTTTATTTTTTTTACCCCAAGTTGAAGCGTTTGACTCTTGTTTTTCCACACAGCAGGACTGAGTTCTCGAAGCTTTCTTTACAATTCCTGATTGGTCTCCTTAAAGCCTGATCCTCGCCGCTCTGTTAAATGTTTCTGGACTTTTCTTAAAAGCTGGATCTGTGTTAAGAAAACCAACGACAATCACTGAACCCTGTAAATTCTGCCAAGAGGAGCAGAAGAAATATCCGCTCTGAATTAGGCCATGGTCTTGTTGGTAGCTACAGACAATTGGTGGGTCCGGTTCAACTCGTGAAACGACATTTTAGCCACATAGCAGTCGGTTTATTTTTAAGCTGTATTAATCAAAACCAAACAGCTTCTCTTTAAAGCTAATTGAATCTTTTTGTTCTAAGATGTTTCCACACTGGTTAAAAGAGGGTCCAAATGGATCATGAAGAGCCTCAGAAATAATTTTTACATTATTTGTGATGGGTGTATGTAAGCTTCAAAGTCCATCTGGGTAATAATTAAGGGGCTGCTATGCAGAGCATTCCATAGATTTACATATTTCTCTGTAGTTCTCTTTGTATAAAGGTTCATGCATGCAACCTTCATTTTAAAACTTGGGAGTTCCTGAACCTTCCTTAATCCTGTTGCCATTACCTCATGTAGAGTTGAGACTTCCTGTTGCTTAGAATTGCACATTTATCTCTCTGAGAGAAAAGTAATAGCCATTAATAATATGCTTTGTTGGTGATCTATTGCTTTGACTTTAAATGTTGTTGTGAAATCACCAAAGCACGTTAAAGATTTGACGCACAGTCACATTTTCCCTTAAAATTGACCTACTTCCTGGTATTTGTAGCCTCATTGAAAGAATCGGGTGTATCGGTTGTTTTATAAAACATGTTCTCTAAACGTTTAATGCCAAACTATAGAGGAGTTTAATTTGCTGTCTGGTATAATTTGCCTTTAATACATTTATTTTGAAGATAAATTTGCTAAATGCTGCAGATACAACGTTTTTTTTTTTTTTTGGGTCAAATTGTTTCGGTCTATCTAACGATGAATTATTGGAGACTTCCATCGATTAATTATTTGGGATATTCTGTATTTTTTATTGACGGTATCTTGGGCCACGATCTAGCAATTTCTTGAGGACTGTTAATGTTTAATTTTTCCAGTAATGGCTCCTGTTTTGTTGATACAATGTGTGAATCATGAAGTATACCTTCTGTCATGTTAAGCTTGAATTTTGAGGAGCCGGTCGAAGCAGCAGCTCAACTCACAGGGGACCGTCCCACCTGTGTCCGAAGTGCCTTTGGACATTTCTGCTCGGACACGCATTGAAACCTGCTTTTTTCTTTGACTCCTCTGCAGACTAAACGGAGAGCTAAAATGTATTTCATTGGATTAACTTGAAGCTCCATGGGCTGCTGTGCTCATCATGGAGGGATACTTCTGCACAGATTGGAGCAGAGGCTGCACACCATTGCTTCAACACTCACTACCTAACCAAACATGCAGCCCTTAGGAGTCATGCCATGGATGTAGGGGGGTCTTTTTTTTTTTTGGTTAAAGGGCAAAAATTAATTTTGTCGTAAAGCCGTTTGGTGTCGTTACTGTGCTGCTCCCTCCATCTCCCCTCTGTTGTTGCTGTCGTTTCCCCACATAGATAATATATTGCTCTCATATCAGCTTGTTTTGCTGTGCAGGAGTGATTGAACTTTTCAGTTTAGCTTTGTCTCAATTTGAAATAAAGTGTAGTTTTTGTAAGCAAGTGAATTGTCTTTTGTGTGACTAGATCTATTTTCTTTCAATTTTTCTACATGTGTTTTTGCAGCCTGGGGCACTTACTCCCTAGATTCAACTTAAATTTTCACGGTGAGGCCCCTCCTACCCAACATGCAGAAAGATGAATCGTTCTAACTCAACTGAATCAGTTAAATAGCTCCGCAGAACCGGGTGGCATGCTGAAGAATTTCAGGGTGTTTTTTTTTGTTGAAGCAGAGCTGCATGGAAAAGAAATTGTACCATATGCTGCACAAAGGCATAAATACAAACACAATAAAATGCACTGAGATTAATAAGAATATAAAATAAGTCAAAACAATATAGAAAATAAAAGAAATAAAATCAACCAACATCCTTTTGAGTATTAAACGCTGGAAACGAGACTTTAAAAAAAAATATATATATATAACAATGGACTAACAGGAAGCCTGCGTGTTATACATTGGCAAATAATTCCAGATTTTGGGTTCCAGCTACATATAACACCATCCCTTCTGAGTTTATGCCTCGTTCTGGGCACTGACAGGAGTAATTGATCCCCTGTGCGAAGCGAATGAAGCTGTACATATGGATCAGCAATATATGGTGGGGTAAGGCCATTTAAAGACTAAAAACAAAGTAAAAGATGAGTCCTAAAAATAACAGGCAGCCATTGAAGTGAACTTAAATCTCCAATATACTCTAGGATTGGTGTTAGTTGCTTTGTGAAACAGCTTGAAGGTGTGTTGACGACAAAACCATAAAATCATAAAAAGCTACTATAAAAGCATTATGGTAAGATTTTACAACTGTTCAGTAAAATATAAGCTATGTTTATTCCTATATATGTATTTTCTGCTTAGGTAAAAACTATTTCAAAGTTTTCTATACTTGATAGCTTTAAATTGGTTCTGAAGCTTAAATTTTAACTGTTTAATTTTACTTAAATGCAGTTCAGTAACAAATATTGTTCAAGCTGTTGTGAAATGAATTTCAATACATTTTCTGTGATTTTTATTTGCATGTTCAGTCAAAACAGTTTCTGATGGGTACAGTACAGGTGATTTACTGTTTTCTTGTTTGATTTAAAACTCTGCAGTCAAACAAAAATAGAGTATTAAACTCTTACAATCAGCCTATATGAAACTTGCAATTTCCTAACAGAAATGTAACGATATTTACTCAAATGTTGCTCCTTGATTTGAAGAAAGTGGTATTATTTCATACTGCTAAAAATTATATAGCAAATTGCTGCAATCATTTTTTTTAATCATGTCTTCATAGACATGGGGGTAAAAAGGCCTTTCTGTTCTGTGAAGAAAAAAAGCAGTGTTGAATTTGTTGAACAGTTGCATAATTGCTTTAATGGTTGTTTTTCTTTTTTTTTTTCTTTTTTTTTGTTGACCTTGTCCCTCTTTATGAAGAAAAAGGTCAACATAAAGAAAATAAAATTATTTTGAGTACCCATCTCTGGGTACTCTGATTCGCTCACAAAGAATAGAACAAGTTTATATGTAAAGGAACTCTGCGTTGCCTTGAAATGGACAGGCAAGCCGTCCAGGTCGCACCCTCCCTGGTGCTCGGTGATGGTGAGAGAGAAACCCTGGGACCTGCAATTGTAGATGATATTATAGATCAGAGTTTGTGCTCAGATGTTTTAGGTGTTTCCCTGCCTCCACACACCTGACCTGAATGACAAGGTAATTAATTCTGCAGTATTTGTGTAGTTCCACTTATAACTTTATGTTCTCTCCTCTTTTTCCTCATCATAGTGGCTTCCTCTGGTCTGTTCTGCTGTGATACCTATCTGGCTGCCATAGGCATCTCTGTCATAAAAATTGGAGCTGTACCTATTTCCACTGTATTCCTGTTTCTTTTGGTCTGGCTAGCAGAACTGGCTTGTAGTTTGTCTGCCTGGCTATGTCTTAACAGGACTGGACCACCACTGGAGCTGGTTGACAGTTACCGTTTATGATTCTGCTTCTTTCTCCTTGAACCCCAGTTCGGCGTCTGCAGAAGTCCGCTCACATTGAGCCTGGTTCTGCTGGAGGTTTCTTCCTGTTAAAAGGGAGTTTTTCCTCTCCACTCACACTACATACAGGCTCTGTGTGAGGAGTTGCTGAAGAGTCAACAACAAAATACAAGTGAAGTTCATCACCACAGACCCATCCAGGAAGAGCATATCTTGCAAGTCAATGACTGGATACAAGCGATAACCAATCTCACTGTATTTTCTCTGTAAAGTACCTTCAGATGACATGTGAAATGGCATCATAAATATAAACTGAATTTAATTTAATTAGCCTCATACGAAAGTTCTGTTTTTAGAATTTCCTAAAAGTAATTTCATGGTCCAGGCTTTAAAGGGTCAGCCATGGCTGAGGGTTTGTGTTGTTGTCCTGGTAACAGATACGCCTATTTCCCAGTACCGACTCTTTGGCAGATTCTGTTCCAGAATTGTTCTGTATTCAACTCCATCCCACTCCCCATATGTTATGATTAGAGTTGTTCTTTTGTTTTCTACATAAAGGAAAGCATCCCCACAGCATATTGGCACTATCATTTTGGACAGTGGGTATAGTGTCCTTACAGTCTTCCTGTCATGTAACATTTTAACACAACTAGGCTTAATATCTTCAGAAGTCCTGATACTGAATTCAGGCCAGTTTATGGTTTGCCTTTTTTTTTTTCTTTCTTCAGAAACAAAAAATTGTATCTTTGTTTAAAGTCACTAACACATACTGTCCACTAGAGGTCGCCCGAGGTAATGTATCCTTTGATATGCAGTTCTCAGACAGAAGAAAATGCTACCTTTAATGTTCAACAGAAAATAGAAAATTGCATGCATAAGTATTTTAATTAAAGTGATTGTACTAAACAATTTACTACAGTGATTACTTCCCCCCCTGTGCAATACGAACGAATCAAAGTATGTTAGTTTTGACGCGTCACTAATTTTACTCCTATTGCTTTCAATGAACCCTCCAGGCTTCCAATAAAGGGTATAATCCTTAAAATTCAGCCGGGAGATGAGTCGAGTAAAAATGATACACATTTAGAAGAGTTTTCCTATTTTAATGTATAGTAAAATCCTGTATTTTTGTTATTAATGTGCAGTTAGAGACGACATAAAGGAAATAGTATTTGCCTGCATCCACTGACTGTATATGAGGAATAATGACATTTACATTGAGATAATCAGCGTTTAATCAACAGAAGAGTTGGTTACACTGAACATTTATTTTTTCTTGGGGGGGAGAGACACACAGCAGAGTCCCCAAAAGCATCTATTGTTTCAGAGAATAATGTTCTAAAAACACAGAAGAAACTGATTCATCTATCAGTAACTTTACCAAAGTGAGCGCCCACCGTGCTCTGGATGAGCCTCGTTTCAAATCTCCTTTCCAGGCCCGTCGATGTCACGCCGGATAAGAAATGGAGCGCATCCCTAGAATCCCTGCTCCCGGACCAATCCCGGCTGGAGCGGGGCGGGATTTTCCAGCGGCGACGTCATCAACTTTCCCCCTGAGCAGCAGCGGTGTCACATCGACATCATGGCGTAGCGATGCGGTGGAGCTGGGGTTTCCGCTGGTGGGCACGGAGAAGTTCAGAAATCCTGGAGTTTTAACTTTATCATCAGGAATTATCCAACAAAACACGACAAAGTTAATTCCTTCGAGCAAAGTGGTAAGAGGCGTGGTTTTAGTTTTTGCTGTGATTTATTGATCTGTTTATTCTTTTATGGAAAACTTAGTTCAACGGCTGTTGCTCGCGCGCTCGAACGCTTGCTCTGGTTGTTCGTGCTTTAACATTTAATGGCTGTTTTCTGTAGGTTTTTTTTGGAGTTTTTAGCGGTTATCAAACTACTTTAGGGCACCACGGGGTGTAATTATTCCTCCGCAAGTTATATTTGACAAGCTGTACTATTCCTCATTGTTTTTGAGTGAGAAAAAGTTGGTAACAAGTGATAAAGTTTTATTATCTAGATGTTAGCATGTTTTTCTACAAAGTTTTACAGCTAGACAAATAACATTGAAAAAGCTAAACTCTCAACATTTTCAGACAGCTCAACAGTACGTCTTCGTAAGAATCATATTAGTTAATTAGTTGTAGCAAGGTAATTGAAAAGACTAACTCATATTATGATTGCATTTTTTTAAACAATATTAATGTGTAGTTTTTATACCTAATTTTTGTAAACGGCTAAGTGGCTCAAAGAAAATTGATCTTTTTATTTTTTATGTTATGACGTTTTTACTACTTTTAATTTGGCCTGAGGGCATTTTAATGTTTCACACTTTTTATGTTGCCATAGTATGTTTATTTTTTCAAACCTGTGAAACTTAATCCGTTTTTTAATTGTTCTTAATTCAACCTTACAACCTTTTTTTTGTATGATTTTCAGGGAAATTTAAATCTTAATCATCCAGGGAGACCAAAATGCTTTAAAGGGTCTGGATGTGAACATTTTGTTTCATTGTCATTACACTGTCACAAGTACAGAGCAACAAAATGAACCCTCTGCATTTAACCCATGTCCTTGGGGAGCAGGGGGCTGCCATTGTGGGGCGCCCAGGGAGCAGTGTGGAGTTAAGGGTCTTTGCTCAGGCAGTCTGTGGGAGTGGGGTTCGAACTCAGAACCTCTAGATTTCAAAAGCATCGTCCTAACCACTAGGCTGCCACTCACCTAAACGATAGCCGTGCTTCTGTAAAATTAATAAAATGGATTTTGGGATGTCCCAATCCAATATTGATATCTGAAATCAATCAATAATAGCCTAAAAAATTAGTTTATTTCACATTAGTTAGTTGTTTGCATATGTTTTGTTGTTGACTTTTGTTCCCTGTTTTAGTAATATAACTCGATCAAGCCCTGTCTAACACGTGACAGTAGTAAATAAGTAATAAAGGTCAGTAGGATTCATGCTTTAATCGTATCAGGTCAACATCAGCATGGTATGGTAAATTAAAAAGTTGTATCGGGACACCCTTGGAAAATACTGCAACAAGACATGATTCAGTCTGTGATCATTATAATAACTTCCACATAATACAGGTTAAACGACAGAACCGGTTTTAGAAACTATTGAAGCTAGGACTTTAAATCATTCCTTTTCTGTTTAAAAACAGAAACAGCTTCACCCCATGCATGAAGCAGTTGCAGAACTGGAGAGCTCCTTCAGTGACAGACTGCTGCACCCTAAATGCACCAGGGAGCGTTATCACAGATCCTTCCTCCCAGCAGCTGTAAGACTCTAAAACCATCACTGTATATTAATTATTTATTCTCCAGGTGCACATTATTTATATTGTTAAATCACTTTACAGTACGGTATTTGATTTGTTTACTTTTTAACTCTTCACTATTATGTTATCCTAATATACTTATCTAAGGTCCAAATTTGTGTTACCGTTCTTTCTATAATCTTTTTGCTGCTGTAAACACCAGAATTTCCCCATTGTGGGACAATAAATGGATTTTCTACTCTATTCTAAACCCAGTTTAATTAAAGATCATTTCTAATCCAATGCACTTCTCAAATTAAGACTTTGTAAATGGACCATGAAGAGCACCGGTCCATCCTACGGTAAAACACTCATACAGTCCAATGCTGCCACTCCTTTCATACATAAACCTTTGAGACATTTGGTTCCATAAACACGTTCTACCCATGAAACATGGTTTTGTCTGAGTGAATCATGTTCATTAAGCCCTGGCTGTCATTGATAGGTAATAATAGCAACTAACAGTTGCAGCATTCATGCAGCTATGGGCTTCTTGGCAGTAACCTTCTTATTGGAAGGTCCATAGTTTTTGCCACATTTGCACAATTTAGAATAACGTCAGAATGCGCGGTTAATTAAGTTAAGCAAGAAACTGTGAGTAATGGCTAAAAAATGTGTCCCGCTGTCCAACATAAATGAGTCCTATATGAGCTTTTGCAAACACACGCAGGAAATTCTTCCAGATTTTATCTCATCAAGCCTTAATTATTTGAAACATTTCATCTGCATCCTGTGCTTACATTGGATCACTCTTTCTGATATGAAGATTTTCCCTAACGTTGCCTTTTTTAATCACCTTTTTCCAAACTTCATTTTATTTGGTGCCATAAAATAAGTGAGGATGTGTTCTGCCTGAACGCAGAGTTTGAAAATAGCTGGAGGTTATTCTTGAGCTGCGCTTTACAGGCCTCAAACCTGTTTACACACAGACACACAGCCTCACTGTGCTTCTAACATTCTTCAAACGTGGAGCCATTCGTGGCTCCACGTTATTTAGCTCCATATGGGTGTGTTTTCTAAAGCGCTGCTGCGTTGAATCTACTGACTGTTTCACCGTTTGGATTAAAACAGGATGAGCTGTCCTAGCTACGGTTTTAATTTTTTCCCCTGGAATTTTGTATGAAGGTGAATATGAGTCAAAATATGGCGTCAGTATGTGGAGAGGTTTGTATCCTCTCTGCCATGTCCTTGGAAAGCATTACATTACCATAAGTAAAAATAGAAAGTCTGTATGATTTATTCCTGGTTTGTAAATTCCTCTCTTTCCAGCTCTTTTCACCGCTAACCACGGAACAGCGTGTTAAAGTTAGCTGCATTTTGGGTGTAAGCATCAGTCTTTATCTTTTTAAAGACATAAAACCCCAAGACTTCCATTCTGTTTCCTGCACAGATCCCTGGTTTATAAGGGAATGTAAGTTGTTGTTGTTTTAATGCCAGGAATTCTTGAGAACTCAGATTGTCCTGAGAGGATGGGCTATAATAGTATTCTTTACCCTAAGGGAGTAGCGCTAAAGTTGCAGAGAGTTACTAGACTGTTTTTAGCTTTAAGAAGCTTTTAGGTTTAAAAAAGTGATCATAAAGGCAGGTGGTGTTGTAGGTGTCCTGTGCATTATAAGCCTGCATACCTTCCTTTCAAAATACCCTGCACTGGTGAATAATAGCAGTAGTGTCTAATAGTAGTATCAGTCATGCTAGCAGAAAGGCGGACAGGGAAACACTGTTTTCATGAAAGGTGCCGGGATTTTAAAATTTCTTCTTTTTGATAGCAGAAGCGCAAAGACAAAATACAGTTCAAAGTTTAAGGGCAAACTGTATGTATGAATCTGCCCCTCCTTGATTTCCTTTAGATAAGATCCAAATCTGTTGTTCAGATGTGATGACTGGCCTGTTTTATCGACTTGGTTAGTAGGAACAAACGTAAATCCAGGTGTCTTTCATGGCTGACCTAAGGTTTGCTTTTGAGGGACAGCACATGCAAATCCGCCTCATCCGAGTGCAATACGGGTTGAACACTATGTCTCTCCTTGAAATGACACTCTCTGTGTTTAGTCCTGCATGGATCCTTGAGGATGTGAGTGTGGAAATGTTCAGACAAGTTTTCAGCCGCATGAGTTCATCGCTGTCTGACACATGGACAGCAGGTTCCAAAGCAGCTTGTCTGGACCTGGTCTGCTGTGTTTGAAGTTGGTTTGCTGATAGCCACGTGTTCCCTTCACCCAAGTTTGTGCTTCCTCTGAGAAAGACAAAGAAGGAAAAAAAAAAAACGGTCTGATTCAGGTATTTACAGAGAGATGCCCTAAGGGTCCCCATTCCATTTCAGAGTCACCTCTGTTGGCTCAGCTGCTGGTTTAATCACAACGCAGTGAGTGACAGTGATTTATTTATTAGCTCTTAAATCTTTTTAAAATATTTAACAATGGCATGAGTCTAAGCTGGTATCTGTGATGTCATTGGTTGACCGTTTCCCCAAACATATTTTCTAGATGTGGTTTGCTTGAGTTTTTTTTGTGGTTTCACGGTGGCTTAATTGCATCATGACTGATTAAGAAAGTGCTAATCTCATAACAATGCTATCATAGTTCCATCTTTTGTATCCAGTCTTCCATTGATTGAATTTTCTGCTTTTCGGTTTTAAATGTCTTCATCAGGGCAAACCTCTACTGTAGGCAGCCCCAAAGTAGCTTTTTTTTATGTATTTCTGATAGCCTCAGTGTTACACTATGGTGTGTTGGCTCCTCTCCCGCTGCTGCTTGTTGTGATCAATCTCATGTTTCATTGCATTCCTGTTTTACACATAATGGAAAGTTTGCCTGCAGAAATGCTAAAATAACAGTGCCTGGTATGTGGGTGGTTTCCATAAAGTTTGAAAATGGTGGGGCACTCCCAGGATTTGAAGCAGGCGATTAAAGGAAGAGGGCTCCTTATGTGTGCATGAAAATACAGGAGAGTGGTGTGATTGAACGTCCACAGATAAAGGGCCGGCTGTGTTCCTCAGGGCAGACGTCCAAGGCAGAGACAGTAAAATGTAACTTCACACTGCTGCGAACAAAGTGTCCAGTGTCCCACTGGGAGGACACGCTGTATACCAATGTTTTAGGGAAATGGCCTGATTGATGCTTGAAAATGCATTATTCATTACTGTTTTCTCTGACATTTTATTAGTTCAAGTTAAGAATTTCACCCTTTCTTGTGAAACAACCCAAAATAAAAATAAAACAATTTTTTTGGATGGTTGTGATTCAGCTTTTGGTGGAACTGATTAAAATAGCCTAGCTTCTCTGTAGTGGTCTAACTCCTTGAAAGACCTAAATGACCAGAATGGTTTTCTTAGGTTTGATTAGATTGTTTTCTCTTAGAAAGTTTTTGTTGATTCTTTTCCTATTTAGCTGTAGCCGCTCTCGCTTGATGCACACAGTCTGTCTAGGACTCCAAGGACTGACCTCAAACCAGCTTGGATTTTCAAGAAGCTGCTTTTAAATAAAGGCTTAGAAGCCGACTCTATTGCTTTGCATTGCTTTATCAGTAAACGTTGCAAAGCATTCACATCCCTTTTGTACCTTTCAATGTTAAAAAATTTCATACAAGTAAGTTGTTGAAACGGCTTTCCTGTCAGCCATTGTGGTTTTTCTGTCTAACTTTGTTTCTTACATAAACAAGGAAAGAGTCTTCAATTTCACTTTTTAATTCCCTTGGGTTTTTATATCTGAATGCGATATACTATTAAGTTTTATTTAATTTATTAGAATGATTAAAATTATATAAAAAAAAAGACTAGATTACAGTTTATGATACTGAAAAAAGAATGATTAGATGCCCTCTTTTTTTCCCCCACATCTCTTTATTTTTTTATGCTTTTCATTTTCCCTCAATTTTTCTTAGGACTTACTAATGCTCCCTGGCAGCCTCCACTTTAAAAAACCACAGACTTAAACATTGGGAGTATGAATGACCTTTCAAAGCACTGTAAAAGTTTTCCTTTAGATTTTGAATGCTTTTCACACTAGAGGTAGACGTTACATCAGCTGTTCAATGTTTGTATTTTTTCTTTTTGCTTGTATCAGCATTGGTTGATTCATTAGTGCATCCTCGCCTTGAGATCACACGAAGGGCATGCAATGCCTAACCCTCCATTTGTAATCCATTGTTAATGTTGTTTTTTTAGATTTGTGTTTCTTGTTTAGATGAAGACATTTATCATTGTGTCATTTAAATTTAACCATGTAAGTACTGGAGAAAAAAGTAAAACCTGCTTTAAAAAAATCAGCCCAGAAAAATCCAAACCACATATCAGGGATTGATTAGACAGATGTCAACATAGTTAGCATCCACCTAAAAAAACAAAACAAAACACTGATGATGATTATTTTCTTAAAGGTTGATTGGTGACTGAAGATGATGTCCGACGCCAGCGACATGTTGGCTGCTGCCTTAGAACAGATGGACGGCATAATAGCAGGTGAGATTCTCTGGGAACTTTAAACCTCCTCCAAGTTATCTGAGAGACCATCACTTAACAAAGTCATGCTTTTTCAGCAGTTTTTGAAAGCAAAAACAGCCTGTTAAAAGATTCTGCTTGGTCAACTGACAGTACTTAGTCTGCTGTGATTTTTACTGTGTGTTTCACCGCTGACCTTTTCACAGATATCATATGATGTCGTAAGCTCCATGATTGTGATGTTGTGTTCAGCTTTTCCACTCTGCTTACTTTAGCTGTCTGGTTTTAAGCCATTATCTTTAAAATACATCTATGTTTACAATACACTATAAAAGTTTATTGAAATCAGAGTCTTTTTATGTACCACAGTGAGCCTCTAATCGGTTTGCTTTAAAGTATATGAATATGAGCCAGAACAATGTTTTAATGTTTACCCTGCCTGTATAATTCAGTTTAGCACTTTCTGTGCTTCTTTGCCTCAGGCTCCAAGGCCTTAGACTACTCCAATGGGCTGTTTGATTGTCAGTCACCTACCTCTCCTTTTATGGGCAACCTGCGGGCCCTTCACCTACTGGAGGACCTGCGCAGCGTGCTGGAGTTAATGGACACAGAGGAAAGGGAAAGTCTCCGCTGCCAGATCCCTGACTCCACAGCTGAAAGTCTGGTTGAGTGGCTTCATGGTAACCTGGTGAGAGACTCATGATAGACAAACACCCAGAGGCTGCCTCAGTTCAGATCTCTAAACTGCTACTTATCTTATTAATGGTGTCCAAAAAAAAATTTGTTTTGGCAAACGGCATTTAAAAAAAACACCTTTTTTTCTGTTGCATTTTAGTAAAAAATTTAATTAAACTTAACAGAACTTGTGTTATTATTATACTGTTGGTCTACTTTGAGTACAGGTTTGCTATTTTTTCTTCTAGTTTCAACCTGATCAATGCTCATAAAGTCCGAATTTGGCCATAAGCGCACAAAATACTCATACAAGCAGTTTTCATTTGAAAACATCACCAGACCCCAGTATGTCACACGTATGAGTGCATGTTCCTTTGCACAAATGCCTTGCCTTTTATGCGCCTGTAGATTCTGTCCTACTCCAGTGTGGACCTGTTTCTGTGTGCTTACGAACTATTGCCACTTTTAGGCTGGAACTAATGTGAAAAAGTGTGCATTGCCTGTGATGGGCTACTCTACAGGAAATCCCACTTACAGACACTTTTTTTCCTGGCTGTGGCTGTGGCTACCCGATTCGTACTGGGAGCTCTTTGGTACCATCAGCTGATCTGCACATGGCAACCAGTAATACATCCGGGTCGCCTTTAATTGTACTTTAGAAAAAAGTACAGAAAAAAATTTTTCTCTCCCTAATTATAATAAGAAATTTTGATAATGTTAAAAATGTATTTTCTGAGAGAATAAATGCATTTACATGCTTTCTATTCTATCACTTGTCTGTGAAATGGGATCCTACCCTACTTCTGGCAGCTAATTTTTCAGCTTTGAATGTTATTTTTGAGTTTTATATTTCACTTTTGTTGTATTTATACAATATATAATGGATGATATAAGAAAAGACAAAACTAAAATGTAAATACTGTAAACGCAGTGTAATCATATTTTTGCCAGACTGCTCTGAGTATTTCCTCTGAAGACATCTGAGAGGGAATCTTAAACGCATCCAATTCTTGCAGAAAAGTTTCTTTTATCATATTTAGTGCCTTCTTTGACGATTTTATGATATAAAAAAGAATTTTCAATACCTTAATTACAGTATTTATGGTGAACTTGCTGAATACCTGGTTGCACATGTGCAAATGAGCTGATGGTGTAGATTGGGTATTGATAGTGCCCTGTTATAAGTATAACTATAACCAAAAGTTCATTCAAGCCTCATTTTGCTCATATAAACAGTGAAGCTAACACTAACTTAGCTCATATGAGGTTCCAAATTAAACATTAATCATCTTAGAACATATTGCTAGAGCTATCAAAACACATTCATGACTGTTAAACTAAGACATTCAATGATCACTGTTGGAGCTATTTATTCTTTATTTCTTTATCCATTTGAATTGTGTTAATTCCTAAACTTATTTTTTTTTGTATTATTTATAGAATTTATGTATAGGTTAATTTTTGAATTTTGTGTATTTATTTTTTGTTGTTTTATCATTTTTTCTTTATTTATTTTATGTAAAACAGGAAGAAATGTGGGCGGTCCACTTTCTATAATTGTAGGAGCCTGGTAAGGACCAGCAGGCATTTGGGTTAGGGGCCTATGGGTTTTACCAGTGCAAGAGAGGTGACAGAACAAGGGAATGTTTGAACTCTGTAATGTTGCAAAAAAAAAAAAAGGAAATAAATCAACTGAACATCTACAAGTTTGGACATCAACTTCTTTTGCCTGCTTCAAGAAAACATGACCCCAGTGCCTATAGTGGCTTATTGGAACTTTATTGGGTGTTTGGTTTGACAAACATTCACCACTACAATCATGGCACTTAGCCAATTTATAACTCTCTAAGAGAACAGCAATCAGCCTGAACATGGTTTGCTAACATTACTAGCCACAACTCAGAAGGAAGTTGTACCTTCTCAAGAGGGGGGATTTCAAAGTGATGAAAGTTAACACGAGGACACACAAACGGGTCCACATGTGAGGAGGAGAGAAGTTACAGGCGCAGAGAAAAAGCATGTAGTCATGCTAGTGCATAAAACATTCAAAATGCACATGGAGAGAGTAGTTGACTTGCATGTGTATGAGTATTTAATATGTGTGTTATAAAATACTAGCCTTTATAAACCAAGAACATTTAATGCATAGCCACCAGCTTAAGCCAAACCTTCTGCCTTCATTTGTTTGCAAGTGATTTGTTTACTTGGAGCAAACATGCTCTGCTGAGTTCCTTGGGAAAGTGGTTTATTGCTGGTAGTGTTAATGTCACAGTCAGAGTGCAGGAAGAAACCTGCTGACTTCTTGGGAACTGGAGCAGTGTTTGTGAAAGTGATGGGCTGATTGCCACGTGGAGTGTGTGTTATCCTGTAATACTCTGACTATACAGAGGATTTTTTGCAGTTCTACCCTTTTTTAAGCCTTGTAAGGTTTTGTTTGTGCAGGGTGAGGCCATAATGCCAGCCCCAATTTAATTGGCAGAAAAGGTCTGCAGCGAGCATTTTTAGGAAGGTTAAGCCTCCAAAGATTAGTACTTTTGATGGATCTCATAGTTTGCATTTGTTTTTTGTTTTTTTATCATATCAGTGTTTTTGTTTTTTTTCTCATCTTCCAGTCCAATGGACACATCTCTGGAGGTGGAGGTGATCACTACCAGGAAAGACTGTCAAGGTTAGAAGGCGATAAGGAGTCCCTGGTGCTTCAGGTACCCTGTCAACAACACATGGACAGTATTCTATTATATACCGCCAAGACTCAAACTGTATATCTATGTATAAGATCTTGTGTTTGTAAATTCTGATTTTTGTATTTATGAGCTTTACTTCACATAGGTTTATGATTTACAGAGCTGAGCAGGATTGATGATTGTTTCCAGCTGAAGCTAAAAAAGCAAACTTTGTTTCTGAATGTTTCTTGTCATTTTGCTTATTACCGCATACAGATGATGAAACCCAAATATCAGTGTCTCAGAAAATAATTTGCAGAAACACAAGATGTCCTGCCCTAGCTAATTAAGTCAAAACACTAGCAAAGGTTCTCGGATCCTTTAAACTGTCTCTCATTGATGGTCAGTGGAATACAGGATCATGAGGTCAACTGCTCGGTGATCAATACCTTTTCAAACAACGCTAGTTCACAAGAGGTCATCACAGAAGAAGTGGTTAGGAGTTTAGTGCCTAAGCATATTAACAGAAAATGAAGTGGAAGAAAGACGTGTGGTAGGAAAGGATGCACCAGCAACAGGGAGAACCGCAGCCTCAAGAGGATTAAGAAAAAAAACAAGAATTTGGGGGATGTGAACAAGGAGTGGGCTGTAGGGATGGGACGATTTATGAAAACCGTTCGGTTCAACTGTCTCGGTTCGATTCGCGTGTGTTTCGTTTCGGTTCATGCGCTGCTCCTTTTTCTCATAGGCAAAGCGTTTACACTCCAGAGCAGAAGGTGGCGGTACTGCGACCAAAGCCAACCACCAGTAGTAAACAAGAAGAAGAAGAAGCGAAGCAGCTTAGCCGGGTGTAGCAGAAAAAAAATCAGTTGTTGTGGAGAATTGTGTCGGAATGGTGAGTGGGAAAGAACAGGAGTTGGAAGACGTGCCAGCAGCACTTTATAGGTCTGCTGTATGGGACTGCTTTGCATTTAGAATTACCTACGATGACGGCGGAAACAAAGTTGTGGATAAAAGTGCAACAGTGTGCAAGCATTGTGCAACACGTTTTGTTTATGCTAACAGCAACATGACCGACATGTCATGCTAACCCCGAAATCACTCATTCTCCGTCAGCAACCCCCGCTCCGTCCCGCTGCGCTCCAGACCGGTTGCTCAAAGCAAAGCCTACAGCCTCCACTGTGGCTCCCGTCCGCTCCCCTCTGAGTCCCTTGGAGATGGTAGAGAGCATGCGCGGGATGATTAAATTCAAAGCAGCAAAACATACGGAAATGATCCAGGGTTTCCGCAGATTATTTAAAATAATTACAATCCATTATTTTTTGTGGGATTTTTTCATTAATTTCATATATTTTTATGGGATTTCAGTGTAACTATCAACATATACCGAATCGAACCGAACCGAAAACCGTGACCACGGAACCGTGAATCGAACCGAACCGTGGATTTTGTGAACCTTTCCACCCCTAGTGGGCTGAGGCTGCATCAAGGGCCACAACACTCAGATGAAAACTAGACAAAATGGTTCATTCCTTAAGCCACGCCACTCCTGATTCAGATACGTGACAAGCGCCTCAACCAGGCTAAGATGAAATGAAAATGGAATGCTGCTTAATGGTCCCACGTCCTACTTCTAGATGAAAGTAAATTCTATATTTCCTTCAGATTTAAAGATTTATTTTTAGGTTTAATTTATATTTAAAGCCCCAGAGTCTGGAGAATACTTTAATTCATCACCAGCAAGACAACAGATAAGGTCTGTATGATATTAGAACAATAAGGTCCCACTGCTTTAGGATTTCTTACAAAAAAATACCTGTGTCCAGTGAAAGATCACAGGGAGTGAGAGGTCTTCCAACTGACCAGTTATTAAATAAGGTGCTGACTGTGCTACACTTTACATTTAATAAAACACCAAATATTTAATCAGTAGCAATTCTGCAAATGCTCACATTGTGAAGAGGGTTGTAACAAATTTCAGTCTCACTTATTGTGCATCACTTTGTTTCATGCAGGTTAGTGTGCTGACTGACCAGGTGGAGGCGCAGGGAGAGAAGATCCGGGACCTGGACATTTGTTTGGAGGAGCACAGAGATAAACTTAACGCCACAGAGGAGATGCTGCAGCAGGTGCACGTCTACTTGCAATAAAACCAAGGTTCAACCTAAGCTGAGCAGACGGATATGAAGCGAACGGCATGTTTTCATTTTTCCTTCATGTATCTTCGCAGGAGCTCCTGTGCAGAACTTCACTGGAGACGCAGAAATTGGAACTTATGTCTGAAGTGTCCAACCTGAAGCTGAAACTCAACACTATGGAGAAGGAGAGGCTGAACTTTGACAGATTTAGAGACAGTGAGGTGTGTGAGTTCATTTCTGAAGCTGTAGTTGACATTTTAGGTCTGTGTAAGGCACACAGACAGACACATCTTAAAGGTTTTTTTTAAAGACCCACCCACTCCACTAAAAAAAAAAAATGCACATGCACAACCCTGTACCCGCTCCCGAGAGGGAACGCCTATTAAAAGTGTGAGAGCGCATGCACGAGCCCATTTCTCCTCGTGCACGCTCATACAAGCTTACTGTGCCCGAATGTCCTTCTTAACCCCTAAATCCCTCATTCATTATATAGAGTGGGGACTATATACTAGTTTTTATAGCGAACTTAGTTAACTGACCGTTCAGACAGATGATCACTACTTTTTGCTCCCCCTTGGTAAAATAACTTCTCCTCCACCACGCGGTGCCTGTGCCATCTTTGTTATTATGCGCCACTGTTGGGTAGCGACAGCTATGGCGACAGTGGGCCACTGTGACAGCAAATCCCATAAAGCTTTGCAAGGATAGCTCTACTCGCAAAGCATTTTGGGAAATATCTGCCTCTTCTGAGGCCTTTTTTTCCCTTCTCATGCACTTCGTAGACACTTTTTCTCTTACGACCCTCTGCCGTTTTCAAAGAACCGCCGTGAGAAAGGTGAGCTTTACTGTCTGAAACCGTAGCTCACCACACATATGTGGCTGAAGTGCGCCTGTGCAGGAAAAGATACAAGCACGAAGAATGGCTTTACGTAAACATATGACCAGGATTATTGACAATTAGGACTACTTATTTTGAGGATTCACCCAGAAATAAAAGATCGTTCTCTATACCTTTAAACATTCATTGGTTTTACACTTGCAGACAAAAATTTTTTTTATTTTTATTTTTTTTTTCTGCCTTTTTGGTGAAATGCTTTATGAAAAAAAAAAAGATGTAAAGATGGATTGAGTTTGCAGATTAAGTTTGCAGAGGACTTGGGTAGCTTTCAAACATGTTCTGTTGTTCTCTTAGCAGAGTTATCTTTGTCAGTTTTCCGCCTCACCGCTCATAAATCAAAGCTTCCTCACTGTTTATCTCTGCTGCTGCTGCTTTGGAGATTTCACTCTCCAAGGAATATCCTCAAAAACATCCAGTGCAGCTCAAAGGTTTTCAGAGGTTATAATCTGAATTTAATGCTATACTTTTTACATCAATACTTCATCAGTGCTTTCATGATAACATTTTCTTGAAGAATGAAGCTAATAATAAAATTATAAAACCTTTTTTTTTTTTTTTTTTTTTTTTACACTATTGCTTTGTTTTTGCTGTTGTAAAAATATAGCTAATAAGCACTGATCTAAAATTCCACACCCTATAGCTATTACTCTATCAGATGCTATTGTTTTGTTTTTACGTACTTTCTGCGTGTGAATGGGCAGGTGCACAGCAGGGATGTAAAAAAATAAGCACACTTAAGAGTATATTAATGTTTCCCCTCTGCAGGATTTAATTCTTGAGCTTAATGAACTGCGGTACAGACTGACGGAAATGGAGAGTGAAAAGCTACAGTGCGAAAAGAAACTTAAGTCGACAAAGGTGAGTCATTTTTGGACACTGCTTTTGTGATCAACTTATTTTGAGTATAAAAAACTAAATGAGTTTTCCTCCAGATATTAATAGCTGATTAAATTCAAATGCTTGTTTTTAGTAATCCATGAAATAATTGTACTTCACAGCCTTACTACTGTATGTCACTTTCTAAAACTGCATTTCTTCAGTATTTGACGGATTCCAAAAGCCTCTTGAATGGAGCATGGTGCTGGCAGCATTTTATCATGAGGCATTTAGTCTGTTCTTTGTCATTTTGTGGGAATCCTGTAACTTCTGGGATTCCAGCTGTGATTATTGTGATCCTAATGTTATATATGTTTATGTTATTATGTTTTATTATTGATTATGCTGATTGGACGATGCATATTTAAATGTACTTAATACTTGGATATCAAAGATTCAGACCCAGATATTCTCTTACATTTAGTCTCTGCTGTCATTTCTATGCTCCTTTTTTCTTTTTCCTTTGCTTCACTCGTCTTTCCGTTCCTAGTCCTTTATGGCTAAGCTTTCTAGAATGTAAAATGAAAAATGGCCCAAATGCTCTACGAGAAACAGAAGCAAGCACAAAGTTCAGCCTACGAAGTTTTGCTTTTCTCAGGGTGAACTTGGTGCTTGCTGTATGATTGTGGTTTCTGACCTCTCCCTTTGGCCCTTTACCTTTTTTATGTTTCAACTTTAAAAATAAATATCCTAAAGTCCAACGTCAGTTTTCATTTTTTTGAAGGGGGGGGTGATGTTATTCTTTTGTGCTGCATGCTCTATTTATTTTATAACAGTGCATTAAAAATAACCTAGCAAGTTAATTGCACTTTTAAACACCACTTCCTTTAGTGTACCAGGCAGTAGTGTCAGCAAACATTTTTTTTCCTACAAACCACAGGTATGCTTTAATGCTGGGTCTTTGTAGTGTTTTTTCTTTTTATACACTTCCCTCTAGTTTCCTGTCTTCTGATATGGTATTAACTGTTGAGTTTTAATTCTACACTTTATTTCTGTTCATTCTATATATATAAATATATAGTGTTAATATATGGCCACCAGCTTAAGCCAAACCTATATTTTATTATATTTTCTGTTTTTGTTTTTTATGATGTTTTCTGCATACCACCTACCGTAGGTGGTATGCAGAAAATATCATAAAAGACCTACCTGACACACATTTGCCTCTGAGCAGGTGTGGTTTGCGTGCCTTTGTGCCACGTCGGCTTCTGTGAACCTTTGTGTTGTGGTTTGTTGGTATTGTTGAGCCGGGCTGGGGGAGGGGGGTAGCTCTAATGGTGCGGGGGACATACTCTCACTGGAGTCCTTTTTCTGCACAGGAGGAGTTGGCCTCCATGAGGAGGCAGCTGGAGGGCAAAGATGGTGAAAAGAGGAGGCTACTGGATGACATCAGATTTAAAGCTAATACCACAAGCGGCTCCAATGGCCTAGAAAGAGGTGGGAAATGCAACCAACTAAAGCCCCGCTGAACTTTAAGCATGCTTCAAGTTTATTCTCTCTGATATCTCATGCACAGTTCCTGTGTAATTGTTTTTATCCTGTGTAGTTTCTCATCCAGATGAAACGCTTAGAAAGAGGCTGAAAGAAAAGCGTAAGGGAGTTTTATCCTTTTTTTATTGTTAATCAGCACACTTCAGTGTTGCACCCGCCCCAGTCCCTGTTGCATGAACGAGCATGAGCCATCTGAACTCTGCTTGTCCATTGAAACTAATTGAAGTGCAAGTAGCAGCACCATATTGTAAATAAACTGAAGTATGGACCTTTTCATCCCATCTGTCACTCTTTTTATGTTCATTCTAAACAATAAACAAGGTTTGCCGTGTTTTCAGCAGGAACAAGGAGTTCAGTGCTGTCATAACCATTAAGGCTGCATATTCATCCCTCTCACTCATGTTCTCTGTTTATCAATCCACGCATTCATTCCAAACCTTTTTAGACCTTCCTTTCTCACAGCTGATGTTTCTTCTTCTAACCTTTAACTATTGTCAAATGCAGTGTTGTCTGACTGTACCTTTGTCTATTTGTGCCTGTTCTCATTACCTTGGAGCATAAAAACAAACTCGGCCTCCGGACTCTCTGCACCACTCAATGCAACATTCCAAGGATCTAAGACATGTTTGTTCCTAACACTTTGCAGGTTTTAATTATTGGCTTTACATGGATTCAGACACACATTGTAATAATCTGTCTTGTTGATGAAAAGTCAGGGAATCTTTATCTTTATTCATGGGTTTCTTTAAAATCCTGATATGTTTGGATGTTTTTTTTGTTATTTTTCAAGATGTTTTCATATTTTTACTCTCCAAATTAGTTTGCCAGCAGCTGTAGAGTTGGACGTTTGACTGTAGAATCTTTAAGATCAGGCATGGTTTAAAGTAGCAGACTGACCTTCAACTAATACTCAAGCAATAGAATACAATTTTTTTTTAATTTAATGTTAAAGCAAAGCAGTTTTAATCCAACCCTCTGACTCTGTTCTCTGACTCCTTTATGGCCTTTTTTTTTAAATAAAACTAGGTTGTGATCACAAAAGAGTAATTTTTCAAATGAATGTATAAGCTTTTGAATTTCTTGATGGGACATCCCGTAGAACAGTTTGCTGAAATGTTTGTTCTGAAAATGTTCGTACAAAGTTAAACCATCTCAGTGCAACTCGACTGACGGTGAATTTGCAGCCTAATTCGACTGAAAGCGTCTTTTATCTCAGGCTTACTCTGCTTTCAGGATCTTTACATATCCTTGTACGAGCTTTGTTGTGCCTTTTTGCTAATTATATTTGTCCTCACCAGATGTGGAAGTGCAAAGAATGAAAAATGCAGTTGAATCATTAATGGCAGCCAATGAAGAGAAGGTATGTTTCTCAGCATGTGTGTTCTTTGGCACAAGCAAGAACTTTTAATCTTTTGATAGAAAATCATCCTTCCTTCTTTTTATTTCTCATTTGCCCTTTTTTCTTGTGCAGGATCGTAAGATAGAAGAACTAAAACAGTCACTTTTGAGGTACAAGAAAGTTCAAGAAATGGTTATGTCGGTACAAGTGAAGAAAGGTTAGATTTTACTTTTCACTGTATTCTGAACTTATTCAGGGTCCAAAATATTATTTCACACAAGTTTTGCCGTTCTGATGGCTGCCTGATTCTTTTTACTGCATTTTGGAGGGTTATACAATTGTACAATACTGCATGTTTCCCGGATGCAGTACTTGGTTTTTATTTATTAATGATTTAGGTATTATCATTAATAAGGGTTTGTGATTGGTAACTGACAGTTTTAATGAAGCTTCTCTTGTTATATGATTACACACCAAGTGATTTAAGATGCTCTTCGTTTCAGAGAAAACAAAAGACAACGAGCGTGTTGAGAGCCCGAGTGATGGATCCAGTCCACTCCTGTCTGGCAGCTCTGGGTCTGTGGAATCTGAAAAACAAGACATTGCAGATGTTGAACAGCTGCAAACAAAGAAGCCAGATGAGGTTTGTAGAAGAAAATAGAACCTACTTTTATTCTTTTGTATATTAGAGTGAAGATGTATTTCAAAAAACAGTAATAATCAGTCTGTAAGAGGCTAGGTTGGCAGTTTTGACCATCCAGTCGTCACATTTGTGAGACCAGATCAGCCCATCAGCTCCAAAATATGCCTTTTTCAAGATATTCAAAATGATAAAATCCAAATATTAAGCCTGAGAAGCAACAACTGTAAAGGTGCGTTCACACTGGAGGCGGTGGCAAAGGCCCTAGCGGTGGATTCACATAGAATTCCTATACAAACCGCACACACGGTTGAGTCCATGCAGTGAGAGGGTTCACTGCTCCGCTCTCACTACCTGCTACTAGATGGAGCTGAGGTGCTTTCAAATAGCAGCCAGCACCGCATGCAGAGAGAGAAGAGCGGTGATCCACTGAGGTTTAAACAAGCTGAACTTTTATGTGAATTGTGACAGGGCAGCCAATCAGAGACTGGTTGTAGGCAAAGCTTTTTTCACTTAAACTGGAATACACAGAAAATTATGTTAATTTTTTTAATTTTAATTTTTTTATTTATTTATTCATTCATTTCATTGAATACAAAAAAAACAGCCTATCAAATTTTTGATATACTAAAAAATAAAAAATACACCTCCATCCATACATACCTACATATCCATCTGTATACATTACATACATATATACACACAGACATACTACATATGTATTTCAAAATTTTAAAACAAAATGAAATGAAAGGCAGCAGAAAGAAGAAAAAAATCTTATAATATCTGCCCCTTTTTTTCTCAGCTCTGAAACTAAACAGGGAAAAAAATGGTTATCTTCTGCAACAAAAACAAAGTCAGTCGTCAATCTCAACTAAACAACGATAATATGAGCTCACTTTATACTATTTCATACTTCTTCAAGAATCCAGTCTTTAACATTCTCTTAAACATGTGCAGTGATTTGGCATTTTTAACATCATTTTGTAGTTCGTTCCACAGTTTGACTCCTTGTATCGAGGTACATCGTTCTTTCAAACTGGTTCTGAATTTGGGTTTCTTAAAAATCTGTGTCCCCTTAAGGTTATAACTGCTCTCTCTCTTTGCAAAGATTTTTTGGATGTTTGAGGGTAATGTATTTAGGTGTGCCTTATACATAACTAACAAAATATTATAATCAACTAAATCATAGAATTTTAATAACCTCAATTTACAAAACCATATATTGGATGGGTATTTGCCATGTTTTCGAGTAATAACTCTTATAGCCCTTTTTTGCAAAACAAAAACAGATTTTGTACTAGTATAACATGCCTTTCCCCATACCTCAACACAATAGACCAAGTGTGGAACAATTAATACATTATACAACATATACAATGCATGATCGTTCAGAAAATCCCTTACTTTATAAAGCACTGCAATTGATTTGGCTATTTTTGTTCTTAAATAATTCAAGTGGGATTTCCATGTTAATCTCTCGTCAATAATCACACCCAAGAACTTCACCTCACTAACTCTACAAATCTCTACACCATCAACTTTAAATGGAATATTAACAGTTCTTTGTCTCCTTGTAAATAACATATAATTTGTTTTATCCAAATTTAAAGATAATTTATTAAGTTTAAACCATTTTTGTATTTGCATCAATTCTGTTTGGATTTTTTCTAACATCCATTCTATATCTGTACCTTGACAAAAAAAAGTGGTATCATCCGCAAATAGGACACATTTGAAAAACTCTGACACATTTACCAAGTCATTAACATATAGGATGAACAACTTTGGTCCAAGTACTGAACTCTGTGGAACTCCACATGTAATTTCACAAAATTCGGATCTAGTATCATGTACTTGTACAAACTGTTTTCTTTTTTCCAAATAACTCGAGATCCACTGTAATGCCGTCCCTCTAATCCCGTATTTAAGGAGTTTTTTGAGTAAAATGCTATGGTCAATCGTGTCGAATGCTTTCTTTAGATCAACGTAAATACTGGCGCAATATTGTTTTTGATCAATTGCATTTGTTATTTGTTCTATCAGTTCCATAAGAGCCATTGATGTCGAGTTTTTGGCTCTAAATCCGTATTGACTGCTACTTAAAATATTATTTTTTATCAATAAATGTATCTAATCTGATTACAAATAATTTCTCCAAAATTTTTGAGAACTGTGGTAACAACGATATCGGTCTGTAATTACTAAACATACATTTTGTCACTGTTTTTGTAAATGGGAATTACCCTTGCACTTTTCATGGTGTCTGGAAATTTTCCTGATGAAAATGACAAATTACAGATATAGGTAAATGGTTTAATTACATAAGACATGATTTCCTTCACAAAGGTCATGTCCATGTCTACCCAATCTTTTGATTTTTTATCCACAATTTTATTGACAATACTCTTTATTTCTTCCTCATCCGTTTTTCCAAGAAAGATGCCGTTTGAACAACTCCCAATTTTTTGAGTCACGTCGCCATCATCTTTTGGTATCTGAGCAGCAAGTCTTGGACCAACATTTACGTAATAATGATTGAATTTGTTTGCTATTTCATTCCGGTCATAAATTTCTGTATTTTCTTTTAAAAAGTGTTTTGAAATACCAGATTTTATTTTATGCTTTGTACAAACACGGTTTATAACTGCCCATGTTGCTTTTGTGTCACCATTACTTTTGGTTAATAGGTCACTATAATATTCTTTTTTATGTTTTCTTATAATCCATGTCAATTTGTTTTTGTATTTCTTATATCTATCCTCTGCTTCTTTTGTTTTTAACATCAAAAAGGATGAATACAAATTGTTTTTTTTTTTACAGGCATTTCTCAACCCTTTTGTCATCCATGGCTTGTCAACAACATCTTTCTTAGCAAAATTTGTTTTTATACAAAACTCCCAAAATATTCATAAACTCATCATATGCTCTGTTTACAAATCATATGCTCTGTTTACAAATGTTAAAAAATGTAGAAATAAGGAATGCTCCCGAGAGGATTTTTAAAAAAGCAGTTTAAAGTCAGCCCGAGAAGGACTGTTCATTTTCCTCACTCACCTTCAGCACAGTATGTCACTGCACACTACCCCGCATCGGTGCTACAAGAAAGTCCTGCTGAATCCGACTGAATCAGAGCTGCCTCTGGATGAACCAAAGTTGACTTTTTTTTTCTTTTTCTTTTTTTAGAGCTTTTGGGGCTTATCCAAAAGTTGATGTTCTCCTCAAGGCAGTTCAAAAGTTTTTTATAAGGAACACTTTAGCATTAGTCTGTGATGTTAAGTTTCACCTGTGCATTTATTGTGAAATACTGCCAGCGAGACCTCTACAGGAAATGCTATGGGGTTGCCAGGGGTAACAGCAGGTCCAAAGCAGAGGGTCTGGGAGGCTGGTGACTTACAAAATATTAGAAAATCATTCCAGCCACTAAATAAGGTAATAATAAGGTAACATGGTAAAATAAGATAAATATGCCCACTGTTAGATTCAGTACCAGCACAGGAATGACATGTGAAGTTATGCAATCACTTTATATCAGGAAACAAGTGCGGCACTAACGTCTTCTGGGATTGCGATGTCATCGACCTTAATTAAAAATAATTCCATCTTAAAAACCAAATCAGCACAAAATTTCCCCACTCTCCTTGATGGGCCTTGGCTGGTCCCCTACAGTTCCTTTTTAAACATCAATCTTTGTACTAAAATATTCTTTCTTTTACGATTTGTGGAAATTAATGATCTAAAGAGAAGCGCCATCTCCTGGTCGGACCCTGTAATTCAGTGAAAGGGTGGAGTCAGACTGATATGCACGCCCAGGAGAAGGCCGATGGCTGGAAGTTGGAGGGGGTTTTGCTGGGAGCTGCAAGGAAGTTGGCTGCCATTCGGCATTCCCATTGAAAAAGTAGGCTAGATGATTTTGATTCAATTAAGCCTAGATGGGACCGGCTTGTTGTTTTATTTTTATGCTGTTTGTCATTTTACTTGATCGTAACACCAGGCAATGGAATTAATTCTTTATTATTCTTAATACTAATGTTAATCAATTATTTAGTCTGTCTTGCTGGTTTTGTTTCTCATTTGTTGCTGTTTACTACTTAGTTCACTTTATTCCCCACATCTGTTTTACAGCTGTCTATAGATGCAGAGTTTTCAGTGGCTTTTAAACTGCTTTATTCTTATCTGGACCTACGTTTACTCCATTTGTGATTTTTGCCTTTTATAAATTTTATTCCTTGGTTTGGGAGCCAATGCAGTTCCATTGCAATGCTGACAACAGTTTGCAGTGACACTAAATTTCTTATCTTTTATGCTCTCACATATACAAAGATATCATGTCATTTTATGCAGTTTACTGCTCCTTTATCAAATAACTCTTAAGTGTTTTAACAGATAGGTTGGTTTTATTCTCTATATACTTTTTTTTTTCTCCTGTTTGTGTTGATGATTAGCCAGACAGACTCAGTGGACTGAGTGACGACCCGTCACCCTCTCCCAGCCCTGCTGATCCAGTACCAGAGCAAGCACAAACAGAAAGCCAAAGGTAAAACAGTCAGAAAATACTTCCTAAATGTGTTGCTTTTCTGTAGAGATACTCTGTAGCTGTTATATGTCACACATATGACTAATAACATGAATTGACTGTAAAGACTTGCTGTAAAACTGAAAGCCTCCTGCATGTAGGGTTTACAGTCCTGTAGATGACACTGCCTGGTACATCTTGTGTGTCGATTGTGGTGTTGTACCAAATGTTAGATTCAAGAGTCATTGTCTTCTGACAATGTTTCCTGTCAGCCTCCAGTTCACTGTGGACACAATGGTCCTTTCATCAGTAGAAAGCGTTTTACTGGCCACAGATTCTCGTCAATAAAACCCATTCGACAGTATTAACGAAAATGTATCATTTGAGTTTGGGAATTAGGGAAATAAAAAAATAAGTAATAATGATAATACATTTTTCTTGACAAAAGTTAAAAAGAAAAGATTTTCCAGGTTTAATAATTAATATTCTGTCTTTTAGCTTCAGAGTTTTCATATTTTTCATGTCTTTGAAAAGTGGTTTGTTTGCCCCCTAATCTATTCAGCTGGTTTGCTAAATATGGCCGGGGTTAAATTAATCTTGCTGAACAAACTGAATGTTTGCAAACTAATAAAGTTGTAATGTTGAAGCCTTTGTAGCAGTCTTTCTCTCTACATTCTCTTGGTCAGATCTATGAGAAACACACAGCAACAGCCCCCTGTAAGGCGCAATGTGAAGTATATGCTTATGTGTTATTTCAGCAATCTAGAGCCGACCAAAGCTGATGGTCAGATCCAGTCAGAAGAAAGCAGCAATGAAATGGTGAGATGATGTTATTATTTAAGCACAGCTGAATTCTAGGCTATCTTTAAAACTCTCTTTGATTATATCCTAGTGTACAAATGAAGAGAGCAGTAAGATGAGTGAAAAGCCCCCCATGAATCCCTCGGCCACCTTGCCTGCCTCCATTGATGATGACAGCTTTGGCTCCAGAAAGGCTCGCTCTTCTTTTGGAAAAGGATTCTTTAAGATCCGCGGAGGCAAAAAATCATCCAGCAACCCTAACCTGGGTAAGAGAAATCTCCGGAGTTCGGCTAAATATAATCAATGTTGTCATGTTTAACCTGAAATAAGAATGAAGAATAACAAACTGGTTACTGGCGGATGAGACTTTTCTTTTCCCAAACCACACCCTTGCAGTACATGACATGGCCCAGGTACATAATTTGCAGCCTACACAAACCGACGTTCCACTTTAAATATGGAAGTCTGTTTCCATGGTACTGTTAGCCCTTTGTCCTGTCTCTGTTCTTTTTATTTTTTATGTCTGTGTCCATCCCACCTCCCCGGTCCTGTTTTTATTCCAATGATAATTTCTTTCCTCTTGTCTTGTTTTCCTGTTGGACGCTGTGCTGTGTGCTCTTTGTAACACATGAAGACCGCAGCAGGAGTGCAAGTGCGCCCATGTTAGGTACAGTAAAGGCTACTCGTCCCAGTAGGGTTGTCGTAGTTCTCCAACTGAAAACAAAAAGGAAACTACAAATATGTTCTTTATCTTTGTGCATTTGCTTTCCCTCCTCTTGGATATTTTAATATTCCAGTACCCGATTGCTTTAACATCCACAGCCTCATCACTCTCCTTCGTTGCACAAACCTTTGCTCAACATACGGACTATGCACTCTGTTGGTTTTCTTTTGTTTCTGCATGAAGTAGAGTGTTTATTTTATCCAAAGAAAGCGAAAGACCCCTTATTTAGACAAAGAGCTCCCTCTTATAATCTAAAACTAATGACCTAAGCTTTTATTCCAGTATTAGTCAGACATCAATATGTCTGATGCATGTCTATGTTTAATGATCTCTCAGCTTCTCCATGTCTTGGAGTCTTTGTGTGTTTCCTGTGGCACTGTTCTCCCTAAAATTAGCAGCTGAATCTCCCTTTATTGCTGTGTTTCTCTCACACCAATGCTTACCACGGTTTTGTGTTGGCATTTGTTTGTGCAGCTGAAACGGAGCAACAGGGCACCGACCATCTGGACCTTGCCGGGGTCCCACAGAGGTCACCCCACAGTGACAGCACACACACACTCCCTTCGACCCCGGAGAGCAGGACGAAATCTAAAGGCATAAAAAAACTATTTGGGAAGTGAGTAAAAAAAAAAAAAAACAAAGAATCTTCAACTCTTGTGATTGTTTTAAATATTTAGACAGAAATGTTTAATCGGTAGGCTTAAGCGGAGCCAGTCGACCACGTTCAACCTTGACGACAACCTCCCAGAGGGAGAGTTCAAGCGGGGCGGAGTACGAGCCACAGCAGGACCCAGACTGGGCTGGTCTCGTGATTTCCAGCGAGTCAACAAGTGAGTCTGAGCTTTCAGCATGAATAATGAAAGCCTGAATGTGGTTTCCTTGTTTTCAGTCTGTATTGTTCAGTAACTTTTAGACATAATGAAATGAGGAATAACAAAGGCATAAAATAAATTCATGAAGTTTCACAATGGGAACGATGCTCATTCATTATCTTTACCAAGTACACACATGCTTATGCACTCATCCTCTTTTGAGCTGCAGTTTAACCAAAATGAAACCCTTAGTTTAGCCGCTTTGTTATAATAATGAGCTGCTTTCTCCAAATAATAAATGTTTTTCTGGCTTTTGAAGCATTTATACTGTTTTGCTTATATAAAAAGCAAAATATTGTGACAACAGTTTGTGTCACTCTGCACAAGCTTTCACTCTCAGCTGCGTTGTGTGTGTCTATATATATTTATATATATATATATATAAATAATATGTGTGTGTATATATGTATATACATATATGTATGTATATGTGTTTATATGTATGTGTGTGTGTGTGTGTATACATATATACACATATACACTATATTGCCAAAAGTATTTGCTCACCCATCCAAATTATTGGAATCAGGTGTTCCAATCACTTCCATGGCCACAGGTGTATAAATTCAAGCACCTAGGCATGCAGACTGTTTTTACAAACATTTGTGAAAGAATGGGTCGCTCTCAGGAGCTCAGTGAATTCCAGCGTGGAACTGTGATAGGATGCCACCTGTGCAACAAATCCAGTCGTGAAATTTCCTCGCTCCTAAATATTCCACAGTCAACTGTCAGCTGTATTATAAGAAAATGGAAGTGTTTGGGAACGACAGCAACTCAGCCACGAAGTGGTAGGCCACGTAAACTGACGGAGCGGGGTCAGCGGATGCTGACGCGCATAGTGCGAAGAGGTCGCCAACTTTCTGCAGAGTCAATCACTACAGACCTCCAAACTTCATGTGGCCTTCAGATTAGCTCAAGAACAGTGCGCAGAGAGCTTCATGGAATGGGTTTCCATGGTCGAGCAGCTGCATCCAAGCCATACATCACCAAGTGCAATGCAAAGCGTCGGATGCGGTGGTGTAAAGCACGCCGCCACTGGACTCTAGAGCAGTGGAGACGCGTTCTCTGGAGTGACGAATCGCGCTTCCCCATCTGGCAATCTGATGGACGGGTCTGGGTTTGGCGGTTGCCAGGAGAACGGTACTTGTCTGACTGCATTGTGCCAAGTGTAAAGTTTGTTGGAGGGGGGATTATGGTGTGGGGTTGTTTTTCAGGAGCTGGGCTTGGCCCCTTAGTTCCAGTGAAAGGAACTCTGAATGCTTCAGCATACCAAGACATTTTGGACAATTCCATGCTCCCAACTTTGTGGGAACAGTTTGGAGCTGGCCCCTTCCTCTTCCAACATGACTGTGCACCAGTGCACAAAGCAAGGTCCATAAAGACATGGATGACAGAGTCTGGTGTGGATGAACTTGACTGGCCTGCACAGAGTCCTGACCTCAACCCGATAGAACACCTTTGGGATGAATTAGAGCGGAGACTGAGAGCCAGGCCTTCTCGTCCAACATCAGTGTGCAACCTCACAAATGCGCTTCTGGAAGAATGGTCAAAAATTCCCATAAACACACTCCTAAACCTTGTGGACAGCCTTCCCAGAAGAGTTGAAGCTGTTCTAGCTGCAAAGGGTGGACCGACGTCATATTGAACCCTATGGATTAGGAACGGGATGTCACTTAAGCTCATATGTGAGTCAAGGCAGGTGAGCAAATACTTTTGGCAATATAGTGTATGTATATATATGCTTGTATATGTATATGTATATGTATATATATATATATATATATATATATAACAATAAAAACTTTTTCTTAGGGGGTTGGTGGTCCTATTAGTGTGATAGAGCGCCCCCTTTGGACAATATTAGGGGAAACACTGAGTATTAATAATATTAATTAAAAGTGAAAACTTTATCTTTCTTTAACTACACTGTCTGAGAAAAATAGAGAAAGATATATTAATCTCAGAGGGATTTTTTTTAAATGAGATTATTCGATTACTTCCTGTATATTAAAATGATTTAATGCAGCTCATTAATACTATGGAAATGACAGACTCTACATAATTTAATCTCTTCTGTATCCCTCCTAGTGAAGTCGACGCTCCATTTGCACGCTGGTCCAAAGATCAGGTGTGTGATTGGCTGCAGGAGCAGGGCCTCGGCCTGTACGTGAACATGGCCCGCACATGGATCTCCTCTGGACAGACACTGCTGCAGGCGTCGCAGCTAGACCTCGAGAGGGTGAGATGTGGCACAACAGTTATTTTAGCTGTCAGGAAAAATATCTTCAGACAAAACTTGCTTTGTGGCATGAAAAGATCCTTATTTGTGTTCTTGTGGATTTTAGGAGCTTGGCATCAAACAGCCGCTGCACAGAAAAAAGCTGCAGCTCTCTCTGCAGGCCCTTGGTTCAGAGCAAGAGGATAACAAGGGAAAACTGGACTATAACTGGGTGACAAGTAAGTAGAGTTATTTGTTTTGTTATAGATTTTTTTTGTCTGCTTATTAACCTTCACTTTTTACTACACGTTGCATTGATCCACTATCTGTTTCCTCTCAGGATGGTTAGACGACATCGGCCTTCCTCAGTATAAAACCCAGTTTGATGAAGCCAGAGTGGACGGGCGAATGCTTCACTATATGACTGTGGTGAGTGTTTACATGTCACACATTGGATTTTGACACCCTTAAATTGGGGGTTTTGTGTTATAGTTGGTATTGGTGGTTAATTCTGTATTTTGTATTTGCTGGATACTATATTGGAGAATTTAAATAGATTGTTTTGGAGTAAAACCCTAAACATATTTTGTCTTGCAAAGCTATAATTGTGTCTTATAAGTACTTTGCTTGTTTACCTGTATACAGAGCAAGGCTGGTGTTTAGTAAGTTTGAACCATAAACACACTGGGTTTAAAAATAATTAAGGTGAAAGGGATTGATGCTGGTCACCCATGTATGAAAAATGTAAAATGCATATGAGATGTGCCATGGAAGGGCAAATTGGCATTATGATTAAAAGAGTGTTAGCTAGCTTATTTCTGTACTGAACAAAACAATTTGACCAGAAGCTGATAGGCGGTGGAGTCAGTTGTATTCATATGTTATGGTATTCATTCAAAACACGATTAGAAAGACAAAGATTAAATAAAATGAAAGATGTTGTAAGGTCTTAATAAGAACCTTATCAGTAAGGCTTCAGCTGCTTTTAGAATTAATCCAGACTCTAAAGAGGAAGAAGAAAACTCTTTCCAAAGCCGTGTTGCAACCATCTGGAAAGAACTGTCACCTCTAGTGCTTTTTTTTCTGTTGGTACTTGATTTTGTGAACGTTTAATCTTGCAGAGTGTTATGAATTATTTTAGGCAGCCAGAGACAGCTGTAGTTTAAAGAATGCTCTACAGATGGCAGTGGTGATGGCAAACAGTGAAGTCTCTTTTCTGAAGGGATGTTTATGTGCCATGTCAATCCAGTATTAAGTTAAAAATGACAAAACCCATTCCCTTTATGAGTAGTAGAAATATTTATATATATATTTTATAGGGAGTTTATTTTTCATTTGATGAAGCGGTTTTAAATGTCAGAAGCTGACATTTTGAAGAAGCTGATGCATTAAACTTTTGGATTCTTGTGTCACTGTTGTTGCTTTTCTTCCTGTTTTATGTGAAAGCTACTACTTTGTGTTACATTTAGAGCAGTTAGTGATTCTTTACCTGCTCTGTCTGTCAGGATGACCTCCTCTCCCTGAAGGTGGGGAGTGTCCTCCATCACCTCAGCATCAAGAGAGCAATTCAAGTTCTACGAATCAACAACTACGAACCCAACTGTTTGCGTCGGAGACCATCAGACGAGGTACTTTTTCAGCGTTATTTAGACCCAGCCTTTTTGCCAGTGGGAAGGAAGCCAAATGCTGATTCATAGCGGTTCGACCCATGTTTGAAAAACACACGTTAACGTGCTATATTCGGTGGGAAAGAGGCTTAAGTCAGGACTGTACAAAGCCTTCCTTTAACTTCTCCTGGAAACGTTTTTAAAATTTGTTTAGGGGGCGGGATGAATTTTTTTAATCAGGGTAAGTTCATTTTTTCTGTTCTGTACAGGTCGGATTTCAGATAATCTTTTCTGACAAGTCTCGTTTTGTTGTAATGCTTACCTATATAGGTTTTTATTTTGTAAACTACCTTTGGTTCTCTGTATGCAGAACAACATTTCACCTGCAGAGATCTCCCAGTGGACCAACCACAGGGTGATGGAATGGCTTCGATCTGTTGACCTCGCTGAGTACGCTCCTAACCTGAGGGGCAGCGGTGTCCACGGAGGACTAATGGTGAGGAACTTTGGCTTTCCTCCACCGTTTGAGCAGCAGATTGTCCTTAAATATATCTAATCACAACTTGTGTGCGTGTTTAGGTTCTGGAGCCCCGGTTCAATGTGGAGACCATGGCTCTGCTGCTTAACATCCCCCCCAACAAGACGCTGCTGCGTCGCCACCTTGCCACACATTTCAGTCTCCTCATTGGCTCAGAAGCTCAGCAGCTCAAACAGGAGTGTCTGGAGAACCCAGACTACATTCTACTTACTGCCACTACTAAAGTCAAGGTAATCTGGTACTTCCTCCTCTGCTTTCTCTGAGCGCTGTTTCCTAGAACAGATCTAGCTTTACCGGTATAAATTGTGTTCACAGACAAGGAATTTGATTTAGACTCCCCATGTAGACATTAAACATGAATTTTTGTTCTTTAGAGGTGTTAAATACAAGATATGTATATGTAGCTGGACAGTATATAGAAAGAAGAACAGCAGGTTGGCTATTTGGGTAGAAAGGACAAAAACTTTTACGTTTTCAAGTATGTTTTTAATGTGAAGTCCTGTTTTGTTGTTTTTGTTTTTTTCTGTGTCATAACCAGCCAAGGAAACTGTCGTTTGGTAACTTCAGCGGTCTAAGGAAGAAAAAGCAGGAGGAAAATGAGGAGTATGTGTGTCCAATGGACGTAGAGATGCCAAAAGGACGGAGTTTCCAGAAAGGCTTTGAGCTCCAGATCTATGAGGATGACCTGGACCGGCTGGAGCAGGTGAATCTATCTCACTGACATCATCACTTGTGTTGAGAAAGATGCTGTATTTGTTGTGTGATCCAGTCCGCCTGGTTGTTTGTCTCATTCTAAGTGGAGCATATTGTTTTTGCAGATGGAGGACTCTGAGGGGACAGTGAGACAGATCGGGGCTTTCTCAGAGGGAATTCAGAACCTCACTGTAAGTCTATGATGATTCCCAGGTCTCCTTTGTTCAAGAGCTTCTGGTGTGAATAAATATTTTCTGTTTTTTTCTTTGTCTTCCAGAGTATGCTGAAAGAAGATGAATTCTTTAAAGAGATGTCAAACTCTCCAAACCCGAGTGTCACCGATGAGGAATCCAATGCATGAGACAGTCTGGGTCCGACCCGGTCCTGCTGTGAATGAAACTCTGGGCCGACCCTCCTCTTCTCACCGTTAACGACCCTTTATTGCCTTTTAGTGTTAAAGAGCCAAAAGTGTTACAGCTTCCTCCTTCTCTTTGTCAGCGTCTCTGGCCCATTCGTCACCATTACTGATGTCCGAGGGAACATTTAGGATAGCACCACTGTTTTCCTACCAGCTGGTCTCTGGAAATATTTTATACTCTGTGGTATATAAAGTGTCAACCAGCAAGAAAATGCCATGAAAATACGATTTTATATATTTTAATATATCAATTTTAGTTGCCTTCAGAGTTAGAAAATGAAAGGAAGACGTGGGCTTTGCTGAAACGGACGAATTCACAGAGGAAATTTAATCAAAGTATGTCTTTAAAAACAAATTCTGCAGCTGCTACGTTTTCTCTTTCTACACGACTGAACCTTGCTGATTAAACAACTGTGGTCTGATATTTCATCTTTTTTTATGAAGATTTGTATGCTCATCAATTTGCACATAAACTACATTAACCAGTCTAAAGAATATCCTTGCATGATTTCGGAGTTTAACACGTTTGTATTTTACTTTTTATCTTGGAAGGATCTGGGAACCTATTTAGTTGTTCCTTTGAACATGTAGTCTGAGAAAATATCATTTCCCTGCAATAATTCTGTAATTCAGCTCTTTATTCTGTCATAGGTTATACAATTTTAAACGCAGTTCTTGAGATCAATAAACTAATTTAAGTCAGCCTTGTTTCTATTCTGTTGGACAATAAAATACCAACAACTGAAAGTGGTTTGGTTTTGTTTTTTCACTATAAATCATGTATTTATGGTTTCCAAAGTGAAGATAAATTGTGGGTATATTCATTATTCCAAGCATGATGTCAAGGAATTGTTCATTTTTAAACGATTCTGTTCTGCAGTAAATTAAAATCTGCCAGGGAACGTGAATATTTACTACTAAAGTCCGTCTGTGATTTCAAATGACTCTGTTTTTTTTTTTTTTTCCATTGTCAGTTATATTTAAATGTGTTTGTAAAACCAAATTTAGATCTAATTATTTTATTATTTAGAAAAATCCACATTGGGAGGCATCAACAGCAGTTTGAAGTCGGTGTAAAGCAGAAGGTTTTCCAGCTATAAAATGTTAATTTTTTAATCTTATCGATTTTTTCAAATTTATTGAAAGATCAAAATGTTTAGGGAATTATAAGAAAATAAAATTATATCTTAGTGTTAAAATCTTGGTCTTAAATCTAACGTGCATGCCTCAAACTCAAGCCTGTTGAATCTGAGGGGGAGTGGTGGACTAGTGATTAGAGCTTGGAATCCTGAGGTTCTGAGTTCGAGCCCCACCACCCACAGACTGCTACTCTGGGTCTTTGAGTAAAGACCCTTAACCCCACACTGCTCCCCGGGCGCCGCACAATGGCAGCCCAGTGCTCCCCAAGGGGATGAGTTAAATGCAGTAATGAAATTAAAAAGCTGGAATCTAGCCCATCATGTCAGTGTATCCCGTCCTCCAGAGTTTATAAGGACTGAAATTAGGCTGGAGCATCTAGCTTCAGGCTGGTTCTAAGCCTGCCTCAAGCTGTTCTCTGAGGTAGCATTAAACCGACCACAGAAGCTGCCTCTTCTCATGTCATCAGTGGGATTCCAGATCTGTGACACAGAGGCCTTCAAACTATCTTCTGCTTTCCTCTTGGTTACTTTTCATGCTAGAAACCATTTAAAGTACTGGATAGAATATACCACTGGCTGAAACATCCAAATGCATTCCAAAGGATAAGAGCTCCTCATTTTGAAGTCAAATAGAACAACTATACATGAACATGATTGTATAAGTTCAAAATTACCTTTTGATTTACATTTTTTCTTGTAGATGAATCATTTCGAATCATAGCAGCAGGGTCAGAAAAACATTACATAGTTTTGACAATTTGTGGGGTGAAAGATTACTTCAGTTCAGTTTAAAGTCATTTTGCAATAATCTGTTGGATAATATATCCCACCCCATGCATAAAGCTGTTTCAGAACTGGAGAGCTCCTTCAGTGACAGACTGCTGCACCCTAAATGCACCAGGGAGCGTTATCACAGATCCTTCCAGCAGCTGTAAGACTCTATAACCACCACTGTTCCCAACAACCTAAATAGGCTGTTACATTCATGCTGATTTTGCACAGTTTCTATCTCAGTCCGTTAAATGACATACTGCTGTCATTTAGCACATCTCTGATGTTGCTGCTATTTTCAAATATCCATTGCTGCAAAAAATGTCCATAGCTGTATATTGGTTATTTATTCTCCAGGTGCAGAGTTTGTATATTGTTAGAAACACTTTACAGTACAGTATTTAATTGTTTATCTTTTAACTCTTCACTATTATGTTATGTTTATACATTTTTCTATTATCTTTTTTGCTGCCGTAAACACCAGAATTTCCCAATTGTGGGACAATAAAGGGATTTTCTATTCTATTTTATTCTAAAGAAAGTCAGATGTGGGGGTTTTATCACTGCACTAGTTAAAATAAGCAGAATATATGATGTATGGATAACCATTTAAGTCCAACATTCTAAAATCTTCATTTGGAAACTTTAGTTTTAGTTGTTCTGGTTGCTTAAATGGAGATGTGAGGAATCCCTGATGATAGACCTCCTTTCCCGCAGCAGTCCTAGAAAAGATCCACACAGAGGGGAGGGACATTCCCATGACCCTTTTAACTTCCCTTACTGTCCTCTTTTGGGCCAAGTGGTCTGCCATATTGCAGATGGAGTTTGACACAATTTGGTGAAATTATTCATTTAGTGAATCATGTTATACAAATAAATGCAACTTGCTGTCCTCACACAGAAAAAAAAGGGTGGGAGGTGACTGGTGCTTTTTTATTTGCTGTTAGGGATAATGTGAATGAGATTAATTTGCTAGATGATGCTAAGAATCCTAATTATAAACTTGTTGCATTCTGTATCTATCAATGATGCAGAGTTTGGTTCTAGTTGCTCTTACATCTTCTTGACATTTAGACAAAGTTTTTCACATTATAATCAGAGGGCTTTGTTTGCATAATATTGGAAACTAATCTGTGAAAGTGGATTAAAAACTATCCTTTGGCAGGGTTCCTCCTGGTGGTTAATCACACCCACCCTCTCCTTCAACAAGCAGGGCTCACATCAGGATTCTTCTCAGACCCCTGCAGAGGGTTGGATAATGGGTGGAGGCTGGACTTTCTCAAACATTAGTGGGTGCTCTGCTGTAGTGTGAACTATAGAAGAGAAGAGTTTCTGTTATCATGGCTGCAAGGTCTGTATAATTACTAACTTTTTTTCTCTCTTTAAAGTTCATTTTTGCACTAACTAGGCAGTTTTAAACCAAGGCTGTTGATAGAAACTGTGTGAAATGCAGGTTTTGTGGAAGCCTCTTTCTGGCAGTCCTTCTCAGCGGAGCTAATGCATCAAGGTAAAATATGATAAAAGAAAAGATGTTTTTCCTCATGCACTTGTTTTAGCAGTAGTCAGATTTTTGTGTATTTCTGTAACAGGCCAGTTTTAAACCAGGAGCTATCCAATATCTTCAATGAGCTCTGGAGCCTGGATGTGAATCGCATGACGCCTGGGATAGACTACACCATCTCTGTTCAGGTGAGGAGCTCCTTAATAACACAGCACTTCCCTGGCTGCTGTTTGTTCAAAGTATCTGTAGGTTCTTTATGTTTCCTCTGCAGAGTAGAGCAGGGTTTGTGAACCAGGGCAGCCATCTTGTAATGGATCACGCCTCACTGCCTCTTTTCTCCAACGTAAACGAGAACAAAATGAGGAACACTACCACTTTTTCTCGTGAGTGATTCAGAGCTCTCTCACTGCCTCAGCCAAACACATTCAGGAAATCCTGCACTTAATCAACTGGATTTCTGTTCCTGCAGGCTTCATGAAACTCTTGGACAACTACGAACGATCAACAGGTATCACAGAGCGAGTCACTCCAGAGGAACAGACAGAAATCAGTCTTTTTCTGGATGCTGTTTTAGAGACACAGGTCATGAAGGTGTGTAAAACTACCTGGACTTAACAACTCCTTTAACATATTTTTGTTTTAATGTGTTTTTTCAATGCCTTCAGTTCCCCACAGACTTGAAAAAAAAAAACTTTTTCATTTTTGCTGTTTTGTGGCTGGAGTTTGCAGCTGTCTCTTCCTGTCCCTGCAGGAACAAAACACAAAACTTCATGGTGTTAGAGTGAAAAATGACAAACAGCTGAAACATCTGTGTGCAGCTGTGGAATGCAAAGTTGGCCTCCATGGTGTCCCTAAAGAGGATCAGTGGAAAAATGTGGACATTTTGTTCCAACTCTGTAAGCTCTTTGCTCTGAGGAGATTTTGGATTATCTCTCTTTGGAGTAGAGATAAATAAATGTAGTATTTATGGCCATGTTTTGATCACATTAATGATGTAGTGTAAAAAGCAGAAACACAGTAAACAGAAATGTAGAATCAGCTAAATTTAATGCAATTTCATAACTATTAGCAAACACCATTCTAAAACAGTCTCTCTCTGGGATTCTTGAAAGATTTAAACGAAAACAATTAAACAGAAATATTCACAATATTGTACCAATAGTATTAATAGCATAGCTAAGCATTTTAACAGCTTGATTTAAGAAGCTGTGTAATACATTGATCATAAAGCTTTTGATATCTTGGTACCAAAAGAGGGTAGGGATTTTCTCAATACCTTTCCTCTCACTATCAGCTGCATAGCTGCTTAGCGGCAGTGAAAATGAAGGGTGACTGGGTTTTTTTATTCAATACTGTATTCATTTTTGTATGAAAAGTTCAAATACTGTGCCTTGAAAAATTGTTAATCCATTTGAATTTGTTTCCTTTAAAGCTTCAATATCTTCTGTTTGGATTTTACATGGTAGATCAACACAAAGCTGCACATGATAAGAAGGGGAGAAGTATAATTCAACCTGGAGAGACTCACACTGAGAAAAGCTGCAATTAGAAAATATTAAATTTAATTAAATCATATTCTTCAAAGGCCATCTGCCGAGGCCGACTGGGGTTCAAGGAGACAGAAGAAGAAAAAGACATAAATGAAATAAGTCTTTGGCGCTCTGGCACTGGCAGAACGCTTTGATGCTGTGAATCAACATGCACTTGGATGAGTAACCAAGAAAAGGATTAGAGTAGTTTTCCCCCGGGTCCCGGACCCTGGCAGTGGACCAAGCCAGAGGATGAGTGGGACTCATAATAAGGGAATAGGGGTGGAGGTGGATGAACGTTTGCTTATGTGCAGGAGAATCTGGGCCAGGAGCTAAATGAAGCGGATCTTTAAAGATGGCTGGCCTTTGGAGAAGGTGCAGCCCCCAACATCAATCAATGCTCTCCTTGCCTTGTCTGTCAGTTTTGAGGGGCTATACCCTCTCCATTTTCATACGTCACAGTCATCCTCCAACTTAGTTTATATTTATCACATCAATAAAATACTTAGAAATATGTGGTTTAAAAGTAAAAAAGAATTGAAAGGTTCGGTGCTGTCAATACTGTTGCGGGGTACAGTGGCCATAATTTAATTAAGAATCCTTTAGGTGTATCTTCCCAAAACGAGTCCAGTCCTGTCACTGGGAAAAATCAGATTTTTACAGAACAGGTACATTTCTGAAGTCTGGTAGTTTACAGTCTACTTTGCAGTAATGAATAATGACCTCTCCCCAGCGGGCTCATCAGTACCTGGTGAGCAAAGGGAAGTCCAGCTCGGACATCACGCAGTTTAAGAGTCAACTCAACTTGATCTGGTTCCATCTGTACCACCGACAGAGAAACACAGGGTGAGGGTCCCAGAAACGTCAACAGATGTATCTTTTTATTTAGTTTATATTTAAATTTGTCAGGACATGTTAAAGGAATAGTACACCCAAAACATGATTAGCCTTCATTTTCTACTCACCCCCATGCTGAACAACACTGGAGTACTTTTTTGATATCTCAAATGCATCCGGAGATCTGGGAGGCTTCTTGCTGTCTGCTGACATTCAAATAATGGAGGTCTATGGCGCCCGAGGCAGAAAGGTCCATAAAAGTCCACAAAAAATGTGTCAATATTCCTCCATACTGCTCGTCCAATGTAATCCAAGTGTCCTGAGTGGGTAGCGTCCATAATTTACTCGAAACAAAGTCATTTAGAATGTTTTTAGAGCATAAACAGTAGTGTATAGGATTTCCTATAAGCGCGTTCACGGGTCTACAGAAACCGCGGCAGACCAAACCAGATGAAAGTGCGCATTCAGCGTCTGCTCTGCCGATCATGCAAGCGTAGAAGAAGAAATGTGCCGTTTACCTGTGCAAAGAAAGAAACAACGAAAGAAAAATGTCTGAGGACTTCAGTGTTGAGGAAGAGCATGAGTTCTTTGCCGAGCTGAATGCGCACTTTCGTCTGGTTTGGTCTGCCGCGGTTTTCGTAGACTCGTGAACGCGCTTTAAGGAAATCCTATACACTACTGTTTATGCTCTAAAAACATTCTAAATGACTTTGTTTCGAGTAAATTATGGACGCTACCCACTCAGGACACTTGGAATACATTGGACGAGCAGTATGGAGGAATATTGAAACGTTTTTTGTGGACTTTTATGGACCTTTCTGCCTCGGGCACCATAGACCTCTATTATTTGAGTGTCAGCAGACAGCAAGAAGCCTCCCAGATCTCCAGATGCATTTGAGATATCAAAAAAGTACTCCAGAGTGTTGTTCAGCATGGGGGTGAGTAGAAAATGAAGGCTAATCATGTTTTGGGTGTACTATTCCTTTAAGAAAAGCTCTCACTTTATCATTGCAGCCCAGACTCTTGTGGATTTGAACACGTCTTTGTTGGTGAAACCAAATCTGGAACAGAAATTATCGGGTTTCACAACTGGGTCCAGTTCTACCTGCAGGAGAAAAACAGCCACTTGGACTATAAAGGCTATAAGGCCAGAGACCATGACTTAGTAAGTTCACTGCTTCTGGAGACTTGCTTGTCAACGCGCTCTAACATGTTAATTCATGCTTTCTCTACAGCCTGATCAGGATGACCATGTCCTGAACCTCCAGTTCAGCTGGCACGGCGTGGTGAAGCCCGTCGGCAGCGCCTTCATCGGAACCAGCCCCGAGTTTGAAATGGCCCTCTTCACCATCATCTTCCTTATGAACACAGAGCGAAGCACAACTGTGCTGGTCAACATCGATCAGTGTCAAATGGAGCTGGTGGTCATCAGGCAGGGCCGCTGTCTGGGGACTGCCTACCCCAAACTGCTCAGCAGCAACAGCAGACACACGGGGCAGCACTCACACTGACTCCAAAAGAGATTTTACCTAAAACCAGTTGGTGAAGTCTACATCCATCAGGAGAATCATAATCTGTACTGATCCAACCATGTATCTAAAGCTTTTAATAAAATATTTCTAATGGTTTTATCAGCAAAATAAGATGTATTTGAAAAGGTGTACTGTGTATCTGTGAGATCCTTATGTTAATCATCGCTATGAATAAAAGTAATCCCAGATTTTGTAATAACCCCAAAATTTTCATTCTTATAGAAGTAAAAGTGTTGAAAAGAATAAAACATGGTTTAATGAACATAAAATCTCTCTCCTCAAAGACTGTTAATTAATGACTTGATTTGAAACAAGATTGATTTATTTTGACTTACAGAAACCTGCCTGCAGCAAAAGGATCATGTTAATATAAATGAGTCAACTTATTTTGGTTACATTTAAATTCACATCATAGTCGAAGAGAAGCAATATTTTTTCTTTCTGATTTATTAGACGGTTTAAAGCTTGTTCATTTCAATTTCATTCTGTTTGTATTTTTGTTATTGTGCACCGGACGCTTGAAGTGAGATGACATGCCTTGTGAAATGTCACAATGGCTCCCTGTTGTGTATGGTGTTCAGTTTAAATTAGAATCAAAGCTTATTTATATAGCACTTTACAACAACACCAGGAAGATCAAAGTGCGTCACAGAAAGATAAAAACAATGCAAAAAAAAAAAAATTAATAAAATTATAAGCATAAAACAATGTGTCCTAAGTATTAAAAGCCAGTTTAAAAAAACAAGTCTTTAATCTGGACTTAAAAAGGTGCAGATCAGTGTTAACCTGCTTATATATACAGACGTAATGAATGACTACTAATTTCTCAGACATTCTTCTAAATGTAGAGGTAGAGTAAATATTTAATTGCTTCCATTGCATTTATTTTTGCTGATTGCTTTTTACTATTTTTTTTAATATAGGACAATACTTCTTTCTAAAACTTGCATTTTTTTTCACAGTGATAAAATGCATTAAATGAAAGGCCGCATTTTCAAAAAAAACATTTCTTCCACCTTTATAGGTGATTACTGTAAATGTGGAAGGAGCTCTAAACACCTTTTTAAAGAAAACTTTTAAAACATGCTAGATTGTCCTGAAAACTGATTCCACCTTAATCCAACCTGCTTTGAATTAAGTGTAAGCAAAGTGTAGGTGGAGCTGTATTAACTGATTCCTTCCTTATTTTTTTTTTTCCTGATAAGTACACTCAAGCTGTTAGTAATGAAAGCGGAAAGGCTCTTGTTTTTTCTTTAGGTATAATATGCTTTATGCTTTACTAGATCTGCAATAAGCTGAAGGTCTGAAGTCATCCAACTACTAACTGACCTTAGATGTTTTGCATATTTATTATCTGACGTTACATGTCTGCTGTAGATCATTTATCTAAGGTTATATTTACTGTATAGAATTAAACAGTTTCTTTTCTTAAACTGCCACAAAATAACTGGTTTGACTTACAAGCCGCCAATTTTTGAACATGTCTGTTTTTTTAACTGCCTGTTTTAATTTTCTCTCTTCTCATCTGTCTTTTTGTTTTATGTTTCTAATAGAAAACACAGTTGTTGCACACTGTGTGACAGCATTAAGAAGATTGGATCACCCTTTATTGTTTTAACAGCGCTCTTCAACAGAGGCGTGCTTTAGTTAGCTTTATGCAGATATCTATGTTTCATTAAACCCTCAAAATCAGAAAACACATATGAAATTTGATGTACTTCTACTTTCTGGCAATAGGTGTGTGAAAAACGTGCAGGAAGAGGCCACTTCTGCAGTGCAATGCAGTTGCAGATTAAAAAAGGTTGCCAAAGCAATGGTGATTTCAAAGCTACAGACTCCACAGACAGAATTCTGTGTTTAGAAAATTGTCTTTTTCTCCATTAAGTAAAAAAATATATGTAGCAAGTGCATTTTTATTCATTTTGTGTGTTTTCGTCTTCATAATATGGATTAATTAAAGATGAATATTATATATGGTATAATCTTTTTTAATTATTTTGTTATGCCAGCAGGCAAACTACTTTGTTTCCTGTCTGTTATTATTAAACTGGGAGGCGGTACTCCAACATGGCGAAAACCTCCAATATTGAGACCCATAGACATTATATAATTACATGCCTCATTGGATGCTGTGTGTCTGCAGAGAGGCTGACGTGCCTAGAGGGCGGCCATCTTGGATCAGACCACAGTTCAAACAGCTGCTGTCAGAATGAAAAGGAGGCGCCTTTTAATCACATGAGAGACGAACCAGAGATAATATAACATCAATCTCTTACATTTCACAACCTCTTAAAAGTCCAAAACAAATTCTAAAATTACTTTTACATTAGATTACAGATATTAATACTTTTTAAACTGATCTTAAACTGGATCTGAGATATGCAAAGTTATATATTTTGCAAATAATACTGATATTATAAACAAAAAGTATTATTATTACATTATTACAAATATTATATATTTATATAGTATTTTATAATTATTATTCAGTATTTTTAAGGATTGCTCTTTGATAATGAGTATTATGATCTATAGAGGAAAAGTTGTTGTAATGTGAATTACCAAAAATATAAAAGTTATTATTTTGTTTTTTTAATTAATTTTATGTTAATTTTTGTATATTTTCTCATTGTCAAGACTTTTTTGTCAAATTGTAGTGGATGGTAAATTCATGTCTGTTTTTGGTCCTTATAAGTTTGTCTAAACTTCTCCAAAACTCTTCTGCAAACTACGATTTGTTTTTTTTTTTATCATTATTTATGCATATGTCAACATTTGTTGTTTAATCGGTTAAAGTGTGTCATATATAATACTATTTTTGGAAGCGGAACCTTTTACTTCGTTCCGTGAACCTCTCGGGGGAAGTTATAAAAAGTAACACAACCGGGACGCATGTTCGCAAGACTTCCGATGATTTGATTCTCCTCAGACACTTTTTTTGTTGCATAGTTGTATGTGTTTACTGGTGAGGAGCAGCTTTTCTAATGGAGGTGCTGGGAGGAGAGTTTGGAGGCCTGACTCCTCAGGAGCTCGCGGCTCCTGTCAACACTGTGGCGGTGAGTTTGAGGACAGTGGGACAGATGTGCTCTGCACCACGAGCTCAGGATAGTGTCATATGCTGGTGGACAAAAACAACAATTGGTCTACATTTAAACAACAATGAAAGCTAAAACTGCTTGATACATTTGAATAAATCACTGAACAATAGTTTCTTTTTTTCTGACAGGAAAAATGGAAATTGTTACCAGCCTTCCTGAAGGTAAATCCCTACCAAAACTATTCCTTAGCCTTTCTCTTTTAAACAAGCTGAATATTTAGAGTCACTTTTCTGCATTCATTAGTTGTAAATGACTAATACTTTGCTATATATGTAACATGTTAGATCAAATTTTGTGTCCTCTTATTGCTATCGCTTGTCTTATGTTTCTGCAGGTGAAAGGTTTGGTGAAGCAGCACATTGATTCATTTAACTATTTCATCAATGTTGAGGTAAAATGGAACCCTAAATCCTTATTGATTATTTTATTTTTCTGTTTAAATAAAATGTTATTTGAATTTTTATTTATTTATTCTGCATTCCTATTTCCAGTACACCTGCCTGAACTTCTCTGAGTTTAATTTATACCCTGTTTGTTTTCTAGATTAAGAAAATCATGAAAGCCAATGAGAAAATAACCAGCGATGCTGACCCAATGTGGTACCTGAAGTAAGCCCAGTCTGTTTACAGCCCTTCTTTATTTTAATGCATTTTCTTTAAGTTTTAAAGCTGAGATCTTAAGAGTAATCATTTCTGCCCAGGTATCTGAACATTTACGTCGGCATGCCTGATGTGGAGGAGAGCTTCAACGTAACCAGACCAGTTTCACCTCATGAGGTCAGGATAATGATTCACTGAATTTTGGCTAATAGACAGGGATAATTAAAGTTTTATAAACTATCAGACTAATGTTTGCTGTTGGAAAGTTGGCACCTTCCAATAAATCTTAAAAAATTTGTTATTGTAATAAATCAAAGAATATGTTTAATTTATTGAAATATACTGATCAGGCACAACAATATGACCACTAGCAGGTGAGATGAAGAGGTTGGACTGGCCCTCAAAGTGCATGTGATAAAAGTAGGAGAACTGAAAAGTTATATAGCACTTTTTTCCAAGTCAGGAGACTTGACCAAAGCCCTTTACACTACATTCAGTCGTTCATGCACACAATCTCACAGTGAAGGCGGCAAGCTGCATTGTAGCCACAGCTGCCCTGGGACTCACTGTCAGAATTGAGGCTGCCATACACTGGCGCCATCGGGCCCTCTGACGACCATCAGTAGGTAATGCATGTGAAATGTCTTGCCCAAGGACACAACAACACTGAAAGCCGGAAACGTGGCTCAAACCGCCAACCCTCCGACTGCAGGGCAAACTCCTGCACCCAACGTCACTACTGCAGCTAAGTGACCTAAAGGGCCCACATTTTATTTACTAGATGTCTGGGTCAGAGCATCTACAAAACCACAGCTCTGGTGTGTTGTCTCTGTATCTATCAAAAGATGTCCACGGAGAACAGCTTTGAATTGTTACAAGTGGATAGGTGTTAGATGATGAAGGAGCAAAGAGTTTTAAAAGCTACAAAAGAACCTTTAATGAATCCTGCGGCTAAAATTGGACAAATGGCCAGAAAGGACATGCAGAGCATCTATGTAGCCGGACATGAAGGAAGCACTGACTACCAGATTAGAGTAATCAGGCTGATTATGTCTCATGATACTTCCTAGAGATAATAGGCTTTACTTTGGTTAACTGATAACCAGTTTAGTCAAGCGTCTTTGGGACCAGCAAGGTTCAGAAACCTAATAACTTTCTACTGCCAACATCCGATTATTGGTGTCGATTATATTGACTTTCGAAAGCTCTATTAAAAAACAAAAGTATCTTTTAACTTTGCCGCATCAAGGTCACATCCTTTAGTCTGTCAGTTGCCTGATCAGAACTTAAAGGTATAGTGGAGGATTTTCATTAATTTTTGAAAAGGCCCAGCCTCTCCCCTTTAAAAAAAAAAAAGAATGCACATGCACAACCCTGTACCACTCCTGAGACGGAACACCTAATTGATGCGTGTGAGCGCATGCACAAGCTCATTTCTCCTCCTGCACGCTCTGTTTAAAAGTTACTAATTGCATTGCTCATACAAGCTTACTTTTCAAAAGAAGATTTGCATTTTTTCCACTATGTCAGACTCTCCACCAGTGAGTGAAAATGGAGATGAACATGTAGATGGCCTTATGTAAGCATATCACCAGAATGATTGACAATTAGGAGGTCCACTTATTTTGATGATCCACCTGGAAGAACATCTTTAACTATACCTTTACATTTTTGTCAGACTTATTGATACATTAGTTTTCTTTATTTTTTGCCATAGATTCTTTAGATGCCATAGATTCTTTAGATAAATGGGCACCTACTTTTTTTTTTAGATGTTCTCAGGGTTTTAATAATCTAATTTGGTGAAGTAGAAATGATCTGTTGTGCCCAATTGCTACAGTAATTAGTTAGGCGACAGGAGGAGTATATAACTCTCCCCTTTTTTGTTTATCCAATCTGACCGGTTACAACCTGGCAACCGGTCCCACCCACCCATCCAGGACACATGAACAATCAGATGAATAACTGAAATAGAATCTGTACGATTTACATCCTGGGTGTACATTTTTAAAGAATAGCTGACCTTGATCTTCCTGTATACAAAGAAAAGGCATTTATGTTGCTTTTTATTACACTGCTAAATCTGAAATCAACTGCGTCATGAAACATTTTAATCAAATACTTCTACCCTCATCATGTTATTTAGCTACTTGTTTAGCACTAACATCTCATCTCTCTGGACTCTAAATCAGTGTGGTTCATGTGAATCCAAGAGACCAAACCTTATAGTTAGCTGCAGAAGTTTGCATTTATTATATTTAAAGGTGTAGTATGTGAATAAAAAAATAAAAAAAATTCACATGCAGAACCCTGTACCTGCTCCCCAGAGGAAATGCATAGTGGCGCATGAACGAGCCCATTTTTCCTTATGCACGCTCTGTTTAAAAGTTGCTGTTTGCAATGATCATACAAGCTTAGTTTCCAAAAGAAGATTTGTTTTGTGTTTCTGCTATGTCAGTGAAAATGGGGACGAGCCCATAGGACGGCCTTACATAAACATATCACCAGAATGATTGACAATTAGGAGGACCACTTATTTTGATGATCCACCCAGAAAAAGAGCATCCTCCACTGTACCTTTAAGGATAAAAAAATAAAAAAACAAATGTTTTAAATGTTATGGATATGGTTGGAAATCTTTCTTTTTTTTCCATTAACTTAAGACATATGTGTGTTTGGTCAGTGTCGCCTCAGAGACATGACCTACTCTGCCCCGATCACTGTCGACATCGAGTACACTCGTGGCAGCCAGAGGATCATCCGCAATGCTCTGCCAATTGGAAGGTTTGTGCTTCCTTTGCTCTAAAGCATTCAGCATATTAATATATGATCATTGACTTGTTGAGTTCTCTCGTCAGGATGCCAATCATGCTGCGAAGCTCCAACTGCGTTCTTACAGGAAAGACTCCCATGGAGTTCTCCAAGCTCAACGAGTGTCCTTTAGATCCAGGTACTGTGTCGGCGCAGCTGTGGCGTCAAAAACCGGCCTGAGCTGAACTGACTGCCGACTGTCTCCCTTTGCTTCACAGGCGGTTATTTCATCGTCAAAGGTCAGGAGAAGGTCATTCTGATTCAGGAGCAGCTTTCCAAGAATAGGATCATTGTGGACCAGGACAGGAAGGGAACAGTTGGAGCCTCTGTCACCAGGTAAAAACCACAGCTCTGACATCAGGGAATGTCCCACTTTTTGCACATTTAAAAAGCACTTTAAACAGTTTCTTAAAGGTTCCCAGTCATGCACTCACTAATTTTATTGTTGTGATGTCATAGTCTGAACTTGTGTCTATGTGTTTTGATGGATCTTGTATTATGTTATCTTGTGTTGTTTTGTCTTCCTGCCTCAGAACGACAGATGTAAATCAGCAACTATGCTATAATATGGCTCATTTACAATCTGTACAGAAGCATAAGATTTGTCATTAATGTGATCTTTCCTGATTAGATAAATAAATAAATAAAATCTTATGAAGAAAACTCAAAACATTACTTCTATTAAAACTACAAATACGTCTTTTTAATATGGAATGTCATTGAAAGGTTCATTTTATTTTCAGTAATTTGATTCAAAAAGTTATAAATCAGCTGTTCATTTTTGTTAGTTATGCTTTTAAGGTGATGACATTATTGTGAGAGTACGTAAAAGCTTTATGGGTGTTATTAGGTTTAGAGACGATTATATTTTCATGTAAAGCCTGGATAGTTTTGGAAATTTAATTTATTTTAATAAATAGAATCACCTTTTCTAAAAGGGGATTCTGTGTTTCTTTTATTTGGATAGAACAGATGTTTTTTTTTTTACTTTTATTCTGGGATGTTTATGATTAAGTTGTAAATATGAAGGGAAGAAGATAAATGTAAAATTTTTGATCTGGGGTGTTGTTTTAATTTATAGCAGTTTTTATTTGTTTAGAGCCAATTAGCGTTAATCTTAAATCAGTTTTTTCCCCATTCGTATCTTCTCAGCTTGGTTTTGTAATAAACTGTCATTCCTTTTAAGGAAAATGGGTTTATATGATAGGAATTGTAATTGTTGAGGTTATTTAAAAGATGGAGCTTTTAAAGTTGAGTTTTTTTTACGTTTCAGCTCCACTCATGAAAAGAAGAGCAGAACCAACATCGTCGTAAAGAAAGGCTGCTTCTACCTTAAACACAATACGCTTTCTGAAGACGCTCCTATCGCCATAATATTCAAGGTAAAAAGGAGGATTTTAATGACCTTGCTTTGCCAGTAGGGGGTGCTGCGACCTAGTTTAATAAATACTTAAATGCTCAAAGTAAGGTTCTGTCCTCCCTGCAGTTTCCACTTGGATTAATATTCCATACATGTTGTTTTTCAACTTCATATGAGCCTGTGGAGTTATTAGTCTGTAGTTAAACACTCAGCTTCATGTTGACAGTGGAAATGTCAATAGGACAGCTGGTGTAATGATCTCCAGACGCCTTTGGGGGAGAAAATAAAACCTCCTCTAACATGTTACCTTTATAGGAGTCAAGTGTCTGGATCCACAGTCTTGTCATATTTACAGAGCGCTCGTTTAACCTGTGTGACTCTTTCCTCAGCCTCTCCATCTCACGTCCACAGTGGATCAGTTCCCACAGCCTCACATTTCCATAAGCAAATGTCACACAACCCTCTGACTCCCACTTTTCCTCTACAGTACAACTCTGCAAATCTTTTTCTTTTGGCTCCTTCTATTTAAACTATTATTCAAATAAAAAAATTTTTTTTCCTTGTGTTGTCCTAAAAGGCATAACCAAAAAATATTTAAAATGATAAAGTCTTGTTTGCATGTGTTCCCTGCAGGGTATGGGTGTAGAGAGTGACCAGGAGATAGTTCAGATGATCGGCACGGAGGAGCATGTCATGGCTAGCTTCGCTCCCAGTCTGGAGGAATGTCAGAAAGCTCAGATTTTCACACAGACTCAGGTAATTCCATTACACCACAAAATACAATTTAAACCACAGAACGGCTCTATATCTGATTAGGATTTATGTTGCGGACCAGCTGTGGATTTCTGCTGGTCCTCATAAAGTTAGATCATCTGCCTCTCTATAACCGATCACTTCTATTGCTCAAACATCACAATGACCCTGTTTCTGTGATTCATTCTGTTGCAAATGGTTCAAAACAAAAACAAGAGGTTAACTTGTTGGTGTGTGATTCAGCTTGAAGTTAATCAAACAGCCATTTTGACTTATTTAATTACTCAGCAGCTTTTATTTGCTCTTATTGGCGTTTTCTGAAGATCCAAAACACCTGCTTTCTCTTTATAGAAGATTCATGTTTTATAATTGATGATGACTTCTTTCCACTTGCTTAAGTAACACTTCTTGCATCCTTTGAAGCCCCCCTTTACATGTTTTCTTTAACATCTACAGATGAATGCAGTCGACCAATTTGTTTTTCATAAAGATTATGTTGTTAGAGGTTCCTCTGATGCATTGATGAGGGCATGTTTGGATCCTAGCAACCCATTCTCCTCAGCCGTCGCGTTTCTCTGCCTGCCAGCCTCTGTCATGTCTTTTCAGGGTATTCATTGGCTCTTTGTATTGTGCACAATGAGACCTAAATCTATATAATTAAAGGCAGATAAGGCTTAAGGAACAGCGTTATCAGATTATGGGTAATCTGCCTAAACCAAATGTGACTGTAATCTGTTTTTTTTTTTTTTTATATACCAGATTCTGAAAAATAGTATTTTATTTAAAGCATCAATCTATAGTCAAGCCACTTATTGTTTCAATTTTATACTAATTTGAGGGTCGTTAGGTTTGGTTAATCTTTATGTAGAGTAACCAAAACGACCAAAGGTAACTAAGATAAGTTGAAGTGTTGACTCCGGCAGACCCCTGGTAAAAAAAATAAAGTTCAAAACAATCTTTTTTTTTTTTTTTTTTTGCATACTGTTCATTTATCTATTATTGAGCTTCATAAGATAAAATACAATGTCAACATTTTTTTTTTCTCTTTCATTTTGGACCAAACCAAGACCACTAAACTGGGGAAAAACTCCTAATTGGATCAATTTTAGACCTGTGTTTTTCTGTCGAGTCTAGCATGACAACAATTTATAAGACTATTAATAGCACACATTCAATGCATAAAGTTTTCTATAATTTAAATGACTAAAAAAATCTGCATTGGGATAAAAAAAAAATGATGAATGCATTGGGCAGAAAGTTAAGATTAAAAATCTTAGGTTGCAAAGGAAACCTGTTTGAACTAATGCACAGTTTAGACTGAAAGTTTGCACATATAAATCAGTCTGGTGGATGTTAATGCAGCTGAATCATAGGGTTTAGTTCAGATCCTGATAGAAATGGTCCCCATTCAGTTACATTTACCGGTAGTCATTCATTTTCATCTTGAGCAAAATGCCTTTTAATCAGGCGTTAAAAGGACAGACTTACTGAGTAAATTAGGGGTACTTTCTATGAGAAAGAGAAATCCACAATGAATTATGGAGGAACAAAGGGATATCAGCAGTGGTGGTTTCTTCCGGTAACGAGATAACAACATGCAGAAATGAAGTAAGGAAGTTTGTTGTATACAGGGCAAACAATCCCTGAAGAAATATGCATGTGGTAAATGGAAGCTTTACCTCAGTTGGTGGCTGTGTCCAAGATGATGCACTGGGTGCACTAGGAATACTTTCTATAGAAAGGTAGTTGGTGGCAGTTTTACTGCTCCCTCAGGGACTCTCTGCAGGAGAGACGCAGCGGATCACAGCCACACTCTGTTCCTATACAAATAAAAACCCAGATGACACAAAGTGAGCTGTGAACATCATAGGTTAGATTTGTAGCATTCAAATCCACTTTGCAAATCCCTCCAAAATAGGCTTGAAATGTTCATTTGAATCGTCCCTGGAAAGGCAAAGATGAAACATCAGGTTTTCGAGATAAAAGAAAAAAGTTGGGGTTTATTTTGTACAGGAGATGTGGTTTTGCATTCAATTCAACTCGTACTCGTCGTATCCTGCTTTATCCGGAACCGGGTCGCGGGGGCAGCAGACTAAGCAGAGACTTCCAGACTCCCCTCTCCGCTGACACCTCCTCCAGCTCTGTTGGGGGAAGCCCTTGGCACTCCCAGGCCAGCCGAGAGACATAGTCTCTCCAGCATTCAATTCAAATTAAAAGGAAATCTTCATTATTCATAGAGGGAGATTAATCAGTGTAACCAGTGTTATTGGTTTTACCTCAACCAGATGTTTAGGATGTTTATGGCTGTAAGCAGCAGGATGTGCTGTAGCGGTCTGTGCGTCTGGAGGAGCCTCTGACTTAAGACTCTATTTTATACAACCGTCTGATGAAGAGGATGTTCAGGGCTGTCCGCTATGTTCTTGATTATATAAAATCTGATGTAAAATTATCATCAGAGATGATTGCTGTTTTTTTGCAGCACTTTGTCTCTCACTAATCTCCTCTGCCTCTTCTTTGTGTTTCAGGCTCTAAAATTTCTTGGGAATAAAGTCAGACGGCAGCGCATGTGGGGAGGTCCTAAAAAAACCAAGATGGAGGAGGCCAGAGAACTGCTGGCCTCTCTCATCCTCACTCATGTTCCTGTGTGTATAGAGAAAAAAAACCTCTTATTATTATAAGCAACCTGCTCAGATTATTGCATCATCATTTAGTCTTTGCACATCTTGTCTTCAGGTGAAAGAATTTAACTTTCGGGCCAAGTGTATTTACCTGGCTGTGATGGTCCGGAGAGTGATCCTGGCTCAAGGCGACAACAAAGTGGACGACAGAGATTATTATGGGAACAAGCGTCTGGAGTTGGCTGGTCAGGTGAAGCTCACAGTGGAAGCTGTTCAGCAGGAGGTTTCATTCACACTTCAGTTCAATCTCAGTCGGGTCGCTGGTTTTATGTGAAGAGACAAAACCGTCAGCTCCAGAATGTTCTCCAGCTTTGTTGGGACCATAAAGGCTCCCTGTTGACCTTGCTGTTTACTGGTTTGTTAACTGAAAGGTGTTTATTCCTTTTGATTTCTTGGAAAACAAAACATTCACGCCAATAATTGGTTTGTGAATGTGCTTCGGTGTGAATGGATCACAGGGCCGCACCAGCTCTGATCTTTCACCTGCCTCATTGTTTCTGCCACCTTCCATTTAATAAGCCTCTCATTACCTTTCCTCAGCTCCGTTCTTTCCCTTGTTTTGTTTTTGTTCCCCCCTCCCCTTTTTTCTCTGCCCGGCTTTGTCAGGAGGGAGATATGCAGCGGCACCAAAATCCCAACGCTGTAGAAGCACAGGGATTTTTCAACACCTTGACAATCGAGCGGCTGCCTTGACTCGAGCGATTGAGTTAATCCGCGGCCTGGGCTCTGATAATGTAATTACTGCTGTCTTTAGGTCTTTAATCCCCCCCCACCCCAACCTGCTCTGTGTATGGAGCAGAGATTGGAGGGAGGGGGGAGCAGAGCCCTCTTTCAAAAGGAGGCTTACACATCGACGGCACCAGCAATCTCCTCGCTCTCCAATTATGGTTCCCTGACATTCAACTAATTGGCCCGGCTGCGCAATGAAAGCTTAATTTCTTTATTAATTTCAAGCAGCCTGTTTGTTTTGATGTATGCTAATGCAAAGGATGTAGTGGGGTAGGTGTGTATGGGGGGTGGGGGTATTGAGACGCTGCCTCCTGCAGGCCTGGCGGAGGAAGACGGGGACTTGGGACGAAGGCCAGGTCAGGGTTATTTCTCAGCCAGCACACCTGGTTATTAAATCTGACAGCAGCGTAGATGCTGATCTTATAGAACGACGCTCCTCTCTGATTGTAACGCAGATAGAGTTTTTGGAAGCTGCCCATAGATACTAATGCCAATTAAGATGACTGTCCTCCTCCTTCCAGCTGCTGTCTCTGCTCTTTGAGGATCTGTTTAAGAAGTTTAATGCCGAACTGAAGAAGATTGCTGACCAGATCATCCCCAAGCAGCGAGCAGCTCAGTTTGATGTGGTCAAACACATGCGACAGGATCAGATCACCAACGGCATGATCAACGCCATCTCTACAGTGAGTTGCAGCAAAGCTGTAGTAAATCCAAAAGATGATTAACAGGGTTCTGTAGGTCCTATCAGAAATGGTTATTGCCTTATTATTCTACATTCTAGGGAATGATTTCAGAAGTTTTGCTGAAATGGGTAGATTAAAGCTCAACGGCCTAGGCTGAGCAGTTCTGCTGTAGTTGAAGGCCAAAAATCAACGAATCCGATTTTGCGTCTGCTGCAACAGACAATCATGTCGGACGAGGTCATTGTATTTAACGCACATTGAAGGAGAAGGGTGGCCTATTGGTTAGAGCATTGCCCTTGTGTCCCAGAGGTTCCTTAGTTCAACACCCACAGACTGCAACTTGGGGTCCCTAAGCAAGACCCTTACCCCACACTGCTCCCTGGGCGGTGCACAGTGGCAGCCCACTGCTCCTGAAGGAGATGGGTTAAATGTAGAGGGGAAATTCTCCAGTGTGAGATCAATAAAGTTCAATTATTATTATTTATTTATTGAAAGTCGATGAGGATGATCACAACCAACACGATTTACGCAAGGGGGCTTGCATATGTCTGACTGTGACAGACACCCGTCCTATTTTAGTCAGTCTACGCAGCAATTCAGCAGCAATTTCATGGGTCTAACAGGAAGAGGGACATGGTTAAAAAGTAAAACACATCCGCCTTTTGGGAAAAATGAAAAATAAAATCTCTTCATCATATGGGGAAAAGGTCAGTTTTGGGGTTACACATTGCGTATACAGCAAGTGGGACAGACTCGTGCAAAAACAATCAATGAAAAAAAAAAGAATACTTTACCCATAATACTTCAGTAGGAGAAAAAAAACATGTAGCAAAAATCTGATCCTCTTTGAACCTCACAAATAAAACAAAAGAACAAGGAGCAGAGAGAGCAGGTAAGCGTGGCATATATCCCACCTGTTTATGAAAACAAAGGAAGAAAAGCTTCGATAAACTTCACAGATCTCTGAGAATCACATATAAACCGTCCCACAGGGTTTATTTCTGTTTCTTTTCTTTAGACGTAGATTTCATGTTTTCAATATATGTATAGGAAAATTCTCTATCTGTTCTGGTTTGAGATGCTGCACAGACTCCTTAACCCTTTAAAGCCCGATCCAAGAATAAAACAAAACAGAAAATTACTTTTTTTTTTGGTTTGAAATCCTTTTTGGGCCTTTTAACAAAATATGTAAAAAGAAAAAACAGAAATACATTTTTGATATTAATAATTTATTACTATGCAATAAGTCAAGATTATTTTTTGTGTAGTCTTCTGTCCTCTGTTATCCGGTATATCTGATTGTGTACAATAGGATTTTGATCAAAGTTTTTACCAATAAATTATGCAAATGGTGTCAGACGCAAAACATTTCAGAAACCGTATGTATCAAATATGATACATTTGGCATTACAGGGTTAAGTGGGGCTTTGTTTATTAACATCTTTGTGCTTAAGATGCTAAAAATGGTTCAATTAGCCTCTTCACTCAGTTACAGAATCCACAATTAGGATTATTATAAGCTAGACCCGGTATCCTTTAGTCATCATCAGCTTTCCTGAAGCGTCTCTGCTGTGAGCCGTCATTGACGTTTGGATGCGTTTCCCTTCGTTAGGGCAACTGGTCTCTGAAGAGGTTCAAGATGGACCGTCAGGGTGTCACCCAGGTCTTGTCCCGTCTCTCCTACATCTCAGCTCTGGGCATGATGACCAGGATCTCCTCCCAGTTTGAGAAAACCAGGAAGGTCAGCGGGCCCCGATCGCTGCAGCCGTCCCAGTGGGGAATGCTGTGTCCATCCGATACACCTGAGGGAGAGGTAAGAAAACTGAACAAGTGATTGAAGAACTCAGACCATTTTCAGTAGACGTACCTTAGCCTTCAAACCTTCCACTGATATATTTTACTCCTGATCGCTGATCGTTAGCACTGCAGCCTGGGGTGAATTCAGGCTGGGGCCTTTTTGTCAGGATGCTTATAGTTTTTTCTGACATACTTAAATATAAATTGCAGTTTCTCCTTGATTGTTTTATTCCACTGCCAAAGTTTTCCACTTACCTGCTCAATTTAAGAAAGAAAAATGCACGGGGCAAGAAAAACTTACTTGCATTTAAATTTTTTGCAATGCATTTAGAAAGGAAAATCTCTTGAAACTTAAAGACTTATGGAGGATGTTCTTTTTCCAGGTGGATCATCAAAATAAGTGATCCTCCTAATTTTCAATCATTCTGGTGATAAGTTTATTTAAGGCCATCCTACATGCTCGTCCCCATTTTCATTTACTGATGGTGAGTCTGACATGGTGGAAAAATTTCAAATCTTTTGGAAAGTTTGTATGAGCGATGCAAACAGCAACTTTTAAGCAGAGTATAATCAAGGAGAAGTGGGCTTGTGCATGCTCTTGAACGGGTTAAATAGGCGTTCCCTCTGGGGAGCGGGTACAGGGATGTGCATGTGCATTTATTTTTTTTTTAATTGCGAAATTCTCCACTATACCTTTTAAGGTCTCATTTACAAGAAAGACCAGTTTTACTAAACCTAACAGTTGACAATATAAAAATGTTAATAATGCACAGTAAAAGCAAATACGTTCAGAATACATACATTATTGAAATCATTATAAACAAGTGCAGATTGCCCTAACGCTGTGATGATATTTTTAAGATCTGACCATCTGGGTGTGACCGTACAACTTTTAAAATATGTTTTTTTGTGTGTGTGTGTCTGTGTGTGTGTGTGTGTTTTTTTTTTTTTTTTTTTTTACTGTGGCTAAGAAGAAAACAAAAAATCTAATCTTTTGCAAAAGTCAGAAAGGCTTTCATGCAATGGAAAAGTCCTAGCTGGAGCCTGATTGATGAAAACTACGTTTTTTCACTAATTAAGTGTCTCAGAGACACAGCTGTTTGAAAAACTAGACGTTGTGTGTTGAAGTTTTTATTTTGGTTTGGTACCTCAGCATTGAGTCCTTCCTTCGCTTTTTCCAGCTGCTTTAGGTAATAAAGTGAGTGTTACTGACTACCACAATTTTTTTTCTTATTTTAGTATTTTTTTTAAGCCATTTAGAATGTAGTTTTGTGTCGTTTCTGTGACACAGAGTAAATGCACCATTATTTGTGGTTGTGATGAGTCGTATTAAAAAATCCTTCTGTTCTCCCTGCTGCCATAAACCTGTAAATGATGTTATTAACAGATTATCTCTGATGGATTAACATATTTTCCAGATGTCTTCCTTGATTATTTGTTTAGAAACCTCTTTTTTTCTTTTTCCTGTGCGTTTGATGTTTTGCTCCTCAGGCCTGCGGTCTGGTGAAGAACTTGGCTCTCATGACGCACATCACCACAGACATGGAGGACGGGCCGATCATCAAGCTGGCTTTCAACCTTGGCGTCGAGGACGTCAACCTGCTGTGTGGAGAGGAGCTGTCCTACCCTAGTGTCTTCCTCGTCTTCCTCAACGGTAAAACCTCTTCTGAGTAACTCCCTAAACCAGTAAAGACATACTGAATAAACTCTAGCAGCTGTTGCTTTAGATCCTTTGAAAAGGACCTCTAATCCGGATGTGTTTAAATGCATAGCTTATGAACATAAAGCACATTCTTTGTTGTTTAGTTTAGTGGTTTTGTGTTTTGCATGGAGGCTGATAAGTCTTTCATTTCATGGCAGTAGTAGGTGTTGTTCTTGTGTCAAAACTTGCCCCTTTAATTACTGTATTTGTTTGTCTTCGCTCTGATAATGGTCGAATTACATTGGCCGCCATACTGTTTAATTAGTTAGTAGCAGCAGGTGTCAAAGCCCTTCAGAGTGTGTTCCCTCACACAGAGGCAGAGCACAGACCTTCCTCTGTTCTCCACTCGTTTGTCTGTCAGAACTGATATGAACCAAACCCAGCAGGCAGTCGGAGCTCTGCTTTCTCCCCGATTGCAGCATGTTAGCTTTCCTCTATAGGTCTAGTTTTGGAGTGGAACATTGCATTTCTTTCTTCTCTGCTTCTACGCAAGCAGACTTTTTTGCAATCTTTTTTTTAGTGGTTTTGATCAATATTTCTTAGGCTTTCAGGTGGTCTTCATGGAAATAACTAAGATTTAAGGAAGCACTTTTAAGGTGGATCCTTGGCTTTTTTTTTTTTTTTCCATACCGAGGTGTTTAAAAGTAAACCTCTCTTCCATAGGGAGATCATATTTCAGTGTTTAGCTGCTTCACAAACTTCCTAACATTCATAAAGGTTTATTTCCAAACATTAAGGATTTGCTCTTTGATTGTCCCGAAGACGTTTAACGGTAGAAGAAATCTCTACTTTCAGTGCCATAATTCCCTTTGAAAAGAAGGATTTTTCTGCAATCAGTGAAAGGAAACCCCATTTCTTCCCACACCATGTTTAAGCAAGCCCTTCAAAAAGACAAATGAGTTAATTCTCTTTCTGATCTTAAAGTGAATTTGTGCCCAAACAAACATAATATAAATGAAAAAGTCAAACATAATAAAACAATGTAACTATAGTTATTCTTTTACCTCACTATAATCCATTAATAAACTTGTAATAGTCCGATTAATGTGCAATAGTAATGCATATGATGCAGTTCAACTTTATTTTACTAAAACAAAACAATCGTAGATATAATTATATGTTGACAGCCCGTTTGTTGTTAGTCCATACCTGTACAGGGTTCCTGCGGATCCTTATAAAGCCTTAATTGGTATTAAAATGTCTTAAATCAGTCTTTCATAGGTCTTAAAATTTTACATCATATATAGGATATTTTTTTTGTCATCCATATCAAACATTAAAATAATTGACAATAATTGTTTTACATTTACTGAACGGCTCGCTGTAACCATTACAGGTTCCGTCCCAATGTCGGAGCTAATAAAAGCAATGTTGTGGCCTGACCTTGGGGCGATGCGCACTATCTTTTTATCTGGGCAAGTTGGGGGAGTGTAAATTCAATAAAAATTTGCTATCCAGCTAAGAGTAAAACCACTACCAGGGAATGTATATGAGGCACGATGGGAATCCAGGCAGTGGAGTCAGACATGCAAAGCTTGAAACACAAAGCATCAGAATCTAGTTACTGAGAAGCAGTCAGTATTTCTCAGTTCTGTTCCACCCTTATCTCTGCGATGCCTCCACAGTATCTCTGACATCAATAACCAAGAACCAAATCTCTAGATAATGTTTGCTGGTATGCCTGCAATGAAAGCGGACGTATTAAGTAATGAAAAAAAACAAAGTTTGTGAATTTAGTTCAGTAGTTGTTAAAATATATCTGTTATTTTTGTGTTTTTAACTTTCTTGCTATTTAGAATGTTTTTCAAAATTTGAAAATTTGTCGAAACCAGTTTTTTCTGGTGTTTTTTGTGATGTTGGTCTTAACCTTTTATTCCTAGTGGCATTAAAAAGACTTAAAGGTGGGCCTAGGAGGCAGATCTCCAGGCTCCTAAGCTTAGGTCTTAGGCTTTAGGTCCTTTAAGTTCTTACCTGAATTTGTTTTCCTTTTCTACTAAACCTGGGATTCCAGCGTGTTTCTTCTGTTCCAGCCTTGTTGCAGCTTTTCTTTCATCCATTAATCCATGTTAGAGACTCATTGGTTTGATATCTTTTATATTAACATAATTGTTGCTAGCATGACACTAAAATCACTCTTTGTGGGCTGTTTCACCAGATCCCTACCTTACATCCCTACCTTAACTTTAGGATTTTATTCAGGCTGCCAGCATTTCTCTGAAGGGAAAAGCTCATTTAAAGCACCGTTCTTGCTCCAACTCATTTGACCAATTATTATATGCTTACCATATGCAACTTATGATGACAATTTTTTTTAAGTATTTGTGTACTTTGTTTTGTGACATAATGGTTGAAAAAAAAAACAGACATTTTCCAACTTTTGTTCCAAACAGTCATAACATAATATTCACATTATTTGGCTGTGCTTTACTCTGCAAATTAATATTTATCCTGCTGAAGTTCCACATGCTGTTTGTTTACTGGCTGCTAATCTTGACCAAAATGTTGATTTTTTTTTTTCCATGAAGTCCTACATTTGGAGCAACATTTCGTTTTGAAATGTTTCATTACTGGAATTTCCATTTTTTTAATTAAATGGCTAAAAAAAAACAACCTGTTGTAAAAGAGATAAAGCTAATTCTTCCTCACTCAAATCAGTTATAAAGCCAAATTCAATTCAGTGGATTTATATAACGGCAAATTACATCACATGTCATCTCAAGGCTCTTTACATAGAAAATTCAATTGGATCATACAGTCAGAGTGGTTAAAAGTTTTATACTGAACATGCAGGCAGTGACAGTGGAGAGATAAAACTCTGTTTTTACAGAAAGAATTTCCAGCAGAACCAGGCTCAGTGCCAAGGCTGACTGGGGATTAAATGACAGAGAAGCAGATACAGTACAAAAGGAACATAGAAGCACTGGTACATAAACTTTCTATGTCTGGGAAAGAAACCGTACCGGTAGATTGGCTCTGAAGGATGAACTCCTCCATTTGATTGATTTGATGTGTTTCATGTAAAGGGAAGGAAGCAGATGTTTAAAATACATTCCACAAACTGGATCGTACTGGATCTGAAGCTGAAGCTGGCGTCCCTCCACCTTTCTCTCTGACCTTCACAGGTAACATTCTGGGCGTCATCAGAGACCATCCTAAGCTGGTTAAAACCTTCAGACTCATGCGGAGAGCAGGTTTCATCAATGAGTTTGTGTCCATCTCCACCAACGCGACAGATCGTTGCGTCTACATCTCGTCTGATGGAGGAAGACTCTGCAGGTATGGTAACTTAAAACAAGTACATGGGTGGTAAATCTTTAAAAGACGTGGAGACTGTAATTCACTCATGCTATGTGCTGGTGTGATTTACCTCCGCTAAAGGCCGTACATCATAGTGAAGAAGGGACAGCCCATGGTGAACAACAAACACATAGAGGATCTGGCTCAGGGCTACAGGTGAGTTAGGAGATTTTAATCAAAGCGGCTTCCACATAAGGATGTTCTTCTGTGTTGGTGAATTTTGGGGAAAGGTAAACTTGCTTTAGCTTCAGAAAACAGCATTTTTTTTTTTTTTACCTGAAAGGAAACCCATTACACTTTTAACTTTATGCAGAAAACTTTGTGAGGAAAGTTTGATGCGAATTATGCTTATTTATTTACAATGATAACATCAAATTATTTACAGGACTTGTAGAGGGTAAATGAATTATATCCAGAACATATTCCGTAAAAGTTTAAAAAACAATCCACTGGACTTGGTTTCCAAGGTTTGAAGACGTTTCGCTTCCCGTCCAGGAAGCTTTCTCAATTCAATATCTGGATCTGCAGTGAGTTTGAGGCTTTATATGGACAAGGCCAGAAAATAGAAAATAGCTTTAATATAGTAAAGCTTGTTTTGCAAATCAATTAATCTGTTGATTTTATTTTATTTTTATCAATCAAATAATAATCAGATAGTCAAAGCTTCCTTAAACTAAAACGTTTCCACTTGAGGGGTTCTGAATAGAGCATATTGATACGCGAAAAACATTTTTATCTTAAATCCAAAATGTTTACAAATTTTTTCACAATCTTGGTATAATTACTGCTCTAAGTGGGATTTCTCTGTCAGTTAAAGGCATGTTTTAGAGTTTATACTCCAGTTTATGATTAATCGATTACTATATTAGTTAAAGATTGTTTCAATAATCCAATTAATTGTTTCAGCCTGTCTTTAATGAATACTCTGTATGAGAAAATAAGGCAAAGTTGCACACAATGCTGGAAACCTGCTGATCTAGGAGTGAATCCTTCATGACTGCATTCAATCTGCTGGTTTACCTTTAAAGGAAAAGCTTTGAACCAATCTGTTAGTTTGATTTTGTTAAAGCGACTTCTGTAAAGTGCATTGAGGTGATGTGTTGGGAATTGGCAGGCAAAAAAACAACAACAACAAAAAATCTAAAATAACCGGATTTAATTAGAAATATTGTTCATTGTCCAACAGGCTCGGAAATACAGAAAAGCAGTTTGTCCAGATGATCTGGGCCGTGATCACAGCGTGATTTTATGTTTGTTTTTTTGTAAAGGAAAACGCAGAAATTAAGTTTTTAGTGGACTCCTGTTGAAATTAATCCATCTAACAATCTTTAACATTGCAGTGGAAATGTAACTAATGTTCTAGCTTTTTTTTGCTGAATAAAAGCATAAATGTAAAATAAAATGAAAAAAATGTAAACTCCACATCTAACTCTGTTGCTACCGTATTTTCACGACTATAAGGCGCACTTAAACGTCTTTTTTTTCCTCAAAATGTGCGGTGCGCCCTATGGTGCGGTGCGCCTTATGTGTGTTGTAACTGCGACTTTTGAGACCACCTCATTGAGGAGATGATGAAAGAGTGGCTGAATGTAAGGAGACCAGGTGTTTTTTTTCCACCCCTCACCATCGCTGTTAATATGTAACTCCATGCGTGCCCATCTCGCAGCTGATGTGAAAAACATGGGGAAACAAATTAACGCTGCTCGACATCGGTGTGAACCGGACCCAGCAGGTGCAGCAGAAGCAGCGAGTTTACATGCAAAGTCAATGGTTGACGCGCATATAGGTGCAGCAAAAGGTCCCGCAGCGCATTTTGGTGCAGCACGTCGGGAGCGTTTAAGCATCTGAAGCGCCGCGCTTCTGCTGCTCGAGATGGAAAAATTGAAGTTTTGCTGCTGGACGCGCCGCATCAACCAATCAGAGAAGCTGATCTGGGAGCTGCCAGCGAGACAGACAGCTCTCTGATGACATATGATATTAACGCAAATGGAAAAGGCTGGATGGATGCGTGGCTGAGGCAGGTGTATGTGAGAAGACTAGGTGGTTTTTTCCACGCATCACCATCGCTGCGTGCCCATCTCACAGCCGATGTGAAAAAAAGGTGAATCAAATGAACGCTGTGCTCGCCGTTATCCCGGGGGTCTGACAAAGGAGCTTCCACCGCTCGACATCGGTGTGAAGCAGCCGTTCGAAGTAAGGCTGCGAGCGGCGTGGGAGCGATGGATGACCGACGGAGACCACAGTTTCAGGATAAGAAGGCAGCGCCGGGCAGATTACGCCACAGTTTGCGGATGGATTGTAGATGCTTGGACTAAAGTGTCTGTTGGCTCTGTTGTTCAAGCTTTCGCAAAAGCCGGCATTATTTCTGAGGAGCTGCGCTGCACGGAAAGTGACTGACAGCGAAGAAGGGGAAACTGGCATGTCTGATTTAGCGCAGCTGTTTTATTCAGAAACAGAGGATGATGACTTTGATGGGTTTGATTAATACTTTGTAATAAATACATGAATAAAGCACAATCATACTCAGTTTTGCTCCCGCTGTATTTTTCTCCCTGAAAACTTAATTCAACAGCAGCCCCGGCGCGTCTCCTCCTCTTCATCGCGGTGGCTGGCAGGTGTTTTTTCATCTAAATAATCTAAATCTTGCAGCTATATTTGCTGTGATCAGTGGGAATAAAGTAGTTTTAATATGTTTTTAAGTGAGAAAGTCCACCTGAAAACTTAATAATTGCAGTCAGTTACTCCAGATTATCTATTTCTGTCGGAGGCGCTCAGACCCCCACATACCAGCGGTGCGCTGACAGCAGAAATCTCTTCATCAGCAGCCTGTAGGCTGGGCAGCCTGGGGTTCACCGCGGCTGCTGGCAGGTGTTTTTCATCTAAATAATTTTAGCTGCAGGCACCAGGATACCGGCAATAAAAGCGAACATATTCCGTCAGCAGGTTTCAGGATTTTAAGTTAATTTAGGAGTGACCACAGCGCTGTGTCATCTGCGATGTCTCTGTCTCACGGCCAGCTGCCAGGTTTGATTAATACTTTGTAATAAATACATGAATAAAGCACAGTCATACTCAGTTTTGCCCCCGCTGTATTTTTAAATACGCAGTAGAGGTAGCCTATTTAAAGGTAGTAGAGGACTTGTACCTGTATATAAAAAACGCGCCCTATAGTCCGGTGCGCCTTATGTGTGTGTTAAATACAGAAATGGGACACATAACTGAGAGTGCGCCTTTTAGTCCGGTGCGCCTTATGGTCGTGAAAATACGGTATATAATCATTTAACTAAAGAAAATTGGAAACTTTGATCTTAATATTTAAAGCAGCTCAGAACCTCAACCTCTTATAGCCTGTTACAGCCTTCATTAACCAGTGTTGTCATCCCTCATTGTGTTGTATTTCTCCTAAATTACCTGACTTTTATGCATTTTCTGAACTGTTTTTTTGTTGTCGGCTTCTGTACATCACTTTAATTATCTGAACCCATATCTCTGATTTGCCCTGAAATCCAAGTCAACATATCAAACTGCTCCTGCGTTTCTATGTAGTGGTAAAAATATCTCCTTTAAATCATTTTTCCCAGCAAGGGAAAGATTTTAAGTTGTGTTTTAAGCTATGAAATGGTGATTTCTTAATTTTGTTTCTTAAATTTGTTTTATTTTTTTTATCCAGAACATTTGAGGACTTTCTGCATGAAGGCCTCGTGGAGTACCTGGATGTGAACGAGGAGAACGACTGTCAGATCGCCCTTTATGAACACATGATCAGCAAGTAAGTGGAGCACGTCACAGATGAAATGTAAAAACCCTACTGGGATAAATTAATTCACAAATCAATTTATATAAAAATCTGAGAGCGTTCCATAATTAATAGAGCAGAGTATATTTTTTACTCACTGCTTGCATGCTCTCTTTATTTCTGCAGAGACACGACTCATTTAGAGATTGAGCCCTTCACGTTGCTCGGAGTTTGTGCCGGCCTCATTCCCTACCCCCACCACAACCAGTCACCCAGGAACACATACCAGTGCGCTATGGGCAAGCAGGCCATGGGTAAGAAGCAGCTGCCGAACTGGTAGGCCAGGGTTCCTGCACAGCTGGAAAAGTTAACTTCCATGTTATGATAAGTATAGGGAAAAAATAACTATTCCATTCTGACTTCCTTGTTTCTTTTCTCCTTCTCTTCGGTTCTTCGTTTCTCTTTCATATCCTTTATTTCCTGTATCCTTGGTTTATTCTTGTCATTCCTGATCTCCTTCCTCCTTTCTGTTTGTCCTTTTTTGTCCATGTTCTTACTTTCAATTTCTTATCAATCTACCATCTTTACTTATTCTAGTTCTCTTTCCTTCTATCAATCCTTTTCACTTCCTTTCCCAACATGTTCCTCCTTGTCTTTCATCTATCCTTCCTTTATGTTCTTCCTTCCTCTTATCCCACCATCCATTCTCAGTCTTTACTTCATGACTGTTCTTCAATCCTCTGATATTTTTTTTGTCCTTCCTTTTCACTTCTTTCCTTTCCTCATTCCTTGCTAGTGTCCTTCTTACCTTTTTAAACATTCCTTTCCTATCGTTCTTATTCTTCTCAATCTCCTTCCTTCATTTGTTCCTTCAGTCTTTCCTTAATGCCCTCCTTCTGTTTTTCCCTTCTTTCCTTGTGTCCTCCCTACTTTTATCCTAACTCTTTACTATTGATTTTTCTTCTTTTTTTGTTCTGTCATGTATTTATTTGTTCATTACTTCCTTTTGTCTTCTTCTAATTTCTAAAGTTTCATTTCCAAATGATCGAAGGACCAAAAACTCCGGAAGGTTGAGGCTGGTAGAATCTGGATGCGTTATATCTAAATGTGTAGGGACCCTGGTTGCCTCATGGCGTTCATCTGCACTTTATATACGCAAACATTCAAACATTCACACTAGCAGTATTTTAATCTTCCATGAAGAACATTTTTTTTTCAATCTCTATCAAGTCTGGAAATATGAATGTTTTATTTGCATGATTTGAAATTAAAGACAGAAAAAAGGACATTAGAATAACAAACAGTGTGGATACCAGCAGCCCCCGAACTCTGCTCCCGCAGCACTTCTTGTCAGCATACATTTGTATGTGTGATTGAGTGTTTGTCAAATGTGTGTGCGTGTCGGTCAGAGTGTGTATGCACGCGGACATCAAACATGGGGCGCCTGCGTAGGTTCTCCATTGTGCTGTGTGTGCGGAGGCCCTTTCCCTGCCAGTCACCCAGAGTGTCATTAGCAATTCATTGTGTCTGCTCAGGCTTACTCGGGGGGTCAGTGTGCTCAGCTGCAAAAGCCCCCAGAGTGTGCAACCGAAGCTCCTTGGTAACCAAAACTTCCCCAAACAGGACGGCTAACGTTCGTAAGAGCTGAAGTCACAGCCAACCCTCCCCTCCTCTTCACTGATTCACCTCCGCCCATCCATCGCTGCCCTCCCCCCCGCATCTTTACAAAAACACTGACTGGAACTATATTTGGCCCAATATCCTCTGTGTTGTCTGTTTTGTATGGACAGCCCTTTACATGTGCAAATCTGGTTGTGTGGCCTTAGCCTATTATCACAGACTCTGTGCTTGTAGGCTGATTGTGCAGTAATAGCATCTGACAAATGTCAAGGCTTCCAGGGAGGCCAGGCTTTACGCCATAACTCTCCCTCTGAGCTCTTTAGATGCAGGCTTAACCAGGCCCAGCATAACAGGAGAACTTTAGCTCTACCGTACTGTGAAAAAGTATTAAACCACTACCTCTTATGCTTGGGGTCCAAGCTGAAAAATGCTTCCTTATTAGGATTTCTAATAATATTTTCCCAGGCCTTAAAGGATTTTCTCTAAAAATCTGGAAATGGAATGAATATCATCGTCTTTTTTCTCTATGTAAGCAATATTGTGTTTATTTAATTTAAAACATCTGCTGTTTCTGTATCAGTATAGTGTTAATCCTTTTATTGGCTTCTAGGAATCTGGAAATATCAGGAAATATGAGTTATTTCAACCAGCTTTTAAACCTTCTGCTCTTTTGCCCTTTCAGGAACTATTGGTTACAACCAGAGGAACCGTATCGATACCCTGATGTATCTGCTGGTGTATCCTCAGAGGCCGATGGTCAAAACGAAAACCATCGAGCTCATAGACTTTGAGAAGCTGCCTGCAGGTCAGAACGCCACTGTGGCTGTGATGAGTTACAGCGGCTACGATATTGAGGATGCTCTGGTCCTCAACAAGGCTTCGCTGGACAGAGGTGAGGCCCTCTCTGCTCTCAAACTGCTGCTGGTATTTCTACAGCGCCGCTAGAAACCAAGATCTCTTAATTTAAATTTTTTTCCTCTCAGGTTTTGGTCGCTGTCTTGTGTATAAAAATTCAAAGTGCACTCTGAGGCGTTACACCAACCAGACCTTTGACAAGGTGATGGGGCCTATGCTGGACGCTGCGACTCGTAAACCCTTATGGAGGCACAGCATCCTGGACGCTGACGGCATCTGCTCACCCGGTTAGTACCGATAGGCTGCTCCAGTTTATACATACAGGTTCATATTACTTATGCTCATGTAGTAAATGTTGTAATGTGAATGAGGGGTAAACTTACAGTGAAGAAATGCTGTTGGAGACTTGATTTATTCTGGTTATGGTTTAATTTAGTTTATTTATGTAACGCCAGGTGAGCAGAATTTAGTTAAAGGTATAGTGGAGGATGTTCTTTTTCTGGGTGCATTGTTAAAATAACCGTTCCTCCTAATTGTCAATCATTCTGGTAATATTTCAAAAAAGTAAAAAAATAAAAGTTAAAAGCTTCCCATCCAGGAAGCTTTCCCAATTGAAAAAGTCGGGAATAGCATTTTGGCTCCAGGTTTATAGAGTGGCACAAACAAAAGCCTCATTATGACTTAGAAAGCAAGCAAATTTAACAGGAAAAAAACTGGTCCACCCCTTAGTATGTTTGCAGTAATGGGGAGTTGAGAAAATGTCCTGGATGGGAAGCAAAATGTCTTCAAACTTGGAAAACTAAGTCCAGTGTTTTTTTATGTTTTTTGTTTTTTAACATTTTTAGCTTTTTTAGAATGACTGTAACCTGGATGATTGTGAATCTTCACCAGCATTCTGGTGATATGTACCGGTATACGTAAGGCTGTCCTAGGTTCTCATTTTCAGTTATCGGTGGTGAGTCTCCCATAGTGGAAAAATGGCGAGTCTTCTTTTGGAAAGTAAACTTGTATGAGCGAGACAAACAGCAACTTTTAAAAACAGCGTGCACGAGGAGAAACGGGGTTGTGCATGTTCTCACAAATGTTTACTAGGCATTCCCTCTCTCGAGTGGAGAAGGAGGGTCTTTTCAGAATTATATACCTTTGAATATGAGAAGATGATTAAAAAAAAGTGTTTTTTTTTTGCCTGAATGTTTGCAGCACAATTTAATTATATAACTTATATTTATTTAAATAAGCGTCTTAAACCATATTTCCAGTCAGAAGTTTGTTTAAAGGAATAGTACACCCAAAACATGATTAGCCTTCATTTTCTACTCACCCCCACGCTGAACAACACTCTGGAGTACTTTTTTGATATCTCAAATGCATCTGGAGATCTGGGAGGCTTCTTGCTGTCTGCTGACATTCAAATAATGGAGGTCTATGGTGCCCGAGACAGAAAGGTCCATAAAAGGCCACAAAAACGTGTCAATATTCCTCCATACTGCTCGTCCAATGTATTCCAAGTGTCCTGAGTGGGTAGCATCCAGAATTTACTCGAAACAAAGTCATTTAGAATGTTTTTAGAGCATAAACAGTAGCGTATAGGATTTCCTGAAAGCGCGCACCTGCGCGATCACGACGCTACGGAAGCCGGCAGACCAAACCAGCGCATTCAGCTCAGCAAAGAACTCATGCTCTTCCTCAACACTGAAGTCCTCAGACATTTTTCTTTCGTTGTTTCTTTCTTTGCACAGGTAAACTGCACATTTCTTCTTCTACGCTTGCATTATTGGCAGAGCAGACACTGAATGCGCACTTTCATCTGGTTTGGTCTGCCGGCTTCCGTAGCGTCGTGATCGCGCAAGTGCGTGCTTTCAGGAAATCCTATACACTATTGTTTATGCTCTAAAAACATTCTAAATGACTTCGTTTCGAGTAAATTCTGGATGCTACCCACTCAGGACACTTGGAATACATTGGACGAGCAGTATGGAGGAATATTGAAACGTTTTTTGTGGACTTTTATGGACCTTTCTGTCTCGGTCACCATAGACCTCCATTATTTGAATGTCAGCAGACAGCAAGAAGCCTCCCAGATCTCCAGATGCATTTGAGATATCAAAAAAGTACTCCACAGTGTTGTTCAGCATGGGGGTGAGTAGAAAATGAAGGCTAATCATGTTTTGGGTGTACTATTCCTTTAAGGAGATTTTCTAAGGATTTCTGCTTAATTTTGGATAATCAACAGTCATTCAATTTAACATTCGTTCTCACATATTTGCATCCTTGATAATATAAGATAAATTCCTTCAGCAGGTAATCTGCACATGGGCCACATGATTTTGGAGCCAACAAATTTTTAGTTTAAATTTCGTAGTATTATCTCTGCCTGACAGATTTAGCAGATCGAGATTAAAAAGGTTCATGAATTTTTATTTTATACCCAGCAGCACTAAGACAAAATAATTTCAGTGTTGATGAATAAAAGAGACAAATATATTTTTGAAGTGATGTTCCCATAGATGGATTTAATTAATTTAAATGTTGCTAATTCAAAGGACATCATTAAACAGATCATTTGACTCTGGGTAACATGCAGCCATAGTGAGGCGTGCTTTGTAGATGTATAATTCTGCCTATATTAAAGAAGATTTATAATAGTGTTTTCCTATTTTTGTATTTGATTAAAATAGTTTTTTCAAACAATGTTTATCAATCAGTGAATTATAAGATTGTCTGAAAGCTGAAATCATAAATTATTTAGATGCTTTTCTTCTGAAAATTCAGCAAAAGAATCGAAGTTTCATGTTCTTGAGTAACATAATTGTTCTTTTTCAACAGCTTGAGTTTAAGTTCTAGTTTAATCTAGACTATGGATCCAGTCATATCATTATTGAATAGACTTTTCTTGCAATATATATTGATATTGAACAATTGTCCCCCTCTAGGTGAGAGGGTGGAGAACAAGCAGGTACTGGTGAACAAATCAATGCCAACTGTCACCCAGACTCCACTGGAGGGCAGCGCCCAGCCAGGTCAGCCCCAGTACAGAGAGGTGCCAATCAGGTGAGTCCTTCAAACTGATTAGCGCTTTGGTTTGGCTTCTAAATGTATAAATGTATGTTGTTTGTTTTGTTATTTTCAGCTATAAGGGCTCAACAGACTCTTACATCGAGAAGGTCATGATCTCATCCAATGCTGAAGAAGCCTTCTTGATCAAGATCCTCCTGAGGCAGACGAGGAGACCAGAGATAGGAGATAAATTCAGCAGTCGACACGGACAGAAAGGTAAATTTACGATATTTATCACTTTTAGGGCAAACTTCCCACATTAACGTTTTGCACTAAACCTGAGTGCATTAGGGCTGGGTATATTCGCCAAAGTCCTCAACTGATTAGATTTTGATTCATACAGTTCTATATCGATTAATTTCGATTCAATCTGTTTCTACAGTAATGAAAGTGATTCAACTGTGTTTCAAAATACTCATGTATTTTGTTTTTTTCCTGTCACATTAAATACAAAGTGCAAACTTGTAAATCAGACAGTTTAAACATGAGATGTGAACAAAACTGTCTCAAAAGTGCAAACTTGTTTGTGAAAAGTGAAAAAGTGAAGCCTCACTCGAGCAAGCAGACGTGACACAGCGGGGACACAGCAGACATGCATGAGCTGCATTATCTTCAATGCACAAACCACATTTGTAGCATTGTCTGTAACAGTTACAGGGTGTTTGCTGGTCAGCCCCCATTTGTTAATGTCTTCAGTCAACCTATTGGCTATATTTGCAGCTGTCTGAAGTAATCTTGAGTGCATCTTTCCTGCTTATTTGAATGTGAACGTCACATGGGTCACTATAAAATAAATCGATCTCATTCCCTAGACATTGATTTTGCAAAAATGTAAAGGAATCTATTTAAAATCAATTAAATAGATTTTTTTACCCAGCCCTACTAAACATGATCATGCTAAAGGCTGATTTATACTTCGAAACTATGTCGTCTGCGTGTGTGTCGTAGTGAACACAGAGACATCCCCGCCCATTCTGCAGACTCTCTGCTGCACCTCTCCCAAATTGTAGGCGACCGCAGACAAGAGGCCTCTGATTGGTCAAATCTACATCCGCTCTACTCATGTGTATTTCCTGTTTGATACCATACCAGCTTGTTTTGTTTGTATAACCGCCATTGCGGAAAATGACTCGTGAAGCTTGAACCAGCTAGAAGGGCGAGGTTCGTGAGAACGTTGGGACACTTTTTCCACCTGGATCCCCACTGTTTTTCGCCCTCATGTCCCTCCGTTGTCAGAAAAACTTGCCCCCACTTCCTCGCCGCCTTGGCCCTATCTTGAGACAGCTAGTTCCTGATTGTCCCTCTTGCATTATTGGGTGGAATAACATAACGCAGACCACGCTTCAAAATTGAGCATAAATAAAAAATGTCTGCTTTATACCTGTGGCAAACTCACAGCGTCACACTGCTGCGGGAGTATAACCAGCCCTTAACTTCTCAGGTTCCCATACATCTCCATCTGTTTAATGCTGGTTGTATTAAACTTATCGCTTGGAAATAATTTTAATATTGTTTTGTTATCAAAAGCTGGGAAAAAGTTTCTCTTTAGCTTTTGATATAAGAGATCTAAAACCACAACTGTGTAAATGAGTTCAGCAGCTGACATGAGCAGAAAAGTTAATATAAGAAAGAAAAGTTGTGGGTTAGCTGTGCTGAGGAGAGCTTCTTGACTCAACTCAGAGGCTCTAGCTGTCTCTTCCCCCCATCCTCATCTTTCAAGAGCTCTTTTCAATTAATTGGCTCTTTGTCCTGTGCCAGACTATGCAAATTTATTACACCCCAGCAGTATTCTGTACGGGGGGGGGGGAAAGTGTTTACAACCTTCATTGTTTTGCAGCACCTCCCCTATAGAGGGCTGGTATGATGTTTTAATCAAAAAGCTAACTGGCGCCACGCATAATTTACTCTCTTCATTAGCGCTGTGGGGACTGGGCGGTCAGCGCGGGGTGGGACAATGTCTTCCGTCCCAAAAAAAGAGGTCGCCGTGGGGTTAGCTGGTGGAGTGATGAGGTGAAACATCCAGATGTGTAACTGTGAACAGTAGAGTTTCAGTTCATGCTTCCTTGGGGGGCTTTTAGCTGCTTTAGTCTGTTAATTTGTTCAAACTGCAGCTGGTCTAGACTGTTTAATCAGAGATTCATCAATCCATCTGCTTATGATAAAACTTTAAACCTGATTGGCTTTGATCATCGTTCCAAAAGTTTATTAGATTCATCACAACTAAAAATTCACATAGTTTCACCCAATAGACTGACAGCATGTACTTTGATGCAGATTTTGAGCTGAATTATAACGAGATGGATGTTAGAAAAGTCCGGTTAATTAATCTTTTCATTTCTTTATTTCCACCAAACTGGATTCAGGTTGGAAAAGTCTTAATTTAGGCGAAAAGAAAAGCTTTCTAGTGTTTAAACTTTATTCTTTATTCCAATTTCTCAATAGAAACTGAAAATAAAGGGATATTTCTATAGGGTTTCTTAAATTATGTATCTTCTTTTTGAATTGAGATGCAAAATTTTCAATCCGAGATCAGTCTGATCTCTGTTCTATATCTAATAGTGAATAAAAAAAAAAACTCACTATTTTATAGCAGCATGCTATTTTGGGAGTTTAATAACGATCAGCTAAAGGTTAGAAACATTTGATTAAATGCAAACATTTTCTGTTGTATTCAGAATTACTGCAGCAAATTTCCCATTTTTTTTCTGGTTGTTGTAGGAAACATGATAAAGTTTGACCTCAAAGAAAACAGAAAATTAGTATCTGCTCTGCTAAGATAAAGCCTGATTGGTGCGTTAAGTATTTTACTAAAATCTTTTTTTTACCATATTTTAGACACAAGTTTAGCTGTAGGGGGGTTTAGTTTGCAGCGTTGGCTACTCCTATGGCCTGGTCGTCAAAATAGGTTAATTATTTACCAGTTTCTCACACACACAAACACATTCTGGTCTTTCTTTATTGACCCAAATTGTTTTCCATCATTTTTAACCCTTTCCATGCCCTTACCCTTATAATAAACCCAAACTGAAACATTACCAGTGGATAACTCTCCCTTTATTCACATCTAACTCCTAAACCAGTTAGAAAAAAGGGGGCTCAGTAAAATGTCCTCAGTTTGGTACAAACGGAGCTCACTTTGATGGTAAAATCGGAACAACGGTCCTCACTCTGATGGCAGAACAGGAGCACACACTGACACAGCTGTGGAGGAGGTGCAGCGTTGTCGGTTTTGGGGGCCTTTTGTGCGAGCCGTCAGTGTGGAGCTGTATGAGCTGTGATGAAGGATCCTGGACCCTTGCTGTTGTCTTGCTTTTCTCTCCTGATTTCATGCCTCCTTTATCATTCACTTTCACACAAAACAAACAACACTGAAGATGTCTGCGGATCTAACCGCAGGGTGTGTGTCGGTGTTGGTTCTCTAGCTTTCTCCACATCTTTGCGCCCTGATCCTGATTTTTTTTTTTTTGCTGTGTTTTTGTTTTGTTTTGCTCTCTTTTTCTTCTCTTTCAGTCCTTTTGGTTTTCTTCTCTTTTCACCGTCTTCCTGCTGTTGGATGACTTTCCACCATCTTGCTGCACTTGTTCCCACTCCACATCCTGTTGCCACATCCTACCCAGCATCAGCATTCAGCCGGGTCGCTCTGCTTAATAACAAATTTTTCCCACGTGCATCGCTTAGGTTTCTCCTCTCCAGTTGATCCGCTCCACTTCCTTAGAGTTAAAGTGAAAGTCATGGGTGTGTAATCCTGCTCTTTCTGTCCAGCTAAGCACCTTTCTCCACTTCCTGCCCCTGCTTCGTTTTCTCCCTCTCTCTTTTTATTTTCATTTGCAAATGGGACAACAATCTGTTTGCCCTGGCCAGGAAAGAGTGATTCGGACCCCTCTGCAAACATTTGCTCTTGCACTTAAACCCCTGGCTACCGGGGAGCTCGTCCCCACATCAGGCGGGTCAATAGAGGACCTTGTCTGTCCACATGAGTATGGAAATGTCTCTGCTGGGGTTCCACACAGAGCCTCCAGCTTAAATATGGAAAACAAAATGGCTCCACCAGAACTTTTTCCCATCCAAACTGAAAAAGTTGAAAATTTGCATTTGATATCATCCAGATCTGAATCTTGATGTGGAAACGATGTCATGTTCGAACTCCAGACTCGGTCAACAAAACAGTTCCACCAGAACCTTCCTGATCCAAGCTGGGTTCCTCTAAAACTATACTGGATAACATTTCATTCATTCCTTTGCAGTCTGAAAATTGTTCCTTATCACTTCCATTCAAACATGGAAAATAGTTTGAAGTTTCTGAGCTTTAGTTATTTCATCTAAGAATGCAACTAATAAATTTTTATGCTAATTGATTATTCTATCGATAATTTTTTTTTTATTAATAATCTAATGGAGAAAGAATCCTGAAAGAACATTTTTTACAGAATTAAACCAGGTGAAGCTAAAACTTTTCCACTTCAGGAGTTCTGAGTAGAGCATTTTAACCAACATTTATTTATCTTAAATGTAGAATATGCATGTATTTTTTTTGTGGGTCCCTCTGTCAGCTAAAGGCATGTTTTATATTCTCTATACCACAGTTAACAGTTAATCTATTACTATTAGTTGAAAATTATTTCAATAGTCCATTAATCACGACTAATCCAATAAATTTATTTCAGCCCTAAGTGAATTAACTTATTCCTAATTGATGAAATTAGGGCTGAAACAATTAATTGGATTAATTGTGATAATCAACTATTTAAACAATCGTCAACAAATCTAGTAATCGATTAACCGTTAGCTGGAGTATAAACTCTAAAACATGCCTTTAGTTGACAGAACAACCCACTTAGAGCAGTAATTATACCTAGCCTGTAAAAAAAATATAAACCTTTTTCATTTAAGATAAAGAAATCTTTTTCGTCTGTCAGTATGCGCTATACAGAACTCCACAAGAAGAAACATTTTAGTTTTACTTGCTTTAAATTCATAAGAAATCTTCTTTGAAGAACCTGTGGCTATCAGATTATTATTGATTAATCGACTAAATAATCCACAGATTAATGGATTTGCAAAATAATTGTTAGTTACAGCCCTAAATTCATTTAAACTGGGCAGATGAGTAACTATGACAGCCTTGGCACAGATATTTAATGGAAAGTATATCAATGAATGCTTTTATAAAACAGAAAAAGCTGCATTTATTCCTCCTGCAGCAGTTTTAATATAATGATGACACTCCTTTAGTTTCAACATCCTGACTGTCTTTAGTTTCTTCATTTTCTCAGGTGTAGGATATGTTTGATCATTAAGCAGATCTGGAAAAGCTTGTAGATTTATTAGGCAGGTTTGGATATTTTTGTACACTTAGCATGTTTGTTAATTCTCCAGGCTTTATTTGTTTGATTTTATAAAAGTTGAAGTTTGAATTTCACAAAGTTAAAATAATTTAACCTTGCGTTTATTCAAAAACTTTAATCTTTGATTTGCATAATTTACGGGGGACTGAGGAATAGAAAAGACACTCAGCAGAGATTTTGAACAAGGTCTATTTGGTTAGTCTTTTACTGGACCTGTTTATCTTATTTTATCTTTTTTTTATATTTAACCTGTCGCTTCAAGCAGACACAGCTTTTACATTTAAAAACATAAAGAGTGTTTGGAGGACAGCTGATAACCAAACTGATCAGATTATAATAGAGCAGGCTCTTTGCTGATTCGGATGTTTGAATTAATTTAATGCAGCTATTTCTATTTATTTATTTTTTGTTTTAAATATATGATTGATGTCAGATGTTTTAAATCGGATACCTTAAAAAAATCAGGAACAGTTGAGAATTTCATCTTCAATATGCATTTTTTTATTTTACTTGATTGGCAGCAAAGAGAACCAGAGATCCATGTTAGTCACCTTTTTTTTTTTTTTTTTTAGTTGGTTTTTATAAAAGTGCTATTCTAAAAAAGTTTTAGTAAACCAAAAGAAATGATATTTGCAGCAACATAAAATGGTTCTCAGGAAGTAAAAAAAACAAATCAACAGATTCCTGAAACATTAAGCCTATCAGAGAGCATTTTTTTTTTTTTTTTGCAGCTTAAACTATTAAATTATTAAAAGCATACAAATTATATTTTGGTGTCTTTTAAAGATTCATATTAAGTTTCTCCATCGAGCCACTCTCTGTTTTAGTTGTCTTATTATTTCTGTGTTTTCTGTGTGTTTCAGGTGTCTGTGGCCTCATAGTCCCTCAGGAGGACATGCCGTTCTGTGACACCGGCATCTGTCCGGATATCATCATGAATCCTCATGGATATCCCTCCAGAATGACGGTACGTCACGTGTTTTTATGGCAGCTCTATAAAAAGCAAACTCATTACTACCACCTTATTTTTTTTTGAGGTACTAAAAATGGTTTTATTATTATTTAAAGTGCATAAAATGGGTTCATCCCTAAAGCTTAGGTGTATTAAGAATACCTAATTTAATTTTATGTGTAGACAAACTGTATATTTTTGAAGCATCATTCTATTTTCTTTACATCTTTTTTTTAAAGGGCGTTATTCGACAGCAGTTGATTGTTTTTTTCTAGTTTGAACCTGGAAGTTGAGCTCAAACCTCTGTGTTCCCCCTCCAAAGACAAAGCCCTCATTATCTGCAGCCCTCTTCTCTTCGGTTTATCGTTGGCTTCCAGAGCACACGTCCATTGATGGCGTTAAGCAGCAATCTCACTCTTTACAAACAGATATTTGTTGCTGAGGAGACGGCTGCCAGCAGAGCCGCCGCCCCTGGCAGAGTGTGGAAGTTGCTTTCCATCAAACACGCCGGGACGGTGGGACTTGTGGAAAAAAGTGAAGGATCTTTATTGCTGAAGCTGTGTGTGTTTGGTGTCAGTCGTTACCTCGGAGAAGGCTGAGAAATGTTGGTCTCTGGAGGATGTTTCTGTGGGCTTAGAGTGATACGAGGGTAGGTGTTTGCCTTTATGTGGTGGGGTCAGGGGTCTTCGGGGTGCAGCCTCAGAGGAATTGTTGAAATCAGTCATCCTTGGAGGGATGTCCCCACCGGGAGGGGACATGTGTAATCTAATTTCACCAACAATAATCAGCACTTTCTTTCAACGCATTTATAAAGAAATATTCATGTTCTAATCAGTTTTTTTTTTTTTTTTTTTTTCTCCGGGTTTGAACAGGTTGGAAAGTTGATCGAACTGCTGGCTGGGAAGGCCGGAGTGCTGGACGGACGGTTTCACTACGGGACAGCCTTTGGAGGCAGCAAAGTGAAGGATGTGTGCGAGGATCTGATCCGATACGGATACAACTACCAGGGAAAGGACTACGTGACCTCAGGGATCACTGGGTAATTCACAGAAAGGTGTCAACAAGCAGCCAGATGTTACAGCCATGTCAGTGCCTAGAACTAAATCCAGCTCCAGAGGGAAGGTGGAATCCATCGTCATGAACTATTTCAATGATTTTGACCCTTTAATGTGTCATTTAACTTCTCTTTTCAGGGTGGGATTATTGTACAACTTATAACTTCAATATAAAAAAACCCAAAAACAAACAGTTTCCACTGTGAGGTAGACTTTCTCATTGATATGTGATGGAACATCTCTTAGCAAGTTTCCCCAATCTGCTTTCTGATAGGCAATCGTCATCTTTATTGAGTGGTTTTCACAATAAGTTGTCTTTTTCCATTAAATAATATTTTGGGGAACAAATATGCAGCTGAAATCTAATAAAAGAGTTTTACTTTGTTATATTTATCAAACAAAATATAGAAATATGTTTTATAGCCTTAAAAAGCTGGTACACTCTGCATTTTAAAAGGTATCTTGGAGACCTAGATGGATGCTTCCATTTATAAAATGTTAACTGAAGCGCATCCTTGGTGAGGGTTCAGTTCTGCTCCGACTTTACCTGCTACATGCTGGATTTTATAGTTGCTGCTGCTTTAAAACATCCCCATATCATGACACTTCCCACTCTGTGCTGCAGTTTGTAAGCGGTTCTTTTCATAAATCATAGTTTCTTATCCAATAAAATTTGGTTTTAAATGTATCAGTCCAAAGTAGTGGACCAAAGTACTAGACTCTGTCTTCTTTTTCTTAAGTCCCACATTAAAGTTTTGTTTTTTTAGAGAGGAAATGTTTCCTTAAAGAAACTATGTGTTCCCTTCCTGCTCATCCATGAACTCCACTGTCTGCTCTTAAAGCTCTACGTTTACTCCTGAATGTCCTCCAGTGTAGATCATTGCAGTGGAATAGCAGGTGTCTTTTTTTCTTTCCTCTTTCTTCTTCACCATCTTTACCTTTAGCTGCTATAATCATCCTTCTTAAGGCCTTTGGAGGCTCTAACCTTCATCCTTACTATTGCAGCTGATTAGACTGATTGTTTAAACAGGCCAGATGATGCGTAGTCACATCCTAATCATGAGGACTGGATGTGATCTGGGTGGATCTTTACTTGTAAGTTTAGCCAGTTTAGGTAGAAACTCATATAGTTAACTTCTTAGTGAAGTAAGTATGGACAAGCTGATAACCTAAAATCTTCCCTTAACTTTTATGCCTTTAACATAACACTGTCCTATTTCAGAACTTGGCCTTTTGAAGTTAAGATTGATAGTAGACTGTTTGATTTGCAAACATTTTTCATCTTAAATGTCCGAATCCAGGACCAGCTTTTCGTGCCAGAGCCTTTCTTCTCTCCTGCATTTCTACTGGCTAAAGGTTTCTAACGGAGCATGAACAATCCTTCTTAGGCCACTTTATTTTCTTTCTTAAGAAATATATCTGTGCTAATGAACCAATTCTATATAATCACAACCTTGGATGTAGTCAGCACTGTGAAAAAACTCTTTAAACATTGCAGTGGAAAAATAGCAGGAAAATACTAGGAAATCTAGAACGGTGCATCACCTCAGTGAGATAAGTCCTGAAACAAAAACTTTCAATGAATTTTTACAATTATTTGTTAAAAAAAGCTTAAGAATTTGTGAAATTTATTAAAAAAATGCTGTAATGTTGCAGGTGATTAATGTCAAATCAACATTGTTGTGCTGTAATGCCAGAGCTTGCTGGTGTGTGTATCAAGACATCATTTTCTCTTCAATCTAAGTCAAATAATGAGACCGGGAAATATCTGCAGAGTGGTTTTACCTATATTTATAAGATTGTTTGAAATGGATATGGGAAACTACTTTAGGAAAATATCTGTCTCTTAGTTGCTAATTAAAATAGCATGAATTGATTTTGGCAATAAAAGTTTGGCAGCTGAACTTTATTCATGAGAAGAGTCAGAATTCACAGACGTATCATATTGTTTATTTATTTTGCAGTCACTTGCATTATATATCTTTTTATCATAGTAATTATTCCTTGAATAAAAAGCTTGCATAATGACAGTGTGATTTTATTTATTTATTTAGTTTTTTTCTTGGGGAAGCTGGGTTTAAATCCCACCTGAAGGTGTAAAAATGTGAAGAGGCATAAAAACCCTGCGAAGTCTGACGCAAGTCGTAATTCTGCCTTTTTGTCTTCAGTGAGCCGCTGGAGGCGTACATCTACTTTGGACCGGTCTACTACCAGAAACTAAAGCACATGGTTCTGGACAAGATGCATGCCAGAGCCCGAGGCCCCAGAGCCGTTCTCACCAGGTAAAAACTAAAAAAATGTAACTAAAAGTTAAGTGAATAAACAAAAATAAGTAAATAAGGCAATGACTACATTTCTTAAACTTGTCTCCCGCCAACAGGCAGCCTACGGAGGGCCGCTCCCGGGACGGAGGGCTGCGACTGGGGGAGATGGAGAGAGACTGCTTGATTGGCTACGGTGCCAGCATGTTGCTGCTGGAGCGTCTGATGATCTCCAGTGATGCCTTTGAGGTGGACGTGTGCGGACAGTGTGGCCTGCTGGGATACTCTGGCTGGTGAGATGTAACCATAGATGGGAGGGCGCTGCAGTAGCTTAACTAAAGAGTAACATCACAAGAGTTTTAAAGAAGAAATTTGGGCAACTTCTCAAGCAAGATCCCATTTTAGATAAATATTCTGGGCACCAAACCTGCATACAGTGAATAAAATAATCAGGCAGCTACAGAGAGAAGGAATTTTATCCAAAGTTTAAGAAAATATCCTGGGTCAAATTTAGCGAATGCTAATATCAGTCTGTCTAATCTATTTTATTCAATATCAACATGCTTCTTATAGATTATCGATATTGAATAAAAGCATGCTTTCTATTTGAACAACTTTTACTACATTAAACACAAACATTTTTTTTGTTTATGTCATGATTTGACCACATTCGCTGAGAGTGAATGGGCTGCAAATTTGTTTTTTAGGAGACTAAAACAGGAGACTAAAAAAGTTTGTTTTTCTTTTTGTCCTAGAACACAATTATCTTCTGTCATTGAGACATAACGATCCAAAGAAAAACTTGGCTGTAAATATGTAATAAGGCATAAATGTTTATGATAAAGAAATAACATTGAGGGATTCCCATCAAAAAAGGACAGAAAAATGCTTCTATTTGCAGCAGTTACATTATTTTATTACCAACATTTTTGGTTATATAAAAGGATTCTGCCACAGACCAAACTGCACTATTATTATTATTTATTTTTTAGAATCTGGTTCTGTATTTTGAAAAAGAAATATGGTAAAATCCGAATAACTTAGACTTTTTTTTCCCTCCTTCCTCAAAGACAAATGACATGCAATACTTTCTCTCTCAGAGGAGTGTCTATTTTAAAGAGCAGCGGCATTCTAGCTGTGAAATATGCTTGTAATAAAAACAACAAAGAAAAACATACTGTTTGCAGCTAGTTGCATTACTTTGTGAGCTAATTTATCAGTCAGAGCAAATTGATGAACTGATGTGACTCTGAGCTTTGGAAGCTAAAGGAGAAAAAAAAAGTCATCTTCATAGGTGGAAAATAAACGTTTTATTAATGGATAAAATCAATAAATTATCCAGCCCTACCAATACCACTATCATTATCACTACCACTACCATTGTCACTTCCTTGTCGAAGTGCATTTGGGGTCTTACAAAGTAGCCTATTAAGCTGGACTAAGGGAGAAAACCCATGTTTGTGTGTTTGTTTTTAACAGGATTTTTGACTCCTGGAAAAACAGCAGATATGTGATTCTCCATAGTGAAACTATTCGCATTCTCTCCTTAGATTTCTATAAACTGGTTTCATCTGCATCATTTCTGTTTGGCATGTTACCAAAGTTCCTGTTTTTTAACTTTTATTTAGGTGTACTAAGGTAAAGCGGGTCACTGAGTTGCGTGTCTGCTTCTGGTTTCCAGGTGTCACTACTGTAAGTCCTCCTGCCACGTGTCGTCGCTGAGGATCCCGTACGCCTGCAAGCTGCTGTTCCAGGAGCTGCAGTCCATGAACATCATCCCTCGACTCAAACTGTCGCGCTACAACGAGTGAGCGGAGACAGGGACAGAAACAGTCAGAGTGAGTGAAAGGTTTAGACTCGGACTATTTCAATAATGAGGCTGTGGATTAGATTTGATGAGGAAAAGATGTAAAGGAGAAAGAGATGGACTGAAAAAAGGACCTTTTTTGTTTATGTTCACAAACTTTAACTATAAAGTTTGTGTTTTCTTTTCTGTTGGTGCCTCATCAGTTTGGGCTTAAACTGTGTACATAATAAATGCAAAACAAATGTTCCTCCATGATCTTCTGTGTGTTGCTTAATGGAGCTAATCTGCTCTTCCTTACATTAAGACCTGTTTCTTGACATCATCAGATGATTCACACCAGCTATGATCAAAAATATCTCCTTTAAACATTAAGAATGTTGTTATATTCTGCACTGCAATTTCTTATATTATGTAGTAATTATATTTACTCTTATATTTACCCTTAAGTATATTTACCCTTAATTTGAGTTGGTAAAAAAGACGAATGCCAATGGAATGAGTATTTTACTCTTAAAATAAGATAATTAGAAACATGCATTTGAAACAAGACATTTTTTTTTTATGTAAATGTAATTTGTCTCGATCCATTGGCAAAGTGTCTCAATTTCCTCCTCAATTCAAGAAGAAGCTCCCTTATTTTAAGAAAAAATTGCTTATTAGGTTTCAATTTTTTCAGTGTAGGCAGAGCTTTAAAAGAATACAATTAAGCATTTAACTAGTTTAATGTGTTTACTTTGCTTCTCAGATTGTTAAAACAAGACTTGAAAGGCCAGAAATAAATTGGTGACATGTTTGATTACACGTCATAAAATTGTTTTAAACTGTTTGCGGATTCCTAATAAAATTCCTTAAAATACTCCTAAAAACGGTGAAATGTGTGGAGACCTACAGCTCTGCAGCAGGTGAACCACAGTGAACTTTACAACAGCTCACAGTATTCATCTTCAACATTTTATTACATCGCATTAAAATAATCAGTGTATTGTTTTTGTTCTCCTATACCAACATTAAGTAGTGTGTGTTAATAAATCCTGCAATAAATTAATACAGTAGTTAATGAAAAATAATTAGATCAATTTATAAACTTGTTTGTATTCAGCTCCAGCAAAGCTACAGATTTCTGAAATCATGGATGCAGAGCGTGTGACATCTAGAGGCGGATGTTTCTGCCTATTATCAGATTGTGTGTGGAGCATCTGGACATGCATTACATTTATTTTTTGCTACAGATTCTCAATTAGACTTTAAGCAGAAAATTCGAACATGAAGATCTGAAGCAGTCAATTTTATGACTGGGATGAAGTTGAACCTTCATCCCAGCTTTTGCCACCTCTAAATTTTTTTTTCTACAGTATTACATTTCTCTGTACCTGCTGGAAAGCATCCCCAAACCCAGCATTATACTGCCACCACCATGTCTTCAGATTGATGTGCATCGTTGGTGCTTCATATCCAGTGCTTTGGATGTAAACCAGAGCACCTCATGGGAAACTGCTACCGATGTGTGAGTCTGTAGCTCAGCTGCTCTGCAGTGTTTTTGTAACTTTACAGATGAGGTGTACTTTTCTTAATTTCAGCAATCTGAGATTTTAAATCAAGTTTAATAACATAGTCTCAATTCAAACTTTTCTAAAATGTTTTGCCTTGCCTGGCTGCTGTAGTACTAATATGCCTCTCCTACAAAACTAAACTGGGACTATACCTGTGCTGCTCAGAGGCATCATTACCAGTATAAAATAAATCAAGGACTCAATTTGTATTTTGCAAATAAGATGGAGAGTTGAAAACAAATTTATAAAAACATGTAATTATTAGAGGATGCAACTACTTTTGACTGAATTCAAAAGGATGATGCATTGCTTGTTTTTTGTTTGTTTTGTTTTTTTATGATGCCGAATTTTCAGAAGGAAAATAGGAAGAGTGAGGAGATTTTGGGGGATAAAGTGTTTTGACCTCCATAAAACCAATGAGCAAATTAAAAGTGAAATAAAAAAAGGCTTCAAAATGAATCAAAAGATTATAATTTATGTAATTTGAATAATGTCTTATATTTTCAAGAGAAAATTCACCTCACCTCTCAATTCCTCCTTTTTCTAAAAACCTGTTTGCAAACCAAGACGCCTACAGAGCCTCAGCCAGAGGTGACATGTTTCATTTAAATGCTGTGTGAGGACAGACAGCTGGATTCGGGTGCCACCGTGCTCTCTGACATCACTCGGACATTGAACGCCGGCGCAGGAGTCGTGTTGATGTCAGCGGGTAGAGAAAGCTGCTCTGATTCGTATGGTTTCCTCTTTAAACTGCCGCCACCAGCGTAATCACACCCCCCACCCCCCTCACACACACACAGCTCAGCTCAACTAGGGCCTTTTTTAGGGTAACAAAAGCAAGGATTTATGCATGTATAAGTGGGAATGTGATAATAAAGGGCCTATTTAGTAGCTGCACCGGATTTGGTTTATAAGGTTGTAATAAGGAAATAATGTTTTTGTTCTAACTTTAATGATTCAGATCCTGTTTGTTTTGCACCTGTTTGCGTCTGAGTGTGATGCAGAGTGGGAGGCTGGAGATGCAGCCGCTCCATCCTGCCGTGCATCAGGTGTCTGCAGCAGTGCGAGGTACCAGCCTGCAAGCCTAAAAAGAGAAAGTACTTCGTCTACCGTGGTGTGGTGAGTAATTCAGCCATAATCCGCCTTTCTCCTTTGCCTGTCTCTCCCCCCCCTCCTTCTCCTGCCATTTCCATTCATATTCTAATCACAGCTTTCCCTTCTCCAGCTCTCAGGCACTCCATCAGAGCCCTCCCAGCCTTGGGCTTTGCACTTTTACTTCCACCACCCCCCCTCGCCTTCTTTTGTGGCCGTTCCCTCTTCTCAGAGGCACACCAAAAGTAAAAGAAAAAATAAGGCGAGAGAGTGAGTGAAAAACAACAAAAACTTTCAACATTAAACATGCATATTTAACGTTTTAAAATGATCGAAAGGAGGGCGACGACGAGAAGCAGGTTCACCGATAAAGCGGCCATAATGAGGCAACAGGTGGCTGTGGGATATAAGGGAGGTAAAAGCCAACAGAAAAAACTTTTAAGTTGATTTGTTAGTTTATTTGAAGCTTGGAGGTGGATAAAATGTACAAAATGCCATAACTGAGAACGAGGAGGCCACAGTGTTAGGATGTAGATCTAAGGCTCTTTTTTTTTCTGGTTTGGAGGGAGCCTTTCTTATTCAAAACAGCCCCACAAAAGACTTCCAGTGAGCTCTGCCACATCCCCATCTGACTTGGGGCCATTCATCAGCCTTCCAAGCCTATCAAGGACATGTCCCCATCAGGGCTCCTATAAAATCAGCCCCTTTCCCATGAAACATCAGCAAACATTTTGACGGGTCTGGCTTTCCCCCCGCTGGATTTCTGGAGTCTCCTGCTCCCTTCTTTACACCCACCGTCCCCCCTCTCTCCCTCTCTCTCTCTCCCTCCCTCCCTCATTCCCTCCTCCGCCAACACCGCCCTTCTTGGGGCGAACCCCAGATTCTCAACATCTCCTGCAACGGGCAGTGGTCAAGGAAACTTAGAGAGAGTCGAGAGGAGATCATCGGAGGAGGGGGGAAAAGAAACGCGCAGTGAGCCATTTTACTCTGAGGATCTGGCGTCGTTGATGGGAAGAAGATGCACTGCGGGCTGCTGGAGGAGCCGGACATGGATTCCACAGGTTAGTCCTGCTGAAATGTCTCAAACTTCCTCTGGATTTTTTTTTTTTAGAAAAAAAAAAGAAGAAATGTTGCTGTCTGTTGGTCACATACTGATTATTACTGCTACAGGGAACCATTTTTCCAACTAGATTGTTTCAAAAATGGTCCTCATAGAGGTGCACCTGCTCCCTTCATCCAAATCTATGTGTTTAAAGAAAACCTTGGATATAAAAGATTAAAAGTAAATAATCTAGATTACTTTTCAAACATTTGGCAGTTAAAAATTTTCAAGATCAGTGGGAATGTTTAAATATAAAATAAATCGGCATGTTCTCCTGCTTTTTATTTATTTATTTATTATTTTTTGTAGTTTGAAGAAGTTGGCAAATTGAATTAGCAGCTTTTATAGTAAAGTTTAGTTTTTTCCTGCTGGTAAACGGACCAAAGATCCACCGCAGTGGTTGATCAGATTTAATCCAATTATTTGGATCCCCCCAACTTATCTGTTCTTGTGGCAAATGAAGCCTGAGCTCTGGGTCTCTGCTGAGAATTAGCTTCACTTCAGTGGTTTCACTTCTACATCTCCAAGCTGCTTCTTTTTTTTTTATGTGAAAGGAAGGATAAACTGTAAGCATTAGATTTAATGAATAAATGCACCTCAAGCTAAATAAATGGAAAGACTGACAAGAACTCTGAATATCTTTTAGTTTTACAGAGATGTTTACAAAGAGATAAGCTCTGTATAACTGAAGAAATGTTTGATTATTTTGTCCTACTTGTAAAAGGCCCATTGCCAACTACTAACTTAGTTTTGTATTTATTCAAACTTCTAAAAACGTTCACAAACTGCTAACCTGCATCCGCTCTAACAGCTGATATGTTTAAAAAAAATTGTGAAATTTCCTGGTGCATCTCCGGTGCACCAGGAATATTACCCCAGCTGGTTTTCCATCTCTTCTGATAGCTGTTCTTCCTCCTTTGGTGTTTTTAAAGGATTTTTACCTTATCATGCAGCTCTCATATGATAGCATTGTTATGCTGCAGCTCGCTCACAGAAAGAACACCAGTCGGGCTTTTTCTAAGCAGAAATCAAACCAGCACAATGGCTTCTATTCCAGCAGACTGCTTCAGTAAATGTGTCCAGGCTCTTTTTTTTTTTAAGCTTCTGTGTGTTCATCCCGTCGTCTCTGGGGAACAATGCCGGATTCCTGCCGTCTTGCTGAAAACATCTCAAACAGGACCCACGGCTGCGCTGCTGCCCCATACAATCGCTTGTTGTGGCCTTTGCCTGTCACATTAGTGACGTTTTAAGTGTCCTGCATTGGTGATGTTTATGTAAATACAGCTTTTGCTTCTTCTGCTGTGGGATGATGCCCCTTCAGTGCAGAAAGGAGCTTTTAAAAGACAAACAAAAAAAAACAGCAAATATTTTACTGTCAGTTTTTTGTTTGATCCTTTTTCCAGATTGTGTTTTAAAGAAATAAAGAAAAAGGTCCAGATTTTAGAGATTCAATTTGTTCTTTTTAGAGAGCTGGATTGAAAGGTGCCTCAATGAAAGTGAGAGCAAGCGATATTCCAGCCACACGTCTCTGGGGAATATGTCCAACGATGAACGTAAGCAAAAGTTTCTTTCAGACTCCTTCAATAGATTTACCTGCAAAAATTGTTTTTTCATAATTTGACTCGCTCTGATGGATGTTTGCTGCTGCAGATGAGGAAAAGGAGAATAACAGAGCTACTAAACCACATTCAACACCAGCCACTCTGGAATGGTGAGTCATTTAGAAAGTTTCCCTAAATCAATAGAATGTACAAAGAAGGAGTAATAAAAATTAAAAGCTAATTTACTGTAAGCATGACGATAATGCAGCATGTGATTGGCCAAATCTGTATGTTTAATATTAGGTTTTGTCTAATGGCTTTTTTTATGTTGAAAGAATTTAAATTTATATATTTACTTTAAACTTTCAGATTCTTTCACATCAGGTCTCTGATCATATTTGTATGTTTATATTGAAAACTCACTCAGGTTATCAGATGGGTCCCTCCTAGTTTTTTTTTTTTTTGTCCCAATTTCCACCAAATTAAAAGTTGATCGTTTTAGATATGTTACATATTGTTTAATTTATATTTAATGAAAGAAATCCAATCTGATCTGATTTTATTTATTAATCTTGGAGTGTTTGACAGCAAACCCTAAACTTGATTCCTCCTTGCAGCTCTCTAGCTTCATCTTTCCATGTGTGGTAAAGTATTTTTGAGACGTTTTGTTTTAAACGTGTTTTTGACATAAAGAAATTTTAACAAAAAGCTATTTAAACATGGCTGCAGCATTTTGGCTGCTGAAGTAGGACAGATGTTTTCTCTGATTTGTTCTTATGATTTGTTTGTTTAACATATGCAAAACCGTGTCTGAATGTTTTCTCTGGTGTGAAACAAGTGATTTCAGTCAGATCATGTTTATCCTGTCAGAAATATGCCATTAGTGGTGTTATTTCTGTTTTCATTTCTTTTATATTGACTTTTTAACATAGTGTCTCTAAGTGGGGACTGGTTTAATTTATGCAGGGTGTCTGCACTGTCCTGAAAATATGCAAAAATAGAACAAAAATACTTTTTATGCATGTAGATAAGTACAAAAAAAAGTATTTTTATTCTTGATATTGAGTTTCTAAGCATAACACATACTACATTTATACAAACTGTTTAAAGGTAGTTAGATTGGGAGTCTGTGGAAAAGTTGTTCCAATTATTCATAGATTTAAGTTTAGATATAAGCTAATCTTAGGTTTAACATGTTTCTTCTGATGGAGAGTAAAGTAGTACCATCATAAAACTAATTTGATCACTAAACACAGGAGGGAGCTATAAATTAGGGTGATGGCAAAGAGGCCTTCAAACCTCCAACACTTCCAAATCCAGCGATAAAACATCAACGTACGTCTGTAAACATTTAAAAAGGTGATTAGCAGTTATAAGAAAAAGAAAGCCATTCGCTCATAAGATTGAAATATATTGCTAAATTAATCCTACTTTGGCTTTATATTATCTTTTCTGATCATCAGTTTGGCTCAATAGTAACTTTTATAATGAGCAGGAAAAAGAAGAAGTTTTTAATTAGTTTATTCGTCTTTGTCCAGTTTGTAAAATAAAGAGATATTTTTGCTTTTTTTTTATATTTAATTCAAATAGAAAACAACAATGAATAAAACTACCAACCTTCATCATTATTAAAAATTTGGGTCTTTAAAAATGTTTAAGTATGATGTGTTCCTCAGGTGGTTTATTCTACAGCTGACACCATTGAGATTGAGAACAAAATATAATTTCCTGTTTTCTTTTATTTAGTTTATATTTTTTTAAGTCTTTGACAGAAAAAAGGCTTATCACTGTAAATATATCTGTTGATTATTATTTTATTAAAGCCAAGTATATAGATAATAAACAAAGGTCAAGAAGTCTATTCTAACACATTTCTGACTCTAAAATCAGTCAAATGTAACTTTCTGTGTAAATTCCAGATTCTAGCGTTTAATTTTCAGCAAAACATGGATCTTTGTACCCCTTTTGTTAAACCTTATTCATTAAAACGCCCATTTTATTTCACAATGACTCAACATAATGCTTAAAGAAGATCACTGAAATGTTCTGAAATGAATATGCAAAATTAGAAATTAGTCATTTTAAATAGAAATATTCATTCATAATATTATAGTCTTAAAGAAAGACAATTTCCACAACTTAAGGTTGTAAAAAAATCAGTTTGTGTCAAGGCCAGTCTTGGTTTATTTCTGTTCCTAATCTGATGGATGGACAGTAATAATGACCGGTGTACCTCAGGGATCCGTTTTGGGTACATTTATCTAATCTTTCTTTTTCTGTTATTGTGGGAACTAAATACAGTTTTTTTTTTATCTAATTTAGGAGTGTAAAAAGTCATTGCATTCAATAGTATCTGACAATATCTCATGTTTTAAGCTGAGCTGCACAATTTAACAAGATGCCATCCTCATTACAGTACCGATCTTGAAGATATCAAAATTACAACCTGCTTCTTTGAGCTAAAATTTTATTTAAAAAATAGTTATATTTGTATTTGTAGGTATATCTTGCCATATGGGCTGATTTTCATACAAATTTGTTTGGGCAAAGATGCTAAACACAGACAGAAGTCTGATGAAGAGGAAAAAAGTATGAAGATTAGGTTTAAGCCTAGTGATTAGAATATTCATGAATAATATTGAGATTTTAATGGGCATGATAAATCAACACCGGTAACAGGATGTGCTTCAGAACAATTTATTGGGGTTCTGAATGATTTTATGCACTTATAGTGGGTAACTATACAAACGGACTATTAAAAATAAATAATGTGATTGTTTAAACAAGTAGTTCAAATCATTTCACTTTAATGCTCCAAACAGTTGTATTTAACACTGTTTACTATTTAAGATAGGAGACGTTCACTGACTGGTTCTTAACGTGTAAAATTGAAAATTGCAGTCAGAATGTAGAGATGCTCTGTCCTGTTAGTTTTCTCATGTTCTGCCGATGCAGCTGCATGTTAAGAATCGGAACCCTTTAAATCAATATCCTGTACATTCAAGTTAAACTTTTTTTTTTCCAGCATTAAATCTTGTAAAATTCAATCTTTTATTAGACCACATGCATGCCCGTAATTTTTTATTTAGAGCTGTTTCTGAGGTTGCATTCCCCACACATTTGTTGTATCGCAGGTTAGAGGAAAACTACGAAATAGCAGAAGGTGTGTGCATCCCCAGAAGCGCCCTCTACATGCACTACCTTGACTTCAGCGAGAAGCACGACACGCAGCCTGTGAACGCAGCCAGCTTTGGAAAGGTGAGCTCCAGAATTCAGTTTACATTTCCATCATTCTCTGCTGAATTCAGTGTTACCCATAAGAAATCATCACCAAGCTATGAATGTTCTTTAAATGTTTAAATGGGCTCCCCTTCTGTTGACTGATATGCACATAGAGGCACTGGGTGAAGGCATAGAAGTAATTAAATTAAACTTCAGAGGCACATAAAGACAGTGATAAATCCAGGCTTCTATGCCTTAAAGAACATCTTCAGGATTAAAGGACTAAAGTCTCAGCAGGACCTTAAAGACCGATTCATACATTCATCTTTAGGGAAATTGTTTACTACAGTGGTAGTACTACAGTGGTGTCTTTGGGTTGATCCAGAGAACTGCTGCCAGCATCCTCACTAAAACTAAGAATATGGAGCACATCACCCATCTCTAGAGAGTATGGACTTTAAAATACTTCTGTTATTCTTTAATTCACTGAATCGATCAGAGTCTAAGTATATCACAGACTTATAGTCTCTCAGGTCTTCTGTATCTGATCTACTCCTCATTCCCAGAACCAAAAATGGAGAAGCAGGTTTTAGTTTGTCGCTCCACAAATCTAGTGCTAAAAAGCTCAACTGCTTTAAATTGAGTTTAAAAATGCATTAGTTTAGAGTGGCCTTTGACTATCCTGTGTAACATTATTAGTGAAGTTTCCTATCTAACTTTCATTTCAATTTCTAAATCCTTCTGTTTTTTAGAAAATATATTTCTCTTATTTCAATGCATCCCTTTTTTATCTTTTGAACTATTTGTATAGCCTCTATGGTATTGCAATGTAGTTTTTTTTTTCTTTTTTTCCCCTTTATTTCCTAAATTGTCCTGCAACTGAAATGTACTATATAGCTAAACTAGCCTTGCCTTGCCACAGATTAAAGCAGCCAAATAAATAGTGCCTCAACAGTTTATAAAATGATATAAAAGTTAAAATCTCAGTAATTCATAGCTGGTCCAATCTGACCCAGTCATGCATGGCTTGGTTTGGAGCTTCAGCTCTGGCTCCTGCGTCGAAGCCGCTTCATCCGCAGCTCAGTGTGAATATTTAATCTAGAGCCAAAGGAGATGTGCTTTCGTCTGTTCCCACAACCTCAACAAGTTCCTTAGCCTTCCTGCCCCCAGCCGTCCCCTGTACCCTGGGCTCTGGCCCCAGCCCCCAACCCCGAGCCCAGCCCCCTCCCCTCCGCCAGCTCCTGTCGGAAGATATTGAAAAAGAGAAGGGGCCTGGATTAATGTGTAATTAAAGGAAATTTGGAAGGGTGAGATGTTGCGGAATGTTAGATCAGTGGCTGGAGCAGTGTGGGGTGTCCTTTAGGAAGGCTTCATTGATTCGGGACAAAAAAACGAGAGAGGGCCCGGGCTGCCTCCCTGTCTGCTCATTTATCAAGCGGGGCCTGACAGAAACTTCACAGCTTGGCCCCTTTTTTCATCCCACACAATGGAGAGCTACACTGTTTGCTAAAGTTTCTGCACCGGGAGCCGAAACGAGGAGCCAATATGTGGATTAAAAAAAAGAGGAGGGGGAGCTGAAAAGGAGTGAAGATGGTTGGTGAAGAAAAGAAGAAGTGAAATGACTTGATGTCATAAAAGTGTCTCATAAATTATTTTATATAACTCCTTTTAATAATCTCCAGCCTGGGAGATCTGTCTTTATGTATAAACACAGACCTGGAAAAGCAACAGGCTAGATTTATAAACAATAATTACTATTATGCAAAATGGATAAAATGGAGAACGCAGAAAAGTCAATTAAAAAATGATTATCTAATATATTTATTTAAAATGAAAGAACCGGTAGAACTCTGCTTATGCTGTTTTTAAAGCAGAGAGTGAATCATTTTAGCATGGTTAACTCTCCTTTAACAGCCTTTAGGTGCTCAGAGCTCTCAGTCAGATTGAAGTCCAGTATTCTCCTATTCTTAATCTTTATTTTTTATTTGGCCATTCAGTGGTTAACTTGAAGGAGTGTTTTGAATAATTTTCTTGCTTCTTAACCCCAGTGAAGTTGGGCTAAAGGTCACAAGACGTCAAAATTCTTCTTTGGGGTTTTCTGGTAGAGAGAATAACTTTGGTTGAACAACAGCAAGTTGTCCACAGAGTACCTCCACCGTGCTTTATTGTTGTGTTGTGTTAGTTGTACAAAAGATGAAATGGGGAGCACACCTGCCAACAAATTACACTTTTGTCTCATCATAAAATATTTCCCCTAAAGCTTTGGACATCATGTTTTTTTAGTAAAGTGGGAGACACACCCTTTTGTTTTTTGGGCCATCAGTGATTTCCTCCTTGGAGCTCTCCCATCAATTCCTTTTTTACCCACTCTCTTTTTTATTGTTGAGTCTTTAAAGTTTAATTTTTCTCCTGGTTTGCTTGTCGAAAGCAGTGTTGGAAAGGCTCTTCACGGTTTTCGTTAATTACATTTATCTCTGTGGTTAGCTGAGTACGAGCCTTTCCTCTGTATTATAGATATAGAGTTTTAACTTTTTTTAAATTAATTATTAAGGACCTTTTCTACTCACAAACATTGTATTAGTAGATGAATAGTTTGCACAGAAGTGATGAATACTTGGACAAACCCTTTTCTGTTCTATGTCATGCCTATTTATATAAATAGAAGAAAGACTATGGATTTATTTTGATCTGTAGGGTGATTTATCCCTCCACCCTCCAATTTTCCACTTACTGATTCATGATATATAAATGAAGAGGAATCAATGTTGGGCTGTAAAAACGTTTTTCAACAGGTGTTAAGTCAGTAAGTATTATTTTTCATGAATCTCAGGGAGAATAAATTAAATGGGAGAGTAACTGTGACCAGGAATCCAATCGGGGGTTGCGGTGTACCCCAGGGCTTAGTCTTGAGCTCCCTTTTTTTTCCCGTCATTTATCCGAGATGGTGAGGACAAATGGGTCCAAACAGGGAACCAAAGACGACCCACTCCCTGGCAACATCTTCCTACTCATTGTGAGGGATCCCAAACAGGATGAGATAATCTAGGCCCTTCAGATAGTTGATGAGAGATGATGCTGAGGTGAGTTCTGATGATGCTCCAAAACCTCCAGAGGGAGATGGCTGATCACCAAACCACTCTACTGACTCCTTTATATGTGGATAAAGAGGAGATCTGTTCTGGGCTCCACTATGATGATAGAGCTCTCTGGAAGGAGAGGGAACTCATTAAAGCAGCTTGTATCTGAGATCCTGTCATTTCTTTTAAGTAACAATAAAACTAAAATGTTAGGCAATGAATTGAGTCACCTTTTACACTGCAAAAATGCTTTTATTAAACGCATAGCTATAATGAAATATCTGCTGTTAAAAATGATCCTATGTCTCTTTACCTGCAACACTGCTTTATTTTGCTTTTACTAACAGATTATAAGGCAACAATTCCCGGCACTGACGACCAGAAGACTGGGGACAAGAGGACAGTCCAAGTGAGTTTGGGCTCCACAAAAACACACATTACAATTTTCCTTTTTTTTTAAATGAACATTATTTTAACTTTTCTAAGATTTTGCTCATTTGAAGAGATCCTGCTGAGAGTCATTGATTAATCATGTTTTTGTTTTTTCGCTGCCTGTGCTCCTCAGGTACCACTACTACGGGATCGCAGTGAAGGAGACGTCCCCGTATTACGATGTGATGTACTCCAAAAAGGGGGCGGCGTGGGTGAATGAGACAGGGAAGAAAGAGGTCACGAAGCAGACAGTGGCGTATTCACCGCGCTCCAAGCTTGGGACGCTCCTGCCAGAGTTTCCAAATGTCAAAGACCTAAATTTGCCTGCCAGCCTGCCAGAGGAGAGGGTAAACGGCAGATTTTAAGTCCTTACTTACTTACAACGCCCCCTCTCCCTCCCCTTCATTCCCACCCATCTCCCCCCCTCCCCCTCTTTGACTCTTTTATCTGGCTTTGCGTTGAGAGAAGGACCTTAAGGATTTATGTGCTGGCTCCTCACTAACTCTTAATCTTCAGGGGCCAGATAATAAGATCTAGCAGTGGACAAAGGACAGGCAATAGCTGTCTGACTTTAAAAGGGGGGCCATGATTTTAAATAGTTTGTGTTTTGCTGATCTCTACAGCTTGTTTTATATCTCTCGGCTCCAGCCCGGACCTGTAACACGTATTTATTGGTTCACAAGGCAGATTTATTTTCTTGTTTTTGCAACCTTTTTTTGTTTCCCCTAAAAAAAGAGTGAAAGAAAAAAAGGCTATAGTTTATGCTGCAAACAGATTAAGACTTGGTTAATGTTTTCAGGTGTCGACGTTCATCATGATGTACAGAACACACTGTCAGAGGATACTGGACACGGTTATCCGAGCCAATTTTGACGAGGCAAGGACTCAAACTCAGATTCTGTTCTCTTTATAAACCATAAGTATAAACTTCTTTTTTTGTAACTCGGTGTCTTTGGCGTCCGCAGGTCCAAAGTTTCCTGTTGCACTTCTGGCAGGGCATGCCGCCCCACATGCTCCCTGTCCTCGGCTCCCCCACCGTGGTGAACATTGTGGGTGTTTGTGACTCAATCCTCTACAAAGCCATCTCCGGAGTGCTGATGCCAACCGTCCTGCAAGCACTGCCTGACAGGTGAGGCATTGCAACCTTCCCCTTCAGTCTGACGCCACTGCTAACGGTATTTAGGAGAATGTAATGGTCAAGTATTGACGCCACCTATTCTAAGCCTTGCTTGCTTTGCTTGGAAGACCCTTCCATTCTCAGTCTTTTACTTTATTACTGCTGTTGTGATGTTTTGCTTCAATATTTACATGAAATCCTTCTTCCTAATTAGTCCATCTACTTAACCCTTTATCATCCAAGTAAAAAAATGGTAACTTGGATGTAAACGCCACTTTGCAGCAAACATCAACATTTTGAGATGAAATCTGGTTTGCAGGGTCAACAAGGTCCATCCCTGTCCTAAAGCTGAGTGTAACTGCTTTATAGAATACAACTAGTAATCCAACGCTGCCTGCTGTTTGTGATACGTTACCTACTATAAAGTGTAAGAAAAAAGTTAATAAATTATAAAAAAAAAAAATAAATAAGCTAAGTACAAATATTTAAAAAGCAAATTTCTGTTTTTCTTTCTGTAAGAGTTTTTCATGAAATTTTCATGAATTGACAAGTTATCAATAGAAAACAATAGAACAAAATGATGCTTTACATTTCTGTGCTGTTCATATTTACTGAATTGTTTAAACTGCTGAATATGCCCCAAATAATCATCTGGAAATGTATCTAAGGGGAAATCAAATGTCTTGCCTTAGAAAAACTTACCCCTTGTCTTATCTTGTGTAATTTTTTTAATTAGTTCCGTATATCATGCAGAGAAGCCGGGTGTTATATAGAATATAGAATATAGAATATATCTACAGGTGAGCCTCTAATTAACTCGGTTGTTTTGATTAACCTGTCAGATGATTATAAAGCTGGACATAAACACCTGTGCTTTCCTGTAATGTTTAGAGATATCAAAATTTATGCAAACCTGTGGTGTTGAAGAAGATAGAAATCCTTCTGATATTTAATAAATATAAACAGTTATGGTAATCCAAACTAATCTACGTCATTTATTCTGCTTAATTTTCAGACAGTGTTTCATTTCAGCATGATTTTATTTAATCTGTATAACTGATCATTTTTATGCCCTGCGTTTGATCACTGTTTTGTTAAATCCTGCCCAATCATCAAAGGTGTTAACAGATTAATGAGTTTTCTATGACCTGTAATTATGTCCATTCAATTAGATTAGGAGCAGGGGTGATGTCACACCATGTGAGTGATACTGATGTCTTCTTTCTTGTTCAGATTGTCTTCTAATGCTGGTACAGATTTTAGCTTCAGGGTAGTATTTATTTTCTGCTACCTAAACAATGACTGTATGGATTTACTTTACGAGCACAGGAAATGATTTGATTAAAAAAAGTTTTAAAAGCAAATAACAGTTTGGAAATTAAAGCTGCTGGAACTGCTGGTTAATATGCTGCATGCAGAAAAAAAAACTGTTATTAGATGATATTTAAAAAATAGGATAGACTCTTAATATCAAAATATGAAACTTAAGTTATACTGTATATATAAATATGTTACATTTATGAACTTTCTTTACTCATTAGGTAAAGATAACATGAAGTTGGTGTTCATTTTATAATTTTATTTCTGCTAGTTTTGCTCTCATTTATTTATTAAAACTTATTTTCTCTTTGTTTTCCATTTATTTTATTATATAGCCATTATTCTAAACTATTGATTAACTTAAAAAAAATTTATAAAGAAAAAATGTACTAGTAAAATGAGTTTGGTGTCAGTTTTACTCTGACATGTAGGATGACATGTAAAGATGTAATCTGGATCCTTTGTCAAATAAATTCTAATTAAGTTAAGATAAAAACAAAGTTAATGTTAAATTTATGCAATAACCTACAGACAAAACGTTTTCCTGCAGCTTTTGTTAACTTGCTCTGCGCTTTTTCTTTTGCCCAGCTTGACTCAAGTGATTCGGAAATTTGCCAAACAGCTCGATGAGTGGCTCAAAATAGCACTTCACGACCTTCCTGAAAACCTGAGGAATATCAAATTTGAATGTAAGTTGACATTAAAGACGCTTTTAATTTTTGTTTAACAGTCCGCATTCTTTTAATTCTTTTTCATTTTATTTTCAGTGTCGAGGAGGTTCTCTCAGATTTTAAAGAGACAAACATCATTAAACCATCTCTGTCAGGTAAATGTCGTGTTTTTGGAGGTCTTTTAATAAAATCCATATGAGAAATAAAGAAACCAGTCAGATAAGAGATGAATCTGTGTCATGCTGGCATTTTTATCTGCCTACAGGCATCTCGGACTGTCATAAACAGTGCCGACATCACCTTCCAAATGCTGGAGGACTGGAGGAACGTGGACCTGAACAGCATCACCAAACAGACACTTTACACCATGGAGGACTCGCAGGAGGAGCACAGGCAGCTTATTATGCACTGTAAGTATCCCAGTTAAAACTGAATCTTTCACTGCCGTGTAAACAACACACTCGTTGGCAATCATTCCCACGACCGGCGGAGTCAAAGCACCGAAGACGGAGAGCAAAAGGTTAAACAAGTTCATCCTCCTCTGTGCAACCCACAGAGCTGCCACAATTCAGCTCATAGTGAGAGGAGCAGAGGTCGCTGATATTGGACGCTGCAGCAATACAAGGCTGTTGTTGAAGCTATGTAACATTTTTTTTGTTTTTCCCTCTGTTGTTTCAGTGTATCAGGAATTTGACCGCTTGTTGGAGGAGCAGTCTCCAATTGAGGCCTACATTGAATGGCTGGACTCCATGGTGGACCGCTGTGTCGTCAAGGTGAGAGACGGCCGCAAGGATGAATACAAACTTTAAAAATACTGAGGATTCTTCATCCTAATTATATGTAATTAGTGAAATATACATGTTCGAAGGCTGAGGCAACACATGTACAATCTTTGCGTTTTTCCACTTAACAAAAATGTATTCAAATGTAATTTAATCGGAAATCTTTTAGAATATTTCCTCCAGCCTCAGAAAAGTTAACATCTTAACATCATCCTATTTAGTTGGTATGAGGGTTTACAAAAGGTGGAGCTTCAAGTCAAAGTTACTTACTATTAAAAATAATACATTACTTAATAAAGGAAAGAAAAATCAAAATATTATTTTTTAAAGGGTCAAATAATGCAATAGAAAATTTATATTAAATAAAAGTTTGATAAAGAGTTTATCCAACTCTTTCAAACTGTTGGATGTTTGTAATGCCATGGTGAAGGTCAGACACAGCTATGAAAAGGGAAATAAAAATAGAGATTCAAATAAAAACCAAATTTATAAAATAATTCAGACTCAGCAATAAAAAGTTAAGCGCAATTAAAGTATATATAGATAAGAACAACTGGATAACAAACAAAAAGGCAGAGACTCGGCTTTAAAAGAAAAAATGGCCTTATTTTAGAAACTTGTTTGTGAGGCAAAGTTCTAAAATCCTCTCACCTCTGCATGCCTTTCTCACTCAGAGCCACTTAGCTCCCAATCCTCCCAGTTAATGATGTCTTCAAGCTTCCCATTTGCACCCATTATGTGCCAGATATGGGCTTGTAAAATTTGGTTGCCCTGGTAACGTCCTCCACCGTCCAGACAAAAGTTCAATAGGAAGGCGTGTCCCCGGGGGCAAATTAAATAGTTGACTTGTTGACATGTTTTTCGTTCCTGAGGGTTAAGCCCCAAAATGGACGCGGGGGTTAATTCTAGCGCACCCCCCCTCCTCCATCTTTTTCTCATGGAAATGTTTTCTCTCTAGGTGGCGGGGAAGAGGCCCGGGTCGCTGAAGAAGGTGGCCCAACAGTTCCTGCTGATGTGGTCGTGTTTTGGTACCAGAGTCATTCGGGATATGACCCTCCACAGCGCGCCGAGCTTTGGTGAGCACCTGTTTTGGAAACCTGAGATTCTGTCAAACGATTTTAGACATTTGAGGTCTTTTTCTCTTCTCTGAAAAAAAGTCTGCTGACAAACCATTTCCTGAAACTCATTTGCTTTTATAAACCATATTAAATCCACAAAAAACCCCAAAGAAATAGCAGTAAAATATCATGTCGTAGGGCCTATGTTGACTGTGTAAAAAAAACGGGGGAAAAAAAGCAAGGCCACATTTCTCAGGTATTTTCAAAAAAAGTTTAAAATAAAAATGCATCTATTGGTGCAATTGCTTTAATTTGAAACCAATTCCAGGTTCTGTTTAAATAAAACAAGCTGTGTGCTACTATTAGAACTGGTGGTACTTTGGCTTTTATAGGAGCCCAAAAGATTTTGACCTGGATGTAGAGGCAAACACTGATCCAGAGACAATTCACTTGTGCTTTCTTTCATTTAAACTGCGGAGTCCAATGTTGGACAGGGAAATATATTAAACCAAACCTTAGCATCCTCCAGTTTCTGTAATTTAATGATTAAACTCAATAAAACAGATAACACCTAATAGCATATAAGCTCATGACAATCCTTTTTTCATATTACTGACACTATAGCATTGCATTCGCTTTAAGAAGTTTTGAGGTACTGTCTGTGTGCCATTAAAAAAGTGACAAAGATTTGTTGAGATAAGCTTAAAAAAGAAAATGAAATTTAGCTATTTTTACTGTTTATGTATTAATGTTGGGAGTTTCCAAATAGTTTCTATATATATAGATATATATATCTCTATATATATGTATAATTTCTTTTTTTTGTAGCTGATTTAGAAAAAAATATCTATTGTTATTACCAGCTAAGTTTCTGCATCTTTCTGATGGTATTCATTTATACTGTTGGTAGAATCTCCCACTTTGGAAGGCCTCCTTGCCATGACCCTAATCTTCAGCTTCTCCCTCCATATATTCTGCACCAGATTCAAATCGAGAATCTTCCTTTTTCCAGTTCAATCCCAAGAGCAATGTTGGTTAAATTGAAAGATTACCGTAAGCCTAAATCTATAGTATGTCTCTGATCGCAGAATCCTCATCATTTTCAGTTTCTTAGATTACAGCAAAAAAATCAAATCTTCACATTATGTGAGTCTGTTGTTAGTTTTTGTTTGCACCAAATACACGCACTGAAGACCTGCAGACTTGGGAAGGAAGCAGGAGAAAGCGAAATGGCTGCTTCCTTTTACAACTTGCTGTACACAAGGCAGAGGTAGAATGAAGCAGTAAAGATGACTTCTTTCTCCTTTACTTGCCCTTTCTTTGAATATCAAAGACACAGCTGGTAGCTGTGTTTTGATAAAGCAGGTCTCTGTGCACTAGCAGCTAATTAACAAAGGCCACTCCCCCCCATTTTATGACTGTTCAGGATTGCACCCCTCTCCCTTCAATGACCACAACTGTTTTTATTATGCGCACGGCTATGGCACAATGGCAAGTTTGTGATGCCGCTGCCTCATCTGTTTCCTGCGACCTCTGGGGTCAGCTGACATATTTCTGAGGCTGAGTTGGTGTGTTTTTGATGACAGCGAACCTCCTGTCAGGATGTGAAGTCATCCCCACTCAGACAGTGATCGTTTATTTCATGCATTTTTCTATTTCCTAAAGAATCTCATGTTTTTTCTTTTTTGGGAATAGATTTCATGCTGTTCTTGTGTCTTCAGGCTCCTTCCACCTGATCCACCTCATGTTTGACGATTACGTGCTCTACCTGCTGGAGTCGCTGCACTTCCAGGAAAGGGCCAACGACCTGATGAGGGCCATGAAAGGAGAGGGAAGCACAGGTAGGGTTTTACCTTTTGGCTTAAATTCACAATCAGAATAGACACAAATCATGTTTTATTAGTGTTAGACATTACAATCACAGTAAATGGTCCCTTTTTAATGTTCCATTACTCGTTGTTAATAATGATAATAATGAAAGCTATGTGGTCCTGAATCAGATCTTTTCAAATGTGACCTGTGTCTGAAAGGCCAGATCGCATTCATCCTACCTGTGCGCCATTAATACCCAACATAGGTCACTATTCTCCATCTTGCTAAACAGAAGCAGCAAGAAAATCAACAACCATGGCAGATGATGATGTGGAGAGAAATATTTATGTTTAAACATCTTGAAAAGATTGTATTTTTTAAGCTTGGGAAAGGTCGCTAGATGCTCCCCCGCACTACCATCCATGTTTACCTCTGTGAACACAGCATGCTTGCTTGTGACGTCAGTGCGTCCTCTACTGCACATGTGGGACACTTAAGTTGTATGAATGGAGTTCATAGGGGAGATCACATTAAGTTGCATATAATTGGAAATGTGAACGGCAACACAAAAGAATCGGATTTCACAAAAAAATCGGAATTGCGCATCAAGGCCTGCAGTGGGAAAGTAGCCTAAGAGGCACACCTGTCAGCAAAAACACTGCTTCCCTGTGTGACATCATACACAAATCTGGAGAAACTGATAAACACTTGCTGCTTTCCAAATGATTATAATTTAATGTGAAATGTGTAGATAAAGCTTAAGCTAGCAAGAAATTGTCACCATCTACAGTGAAAAAAGGTCATTCACACTCACTGACCTTAACGCCACTGGAGGAGGAAGAATTCATCCCTTCAAAAACATGAGAGGCAAGATGAAAGTTTTCAAAAGTCCTCCTAAAGTCTTGGTCTTTATAACCATAATTCCAGTTGGAGGCAAAAGGAGAAGCTTACAATCCTGAGGCTCAGTCCCAATACAGGTGATCCTAATTCCTAGCTCCTGTTTCTAAAGCTTTCCTGCAGTAAGCAGTAGGAACACTGTTGTAGGAAGGAAATTTGCTATATTTGGATTGAGCCTCAGAATTTAATTGAAATAAAAATATGAACAAACTCAATGAATATGGGAAGAAAATAATGTGGCAATGAAACATTAGGGGGGAATTGTTTTCCACATGGGTAATGGAATAGTATACCATAAACATAAGATACAGGCTGGTTTAAGTAGGTTTTAGAGTGGCCTTCACAAAACATGGGTTCATGTTTACAAAACTACAAATGTCTTCATGAGAAAGGTTTGCCTAATTCATGCAGACTATTGTGAGAATCTGGTTGAAAAATAGCCAAACGGTTTGACAAAAGCAACACAAATTAAAAGTCCATTCTATCAGATTTAGAGATGTTAATGTGTGAGTTTTTGAGATGGGGAGAGATTGGTATATAGAAATTAGTAAACAGATCTAATTATTTTAAACCAAAAGCAGGAAACATTTAGAAAAACAAAGATAAAGTATTTTTCTACAGTGTATCTAACCTCTGTAGATTACAGTAGCTCCTGAATAGTTTTTTTAGCAATCAAGGCAAAAGAGGCATGTTTTTGTCTTGATTCCAAAGCTAATAGGGCAACTAAAGAAAATCCTGGAGCAAGTTGTGACATCAAATTATGAAAAATACCCATCTGGATTAGGTTTTTATGTGGTTGATGAGCTGTGGTGATGTATCAATTTAGATTTTCAGCTTTTGTTTAAAAAAAAAAAAAAACAGTTAATGGAATTAGAAAAGACTTTTTTGATTTAAAACTTTACAGATAAAGTTGATAAGAATAGAATAGAGTTCAACTTTATTGTCATTACACTGTCACAAGTACAAAGCAACAAAATGTAGTTTGCAGCTATCTAGAAGTACTATACAGGATCCAAATACTTATTTACATGTGCACAGAAACTATGTATGTATGGACTATAAATGGTAAATATAAACTGAGAGTAATTGTAAGAGGCTATAAAATAAATGAATGTGGAATCTATATACAGATTATATAGGAAAGTTAGAATATATATATATTTTTGGGGTTATAATACAGGATAAATACTGACAGATAGTAGCATATTAAAAGATTTATAGATTATATACAGCTATAAGTCCTCAGAACAAGTGTTCAATGTTAAAAATCTCACTTTTAAAAGAAGAATTTGCAGAAGCAAGAGAAAAAAATCTGTTGCACAAAGAAATAAGTAAAGAAGTAGGGAGGGAGGGAGGAAAGGAAGAAAGGAAAAAAAAAAGAAGCTTGCCATATAGGAGACACAACAAACATCAAGAATAAGGTCACATCTCTCTGAACATGCACAGCTCACGCAGTACTGAACACCACCTGTTAGAGGCTGCAGAGGACTGAATGCTGGAGCAGGGGTTAACTTTTCAATCATGCATTCAGAGCTACAAGGACACAATTTAAATTAAAACATGTTCTTGGGCTGGTTTAGTCAAATTCTAGAGGTAAATCCAAGTGGGAACGATTGGCAAGACTGGAAAGCTGATCAGAAATCCTGCCTGTCTAATCTGACAATCTGAAACTGATATTTCTATGAGGAAAGAATCTGGAAAGATGTGTTTCTGTATGTGTATAAGCTGCTGAGGAAGGCAGCCAGTAGTACTTACTCAAATGGGCTTAATCAGTTTTAATTTAACTCCTTAGTTCCAATTTTTAGAGATCTAAATTAATCTGTTCTCTCCTGACACTTTTTAGCAGAGCAAGAGGAGGAATTCACCCTGACAGAAACCACCCCCACCCCCCCATCTCCAGGGTCCTACTCCCCTGCCCGCTCTGTCCAATCTGTGGACGTGTCGTCGGCCAGCTCCCCCACTGCCGCCTTGTCCCCAGAATACCCAGGGGTCACCCCTTCCACAGGTAGGACCGCACCCACCCAAGCACACAGAAAAACAAAGCGGTTTGATAGGCTCCACATTACTTAGCTACTTCGCGCCGAAACATTTGTTTCTGTGTCTGCCAGGCGCTGTTCAGTCATATACCTGGTCCCTTACATACACAGTGACCACAGCAGGCGGCTCCGCTCCAGACGCTGGACAGCAGCTGTCCTGCATGAGGAGCAACGCTCCTGTCCCGCCCCCGTCCTCTGCCCACAGGATGCCAGTGTATGCCCACAGGGAGGAACACGGGTAAATACTACCTATGCATTTTATACCTTCTAAGCAAATTTAACGGCTTTGAATTTTCTGCAAACCAAACCTTCTTATTTACCCTGTCTGTGTTCCAGATACAGCGGAAGCTACAACTATGGCGGTTACACCAACCAGCACCCTCACTCCATTCAGAGCCAGTACCCAAGCCTGGCCCATGAGCCGGCCATCCCTGCCCCCCTTCACTACTCCGCATATCACCGCTCGTCTGCACAGGTTAGTCCTGCAGTCATGTTGGGGTTAGATTGTTGATTTGAAAACGTTTAGTTCATCTAAACTAAACAAAAAATACATTTGAAATGGCAAATATAAAAGTATAGCTGCTACTATGTTGGGATATATTCATGTTTTGCAGGTTTCTCTTTGATTTAAGCAAAAAAGTAACTGAAACATGTTAAAGGTATAGTGGAAGATTTTTTGGGTGGATAATCAAAATAAGTGGTCCTCCTAATTGTAAATCATTCTGGTGATATGTTTACATAGGGACGTCCTACTTCTCGCTTTTTACTTACCGGTTGTGAGTCTGACATGGTGGAAATACTAAAAATCTTCTATTGGACAGTAAACTTGTATGAGCGACGCAAACAGCAACTTCTAAACAGAGCTTACATGAGGAGCAAGGGCTTGTGTATGCTCTCGCATGCATTTAATAGGCGTTCCCTCTCAGGAGCGGCTACAGGGTTGTTCACGTGCATTTTTTGTTTTTAAAAATTCGAGAAAATCCTCCACTATACCTTTAAAGACAGACATCTGAGCAATAAAGCTAAATAACCTTTATTTTGACTTGTTGATCTTGGTCTAAGTATTGAATGGAGAAAAAAAAACACAGAGTAAAAAGAGGAAGCATTGATATTCATAGCCTCTCATAGAAAAAAAAAATATATATTTCTAACAATTGACACAAACAAAATGATCCTCATACTGTTAAATGCCCCAGTGTATTATACATGGTTATCTAACTGATTAATAAAGCTGTTAACTAATTGAAATGAACATTTTTTTTATTGTCAAAGTTTTCAGCCTGCAGCAAAGCCAACTATTACATTGTTCTGCGAATGAGTGCATAAAGCTGTTCATCTGTACAAAGTAGCAGGAAGAAGCATGTAGATTTTTTCAAGTAGCTTTAATTGCATTTGATCTGCAGCCACAAACCTCAATGTACTGAGGTTTTATGTGAGCGACCAACACAAAGTAACGAATAACTGTGAACTAGAAGACAAAATATACCTGTTTTACATCATATATTGCAAATGGAAATCTGGAAAATATGACTTGTATACAGCCCCCCCATTATCAGATACCCCTAAATAAAATACAGTATGCTGAGCTGCCTCCTCAATTCACCTGTGTTTGATTTCATCCCAGTATAGATCCACAGAGGACACAAAAAAACACCACAGGACATAAATTTCATGGGATCATGTTTGAACGGTTTAGTCTACATCTATAATGCTAAATGTAGCAGAAAACTAACACATCACGTTGATGTAAAGACACAATCAGCAATGTGAAACACGTGGTAGCAGCAGCATGCTGTGGGATGCTTCTCTTCAGCAGATTTAGGGAGCTGGTCAGAGTAATAAAGTAATACTGTCATGTTTTTACCAGTTAAAATTTTCAAGCTTCTTCCTCATTTTTCCATTAAGCACTACTTCATGTTTTTTTTATCATATACAATCCCAAGTGGAGATTTTAGGATTTGTAATTTGTTGTGAGAAAATGTGCAAAAGTTCTTGTCCATCAGCTGGATACTCGTACCACAGTGATAGTTCGTTAGCATTACCAGAAGTTACCAAAAAATCCATCAGCGCTGTGGTTATCTTTATTCATACTTAAATGATGTGTTTAATATAAAGGGTGCAGTCCTTGATGTTGCCGGTTTGAAGCTCTTGGTTTGAATTTGCTCTTTTGGTGGTAATTTCCCGTCGAGGGAAATCCAACCTCCGCTTCCTTTATGGTGGTAGGAAAATCAGCTGGCGCTCAGAGCCTGCAGTGTTTCTAAACAACTATGAACCAACCCTCTCCGCTCAGCGGAAGCAGACAGTGAAAGGTGGCTGGACCAGGGGCCAAGAAGGGGCCCCCGCTCTGTTACTCCTCCTCTCTGCTCTCAATGGCCTCTTCATCTGTTTGAGTCAGCAGCCAAAGAATGGGGCAAAGGGGCGTTTATTAAAATATTGTTATTCAATGGTTCCTTATCTGCTTGGTAGCTGAGGAGTCCGCTCTGCTCTGACCATCTTTTTCCATGTTCTGATTCTTCATAATGGATTCAACTGTGGTGTTTATATTTAGCCAGAAAAGGGAAAGGGTATCTTACTTCCACGTTTCTTTTTTAGACCCGTCTGAGCATAAATGAAGCACAATGGATGCACTTTGTCAGAGGAATGGGTCGGATGTGGAGCTGAAAACTCGGCCAGATCCACATCTGTCCAGAGTATTTTTATCACGCAGCAGATTTAGTCGTTGTTCATTGTTGTCCGTCGCCACGGGCTACGCAAATTACAAATAAGAAAACCATTTTTAAAGGAAAAGACTAATTATGTTGGAGTTCCGCTATTTGGCATTTTTTTTTTTACCAATTTTGGCACAACTTGTGAGACAATTTCCCGAAACAGGAAATTGTCATCTGTTAGGTCTTCTCACATAAACAGCTTCATATATAAGATGACAATGACGAAATGTCTCACAGCAGACAGAAGTTATGGCTCCACTTTTCATGCTGCCTTTAAGGTTTGCAGCGCATGTTTTAGATTATAAATCTGTATAAATTGAACCTGATATTGCTCAAAGATGCTAATTATTAGTGCAGATTATTTTAGATTTTTGTTCTCTTTAATTTTTTACGCAGCTTGCTTTTTTTTTATCTGTGCTTTTTTTTTTTACCATATTAAATTGTGATTATTCTTGTTTGTACAATAATAGCACCTATTTTTATTACAATAATTTTAAGGTCTTTTATCTTATTCTATCTATTTGTTTCCTGTAACAAACGATCAGTTTTAAACGTTGTCTCGGTGGAAAACTGCTTATGAAAACACTGTTTTGATGCTGATCTATTAACCTCTACATGTTGTTTTTTTCTTTCTGCCTCTACAGTACCAACTCAACAGCCAGATGCCCCGAATGGAGCCATGCCTGATGGGCAGCTCTCCTCGTTTGCACCCTGCTCCCATTGCCCCCCGCTGGCCAGATGTGTCCCCTGCTAACAGCTGTTACACCAGCCCGCCTATGCACTCCTCTCGCTATGCCGCCTCCGGGGACATGTACTCTCCTCTCGGCCCTCGCAGGAACTCAGAGTATGAACACTCGCAGCATTTTCCAGGCTTTGCCTACATCAACGGAGAAGCCACTACAGGTTGGGCCAAATAAGCCTTGATGGACTTCCTGCTTGATAAACTGGAAACTGCAGCCTCTGAACTCTATCAAAAACAAAGAGGAGCAGAGAGGTGAAAAGGTCGTAAGAATTCAAAGCGGGCCTGATACATCAGTCATCCTGAGGACTGTGGCATCATTTGACCAGGACCCTAATTAACCGTTTCTTTCATCAAACAATCAGTGGAAGAAAACAAAATATATCGATTGTCTGAACCTGCAGCAAAATCATTTAACGAGTGCAATGCTGCTGCCAAGCTGTGCCTTTGTTTTAAGGAATGTACACCTCAGCCGGAGTTGCCCTCGCTGCTCTCAGTGCTGTCTTCGGATACCGGTGCAGTCCCAGCAGAAGGGGTTTTCCTTGTGATGCTCAGCGCTGTCGCAGCATCTTGTCGCGATGAGCTGAACTGCCTTAACCTTCTCCTGGGACGCCAGGTCTGTGACTCTGGGCTGACAACCATCACGCGTTTCCATCTCAGATAGTTAACTTAAACACAACAAATGTATTCTGTTGCAAGCTTTTCCGTTGTTTTTTGTGACTATATATCTATATATATATCTATAAAGATAGATATATATATGAAGTATTTTCTGTAACTTTGTAACATGGTGTAATGCTATATTTTCTATGTTGTCTGTTTTGTATGGTTAGTAAAGGATGCATTAACTTAGGGTTGTGTGTTTTTATAATGCACTCAAAGCTACTGAGGACCTATTACCCTATGGGTATTTATTAAAAGGGAAAATATCAAAGTGTACAGTAACATGAAGTATCGTCACTTTTCTGTAAATAAAAAGCACTGGAGAGCATCTGTGGTACGGTTAAATTATGTTTGAAATAATCCACCCCTATAAATAATTCAACAATTCAAGACATTGAGTCTTTTCTGTTTGTTTTTGTTCTACGGTATAATTTTTACTTTAAGAAATCACAATATATAGGCACCTTTTATCCACATGTTCAGTTTTACTAAATTTCAATATACATGAAGGGCTGCTGGACATTACAGATTTTTTTTTACTTTTATTTATATATATATATATATATATATATATATATATATATATATATATATATATATACTCAGAGCACTATAACGAGGAAATTCAAAAGAATTTTTCAAATTATTACATGTTTCACAGGAAAAAAGAATACATCCAAACAAGGTTCCCCTGTTAAACCAGCAATTAGCTGTGATAGATCACATATTTTTCGACCAGTATAGTTTCAGTGTTTAATCTCACTAGCTACAAAAGTCTAAATGCTGTGAAACCTGTAGAATACATACATTTTAGAAATAAATTTTTACAGAACCCATATTCAAAATGAAGTAGGTTAAAATAACTCAAAAAGCAACGGACCTTTCTCTTTTATAAAGACTTTTTTTTCTTTTTGAATGGATGAGAAAAAAAATGGACATCAATTTAGAAGAAACACAAAGTTATATGTAGGTTAGGACTTCAACTGATTGTTTTAAGGCATAAATCTGGGAAAGGAAAAATCTAATATTCTGCTGCTTTGAAGGACCCAGGGAGCACATTAAACCTCCATTATTTAAAAATGGAAAAAGTTTGGAACCACTAGGAATCTTCCTACAGCTGGTTGTCTGTCTAAACTGAACAATCAGAGGAGGCGAGCCATATTCGAGGAGGCAACCGAGAACCTCATAGTTCTATCAGAGCCCCAGTGTTCCTATGGAAAGACGAAAACCCAACTGAAGAACAGCAAATTATACCTGTATGGCAGAGTGGCCAGATAAATTATACTCCCTAATAAAAGCCACATGGCAGCCTGTCTGCAGTTTGCAAAAGGGCACCTAAAGACCATGAGGAACTGAACTTTCTATTCTGATTGAAAGATTAAAGTATTTTGTGTAAATGTCAAGCATTGTTCACAGCCCCAATAAAGCATGGTGGTGGCAGCATCATGCTATGGGGATGTTTTTTGTTTGTTTTTTGTAACGGGGAGTGGCAGACTGGTCAGGATAAAGACGGATAAAAGCAGCAATGTACAGACACATCCTGGATAAAGGTCTGTTTCAGACTCTCCTGGTCTAGATTTGAATATGATCTAACATCCGAAAAGATGAATAACTATGCACAGATATCCTCTGGCCAGAAGCAGAATGAGCCAAACAGCCAACAGATAGCTGTGCTCATTAGAGGAAACAAATTCAAAAAGAATTTAGGTTTTTGTTTCTTGTCAAAGGTGGATCAACATAGTAATACCCAAAGGCCATTCTAATAGTTATGTGAATGTGATTTCACATCGTCATTATGGGTTGTAGAATATTGAGGGAGGAGGTTCATTGGACACTGTTTGGGATAAGGCTGTCACATAACTCAATGTGTCAAAATAATGCAGCACTGTCAACACTGTCCAAAAGCACTGTACGATTCCTATTGCTGTATTTTCCAGTGGTTTGTTTCTTAACTTTTTGTAACTTTTTTTGGACTGAGTATGCCTAAATCTCGTCCCTAAAATGTATTAATATTTTATGATATCTGTCACCTGTACAAAATTCAAAGTGCCCATGAATACAGAGCAGTCTTAGCTTTGCTCAAACTGTGTTCCCTTTTGCTTACTTTTAATTTAGATAATTCTTAATGAGACTTTCCAGCAAATGTTATTAAAACCAATTATTCCTAAACTTCCCTGACAACACTAAGCCTTTTGGTACTCCACATTTAAATCTCTGATGCTTTATTTTTTAGACTACAATAATGTATAAAATCCTACTGTGTTTCTTCTATATTGCTACAGTCACTTCTTTGATAAATATAAGTGGAGGCTTTTTATTCTATTTAATTTCTTGTCTAATAATACATATAATAAGCACTTTAAGCACTTAAGAACATTCCAACTCTTTCAACCATTTTAAATGAGTGAAAATGATTTAGCTGATTTGAAATATTAGCAGGTTGTTACTACAATTTAATGTGAAGTTGACATCAGCTCTGACAATAGGTACATTCAGGAATTTTTGTTATTTTTCTAAAACAGCTCATTATTTATTAAAATATGTTAAATATATATATTTTACTACCAGTATATTCATCTTTCCTTGTTTAATTTCTGTCATATGTTGCATATGAATGAGTAGAAATATTCCTGGAATCATCTTAGCTGATTGTTTTTTTTTTTATCTTCTAAAATCTCAGTGGAAGCCCTTTAAGGGCGCTGGGCCCTAACAAGAAGAGCCACGCTGCTTAATAAATTACATTTCTATTGAGGGAGTGTCCTGCTGTGCTGGGGTCACTGCACCTTAGTCCCACAACCTTTAACCTCTTCCCCCTGCCTGGGTTTCTCTATTTAATGGAGAGTGAATCCTCTGTGTTACATCTGTGAAATCCTGCAAGCCTCACTGCCGAGACATTGAACAGACACAACTTGTTTAATGCAGAGAAAAAAATAAAGAAGTAAGCCCTTTATTGTATTGTAATCACCTGACCTCAATGTCAACATCAATATCCGCCAAAGATGTTCTTAGAGATCTTCACACCGCCTCATCTGGCAGCTGTGAGAGATCTGTGACGTCTCCAAAGGGGGTGTCTGTGATATCATCCAACAGCGCTGTGTCTGAGATCAGTGCTACTATTGCTATGTGTATTAATACAATCATGAGTTCTTAAAATTACCCAAATACACTTGTCTTTTACAAAATATGTATTGTCAAACAAACAAAAAAATAGCATACAATAGAAATGTATGTATTTAATGTAAGTATGTGGTGGTGGGGAAACACCTAAAACATGCTGGAACCTCTGTAAAGCAACACTTTGACTGTCTTGGTGCTAAAAGGTGCCATGCAAGTACTTCCCTTGCTTTGCCATTCTTCATTCTTCATCTAAGGAAGGGTCTGTGACAGCGCTCCTTTGTGCGCCTAGGTTGCAGCAGTCTGTCAGTGAAAGAGAACTCCACTTGTGAAACAGCCTTATATGTGAAATGGGAAACATTGTCCAACTGTGATGGCATTTGAGTCTTTATGTTGTAACTGTGATGTTAGTATCCAACAGTTATTTTTTTCCAGTGTAGTCCTGTTTCTCTGACTGTGACTGACTGGATGTGCTCTCTTCATCCTCTGACGTGGGAGTTGGCTTGGAGCTCGTCTGCCTGGCTGTGTGTTTCCTGGACATGGCCGCCTTTACTGTTGCTTTACAGGCGCGCTGGAAGCTGTTTCAAGCGAGGGGGGCTGATGGCTGGTTTGGAAAACACATGACGTCATTATGTTGAGGGCTGTGGCTGACGTTTTTAACATAATATTGTAGGCCTACATTTGTCGCCAAAAACTGCCATTTAAAATGCATCGGAACAAAGCATGAACATTTTAAACTTTATTTCTTCTCTTTTAATCATTCAAAACAAACAACAGCTCCCAATCAACAGGATCAGGAATACTTGAATAAAACATGGCCTAAATATCGCCTAAACTGAGCATTGAACGTCTTGAAAGTCCATTCGACTATGGATATGGGGAATGATTCCATATCTGAAACAAAAAACACACACACAAAAAAATTAAAAAAAATTAACTAATTTCATATTTTATCACTAAATAGCTTAATACAGACATAATATTTTGTGATATGCAGCCTTATTCTAGCGTAGACTTCTTCAGCCACAGGACTAAGATGAATAGGCACATAAATAACGCTAAATGCGGCAGTATAGGGGAATTAAAACCATTTCTTACCTCGAAATAGTCAGAAATATGTTTCTGCTGCCTATTGCTAGCCATGCCTAAACGAATGTGAGGTGGCGGAAGCTTCCGGGGGAGTAGCCTAGTTTTTTATGAAATATTAAAATAATGAATCATTAGTTTATATCTTATACTCAGCCCATCATTTTAATCCCATATCAAACACAGTCTTTTAAGAAATAAATACATAATTAATTTCATGTTTTTAAGTACAATATTATGTTACTCCACAGCCCCCCACCATGGGGGGCTGATGCTATGACGAGGGAGGCTGCAGCCCCCGCAGCACCCCCCGTCCCGTGCCACTGTTGCTTTATGTAACTCACGTTGAGCCTGGTTCTGCTTGAGGTTCCTTCCTGTTAAAAGGGAGTTTTTCCTCTCCACTGTCGCTGCAAGCATGCTTAGTGTGAGGAATGGCATTCAAGTCAATGAGTTGATGCAATCAACTGGTTTTCCTTAGATAGAAAACTTTATATCAATTTGACTGTATGATCTGGTGAACTGTAAAGTGCCTTGAGATGACATGTGTTGTGAATTGGCGCTATATAAATAAAACTGAATTGAATTGAATTACTTAGTGCTCAAGTAGCTTTTTTACCAATTTTTTTGTTATTTAACTTATTAAATATTATATAAATATTATCTATTATACCAAATACATTTTTACTTTCACTTGAGTAATTTCTGGATGGCTACTTCTTACTTTTACTTGAGTAAAAATTGTTAAAGTAGAGCTACTCTTAGTTGATTACAATTTTTGGATCCTCTACCCACCTCTGGTTATTAGAGCTCTACTGTTACTCGTCTTAAGATTGACCTTTTTTCATATCTTCTTAAATTATCATAAATAAATACTACATCAGCTAATTCAATTCTCACTTTGCTCTCCAGTCAACATAAGGAAAAGCCACTGCGGTACATTTATATAGAAGATAAAAAAAAAAAAGAATATAGAAATATAGTGAATAACTTGTTTGGTTGTTTAAACAAAGTAACCATGGTATAATTTGAATAGGTGAGTGAGGAAAGAGGCAGCTGATGGAGGCAGTGAGGGGAGTTTCCCTGCTCACAGCAGCTCGTGCCTGACAGCTAGCACAGGCAGCCAACGTCTGAACCAAGCTAGCTGTCCGACTTTTACACGGCCTCTCCATCATGGACCTTAACGGCATCTTATCCCAGCTTGAAACTGCAAACGATGAGGACACAGAGACGCTTTTACAGCGATACAGCCAAGAGGTGAGTCAGCGCTTTTGGTTTATTCAAAACAAACAGGCTGCTAACGCTGGCTAGCTAGCTTTGAGTTAGCTTTACATTGCTAGCTGAGAAGAGAGAGAGAGGTGACGTGCGGTGTGACAAACGACTTTTAATATTTACTCAATCAGTTTAATAGAACATAAAAAAATGCTGAATGCAAAACTAATATACATTTAATATAAACTGCGTGCCGACAAGATTTGGCACTTTATGTATCGAATGCATATCTCTGGATTGGTGTTTATGTTCAATGAATAAAAACCAAAATACAACACAAGGTACACATGGTAACAAACTAAACAAGTATGAAAAAGCTAACCTAAACAAATTAAATGTTGAGCATTCATCATATTAAGTAACTTTTAAAGTAATATATGACATTGATGGCAAAGCTAGTTATTTTTTTACAGCTAACAATGTCTCAGAGAGTTTGATCCTAAGCTAAGGAGCATAACGATCAATGTATTTAGTCCCTGTGAATGTGGGAAGGAATACTGTAACATGATACATTTTCCTGGTTTGTGCTTTTTTTTGTCAGAGTCAAACATAGAAGCAGTTTCTATGTTTTCCAGGCAGATTCAATGATTCATAAAATGCCAATTTGGTTACTTGTTTCCATTTCCAAGCATATGCACTACAGTAGGTTTCTGTGGAAAAAAATATCTACCAGCAGCAAAGACAGAAACAGTGTTTGTGGGTCTGAATTACTTTATGAAAACATACAAAATGTGTTCAGGTAAGAATAACTTTTTTTTTGTTTCAGAACACTCAGACCTTCACGTTTGACCAAAAAGAAGAAGCTCTGCGAAGGGTGCGTACATCCAACCGAGCAGGTTGTTAGTAGATAATGTGATGTCTGGTTGTTCATTAATTGCAGTCTTCTTTACTGTCTATCTTGTAATTTAGAAACTCTGTCAGAGTGTTTTGGCCGTTCTTGGGAGACAGGTGCGGCCCAGCTGTCAGAGGACGTGTCTGGAAACACTTCGCATCCTTTCCAGAGACAAACGGGTCCTCGGACCTGTAGCCACTGTGGATGGCATGCTGGTTCTGACTCGGATGGCGACGCTGCGTGCCCAACAGGATGAAGAGAATAAACAGGAAGCCGCTCAGGACAGTTTACAGTCTGAGGAAGAGAAGAGGGTGGTTGTGGAGGCTTTAAAGTGCCTATGCAATGTTGTGTACAACAGTTCTGCAGCTCAGCAGGTTTGTGTAGACATCCAGCTTGCACACAGCCTTTGTGCCAGCCTGCACTCCGCCCACATGTGGCAACACGAGGTGGGCCTGTTCATCTTGCGCCTCTTCTTCCTGCTGTCTGCCCTGCGGCCTGATGTGAGAGCAGTACTGAGGAAAGACTGTCACGCTGTGAGACTGTTGACAGAGGTCCTGGAGCACACGCTGGACGTGCACTGGGTCGGTACCTACGAAGCTGCTCGACCAGAACCGCAGGCTCTGCCACTGCCTGCAGAGAGCAACGAACGAGCGATGGAAGCCCTTAAAGCCTTGTTCAACCTCACGCTCTCAGAAAGTCGGAATGAGGTGAGAATGTTTGGCTTATGGCTGGTCATAATTGTGAATGTGTAAACATCTGGATTCTTGTACAAAGAGCTATGAAAAAAGTGATCCACTCTCCTTGAAGCCATTTTTAACTTTTGAATTACTGCGCTAAGAAAGGGAGATGATAACCAGGAAAACATCATGATTTCATTTGATGACTCAGTTTTCTTTTTTCCAATAAAACAAAAACATTTACTTCTTATTACTGATATTATTAGCATTATTAATATTATTACCATCATTCTGAGTTTTCTTTTTCTAGGTAAAAAAAAAAAAACATGCACTCATAAAAACTTAATACCCTATAGAAGAGTAGAGACATAAGTTTAAGTGTTGATATTTAAGCTTTCTTCCTTTATTTCTTTTTACCTGCATATTTTGATTACCTTATTTGAATTTCCAGCTTTCATATAGATTTTAAAGGAGACATTTTTATAGCCATCTACCTTTTCAGTTTAATTAATTTCTATGCTAACTAACTCTTTGTTCTTTTAGGTCGATTCAACTTTAAATATTTAACACTTGTTCTTTAAGTTTGCTAAAGTATCTTCCAAAATACAGCAGAATTGGTGGTGAAATAAAGTGGCCAGGAGCTAAATAATCCCTAAACAGTGACACTTCCAGTTCTCTGTTTGTAACAGAAGACAAATTCTGGCCTGGCCTCCAATGTTTTTTTTTTCTTAGAGGTTAAATCTTTCCTCCTTGTACATCTCTTATATAGGCTTAACAACATAAGACAGCTCTTTAGATCTGTGTTCACCCTCACCTCAACCGTCAGAAGCACCAAAGTTTCAAAATTCTATACGTGGATTGAACGCTCCCTCAACAATGAAAGATAAATGCTGCTGTTTGTACTGTACATGTTTCAAGGCTGTTGATGTCTGGTTTGTTTTAACCAAGGTAAATGGTTTCAATAGTAATAATTTTCCTGTGATTATCCAAAAATATACCTTAAGTATGCTCATGATATTCCATGCGACTTAGACGGATGAGTCTAATGAACCAAAGAGGCAACATCTGGCAGTGTAAGTCCACACTAGATCCCAGGATTATATTTGTCCCTGCGCATAGCTTCCTACCCTTCACCTGCTGCTCTGACTTATAGATACTGCTTGGTTGTTGCCATGGCCTCACTCCTAAAAACTCGTAATTCCTGCGCTTATTTAATTCAGTGTCTTTTATTTATTTTTTGGGGGGTCTGTATTTTATTTACATGCTTGATTTTCACAGGAGGATGACCACCAGTTCCGACTCCTAGCTGCAATCCTGCGTCACCTTTTGATGCTGAAAACTGAGACGGAGGAGAAAACAGAAGAAGCACACAGGTGAGAAGCAATTTCTCTCTGCTCTTTCTACGTCTTTTTCTCCTTATAACCTGTAGAATTACTCAAAACCAGACACCTGGGGTCATTCTCTGTCTTAGAGAATATACTAGACTTCGCCTGGTGAACCAGTTGAATAGAAGAGGGGCACCTGTACACAAACTGGTTCCTAGAGGTTAATCGCTTAATATGTTGGGGTTTTTTGTGCTTTTAATGTAAAAGCTATTAAAGGGTAGAAACCGTCTCCTTTTTTATACTTTTAAACTATATTTCATTGTTGTCCTGTCCTGCAACTGATTGGTGGTCATGGGAGTGTTAGCAACTGACTTGGCAAAAATGCAAAAAAAATACAGAGATATCTCCTTAGAAAAAAAAGCAAGCAGAGTGAAATGTTAAGATTTCAAATATTAATCTTAACCCTACATGTGCTAAAAGTTTTACGGCAGACTAAAACCGTACCACATCATAAAGAAGAATCTTGTGAAATGGTTTTAAAAAGGTCTTATAGGACCGGTATGAACTTGAAGAATTTCCAGGTTGTTTTATATTTATTGATGGAATCTGAACACTTCCCTTTGTTAGATTTTAGTGGTTTATTCCTGTGATGGAAGTATATCTGGGTGCTGTGTGGAGGAACCTGGCTGAGGCATGTATTTGTTATGTTTCTATTGAGAAGCCTTTTCATTGCTTTTAGTGATTTAGGAGAAGAATTGAGGGTTAACTGACTTTATGTGGCTGATAAGCAGGAAAAAAAATCTTCCTTCTTCACTGTAAGGCTGAAACTTATGTTGGAGCTGCAGAAACTTCTTATATGTATTTTGAAGTTCTGCAGCTTGTGTAGAGTGATGGCTGTGGTGGTGATCACTGTGATTGGTTTACCAGAAGGCAACAGGGTGCTGAATATAGAGTCATATGGCCTTTATATAATAATGAGGTTTAGACTTCAATTTTACCCTTATTTTCCTGCAAAAATAAAAATGCTGTTTCTAATTTAGCCACGCTGTCAACCTGCTCAACAACCTGCCTGTTTCCTGCCTGGATGTGTTGATTGACGTGCCCATCCAGGGCGGCGTGGAGGAATATGGCGGCAAAAACATGGAAGCAGTTCAAGTATTGCTGGACTTCATGGAGAGGAGAATTGATAAGGTAAATTTATCCTTAAGATCAAGTATAGGTGTGGGGCGAGTTAAGAAATATAGCCCACTTCTACCAACGGTTCAGAACCAAATGTAGGATTAACACTGTGTTAAAAACTGTTTAAATTTTCCAGCTGTGTAAAACATTTTTTCTTAATCTCATTTATTTGATCATAATTACTGGATTTTAAAATCCCTTCCTGCAAAGAAAAACTCTGTAAGCCTATTCCTGCAAACAGCGTATGCCTCTGCTTTGGTTGTTTGTTGCAGCAGATCATTAGAAATCTTCTACTAAACTGATTTTAGCTGCTTCATAAATAAGGTGTGGTTTCATCTATTATGATGTTCTGGAAGCACCATTAGTGTGCATCACAGATCCAGCCTTCTTTTTTTCCACTTTGAGTCTGATGCTGCTGCTTCCTGTTGAGAAAATCTTACTAACATATGGAAAATAATATCTGACAGCTTGCGGTTAGTGTTGAAACACCAAAGCTTTTTGTTGGTAAATATTATTGAACAGCTGCCTTACCACATCGATGGTACAACAAGGAAAGAATATCCTTTTAAAATACTAAAACAGCTTCTCAGTCCCCCAGGGAGGACTCTAAAGCTTGAGCTCAAATGGGCCTTCCACATATACAGGTGTAACATGGTCAATGTTGTGGACAGACCATCATGAAGCTTTGATCTCTGACCTACAGAAGGTCTGACAGAGCTGAGAAAGGAGTGTGAGCCAGGTGGTCAACACACCTGAATTGGTACTTTATTTTACATCTTGTTCAGCTGACTGCTAGTTCTACCAAAGACTGAGGGACTATAGCCTAATTGATAAATTTGAAGACATTCTTACAAATTACCATTTAAAGATGGTGTCATTTGTAAATCAAAATGTTTGACCTAAAAACAGGAAACAGTCTAATTCAGTGTCAGATTGGGAGAGGAAAAAGGTGTTCTTTTATAAATGAAATGGAAAAATCTGTTTATGACTGTATAAAGCCTTTAATTGATCTCCTGCTTAACAAAGTTCCCTTCGATCTGTAGCTGTAATCGCAAACATTTAGTTGACTATTGTGTCTCTTGTATTAGTAACGAGGTTAAATTTTAATTCAATTTTCTGAGTTCTGGAACAGGACTTGTTTATGCATTTCCTGTACTTTCTTATTTTGCTGTTCAATGTTTAGATCATCTGTGTGGTACTCTGACAATAGTTAGCTGTTTTGTGTCGCTCCCCAAAGTGCTCCAACTACAAAGAAGGTTTGACTCCAGTGCTCAGCCTGTTAACCGAAGGATCCAGATGCCACAGAGAGATTCGCAGATATATCAAAACTCAGGTAATGCTCAGAACCAAGCAGAAACAGCTAGAACTAAACAAACAGAATTACTTAGTGATATTAAAAACTGTTGTACATTTTATGTAGGTACTTCCTCCACTGAAGGATGTGAAGAACAGACCAGAGGTGGGAACCACCATCAGAAACAAGCTGGTTCGCCTCATGACGCATGTGGACATGGGTGTAAAGCAGACTGCTGCAGAGTTCCTGTTCGTCCTCTGCAAAGAGAGTGGTGAGTAATTGGTTTTGGGGGCTCTTAGAGCTGGGGTATACTTGTATTTTCCTCCTTTGGGTGGCACACAGTCCCAGTCCTTTTATTTCTTTAGAGCTCAAGCTGCCTACCCTATTACCACACTGGGGGGCTGGGGATCTCCTCTTGGGTTTGGGGGCTTGGCCCCTAGACCTGCGAGGACGGCGTATTTATGGGGAGTGTAAGAATAATATTTAGTGTCTACCTCTGTGTGCGTCGGCCCCTGAACTCTCATCCGGGTCCACCTTGGGCGTGACTGGGTGCTCTTGTCAGCCCTTCTCTGGTGGGTGTGGCCATCCCTATGTCTGCTCTCCTTGTGTCCCAGTGACCTGGGGTGCCTCTGGAGCTGGGGTCGCCTCTCTATCAATCGCAACCCCTGTGGGGCGAGTCTGGGGACTCCCACTCCTGCTATTGAGCATACTTTCCTTTTGAAGAAGCTTTGTAAATCATCCATCCACAAGCATGCCCATGCATCCCTACCACTTTGGTTCCAGGTGTTCACTGATACTCACTAATACTAAATACTTAGCTGCGGCTACAGATATATACCACCCTAAATTAAACTGTGTAATCACCATAGGTTTTGATTTCCACACATATACTAATAGGGTATCTAAGGGATACCTGTTGCTCTGGAAGCTTTTCTGATGTTTACTTTGGTTGTCTGTTGTCTTCCTTTTGCTGTTGCCATGTTCCCTGATTTCTGTCCCTCTCGTCTCACTCAGGTGTGTTAGCAGACTTAAGGAGTTGCTGTATGTCTTCTGTGTTTTTCTCTTTTTTTTTTTTTTTTGCTGTATTGTTTTCTCTTTTCATCTGCTCCTCCCTTTTTCCTCTCTCTCTTTCTGTCTTCCCTTAGTTCTTATCCCCTCTCCCTTTCTCACATTTTCCGTCTCTTTTGCATAAGATTTTATTCCCTAAATCATTTTCAATAAAGTTTCATATATAAGGACCAAGTAGAACCTTAAGGCAACAACCATAATGGTCTGCTTGTGAAAGCAAACCTGTTGGGTTACCGTTTGTCTCTGTGTTATCATTCCTTAGAGCTATATTGACAAAACACAAAACATAAAAAGAGAGTTGTGAGTAAAGATGGGTGGGGGGAAACAGAGCCGGATGTGTTGCGAGGGTGGTGACTGTGACATTTATGCCTGGTTTAAGTTTATAAAATATTAATACACATCTCTGTGCGACTTTGCCTGTCAGTGGACAATCTTTTGAAGTACACGGGATACGGAAACGCAGCAGGACTCCTGGTGGCTCGAGGGCTACTGGCAGGTGGGAGAGGAGAGACGCAGTACTCTGACGATGAAGACTCTGACACAGATGAATACAAATCTGCCAAACCTTTGTGAGTCATTCAGTCGGCCAGCTACTATCATCTTGTTTAGTACTAAGAAAGTAGTTTGCAGATGTGCATTGAGCTTCAATTTTCTGATTCCCAGCATTAACCCCATCACTGGTCATGTGGAGGAGCCGATGCCAAACCCCATTGAAGAGATGACGGAGGAGCAGAAGGAGTATGAAGCTGAGAAACTGGCCAGCATGTTTGACAAGCTGTCAAGGTGAGACTGGAAAGTAAAAGTGGACGTATGACACTTCTACAGGCTTTGTTTAGATATGCTGTAAAGCTCTCCTCCAACCAGTGATAAAGATGTCCCCAAATGAATTGTGGTTATGAAGCCCTGGTGACTACACTGATAAAACTGATATCTAAGAAAATACATCTCTCTTAAAATAAGTGTATTTTTTCTCAAATTGAGCAGGCGAGTGAGTCACTGTGTCAATGGAATAAGACAATTTACTATTAAAATAGAAAAAAAAACTGCAGTCTATTATTTCAAGTGCATAATGTCAAATGATCTTATTTAAGGATAAAAATACCCATTCCACTGGCAGATCATGTTATTTACCTACACAAATGAGGGTAAATGCACTTATTTTAAGAAATTAGTAATTATTTTAGCAGGCCTGGGCGATCACTACGATAACGGGTGACAATTTTCCCATGTCGGTAAAAGAAATAAAACTTAATTTTGCCGTTTTTCCTGTGTGCGCTGGTGGCAGGTATTTCCTTCCCCTATAAGACACTCTAGCGTATGTAAACACGTGACACCATCAGTCGAGTCAGAAGCATGGAGAATGGCAGATGAGCCCAATGAAAAAGCGTCTAGCTGTAAAGAAAATGAAATCAGTTAATCCTGGGGAGCCAAGCGAGAGCAGAGATGAAGCTGAGCGCGCAGAGAAGAAGTCGAGAGCGTGTTTTCAGAGTTGAGCGCACGGCAGACCGATTTTGAGTGAGGGGATGCGAGTTTAAATGATGCACATTGTTCTCACTGCAGGCTCAGTTTGTTAGCACCAAAATTACACCATAAATGTTGAGCAAAAGAACACGAAATGCACAGTTTGTCTGAAAACTGTCGGGCCTGACCAAAGTAACACATCAGACCTCCTCCACCTACAGCACAACCACACTATTGAGTTCAAAGATGTGCAAAAGGCTCTTTACCTTTGCGCATATAATGTTTGTAAGAGACCAAACATTTTTCTCCTGTTCAATGAAACATTGTTGAATCTGAATGGGTACAAGACTTACATTTTTTTATTAAAAGTAATATGTAATGTGGTTTATTTTATGAATAAATTATAAATAGATCAATTGCATTTTCTACACATGCCTTTATTTCTGATAGAGGGGCCGGAGCATTTGTCGTGCATTCGTCATTATCAAGGTAAAACTGCCCAATTGATGGTGATATTGATTTGAGGTCATATCACCCAGCCCTTATAATGGCCATATAAGGGTTTACATCTGCCACTGCCATGTTGTTTTCAACAGTTATTCTGTGAACAAATGTACTCACATGCAATTTTAATTGTAGATTTTTGTGACAATTTGCATTTGTGAAATTAGCAGAATATCTACAGTATTGTGGATGTTTGCAACAGAAATGCAAGTAATGTGAGCTTTGGAGATTTTCTTAAATTGTTTACTACCCTCCTTACTCACCTTACCCTCATCCAACCACATTTGTTCAAGGTTTCTATGCAAAGAACAGATCAAATTTGCTGATACTGATTTTCTTCACTTAGAATTTTTGTTCTCCTGTTGGAATGGAGGCTTGTTTGTTTTTTTCCCCCTCAAACTAAGTGTAAACTTATGTTTTTTATAAGCTTTCTGCCACCAAGGCATCAGACTAAAGGCTTTCTTTTCACCTCCCACCACTATTTGGTTAGTTTAACTCTTGCATTATCTGTGCAGAAAGCATTAGGAAAAATAGATGTTAAATTAAAGCTTTTTATGTCTCTTTTACAGTTTGTTAGCCTAAAACTTAAAAGATAAGCCAATGTGGTTCATTTAAATTCTCCTCTTCAGAAAAAAAATGTCCCATAAATGCTTTTCCACCCAGGCTGGATGTGGATCAGGAGCGTTAGAATTAGTCTGAGGATCAGCCACCGATCCAAAGCTTGAGTCGGACTTCTGTCCTGATTTGTTGTTTTTTAACCTTCACCTGCTGGTTTTAGCTACTCCATTAGATCTTAAAGATCTTTTAATATGAGAAGATAGTTTACTAACATGAACGATATTTTTTTAAGCAATCTCACAGTGAGCAGTAAGTACTTACTGTAATAGTATTTATTCTAAACCAAAGGCATCATGACGGCAGACATGACATTTTATAGTATGTTTTATTTATTTTAGTAATTGGCTGTCGTGTGTGCGTTTTTCTTCTTAATATAGATAGTTTATAGACTTTAAATGGACCGACAGCATTTTTAAATCTAGTGTGATCCATGACAGAGAAACAGTGTGAACGATCGGAAAGCTCAGCCTTACTCTTATCTTCAAGCTGAATGGACCTAAAACACTTTACAATGTATTTTAATAAGAATACCTTCCTGACTAAAACCACTAATGCTAATAATTGCTAATTCAAGCCGTCCCTCCAGGTTATTGTGATCAGTTGAACTTGTTCACTGATTGGACAAATTGAGGATTTGACAGATAATCAAGCTGAAAAGCAACCAATGCAGTTTACTCTGCATCTGTATTAATTATCGATGGTGGTTGTCAAAATGTTATCCCCAAACAAGTTAGAAATGGATTTATGTTTGGCCATTATTTGGTTTATTTTTATAGCTCACCAGTAAGTCTGGAAAATAAGTCCTTAAAGGTAAAATCTGGAATAAGGGAAAATTGCCTGGAACATTTTGGCACAAAAGAGGAACAACCCAGAAAGAATAAATGACGTTTCTCCTCTCGGCTGATCGACTGATTCTGTTTAGAACGACTGTATGAAAAGCTGCAGGGTTCTGCTGTGTTGACCTTTTCATTAGCGAGCAGAGGCTAACGTTACCTGCTAAAAGGTGACTGGGAGCTTTCTCCATGCCAACCAGTTCATCACGACAAGAATCTCCCTCCGCCACACGAGTCTTCAATTAGCCGCTGACAGGCAGCCGTCACATTCAGGGGGATTAAATGGGAGCTGGCCTGCGTGTCGCTGCAGCATCATTACCTCCATATTAATTATCACCTAATTGGTAAACGTTGTCGGCTTGTTGGCTTGGCCTCCTTTATGTTTCTCATTGAGGCTTTTTTTAATAATTCCTCACGTCTTGACTCGCCCTTGAGGAGCCAGTCGATGGCCAGGCGAGAAAACTGACATGGGAGCAAACTAGTCAAACCAATTTGAGTGGAACGCAGATAAAGAAGAGACACGGCTGAATAAAAACGGCAACATAAGAGAGCCGACCTCGTCATTGTTGGCCGTTGAGCCATAATGAGACACGCTCGCCCAGAAAGAGAAGATTCCTCCTTTAAGGCTGCGCCGTCTTTCTTCTCTTCCCAGGTAGAGAGCTGCCTCCACCAGTGCAGGTGGCTAAGGAGATCACTCAGCAGCCTCCAAGAATGTGCTCCTCTGGCTGCACAAGTGGTCCTCTAATTAGGACATACACTCACACCCCTTTACACCTGCCAGACCCTCACTCCTCTATCACTTCTGAGCGGAGATGAGAGGTTATTTCAGTCTAATTAGGAACAATGATGTCAAATGTTTGTTTTTGAATTCAATAGATAAAGACAAAGGGGATTTTCTTTTTTTTATTTACGGACCCATTTTTCATTTATTTTCATCAGTAAATCACTTTTACTTCCAGGAATCTTTCTTTTGTGTTTGACTCTATCGAATTAATGCTCAAGATCGCTTTTTTTTAACTGATGATGGATAATTCTCAGATGGATCATCTTGGAGGGAGCAGTGACACACACAGTGCAGGTATAATTGGATTAGGATAAAGGGCCAGTGTTGGCTTTGAGGAGATTAGCTTGAGCACTGATCCTGTAATTAAACTGCTGCAGGAAGGGAGAGAGGATGGCCAGACATGCCTGATTGTCTATGAACGGGTGAGGGGAGGAGGGAGGCGGTATGAGGGCCCTCCAGTTTGCGTATGAATAAGAACAAATGCAAGGCCCTAGTCTTTCCAGAGATGGAAGGAAGCTGGAGTGTTTTGGTTTTTTTTTAGTTCTTCGTTGGCCCTCTTTGTCTGACTCCTCTGCCCGTTTCTTCCTCTCCACAGGCAGAACGTGATCCGGCCCATGGGCGTCAGGCCAGACGGGACGTTGGCACCTCTTGAAGAAACGCTCGTTTGTCCACCTGAAGAAAACTCCGATACAGACTCTGATTAGGCCAGAGTTTTCAGATCTTCTGAACTGTGACACGCTGCACTTAAACATTTTCTTTACATCTACCTGACTGTCAATCCTATAAAAAGACCCTGGCCTTCCAGTGGTACTTTTTAACCTGTAAAGTCGTTTCTGACAAGTGGGGTTTCACATAGCGTGACGAGAGAAGTACTTTATTGTAGAATAAACTGGGACACCCAGATTACTATGATGAGCTTAACTATAACTGTACAAAATTATTGGAAAATTACTAGGCATGTTAATGATGGAAAACATGGAATAGAAATTTATCTTGAAGTCTGTCAGCTATTGTTTTTTTTTTCCTGCTTCTCGCAGGGTTGTTGGTTTATACATTGCCCTGTAAAAGTATTCATACTTCTTTAAACTCTAACCGTACATTTTTATGCCAGTTTACTTCAAACTTGGCTTATTTGAAATCCATCACAAACTAGTGCATTATTGTAAAGTTGGGGCATAGGAATACATTGAATTTTTAAATGTTTTTACAATCTAGAAACTAAAAAGTGTGTTGGACATTTCTGTTATCAATACATTCCCCCTTTGCTGCACATGCAAATCTTCTGGGGATTTAGCAGCTTTGCTAATCTAGATACTAAATGTCTTTATAAAATAGCTCAAGCTTAGTTAGACTAAAACTATTTTTAATAAATTGACTTCCGCAGGCAGTTTAAGGGTATTTTTCCTGTAGCTTGTCTATTTTCAATAATTAGCAATGATCTATCATTAGGTACTTAGAAGTTTGTGATCATAACATGGAGACTTTCAAGGGGTGTGAATACTTTTGTAAGATACTGTATCCGGTGTTGTACAGATGCCTAGTTTCATGCATATACAAAAATCAGTGAAATATGTTTAAATTGGTAATTTTTGTTCAGTGAATGACTTAATGCCTAAACATTAGCAGAGATATGAAATGAATAAAGAATATATTGGGGGTTTTTTTTTAGGCCTCATTTAGAATTTCCTGAAGTTCTGTTGGAGACCTCAGATGGTTCTTCATCTGCACCGGGAAACGGCCGAACATTCAAGCCTCTGAAGGCATTTTATAGTTTGGGTCAGTCAGGTATCAATATGTACGCATCATGGAAAATTTCAACTCATTTCCTACATTCAACTGTTTTATGTACATAAATTGGGATTTTGATTTGAGCTTTATCAATCTCTCAGGTCACCTTGTCTAAAAAAGATGCAAAGTGAGAGTTAAAGTCAAATTTAGGATTTATCTACAGAACTAGTGAAAATTAACAAAGTGAAATGAACTGTTGCTGTAATGTGGGGGAGTTGTTGGCATTGTCTGCATACACACAATGGAGGAAATGCAGCGCATGTGTGAAAAATGGAAGTGGTGAAATGATCTGGAACTGGAAGGTTCTTCCCGTTCTTGGACTCAGATTGCTGGTTACTCAAATCATCTGTGGCCTTTTTGGTTAATTATTGCTTCTTTAGGAACATAGAGTATCTTTTACTTTTTGTGAACACATATGCAAAGGTTTCAGGTCTTAAAAATAATTCCTTTGTCAGTTTGATTCCTTTGTATTTTTTGCTTTACTAAGTTCTTGTTCGATTCAGTTGAACCACAGTTTAACATTGGACAGCTAACCGCCTCCTTTAGGCTGAAGTCTCGCTGCCCGTCCAGAACTGAAGGGTTCTAAAATCAGGCAGCTCAGATAAAACTTAATGAATGTTGCACACAGAGTAAATCTTCCTGAATTCAGGATTCGCTAGCCAAGACATTCACTTTGTAAGCTGTTTATAGAAGAAAAGCTAATATACAGTTGCTAAATTTAGGAAATCACAACTTTTGTGGACTTATAACAAAAAAAAACACGATTGTAATCTATTAACTATTGCAAATTATAAACCAGATTTTATTTTTGCCCCTTCAAATGCACAATTTTAAACATTTTGTGCAGCTGTAAGCCCAAATATGCTTAGAAATTTATAGTAAAAGTTGTTGGTACAGTAAGTTTTACCACAACAGAAATGCTTTCAGACTGTTATATTTTCTTATGTTTTTTGTAAGTTTTGTATTGCAACTGTTTAGACCTTTATGCTCTGCTTTAAGTTATGCTTTTATTTTCCAGCGCATTTATCCTGGCATGCCTCCAGAATTTGCATGAACAGGAATAGTTTGTTCTTTTTGCACTTTGTGTACGATAGGCAGCACTACTTCATTCTGTGAAGCTTTTCCACTGAAAAGTTAATAAAGTGAAGACCAAGACTGACTGTTTTCATTACACCCAAGACTGTTTTTCCAAAGAGAATCTTTATTAAATATTAAACAAAGCATTAGAGATAATTTTATTGGCTTAAAAGATAAAAACATTTTTAGAAAAATATTAACTAGTGTTCTAGAAAGAGACTAGATCCAACCTTTTATATCAACATATTAACAAAACCAGTACTTCACATTGATTTTAAAGCGCAAAAACCTGCTTAGAAACAGATGTTGGGCTAAGCTGAAATAAATTCCTTTAAAGTCTTAGGAACTCCAGCGTTATTTGCCATCTCTGGATGAAGCAGAGCTTCTGCTGTCTGTCTCAGAGTCATCATCCTCACTGCAGCTTCCTCGAGCTCCTGGTCTTGGCCTGGATTTTCCTGACATTCCTTCAATCTCTGATGGACGGTTCTGGGTTGCAGTGCTGGTTACCACTGAAGGAAAAGTCTGAGGAAAGAACTTAATTGAAAAAAAATGGAGACCTTAAAATGAGACACACAGGACTTCCACTAACTTCTCTAGGGAAAGCCCCAGGTACTAGAAAGGTTTTAAATGGAGAAACTCTAAATTGATCAAGCCTAAGGTTGGGAACTGAGTTTTCGGTTTTACAACGGCTGCTATGAATTACTTCAACTCCAAGTAGGTCTGCTCAGAAGTTTAACACGTTTGTAAGTATGAAAAGCCATTATAAGTGGAGCCCCGATTCGACAAATCACCATAAATGGCAACAGGAAGTGCCCATTTCACCACACTGGAACTAGAGATTTTAATGATGGAAAATTTTTTTTATGTGTTTAAAAGAAACAGTGCTACAAAGGAGAGGAAGATGGCGAAGGAAAAGATTATCACGCAAGTTAATGCGTAGGTTATATGAAGGCCATTTTTGGATTTATTAAAAGCACTCTCCTCTCTGTTGTTCCATTTGTAGATCACTAAAATAAGATTCCTCTTGATCAAAATCACTCCTAGACTGAACTATAATATTTTTTTAAATTACATTTTGGCTGCAGTAACTGAATTTCAGAAAAAAAAAATAAAGAATTTTCAGTAAACCTGCTTCGTGAAAGGTGGCTTTAGTAGCAGCCTTCAGCTGGTCTTCATAAAAATCTGTCCATGATGCACCTGAACAGGGGGAACTCATTGTAAAACTTACCATTATTTCCTGCGTCCTCATCAGCTCTTCGATTTCATTGTTCCAGCCGAGAACCTCTGCAAACCTTCTGACAGAGTCTGCCAGATCACCCAGCTCCATGTGGTCTCCTCTTCCCAGTGGGACCCTCTCAAAGGGGCCCACAGCATGCCGGTTCAGGAGCAGACGGGGCACTTTAGAACGCACTGTATTCACAAGACTAGCAAACGGTTCAATCTGGAAAAATAGACATTTTTGTTTTAGATAAAACACTAGATGCCTTATTCTGGTTTAATAAACAAAAGCATTGTAGCTCAACCTTTAAAGAGGTCCCCATAATGATCAGGAGGTCTGCTTTGGGAAAGTCTTTAGAGTGGAGGAAATATTTCTGCGGGAGGTTTTCTCCAAAGAAAACAACATCCGGTTTGACAGTAGCAGCGCAGAATGAGCAGGTGGGAATGTTGTCATTCATTATAGCAACCTGTAAAACCAAAACATGATTTATAGGATGCAAATAATCGACTAAGTGTTGGGGTGATGTAGACTCTACGTACTTTAGCCTCCTCAGCAGGATATGGAGTATAGCACAGGTGGCAGGAAGCTGTGGCAAAAGAACCGTGGGCCTCCACGAGCTTGTCATCAGGGATACCACACACTGTGGAGGGGATTTAAATAAATTAACCCATCCTGAGAAATACGCAGAAAATCAAGGAAAATGGCAGCAAAAGGTTCTGAAAGTCTAATTAAAATCCTGCACTGAAACTATAAGTGTTTAGTTATAAAACGCAGTCAAAATAATATACAAACCATATTGATTGACAGCAAAGTGATAAAAAAAATTTTTTTAATCCTGCAGAATGTTTTTATGCTTAAATTAATAAAAAATGAGTAAGATTGTATCTGTATAGCTGCATATATTTTGGCTGCATAAATATTGTACATTTATTCATTAAATACATGTCTTATTTATAGGGGTGCATCAGGTACAGTTTTCTGGCCAATCACCAATTAAAGACCTTTAAAAAGCCGGACCTGCCAGTCCTAAGTCTGACCAAAGCGATCGATCTAATGGCCGATCAGTTTGGGAACCTGTCTTACTTTACTTGTACTTGAAGCTTCATACCAGGATATCTGCATATATTGGAGGATTCTAGACGTTTAAGACAACAGGACCACAAATGTGGACTGAGACAGTGTAGGATCCCTGTAGTAACCATTTAGATGTTCTTTTGTTTTAACTGTCTGTAAGTTATAACTCACATTTCTCCAGCCCATCGATGTTCTGGGTGTACAGTCGGAGCAGCAGACCTTTGAGGTGGAGCATGCGGATGAAGTAGTGTATGTAGTTTGGACGATGGCAGCCGGGATACAGAGCCTTAGCCAAGGAGAAGAAAGGTTGGGGGTCGTTGGAGAAGTAGTCAATGTTGAAAATGGCCTCAGGATATGGGATGTTATACTTCTCCAAGTTGGCATAGAGACCCGTTCCTGGAGTCCTGAAAACAACACATTTTGTTTTCTCTGGAAGATCAGCCTAAGACAGACAACACTGACAGGGTTTAAGGCTGAAATAGTTTAGAAATGATAGATTCGGACCTGAAGTCTGGGATGCCACTGGGCGTGCTGATTCCTGCTCCTGCTACCACCAGTACGTTCCGACAGCGCCCCAGTTTCACGAGCCGGGCAACAGAGGCAAGACCGTCCTGGGAGGCGGACTTCACAGGGAATGAGGACGAAACCAGCTGATCAGGTGTGGACTCGCCAAACGGACATGCCTGAATGGGAAAACTGGAAGCTATGGACGCCTGTCCTTTACTGCAGAAATGGACAACAAATAAATCTTACGTTATTTTGCAGAACCACTGATAACATCCTGTTAGGTAGCTCTTACTTTTGCTGTGTGTCATGCGTAAGACTAAATCTTTAATTTTATCCAATATTTTTTCCCCTTTTTTATTAATTCTACCCTTAATGTATCCATCTTCACCTTTTAGTGTCCTGTTCGCTCACACTCTTCAGGCTGAGGTCCTGAGCCAGAGTGGGGTCACTTTGTCTTCGTTGCTTTTTAAAAAGGCACTGCCCCGACTCCTGAAGCTCTGCAGGGAGTGAGTGTCTGCCCTGAGAGCTGGAGCTGCGGGTTATCCTGGTCACTGGAGGCTGGGAAACTTTTTTATCCCTGCTGGACCTCGACCTGTTCATTCCAACACCTGGGAGATAAATTATCCAAGATTAATGGGTAGTTCTAGTTGTTCAGCTTATTTTTAAAGCAATAATAAACAACTGTCATCTCAGGGCACTTTACAAGACAAATTCAAATACATTTCACTCAATAAAACCAAACTAAACCCATTAAATCCAATATAATCAAGTATTGTCTAATCTGGGAAAGAGACACAGTTAAACAAATAAGGAAAAGTTACTTTAGGATAGAAAAAATAGGTAATATCAGCTCTTTTTATACATCAACTTTGTCTAGGTGAGGAAAAAAAAAACTGTTTCACACAAAAGGACCGAGTCAGAAATACTTTCTATAAGGGAGAAAGAATCAATACATTTAACTGCAGCAGTAGCTTTGTTAATTGATTTTTTTGTTTTTTGTTTACCAACACAAAGACAGTAGAGCCAGGAGTACCTTCTATGAAAAAGCAATAACTGTTGATGGCTTAATCTGTGAGAAATACTGCTCAACACATAAGCACAGAGTCACCAGTACTTCTATGGAAATTAATAAAGAAAAAAGCAGGCACATTAAGCAGATGAAAACTCCATTTATTATAATGGTTTGATCCATCATAGAGACACGGCTGAACAATAGTTTCAAACCAGGGGTGCTTTTTATGGGAAATAAAACTAACCAAGAAACCCAAGGATTAAACACAACTAGGAGAGGTCACCAGAGTTTAAGTGTAACTATTATCTACAACACTATCAGAGTCTGGCGAGACATTGCAAAGCAATTTGGAGAAACACTTTTGCAATCACCCATGTGACTAGGAATGAGGAATTCACCCCTGGAATTAATAATAGTATGTTTGATGATAGTATAAAAAGCATCAGGCTTATTTGGGACATATACCAAGGTATTACACTTAAATAATTTCAACAACTTCAAAAAAACAACATTGCATTAGAATTTTTTTTTGGGGTACCTTCAACTCCGTATTTTTTTTTTACGACAAAGGTTAAATACCTCCACAGTGTCACAGTCTCTCTTAGAGAAAGTGTCGAACATCTTTATGGTTGATTACAAATGATTGAATATTACCCTCATTCCTATTCGCTGCGCTTCTCCTTAGACCTTTTAGATATAAGGAAGGTCACACAGAAGTGGGAGCATGATCTCAGGGAGCAATTTATTAAAGATGGCTGGCATGAAGCAATACCCTCTATTAAAAACACCTTCATTTGCAACCAAATGAGAGAAACCCAGTATAAAATCCTGCACAGATCCCAAATAACACCATTTATTCTTAATAAGAAGGATAAGCAGGTCTCTCCTCTCTGCTCTAAATGCAAGTCTCATCTGTTGGTACATACATTCACTGTTTTTACAAATGTAGTTTGATTGCACGGTTTTGGAGCAATACAGCCCAAGAATTGAGCAGAAAGAGCAGAAGTTACGAAAGATCCTGACCTCTTCATACTAGGTTTACCTTCAAAGACATTATCTCTAGGTAGGACGGATTTTAAACTTGGAAAAACTTTTATTCCTGGCTGAGAGATGTATTTTAAAGCAGTGGATAAGCAATAATCCCCTCAACTGTAACACATTTGTACCAAGAAACTATAAAGCTTTACCCCAAGAAAGACTGACTGCACGGATGAAGGGGGGTGCCTCTTTGTTTGAGAGAAAATGGTCCACTTTTTCTATTTTATTTAAGTGCCCTCCTCTGGGAAATGCTAAATAAGGGAAGATATGTTTTTGACTGGAAAGTCCCCTCTGGATGAATCTTGTTATATTTGCTGCTTAGTCTCTGGTTCTTCCACTTTTTGCATTTGTTTTAATAGAGTCAGTGTTTATATTGCTGAATTTATTGCAGTCTCCATGTCTTTTAAAATTGACTAATTATCTCAATCTTTTGTATCCACTTTTATTAATATTACCCATCCCATCTTGTGTATTTTCCTTTTTTAGTATCATAATTATTTTTCAACTATAGACAAGAGAAGGCACAGCATGTGTGCAGAATGATTGGTGGAACCATGAGGGGTGCTGTGGTTTTTTTTGTCTTTCTGCTTTTTTAAAACATAAAAAAAAACACAACTAGGGCTGCAACTAACGATTATTTTACAATTCGATTAATCCGTTAATTATTTTTTCCGATTAATTGATGGGTAATCACATAACCAAAGGTACCTTAAAGAAGATTTTTCTACTAAATTAAACTAGGTGAAATTAAAATGTTTTCACTTGAGTTCTGGATTGAACATATTGAAAGATGAAAAAGTTCTCATTTTAAATAGAAAATGTTAACATATTTAATTTTTACAAATTTGATATAAGTGGGTTGCTCTGTCAGCTCAAGGCACGTTTTGGAGTCTCTATATTCCAGTGAACGATTAATCGATAATTAGTTGACAATTATTTCAATAATCGATTAATCCGATTAATTGTTTCAGCCCTAAACGCAACGTCTGAAATACATCTTTGTCTTTTCCAGACTTTTCAATTAAATATAACAGACCATTTAGAGGCAGTTATAGGAATTTGTTTTCTCTCCCTCATCGTCCATGTCATATATTTAAAAAGCTGTTACACTGACATCCTTTTCTCCTCAGTCTCTTTACACAGAGGGAAGCTGAAATGTTTTAAAACTGTCAACAGCTGAACAAAAGCTAATGGCTGCAATATATTTACCCCTGTCTTGTTCTCTCCATAGCAGCTATGCTAATACAGTCCACAGCTGTGGCAGCTTTACTGTTCAGGGAAAGCGGAGCGTTGAGCGTTGGGTTGGAGGTGAAGGGGTGGGGGGTGCTAGTGAAGAACAGGAGTTGGATAAGGAGAAAGAGAAAAGTAGATAAGAGTCAACAAACGCAGCTGGGTGAAGGGGCACCCCAACACCCCCCCAGTGAAGGAACTAGTGAAGGGTGGTGGGAGAAGAGGAGATAAATGATATGTAGGCAGGCTTCAATAAGGAGGGAGCTAAGGGAGGAGGGAGAAAACTATTCCAGGCCTTTATAGAAAGTGCCAAGTTGGAATAATTAAGCAAACAGTCTGAGATGGAGAACCAGGAGCCAAAAAGGGTTACAAAAAAAAGAATAATAAAGCATGAAGGTGTCATGAAACCAACTTCCTACTATGTCCACCTTAAAGGAGACAAGCTGTCCCCTAACTTTTAAAGATCATAAAACAAACCAACACCTCTATGGCATCACCTGAAGTTTTTCGATTTTTCACACTAATAACTCACCCTAAACAGATTGTTGCGCTCAATTAGCCAATGGCATGGTAAACACTATTTCCTAAAATGTCAAAAGTATTCAAACCTTTTCCTACGAGACTCAAAACCAAGCTCACGTTTACTGCATCTGATTTATAGGGTCCAGAATTGGCAAAAACAAAGCAATGCATGGAAATGACTGTAGACCCTTCAAACCTGGCCATCTAGTTTTAGAGGGGGGAGGTTTAAAAAAAAAAAAAAAAAAGGTTATTTGGCAAATGAGGTGTTTAAGGTGTCGGCATCCAAATTTAATTTTTAAAAAATCCCCCCTTTGAGGAGGTCAGATAAGGGAAAACTGATTTGTATCAAACAAAAAAACAAGGAGAAAAACCAGGCGGCGTTCATCATGATGCATACTGAGGAGCATAGTGCTGGCAGCATAGTGCTGTGGGGTCATTTTGGTGCAGGGAGTTTGATAACTAGTGTGCATGAATGCAGGTAAATGTAAATATTATCCAGAAAAATAATCTGCTCCAAAAGTATTGAGAGGAAACAGCTATGAAACCAAGGCAGAGATTATTTTCCAGTAGTGTGGATTAAAGACTGAGTAGATCTACAGCGTCTCCAGATATACCTATGAAAGCGTGAGGATGGCATTGCCTCTAAAGATGCTTCAACAAACTTCATTCATGGACAATAAAGCTTTTTAAAACAGGTCTGTAATATAAAATCTGAAAAGCTATAGGATCTGAAATCACTCTGCTGGTATAATACGATAAGCATTTCTGTTGGGAAAGATTCTTAGTTTATTAGAAAGTTATTTACTGAGCTTAAAGCTAATAAATCTTGGACAACCATCCCTATTTACTTCTTTCATTTAAGGCCCTAAATCTTTGTACACCTTTAGGACTGAAGCCAAAACAGCAGAGAGCACCCCCCATCCCACATCCTACAGAACTATTAAAAACAGTAGGAGGGTGGGGGTCTCTGCTTTTGTCTGGTCTCCTTTTAAAGAGACACTGCTGAGTACAGGCAATAAATCACAGACCCAGTTATTAAGGTTTCTCACAGATGCTGCGAGATGACGTCAAACATCTCAACATTTTCTCAAAGTATAACCACTGTGGAAGAATTTATTTTACTTACAAAACATGCAGGAGAACAAAGTGGTCCTTTCACACTAATAGATCTGAGCGTTTGGTTGAGCCTGTTTATCAGATATAGCTCTAAATGTGCTTCAGATGCTTTTATCATTATTCTTTAATGACTAATAAATCCTCGTATAAATGACAAAGGGCATTGAAAGGATTTAGAAGCCACCCCCCTTCTCGCTTGCCCTTTCACACTACTTGCTCTTGCAGATCTCCCGGATCAAAAATCTGTGTGTCCCATAACCGGACCACCAGGATAGTGGTTGTTTATACGAAGGGATACAGTTATCTAATTAAGAACGTCTCACAACGCTAGGGACACCTCAGTGATCACCTTCAGGAGCCCTCCATTCCCTCCTCACTAAAAATGTCATGCTGACTGATAATCCTTTCAAAATGCTGGAGGCTGAGACCAAAGGCTAAAGCTGCGCAGGGGAAGTAGACGAGTTAATGTTAAAGAAGAAAAAGTCTTCAAATACTCATGTGTCCAAAGTAGGGCTGCAGCTAACCTTATTTTGCAAACTGATCTATTATTTTTTCGATTAATAATCGAATAGCCAAAGATTCCTTTGACTTCTATTCCTAAAGACTTCAAGAAATTAATCCTTCCACTCATGGAGTCCTGGATAGAACATATTCACAGATGAAAACTTTATTTTTTTAATCTTAAATGCA